CATCCAGTCCATCCACCCGCGCTCGGCTCGCTCGCCGAGCATCCCGTCACACCTGAGGGTTCTGTTCGAGAGCGGGCGGACGATTGAGGCGGGTTCGGCGGCGGCGAGCAAGTTTGAGCGAGATGTCGAGAACATGGTGGTCTTCTTGCGGGCGCGGAGGATCCACAAGGTGCGTTGGCGGGGCCTGTCAGGCGCTACTGAACCGCTCAGGAGGTGTCTTGTCGCTGCGCGAAAGCCTCCACTTCACACGCTGACCTGCCTGTCTTCTCCCCAGGAACTCGTCGACCGCTACAACCCCACGCACGATATGAGCCAGGCTGAGCGGATTGAGGCGACAGCACACCGAGTAGGACTGCAAGGGCCGGTTGAGTACGACGCGAGCAACCCCCGGCCACTGCCGATGGAGGGCGAGACGGAAGGCGAGCAGGGCAAGGAGCAGGAGAACGGCAAGGGCAGCTTGCAGACGATGTTTGCGCCGCAACATTAGAGCACAGCACTAGATGGACGACCCGGTGTAGCGCTTGTATCCCTACGCAACCAGCATCATTCTGATGAAGCGCTCGGCAAACGAGATGCGAGAAGCTGCTTCAAGTATTGCACAACGACAAAAGGAGATCAAGGCTAAGCGGGAGGGAAGTAAGCGGGGAGTCAGCATCGAGATGGGCTAGTCGGAGTCGGTTGGCGGGTCTTCGTCCCAAGGCGCCTCTTCGAGGTTGAGACCTGGGCGGAACGAGCTGCCGGCGTAGCCGACGTCGCCAGGCTTGAGTGCACCGCTGCGTGTCTCTGTGCACGGACACGTCAACTTGGGAGAGAGGCTCAAGCGAGAGAAACAACTCACCGCCGGGGACGACCTTCTTCGGCGGGCTGAACACGACGTCGTCTGGACTCTGCCGCTGTCCCTGGGTCTGGCTGTACATCTGAGACTGCGACTGGCTCTGGCTTTGGTCTTGGCTGCTCGTGCGCCGGCCGAACGACGCTCCTCCGACGCTCCGCTGCGAGTCGCCCGAATTCTGCCGGAGCGCTCCGCCATTCGGGACCTTGCGCGCGCGCTTGCGCTCCTCCTTGAAGTCGTTGACTTGCTTCTGCAGCCTGTCGTTCTCGAGGCGGAGGACGGCGAGTTGGGCGGTAGCGGAGCGGGCGGCTTCGCGCTCTTGAGCCGCGACGAGGTAGGCCGGGATGATCTGCAAGACTCTCATTCGCGTCAGTACGGCCTCAAGCGAGACATCGAGACCGGAAACTCACCTTGGCCATGCAAGTCATGAGGGAAAGCGGAGGAGAATCGCACGGCGCGAGAACCATCGTGAGGGGAAGAGTCGGCGTGAGCTTGAGCGTGACCTGGGTTGCCGAGGCAGGGTACGGAGTCGAATGAAGCGAGAGAGTCGAGCGATGAAGTGAAATGGAGGGCGAGAGGAGCGAGAGCGGGTTGTCAACGAAGCGATCCCGACAAATCCGCGGGCAGACGCACCTCGAGCGCTCCGCGCGGGTCTGCTCCGGGGCCATCATAGCCTGAAATCTCGACTTCGCCGGCGAGTAAGGCTGAGCGGACTTTCGGCACCATGGCCTGCGGGCTGAGGGCGACACCGTCCGTCTGCGAGAAGCGGACACAGGTCAGCATACAAGCGGCGGGCTCGAGGGATCGTTGCTCACCTGCTTCATGAGTTCCTCGACCTCCCTGCCGCAAAGACACGCCTTCCACCACTCCTCCGGCGCAGTTTCCGACTTCTTCTTGCTCTTCTGCTCCACTGCGCCGTTTGCCACGCCCTCGCCGCCAATCGTCAAGACCCACTCCACCTCCCCGAGCTCTGGATCACCGTCCAAGCTGCCCGCTTGTGCGGAAGCCGCGCGAGCTGAGCGTTTGGGAGGGGGACGACGGCGGAGTTCGCTGATGCAGACGAGCGGGTGGGCGAGCGGCTCGGTCGTCGCAGGGTCGAGAGTTTGGTAGACCTGGTGCAGCGGCCTCAGATCCAGCGCATCCATGATGAGCGGGCGAGCGGACGAAACCAAGTTGGGCGACCAAGTTGACATCTCCTCTCGAGGTCCGCTACTCACCCTCACGCGCTCGAGGGGCGATTTGATCAGCTCAAAGGCTTTCTAACCTCTATAGATACCTGAGGCTCCACCATCATCGTCCCGCATCCTGCGCTTCACCCGAACCGAATCCTCATCAGCTCAAACGGACACGGAGGTCGTGAGGCGGAAACAGGACTCTGGGATCGATAGTGAGCACGCGTGGAGGCCACTTGTTGCGCAGGACTCCGTTGACAAGCGCTCGAACCTGCAGCAAGCATGGTTGTCCACCAAGATCCTCCTCGATCCCCTTCACCCGACGATGCCCTTGAATTCTTCGCCGACTCGCTCGAATCGCTCTACGACCATCACATGCCAGCAAAGGGCGACCCCTTAGCACTCTTCACCTACTCTTCGCCATCCTCGTCCGCTCACCCTCAGCCTCTCACCGTCCGTCTACCGCCTCAGCAAGTGAACGAGCTGTTCGCTCATTTCGTATGGAACGCCAGTTTGCGGATGGCGGATGCGCTCGCAGAGGGGAGGATTCGAGTCGAGGCAGAGCAGGTCTTGGAGCTTGGTGCGGGAGCTGGAATCCCTGGTCTCGTCGCGGCGAGGATGGGAGCAAGTCGCGTGCGTCCCCACTTGCAAGCTCCCCCAGCGACAAATAGCTGAGACCCAACCCGACAGGTCGTGCTGAGTGACTACGATGACCCTCTACTCATTGCAAACCTGCGGGACAACATCTCGCTCGCCTTTCCCGACTCTCCCGCTGCACGAGAACGGATACGAGCAGTCGGACACTCTTGGGGCGAGCAGACGTCGCTCGAGGCGGTACTCGCGTGCGTAATTGAGCGCCTAAGCGCCTTCGTTCGCTAACATTGCTGGATCGCAGGGCCAACTCCCCCTCGCCAAGCCCGTTCGCACACATCCTCCTCGCCGACACGCTCTGGTACTCTTCCGGCCACGCTCTCCTCCTCTCATCGCTCCAGCACCTCCTCGCCCGGACCGCAAGCGCACGGATACACGTTTGCGCCGGCTTTCACAGCGGTCGCGCAACAGTCCGGTCGTTCTTGAAGAAGGCTGAGAAGGTTGGGTTCATCCGACGCGGCGAGTGGGAAGAGGTTGGGGTTGATGGACGGAGACGAGAGTGGGGCTGGGACGTGCAAGGGGAAGAAGGGGAGTGGGAGGAGAAGGAGGATGCGAGCGAGCGGAACAAGTGGGTCGTTGAGGGCGATCTCGGCTGGAGCGACGAGGCATTGAGAGAGGACGGTGCAGCACGGATAGAGCAGTGGACGCCAGCCGATGGAGCTTAGAACGCGATCAGGCGGCCAGTTTCTCGAGAGGACTGCGAGCAAGCGTCGAGATGAGGTTCAAGACTGCTGAATCTACTGCATAGGATTGCGTGCTGATACTATCTCCTTGTGATCGCCAACCCGAAAAGCCCCAGAGTCTATGACCAAACGTCGAGAAGCAAGCGGTTGCGGTCCTTGAGCAACTTGAGCTCCTTCTCGCCGTCCTCGTCCGATCCGCCCTTGGCCTTGCCGAGGATGTGCGCGAGCTCGCGCTCGACCTGCTTCGCCATGCTGCCGGCGTCGCCGCTGTGCGTCAGGGCAAAGCGCAAAAATCAGCGCGAGTTCCCCAGGTCAAGTAGGCGTAGAGCCGAGAGGCATGCCGAAACGCACCAGATGTACGCGTAACCCTTGTTCTGGACGAGCGCCTCTCCCACCCTGTCGCCCTCATTCCGCAACAGCTGCTGGACATACACCTTTGGCTGTCCCGGCTCCCTCGAGAACGCGCAGTGCATGCGGAACTTGCCGTCAAGCTCCTTGGCATACTGGTCCCACTCGTCCCTGTAGAGGAAATCCCACGTCGACCGCCTGCAGCCGTAGAAGAGGTCGATCGTGCCCCAGTCCTTGAGCGCGTCAGGCCCGTCCTTCTCCTTCGCCTTGCGTGCGAGGGCAACGCGGTCCTGGATGAACCCGCGGAAGGGCGCGACACCTGTTCCGGGACCGATCATGACGATGGGAACCTTGGGCGAGGTCGGGAGGCGGAAGGTCGAGCGACGGACGTGGATCGGGGCGGCAAAGTGCGTGTCCTTCTTGTACTTGCCTCGCGGGCCTTCGAGGTGGTAGACGGGCGTTCCCTGCTCGCGCGCCTCGACCTTCTCGAGCGTACCGTTTGCCGCGTTCTTCAAGTTGAGGAGGTAGTTGGTCCCGACGCCGAAGACCTTGTTGGCGCCGACGACAGGCTCGTACTTGAGCACGACGGCAGTAACGTGAATCGAGTTGGGGTACATCTTGGGCGACGACGAGATCGAGTAGTAGCGAGGCTGGAGGCGGTGGATCGCGCCGATGATGCGGTCGACGGGGATGTTCCACACCGTGTTGGCGTTGCCGGCTGCGAGGACGAGCACCTCGGAGAGACGGAGGCACTTGGAGCCTACGACCTCGTGGTAGAACTCCTTGTCGGCGCCGAGCTTCTCGAGCATCTCGCGCGCGGCGTCGGTCGGCGCGAACTTGGCCATCTGGCCGACGGTCTGGCGAGAGGCGTGCGCAGAGATGTCGAGGTAGTGGCGGAAGACGGTCTCGTAGGTGGTCGGGATCGGGAAGGGGACCTTGGCGAGCGCGGGGTCGAGCGACTTGACCTCGATGACCTTGTGGCGCTTGTCGGCGAGTCCGAGGATGTGCAGCGTGCGCTCGACCTCGTCGTTCGGGTTGACAGGCCAGACAGCGACATGATCGCCCGTCTGGTACCGGATGCCCGAGTCGGTGATGTCGAACTCGGCAAAGACGCAGTTGCGCTCGCCGTCCTCGAAGAGCTCCTTGGCCTGAATGAGCGGGGCCGGGAAGGGGTTCTTGGCGTCGAACACGCCGCGTGCGCCGGTGAGAGCGCGCGCAGACAACTCGCCGAGGTAGACCTTGGCCTCGTCGACCTCGTCAAGTTCGCGGACCTCAAAGTCGGCAACGTCGCCACCCGCGCCCTCCTCCCAGCCGAGCTGCTTGTGAATCGCGTCAAACATCTCGTCCTTCCACGCAAGGTAGTCCTCCTCCATTGACTTGTCGTCGTCACCTTCGCCGCGAGGACCGACGCGGTGAGCGCCCAGCTGGGTGAGGCGTTCATCGAGGTTGCGGGAGACGGCATTGAAGTGTTCGTAGGTCGAGTTGCCGACTGCGGGGCTCAACAATCAGCAGAGATCGAGACGGCAGAGTGGAAGTGGACGCACGGCCGAAGATCACGTAGCGCAAGTTCTCGAGCGAGGTGCCGTTCGAGAACTGCGGCTCCTCCTTCAAGAAATCCATGAGCTGGACGGCGTTGTCGGTCGGCTCTCCCTCGCCGTACGTCGCCATGCAGAACACGACGAGGTGGTCTTCGGGGACGGCATCGAGGTTGTCAAAGTCGTAGCTGCGCGCGACTCGGGTCAGTCTCGCTCGAATTGGACTGAACGGCAAACTGTCACGCACTCCTCGGGGTCGCACACGAGCGACGAGATGCCGTAGCGCGACTTGATCTCCTTGGCGATGCGGGTTCCGTAGTCCTCGGCCGTACCAGTCTGCGATCCGTAGAAGATGACACACTTCTTGTTCTGCGGGCGTGTACAACTGTGTCAGCGAGTCTGGCAGCGAGTTAAAGCGGAGTTTGTTGATCCGATGAGGGGCGAGTCGAACGAGAGATGGGGGCGGATTCGGCGGCAACCTCGCCACAGCTGCTAGGCGGACCAGACCAGCCCTGTCCTACTCCTGCAGTACTCGTGCCTCACTCGCGAGTCCACCGGCGCACGCGCGCGTCGGCGATCGCACCCAACTTGCGCCCGTCGTCGTCCTCGAAATAAAGGAAAGGGAAGCCGACAGCGCTCGTCGCGCAGACTCACCGAGAGGTTGAGCGACGCGACAAAGTCCCTTCCGGTATCTACTGCTTCGCCCGATGCGCCGTTCGCGCCCTTTGCGCCTGCGCCATTGACGAACGCTGCGGCGGCGGGCGAGGGCGAGGTCGAGTCGGACTTGGTGCGGAAGAAGAGGAAGTAGGCTCCGCCTGCGATGGCGAGTGCGAGTACGATGTGAGCGAGCTGGACCATGCTTGCGAGTGAGCCAAGTTCGAGTCGCGTGAGGACAAGCAGCGACGACGACGAAGGCGGGGGGACGAGACAGCGAGGGCCGAGCGATCCGCGCGAGGCGCTCCTCCTCCTGCCGAACACTCGTCGCGCCCGCTTGCAGGATCACCCGGGGCAACAGGTGGAGCACTCGAACCGGATATCAGTGCAACAGGGGAAGCAAACTAGCAAACGAGCGAGACGGACAGAGAGGGAGAGGGAGGGAAAAACGACAACGACGGGGGAGAACATGCACAGACTACGCATGACAGTATGCGACACAGCCACAGTGGATTAGCACGAGTAAGATATGCGGGAAAGCGCGTCTAGGGTAAGAGGAAGGGGAAGGGGAGGACGAAGAGCGACCGGAGAGCATCACGCCTGGCGGGCGTGCGGCTGTCCCGCTCGCGACACCGCGCTGCTGCTCACGGTGCTTAATGGGCGGTCGAGCGCAGGCGACGGCGGCTTCGACCCCTGAGCCTGCAACAGCATCGCCTGCTGCTGCTGGAGTCCGGCAAACCTCGTCAGCGCGAGCAAGACGCTCCGCTGGTCGACCCGGAGCGCCTGTCCGAGCGCCGACAGCACCTCGGTGAACGGGCCGAGCTGGTGCAGCGTCAACGTCGAGAGGCAGTTCTCGATCCGGACGAGGTACGACTCGAGCAAAGCGCAGAGCTCGTCGTCGGTCGCGTCGGCGCGGACGGGGAAGGCGAACGAGGTAGGGTGGATGAGCGTCTTGCGCTTGGCGGCGGCGGCTTGCTGGGCGGGCGTCGAAGGGCGGGCAGACGAGTTCGGGACGTGAGGAGGCGTCGCCAGGCCGTTCTTGACGCCGTGGACGAGCGCGCCGCAGACCGACTCGAGCTGTAATGCGAAGCCTGTCAACACAACACTCGCCGTTGCTGTAGGCACGCGGACTGACCCGCTGGACGACCTTCCCCAAGGCCTTGATCGTATTGACGTCGAGCAACTGCGGCGTCTCGTCCTGCACCACCTCGGTCTTCTTGGCAATCTCGGCGGCAGCAGCAGAGCCGTCTTTGTCGGCAGAGGCTGGGACAATGCGTTCCTTGAGGACCCGCGGCCAGATCAGCGAGATGAGCTCGGCGGATTCGAGGCCTGCGAGGAGAGCAAGGTCAGATGCTGGGCGTTCAGGACGAGAGAACATCGAACGCACCCTTGAGCTTGCGTTCGCCCAGCTCGGTGATGCCGAACCCGAGCCGTCGCAGCGCCGCGATATCCTGCTTGTCGCGCGGGTCGAGGTACTCCTCCGGGTCCTCGTCCTCCCCGTCGTCCGAATCAAGGCTGGACGGTCCCGGCTTCTGCTGCATGACGACATCCTGGATGATATCGATCACGTCCTGCGACGCCGAGATCTGTCCTCCTTCTGCGACGGCCGAGATTCGCGCTGCGCGGTTGACGATCGGGCCGAAGTAGTCCATTCGCCGCGTGATGGGGTCTGCTTCGCACACCGGCGCGCCCCAGTGGATACCCATCCGCACCGAGAGACCGCGATACAGGATCTCCCCGCGCGAATCGAGGATCTCCTTGCCCTCCTCCGAGTCGAGGATCTCCTGCGGCCAGTCTTCCCGCAGCAGCTCGAGCTGGACCGTCAAGCACCACAAGAGCGCCGACGTGACAGTCGGGAACGACACCATGAACGCGTCGCCTTCAGTCTTGACCTCGTACCCTCCGATCGCGCGCAACTGTCGCCGCAAGAGCTGGTTGTGCATCCGGATCGCAGTCTGCATCCCCGGGTTCGACTCCCACAGCGCGGTCGAGTTGCGGATGTCGGTGAAGACGAGCGCGACCATGCCGACCGGGGGCGGGACTTCGCGGTCGAGCAGGTTGAGGTACCGCTCGCCGGCGCCTTCTTCGCCCTTGCCTCGCCGACCAGCGACGACGCCAGCCTTGTGCGCGCCGTAGAAACCCTCGTCCTCGCCGTGCGCTGCGCGGTGCTTGGCGTAGTACCCGCTCTTCTTCGCCTTAAACAGGTCGCCGACCGCGAGCACCATGACCATGACGTTCGAGCTCGACCCGTACGAGATGGCGAGGTCGCGAAGCTTGGCGGCGGCTGCCATCGGGTCGCTGCGCTCGGTGCGGGCGACGTCGACAGCCGTCTGATACGACATGTGCTCCCACAGGCCGCGGTTCGCGATGATGACGAACTCGTCCGTCTCGGTAAGCTCGATCTCGTCGACGTCGGGCGCGGCGTTGATGGCGGGGAAGACGTTGTAGAAGCCGAACGAGCGCGCAATGTCGACCTCGTCGTTGACGTAGCCACGATGTGAGATCCATCCCTCGGCGGTACGGATACGAGCGATCTCTCCCGAGTCGAACGGCTCGTGCCGCTTGGCGATGAGGCGAGCGGTACCGCCGCGTCCTGCGATGACGGCGAGAGCGTTGCCGGCGTTGGCAACGTAGAGGCGCTTGCGGCGGATGTAGACAATGATGCCGGCGGCGCCGGTGCGGACAGACGACATCGTCTTGTCGGTCAAACTGATCTCGGACCCCTTGCGGCGGGACTCGAGGGCGGGAAGGAGAAGGTTGCCGTAGTCGCGGTTGATGTTGAGGAAGGCGCGGCGGAGGGCGTCGCTGGTCACCTCCCCGCTCTTGAGCCGCGAGAGTTCGAGCGTCAAGACGGCCGAGAACGCGTCCTGCAGGTACTTGACGAGGCGGGCACCCGTGTTCTGGCCCTTGTTGACGGCGTCGAACAAGCCGAAGATCGCCTCGTCGTCCTTTGAGCGGAACCGCGGGATGACGATGTCGACGAGCGAGAGCGTGTCGAAGCGGCTGCCGAGGGTGTCGGCGATACCGTAGCCCATGTCGTTGATCTCGGACAGCGACGTGCGCACGCGTCGGTCCTCGTTCTCGTCAGGTACCGAGGGGATCATGAGCGTGACGTCCATCAAGCCGAGGACGTGCAGCTTGGTCAACGCGCTGAAGTCGGCGAGGTTGCGGCGCTTGGCGCTGCGAGGCAGGTTTGACGTGTCGTTCTGGTGGCCGGGCTTGATTTCGAGGCGCTTGTTGCCGGACAGGTTGAGGTACCGCAGCTCGAGGTTCCAGTTCCTGCGGGCCGCTGGCGGTGAGCATGCTGGACTGTCAGAGAGGGCGAGAAATGACTCACCAGTTCCAATCGTACGGCCAGTTGGCGATGTTGTACTTGAGGACGTTCGAGCCAACGTCGAGCGCAAAGAGCTTCTTGATCTTGCCGAGCTCGGCGGGCAGCGTCTGCAGTTTGTTGCCATTGAGGTACAGGAGCTTGAGGTTGACGAGGCGCTCAAGGTCGTCCGGCGGGAGGCTCGTGAGCTTGTTGCCCGAGAGGTACAGCTCCTCGAGCGACTGGCACTTGAACAGACTCGAAGTCGGGATCTCGTAGATGTCGTTGAATGAGAGGTTGAGGACTCGCAGCTCGGCCATGAGGGAGATCGGGGCAAAGACGTCGTCCCCGAGCTGGTTGTCGCCGAGGAAGAGGCGCTGCAGCGACATCGACAGAGGCGGGGCGAGGCGGCCGGACGACGTTGTGGGCGGCTTCACCGCGGCAGCCAATTGTCGCAAGTCAAGCTCGTCTCCTCCGTCACCAAGAGAGCTTGTCGGCGTTGCTGCTGGCGCGACCGTCGGGAGGGGCGGATCCGGGAAGTCCTTGATCAGGTTGGACGAGGCGTTGAGGGTGTACAGCTGCGAGCAGAGCCACAGCGCAGACGGCAGGGTCTGCAAGTCGTTGCCGGAGACCTGCAGCGACTGGAGGCGCTGTAGTCGGCCGATGCTGTCGGGCAGCGAGGTGAGGAGGTTGTTCTTGATCGAGAAGGTGACGAGATTCGGCAGCGAGCCAATGCCGTCGGGGAGGATGCGGAGGGTGTTGTTGTCGAGGATGAGGGTTTCGACGGAGCCGAGGTGGCCGAAGATCTCGGGCGAAAGGGTCGAGAGCTTGCCGTACGACAGATTGAGCGAGGTGAGGGTCGTGCTCGTGCCGGTCAAGGCGAATCGTGTGAGCGAGTTGTGCTTCGCCGTCAAGACTCGGATGTTGGCCCACGACGCATCGAGCGTCGACGCCTGGTTGTGCTCGCATCGGAGCACCTCGAGGACGGGGATACTCGTCAACGGCGAGAAGTCCGATATGACGTTCCGTCGGATGTCGAGCTCCTTGAGCGAGATGAGCGAGCCGAGGGTCGAAGGCAGGCTCGTGAGGATGTTGGCGAGGAGGTTGAGGCGTTCGAGGTTCTCGAGCTGGCCGATCTCGTGCGGGACGACGGTGACCGTGTTGAACGAGAAATCGAGTTCGAGGAGCGGCTCAATCTCGCACACGACGAGCGGGATCTTGTCGAAGCGGTTGTTCGAGAGGTTGAGGTACTTGAGCTGGCAGAAGTTGCGGAAGTATTCCGGGACGGTTGAGAGGCGGTTGTTGTGGCACTTGATCGACGAGAGGTTGCCGAGCGTGTCGAGCGCGATGTGCTCGAGGTCGACAATGTTGTTGTTGCTGATGTCGAGCCGAGTGAGGTACTGGCACTCCTTGATCGCCTGCGGTAGCCGCTTGATGCCCATGTTTGACAGGACGAGTTCCCGCAGAGCCGTGCAGCCCTGGATGAAGTCGGTCGGAAGGTCGAAGGGCCGGTTGCGCGAAAGGTTGAGGCTGCGGATCTCGTGCGAGTGCTTGTAGAGGAAGATCGGAATTGTCTCGACGCCCTTGCCGGACAAGTCGACAAACTCCATGCTCTCACCCGCAAAGCTCTCCTCCTGCAATCGGAGAGCATGAGCGAACGTGTGGAACGGACAGGAAGGACCGGACGCACCGCCACGCCCTGCATCGTCGAGTACTGAGCCTTGTAGACGAGCTTGCTCAAATACGAATTGTCCTCCCTCCCCAGCTCCTCGAGCTTATCGAGCTCCGTGTACCCCGCCTGCTCAAACTTCCGCCGCTGCAGCAAGACAGGCTTCTCGTTCGGGCCGACGCGCCGCTCGAGGCCCTTCTCGCGCAGGTACAGCGCGTAGGTCGTCTTCGCGTTGACCTGGAACTTGCGTGCGAGCATCGCGGTCATCTCGGATGCAGTCGCGCCGAGCGGGACGGGCAAGGTCGAGAAGGTGTTGTCGACGCGATAGATGCGGACCATGAACTGCGGAACCCAAAGTCAGCGGCCGAGGAATACTCCTTCAAAGAAGGTTGCGCTACGCACCGGTTTCTGGCTCGCCTTCCTCGCCTCTCCATCCGCCGTCCCTGGTCGCCCGCTGCGCATGGCCGGCCGACTCCCTCCCGTCGCCGGCCTTCCATTCTTCAACACCTCCGTCTCCATACTCCCAAACGGCTTGACGGCGCCCAATCCATCCGGCATCCCCTCCCTGACCGTCTGAGCCGTCCCAATCCTCGGACTCGCACCCGCCTCGCTCTCCTCCGTCTCGTCCATAACCTCCATGTCGTCCTCATCGACATCGTCCTCGCTCGAATCGTGGTCGAGCGATGCGCCAGCTTCGGCTTTGACGGCCCACGAGTCGGGCGCTGTCCATGCGCCTGCGGAGCCGGCTGCTCCACCAACTACGGCGGCGCTTCGGGCTGCTGCCGAGCTTCGAGGGACAGGCGGGAGACCCTTGACTGTCGAGCCGGAGCTGCTCATACCGGCTTGCGTAGGCGTCGCCGTCCCACCTGTGATACTGAGCTGACTGCTCGTCCGCGACCCAAGTCCAGGTCGGACGGGTGCGCCTCCTGGCACGCTTGCAACAGCTGGCGGCGCAGTACCCATCAACATCGCAGCCTTTGCCGCCGACTTCTGTTCAGCAGCAGTCGCCCCGCCTCCGTAGTTCCAGAACGCGACGGCCGAAGCTTGACCGTGGTGTGCTCCTCGCGGACCTGCGTCGCTGTACGAAGGCGCGAGGGACGGTCTCCGCCCGTTCGAGGCGTACGATGCATGTGAGCCCGACCCTGAGCGCGTCAAGCCGTTCCCCGAGGTACCGCTGGAGACGCTTCCTCCGAATCCTCGTTCGTGGGACGAAGTCGGTCGAACGCCAGCTGAGGTCGACGGCGCAGACGAGATGATGCCTTCCATCGAGTCGAGATTCGTATCGAGCGCAATCTCGGGATCATTGGTGAAGACGGCTTGTTGGCGAGGAGTAGGGGTATTGCGCGAGCTGCCGGTCACGAAGGCGCCAATCGGGGTTGTCGGTCGCCGGCTCTTCTTGGACGACTTGCCGTTGCGAGAGGGGAGGGAAGAGGAGAGGTCGTAGGCGTCGCCGCGGGCTTGCAGCTTGGCGGGCAGGGTCGAGCTGTCGAACTGGGCGGGCGGAGGCAGGCCAAAGTCGCTGACGGAACCCGAGTCCGAGTCTGCGCGCGCGTTGTCAGCTCAGAGACCTTTGTGAGCAGCGGACACAACGCACGCTGATCCCGCACGTCGCCCTTGCTCCCTCTCCGCTTGAGCAGGCCGCCAAACAATCCGCGCTTCTTCTCCTTGACGGCGGGTTCCTTCTCTGCATGGCCGCGCAAGACGCTCGCGCTGCGTGTTCCTCGCAAAGGCTGCGCGCTGGACGAGGGCAAGAGTGTCCCCTTGCGCTTCGGCTGTACGAGCGAGAGAGGAGAGCAGGTCAGCCACCTCGACGGCGGAGCTCCGCAAGCGCTTGAGCGGTCCGTGAAGAGAGCGCACCTCTGCACCGTTGCCCCAGGGAGGCGCGACGTCCGCCGGACTGCCCTGCCTGCCTCGCGCCGCCTGATCCTGCACTCCCCACCCATTCCAGTCGGACAAGTTGGACCCCGCCGACCCGGGCGGACGTTGGTCGATGTCTGCGCCGACGCCGAGCATCTTGGCCTGTTTGCTCGAGCGCGGGACGAGCGGCGCCTGCGAGTAGTCGGCCATGGCTCGCCTCGGAGCGCGGTTCCGCCTGGTTTGGGTTCGAGGAGGGCGAGGGACGGCGACGGACGACGGACGGTTCCTCCGACTCGCTCGTGCGAGTGCAGTCGAGCTCTGCAAGTGACTACAGCCCGCTCGATCACGCTTGCGCGCTGTTGTCGGGGTGCCAGAGGTCGACGCAAGCGGGAGGCTGGAAGAGGGCGTCGAGAGGGTGCAGCGGCTCGGCGCAAGAGTGTGGGAGGTTGGCGCTGTGCTGGGTGTACTCTGAGCGTGCACTGTGCGCCTGCAAGCTGGCTGCAGAGCCGCGTAGCTGTGGCAGCGCGGTGTTGGCTGTTCGTGAAGAGGGAACGGTGTGGGGCGAGACCTGTCGACTCGCAAACAGCGTCCTGGCGGGTGTTGAGCTGGCTTGTAATGACACTCTCGACGTCGTAACGTACACGCTTAGCCAAACTCTGCAAAGGGGACGAGTTGTCGGAGGCGAACCGCTTCTTCTCCTCCTCCCTCTCCCTCGTCAACAACAACGACGTGAAGAGTCCTTGGACGATATCTGCAGTGCTGTACTAGTGACTCTCGCCTTGACTCTGTGGCAGAAAAGGCGAGACAGACGAGCTCATCGCGTCCACTTGGTCCCGCTCTTCCTCGCCTTGGCCTCGCTCGCTTCGCACTCTGCTCGAGGGTCACCATTCCACGCCTGCTCACTCTTGCTGCTCTCTCGCGCGCCGCTACCTCACCCGCCGGCCGCACTCGCACCATGTCGTCCCAACTCCGACCCCTCGCTCCCCTCGCAGAGAATCCCAAACTCAAGTCCGGACCAGGCAGCAGCAACTCGACGGCGCCAGGCCAGAACTCTCGCCGCGCATCGCACTCGAGCTCCGGACGCCCCGACCCGCTCGGAACCGAAGTCCACCTCTCTGCCAGTCGAATCGGTCCCGGTGTCATCCCGACGGGCAGGATGGATGTCGTCCCGCACGAGGAGCTGAGTCCCGAGGAGAAGGCAAAGAGGCTGGCGGCGTACGCGGCGGTCGACGAGCACGTCAAGGACTTCCACAAGGTCCTCGGCATTGGGTCTGGCTCGACCGTCCCTTACGTCGTCGAGCGCCTGTGCCAGCCGCCCCACTGCTACGCCAACAGCGACCGTTGGTGTGTTCGTACGCTACCCCTGCAGTCCCGGACTCCACTCACTGTGCTCTCGCTCCCCTCGCAGGTACGTCCCGACGGGCTTCCAGTCCAAGGAGCTCATCGTCAAGGCCGGTTTGAACCTCGGCGACGTCGACCAGTTCCCGACCATCGACGTGACGATCGACGGCGCCGACGAAGTCGATGACGAGCTGAACGCAATCAAGGGCGGCGGAGCGTGCCAGCTGCGCGAAAAGGTCCTTGCGGAAGCTGCGACGCACTTCATCATCGTTGCCGACTCGCGGAAGGACTCGCATGTGCTTGGACAGACGTGGAAGCAGGGAGTGCCGATTGAGGTGGCGCCCTTTGCGTGGGCAAAGGTCTTCGTCAGTGAGTTCGAGCGGACAGGCTCAGTCTCGACTCGTTAGGGCGATCCGGTGAACTGATTCATCTTCCCGTGTGATGCACAGACCTGCAGAAGATGGGCTGCGAAAAGCCGACGCTGAGGATGGGAAAGATGAAGGCTGGTCCGGTCGTCACCGATAACGGGTGCGTTCGCAGCTTCCCTTCCATTGTCGAGCCTACGTTGACTGACTTTCGTGCTCCCTCAACGCTCGCATTCGCTTCTCCATCGTCGCGCTCCGCCCACAACTCGACTCCGCGCCATGCCCGAACAGCAACTTTGTCATCGACGCCGTCTTCTCCGAGCCGTACATGCGCGACCCCGCAGAGCTCCTGCACCGCATCAAGATGTACGATGCAGCCCTCCTACCTCTCCATCGAGCAGCGGAACTGACGAGCCTTTCCCGCGGCGCAGGTTGACGGGCGTCCTCGAGGTCGGGCTTTTCGTTGGGATGGCGGAGGCAGCGTACTTTGGGTACCCTGATGGGACGGTTATGGCGCGGTGGCAGGACGGTGCGTTGGTCTTCCGCCGTTTCTTCTTCTAAACGCTTCGACTGGCGGGTAGGGCGCTGATTCACAAACGATGTCCGCCTCGCGCACAGGCCGACGGGAACAAGTCGACGCTACGAAGGGCCTCGAGATCGCAGAGTCAGGCAAGCGAGTGTAAACGAACGAAGCGGCATCCGGCCTCCCAACTCTCGACCTCGACTCCTCGACCACCCTCTCCCCTTTCCTCGCTGTACACTTTCTTCACAACACCGATTAGACCGCAACACGGATGCAGTACATGACCACGCCGTCCGGCTCGAGCTCGACGCTGGCTCTGCGCCCGCTTCCTCGCGCGCCGACTCTCGCGACGCCCCACCTCGCCCCACTTCGCACTCCGCCGGTTCACGACTTCCGCTGCTTGCACTTCTCTCGCTCTTTCTCCCTCCTCGAACGCGCTGAGCACTAACGACGATGGATCTGAACGCTACGCTCGTGTCTCCCGGCGTACCCGCAACGCTCGACTCCCCCTCGTCCCCATTCGACCTCGACCTCTCGACTCCCCAAGTCCTGCTCGGCACCGTTCTCTTCGGACTCGCTTCGATCCTCGTCTTGCTCTGGCCGAGGAAAGCAGCTAATTTGCCTCCTGGGCCGAAGCCGGGGTTCTTGGTGCGTCCCGCCGGCGAACGAGGAAGTGAGGAAAACTAACTTGAGCCAGGTGTGCAGGTCGGCAACCGCAATCAGGCGCCGAAGAGCAAACCCTGGCGTTGGTTCCGTGACTTGAACCAGCAGTACGGTGCGTGCCAGTCGCTGACGCTCTCGGACGAAGAGCGGGACTGATGAAAAGGCTTCGCAGGCGATGTCGTCTACCTCCAGATGGGTCAAACGCCCACCATCGTCCTCGGCTCCGCGCAAGCAGCCTGGGACCTGCTCGAAAAGAAGTCCAACATCTACTCGTGCGCTTCCTCCCTCTCACTCGACGAACCGAGAGTTGACCTTCGCAAGTTTCGCAGGTCGCGTCCGAGGTTCATCATGGGCCAGGAGTTGTTGTCGGGCAACATGCGTGGCTTGATGAGCGGGTACAACGACTTCTGGCGACGCTGGAGGAAGGTCTTGCACGGCGCTTTCATGCAGAAGGCGGCCGACAACTACAAGCCCATTCAAAGTGAGCTCGCCTTTCGCTGCGGGAGTCGGCGTTCGACCATCCGTTCATTCTGACATCCGTCCTTCTCGCAGACCTCGAGTCGAAGCAGCTCATGCACGACCTCCTCACCAGACCCGAAGGTTTCCGCGACCACCTCGAGCGATACGCGGCGTCTGTCATCGTCACAGTGAACTACGGCCGCAGGGTGCACAACGTCTGGACCGACACGGTCGTCTGCGAAAACCGAAGGTCGATGGACGTACTTACCTCTGTCAAGTGAGCCTTTCCTTGCGATATTCTCGCGAAACTGGCTAACCCCGTCCCCTCCTCCAGCATCCCCGGGAAATACCTCGTCGAGAGCCTGCCGATCCTGCTCAAGCTTCCCAACTTCCTCACCCCGTGGCGCCAGTACGCCCTCGAGCAAAAGCAGCGCGACATCGACCTGTACCTCGGGCTCGTCCAAGAAGTCAAGGACAAGATGGCTAAGGGCACTGCACCCTACTCGTTTGCCAAGCAACTCATCGAGGAGAAGGAGAAGTGGGGAATGAGCGACCTCGAGATTGCGTACACCTGCTCGACTCCGTTCGGCGCTGGCGTCGAGACTTCATCCGGAACGCTTTTGTCGTTCTTCCTCGCTTGCGCGCATGCGGGCGAGACGTTCATCCCCAAGGCGCAGGAGGAGCTCGACCGAGTTGTTGGAAAGGACCGCCTCCCGACTTTCGACGATTTCCAGGACCTGCCCTACGTCCGGGCCGTCGTCAACGAGACGCTGCGATGGCGACCCATCGCTGTCCTCGGAGTGCGTGAAGCTCTCTACCGACCTGCCACCGTCAAGCTGACCGGTCCGTCTCTTGCAGGGCACACCACACGCTTCGTACGCCATGTCCTCCGCGCCATCTCGAGCCTAGAGCTGACCCCTCGCCTCGCCACAGTACCGAGGACGATTGGTACAACGGAATGTTTATCCCGAAAGGCTCGACCGTCATCGCCAACCTCTGGAGCATTCACCTCAACGAGAAGGACTTCCCCGAACCGCACAAGTTTGACCCTGAGCGTTTCATGGTCAAGCGCGACTACCCTGGTCGGTGGGGACACAGGTGCGTCTCTCATCCGTCTGCGTTCTGCTGAGGATGCTGACGCTGTCTCTCCCGCAGCGCCTTCGGTTTCGGTCGTCGCATCTGCCCGTGAGTCGCTTCCTTCCCGATGACGCTGCCTTCGCTGACGTCCATTATCCTCGCAGAGGCATGCACCTTGCCGAAAACTCGATCTACATCAACATCGCCCGCATCCTCTGGGCATTCAACATTTCGAAGGCGAAGGACGCATCAGGAAACGACATTCCAGTCGACATCTTCGAGTTTACCGATGGTGCGCTCTCCCCTCCCTCTCCTCGCAATGCTGTCGCTAATCTGGAGCTGGATTGACAGGCTTTAACTCCATGCCCAAGCCGTTCAAGTGCAGCATCAAGGTCCGCAGTCCTGCTCACGCCGCCGTCATCGAGCGCGAGTACAGCGAGGCTGCGGAAGAGTTCAAGCAGTTCGAGGAGTAGATCACTCTTGAGTGGTATCTAGAAGTGCATTAGTCGCCGTCGTCGCGGGTGAAGACTGTTCGAGAGAGCAACTGCTTCCCGTTCTCCCGCTGGCGACTATCGCTCGCACGTCCGCATCACTCGTAGATGGCATATGCGGCGATGTCGTGTTACGCGGCGAAAGAGGAGAGACTCGGTGCGGCGGTAGGCGCGGACGGAAGGCAGCAGCTGGAGGCGGGGAGGTAGTGCGAAGTATCTACAATGAATGCGGCGACGAAGGAGATGCGACGTAGGTGAAGTCAAGGTGGGAAACCGCGGCAGGAGTAGAGACGTGTGGAGGAAGGTGGTATAGAGGAAAAGAGGAAAGAGACCCGCTCGCATCCGCATCGACCTGTACTTTACTTTTCCCCAAGCGCGCCGTTCCTGTCCGCACCACCACCCGCGTCAGCTCACCACAGTCCTCGTGGCGGCTTCCCTCCCGGCTGGCCGCCGTAGGCTCCTCCCGGCGAGTACATCGCCCCCTGCTGACCCTGCTGAGGCGGGCCCGGTCCCGCTCCTTGCTGCGCTGTTCGACTCAGGTTCGGCGATGCGTAAGGCTGGAGAGGCTGGTAGTGGCTGAGAGGGTCGTGGCCGTGCATGAGCGGGTTGGGCTGCGAGGCGGACGAGATGGGCGTGCCGAATGCGTCGAACGAAGGCGGGGCGATGGGTGAGTGGTGGTGTGCGGCCCCGGGGTGGTGATGGTCGATCGACGTCGAGAGAGGCATCGCGGCGCCAGAGGGAGGAAGAGGAGCGCCGGATCCGCCTGCCGCCGCCGAGGGATAAGGCGCGTACCGCGCCGCCGAGTTGCCGCCGACGTAAGCGAGCGGGGGAGGCGCGATACCGCCGACTGGGTCGAAGAGGTCGCTTCCTGGTCGCTGCTTGTCCTGAGCGGGATCGACTACGACCGAGAACTGCGACGTTGACGGCTGGTGAGGCGAGGCGTAGTAGCCTCCTCCCGCTGCCGGCGCGTAAGGCGATTGCTGAGGCTGCTGCTGTGGAGGCTTTGTGCGAGCGGGAGAGTTCCAGCTGTGGAAGCCCGCTTCGGCCTGCTCCTGCAGCAGGTTGAGGTGCGGATGTCTGCCCGACACTGAGATGCGCCTCGACAAGCCTGTCGCGCCCGGCCCGTACTGCTGCTCCCATGCCTGCCACTGGTCGTCCCGCCGCAAAACGGGCGTTATCGACTGACCCGCTCCGAGACCGGCGCCCAGCTCGTAACCGAGCTTCTGCAGCGCAGGCGGGAGAGCCGCATCGTGCGTGCCGTGCGTACCGCTTCGTTGCCGACCGGCGCCGTACTGGTGGTGCACAGCCGGCGGGTTGGCGACGGTCGATGGTGTCGGACCCGCTCCTCCTGCCGGCGCCGTCCGAGGCGCAAAGCCTCCCGCCGCAGCGCCGTACAGCGACCTCGCCTGAGCCTGAGCATACGCCTGCGCCTGCGCCGCCGCCTGCTGAGCTTGCGCGTCGCCGCCCGGCATCGCGTAAGCCGACGAGCCAGCTTGCGCGCGCTGCTGAGGCTGCTGCTGCGGCTGAAGACCGTAGCCGGGCGGCTGAGGCTGCTGCTGCGGAAGGTATGGTCGCGCCTGCTGCGCCTGTCGCGCGCCGGGCTGCATACCGCCGTAGGTCTGCTGCCTCGCCTGCGCCTGAGCTTGAGCTTGCGCCGCCGCGGCCGCCTGCACTTGCTGTTGCTGCTTGGCGGCGGCCACTTCGGTCGGCGAGGGTGCGCCGCCTTTCGCTACGAGGTGGCGTGGCGGAGGGACGAAGGATGCGAGGAGGGGTTCGCCGAGAACGAAGGGGTGCAGACGGGCCTGCTGAGGCGTCCATCGCTGTTCCGGGTCGAGATGCAGCAAGCCCTGGACAAAGTCGATGAACGCGATCCGGTTTCGCATCTCTGCGGGTTGGCGTAGAAGACGGAATCAGTGCGAGCTCTTCACATTGGGAGCAAGAACCGCCAGCCGGAATACCACACTCACCCTTGTCGATATCCGCCTCCTTCAGCCCCTTCCGCACAATTGGATACTGCTTGACGATCTCGGGCAGGGTCGACGCCGAAAAGTACTTCTTGCTCGGCTGCTCGTTGGCCTTGTACTCCTGCGCGTACCGCTCGAGCGACTTGAGGCGCCACCGTCGTCGGCCGTATTCGTCTGAGAAGGACTCGAAGAAGTGCGAGGTTTGCTTGCCCTTGTCGAGCATGTGGTCGGGGGGCATGCTGTGCGCCGGCGCAACGAACAGATCAGTAACCGTGACCTACGAGGACAGGGCAGAGCCGGATCAAGTGGGACGCCAACGCACCCAAGCATCTCCACGATCCTCGTGATCTGGTTGAACTCGCTCGTGCCGGGAAAGAGCGGCAGACCGAGGAAGAGCTCGACGCAGATGCACCCGAGACTCCACATGTCGATCATGCTCGAGTAAGGGAGGGAGAGGATGACTTCGGGCGAGCGGTAGAAGCGAGACTGGATATAGGTGTAGACGGTTTGCTTCTCGTGGCAGGCGGAACCGAAGTCGATGACCTTGATCGTGGGCGACTGGAGCCTGCGCGCGGACGACCTGCGTCAGTGTTCGCTCCATCTGCAGAGCCAGAACCGTCACGCACGACTTGAGCAAGATGTTCTCAGGCTTGAGGTCACAGTGTATGATCTTGGCCTCATTCAAGACGCTCAAGGCATCGAGTAGCTGGGCGGTAAAGACGCGCACGAGCGAGGTCGACAGTCCACGGAACGAGTTCTGCTTGATGAGCTCGTAGAGATTGTTCGAGAGGAGCTCGAAGACGAGGCAGAGGTGAGAGTGGTGGATGAAGGTGTCTTTGAGGCGGAGCATGTGGTGCTCGTCGTCCTTGTCCCACTGGTTGTTGATCTGCGCACATGCGACTTTCAGTCAGCCATCTCCTCCCGAGCCTCGAGAGAATTTCAGCAATCCCGTGGCGCGAACATACCAACTCGAGGATCGTAACCTCCATCATCGACTGCTGGAAGTAGGCAGGCTTGTTCTTGACCACTTTCACCGCGACGATCTCGTGCGTCTTCATGTTCTGGCACTTGACGACCTGGCCGAACGTCCCTTGGCCGAGGACGTCGAGGATGAGGTAGCTGTGCGAACACGACCTATTCAGCTAAGCCCTTTCCCAGCGCATTCGCCCCGAAGAGAGCAAGAAGAGGAAGCTCAACGCACCGATCCTTGTCCTCCGGTCCCAACACATCGTTGACATACAAGATATAATCCGAGTCCTCGTTGTCGAACCCATCGTTCTGAGCGGGCTTGCTCGGTTTCGTCAGGACTCGCCGGGGGTTGCGAGAGGTCTCGTAGGTGAAGGACGGGTTGACGAGGTGATAGGTTTCCGAGAGCGAGACGGTGAGGGCTTTGAGGGGCTGCGGGAGGACAAACGATGCCGTCAGCATCCCGTCTAGCCTCGAAGGTAAAGAAAGAGGGAGCGGGAGGAAAGGACCCGCAACGCACACTGACGAACCCTCCAGCCGGATCCGCCCTCCTCCCCCTCGGCTGCCCACCCCTCGTCGTCCCCGCCCTCTCGACCTCGTCTCCCTCCCTAACCCTGACCATCCCCTTCTTCTTCCTCTGCGCGGGCGCGGGGCGAGAAAGCGATAGGTGGCGGATCTCGTGACCCTGCGTGTGGGAGGACGAGGTCGAAGGTGTGCCGGAGAAGGAGTGGGAGTGAGAGTGGCCGTGCAGGTGCGGATGTCCCGCGGAGCTTGCTGAGCCGGGCGAGAGGGGGTTGGGGGAAGTCGATTGTCCTGCGGAGGGATAGGACTGGGCGATGTGTTGAGGATAGAAGGAGGAGGCGTTGGGTGGAGGAGGCGCGTGGTGAGGCGGGACGAAGGAAGAGGCGGAGGCGGGCGAGGCGGCGTAGTGCGAGGGCGAGTACGCGCGCGAAGGAGACGGCGCGGTCGGGAGCATGGCCTGACGCGAGGGTGACGACGCGCTCGTCGAGGCGGACGACGAGGGCGGAGCCGTACTCTGCACGCCTGTCATGGGCGAATAGAGCGCACGCCCGCCGCTTGACGACGAGGCGTACGAGCCGGGCAAGAGACCGCCGCCCGTACTGCTACTCACGCCGCTGCCGCCGTCGTACGAGAAACCCCGGCGCATCGCCGCGCCCGCAGAAGCGGCATCCGTTCCTGCGCCGGGAACGGTCGACGACCCTCCTGATCCGCCCGAACCGCTCGCCATTGACGCTGCTCCGGGTGACAACCTGATGGACTGACCTCCGCCCACTGCTCCCGAGTCGGACGTCGCGGTCTGCGGCGGCAAGGGCGAGTAGACCATGGATCGGGACGTGTGGGAGGCTGCCCTCTGGCGCTGCTGGGGAACCGAGTTCGTGCCGGCCCCACTCGCGAGCATGGAAGGTTGCCTGGCGGGCGTCGAGAACGAGGGGTTGCGCGAGCGGTGCGCGGCCGAAGTCTGAGGAGGCGGCGGCGGCGGAGGGTGAGGGTGCGCAGTTGCTGTCGGAGGGTGTGCGTTCGAGGTGCTGGCGTGAGACGAGACGGACGAGATGCTCGGGACCCTCCCTACGCTCCTGGTCTGCCTGTGCCCGTGCCCCTGCTGCTGGCTCGCGAGGTGGTCGACGAACGAGGGTGGGGGTGGGAGGCCCTGTTCGAGCAGGGTCGACGAGCGGAAGCTGCTGTGGGTCGACGGCGAGGTCGACAGCGAGTCGTACGAGTCGTGTCCTGCGCGCGCGTACCTCGAGAGCGAGAGCGAGCGGGCGTGTTGCGATGAGGACGGCGGGGGAGGGTTGTGCGTCGCGAGAGGGAGCGAGCCTGCGGGGGGTTGGCTGGGGTGTGTGTGCGAGTCTGTGTGGGTGCTGTGGAGGATGGGCACGGTGACCCAGTCGGTGTGTGCGGTGGTCGAGGTGTCGTGGGTGAGCGGGATGAGGAGAGGGTCGCTCGCGGTGTGGGTTTGGTGCGAGGGTGTGCTCGGGAAGAAGAGCGACGAGATGGGTCGCATCCACCCGCAGTCTGCTACCTTGCCAGCGAACTCGCTCGAGCTGGACCAGGCAGACTCGCTCTCGCTCTCTCTCCCGCTGACGATTCACTCGCTCGTGAGCATACATTGACGGGCTGATGGCAAACACGGCCACGACGAGCTACAAGAAACAGCCTGGCACGCTCTCGCTCTCCAACACCGCGCTCGAATGGACGCCCGCATCCGCAAACTCGCCCGCCCTCTCCCTCCCCACCTCGCACCTCGCAGGCCAGTCCCACACCTCGCTCACAGCTCGAGCGAACCACGCGAGGCTGACCAACAACGTCGTGAAACAGCCCTCTTCGCATCCAAGCCAGGCGGACCCCGCATCATGCTCAAGGTGCAGCTCAAACAGCCCCTCCCTCCCTCCGTCGCAGACGACTCGCACAACTTCACCTTCACCAGCCCCGCATCTGCCTTGTCCGACCGCGACAGGTTCAAACAGCTGCTCAGCGATGTGATCGCGCGGAACAGGGAGAGGGAGGCGAGTAGTGCGGTTTCGGGCGCAGCGGCTGCACAGGCGGCAGGAGGAGGAGCGCAGGCCGGACCCTCTGCCGGTGCGGCGAACGGACGAGCAAGGTCGAGCGGGACATCTGGCGGAGCGAGCGGGTCTGGCACGCCTCAGCCCGGCACCGGTACCCCCGGTCCATCCTCCTCTTCCGCCAACGCCTCACAACAAACGACCTTCCGCCTGCGCAAATTCATCCTCCAGTCAAACCCCTCCCTCCTAGCGCTCCACCGCGACCTCGTCCTGACAGGCCAAATCACCGAGTCCGAGTTCTGGGAAGGGAGGGAGGACCTCGTTGCGTCTGTTGCGGCGGAGCAAGGGCTGATCAAGGGCAAGAGCGGGGAGATGGTTGATCCTAAGACGGTTACGGGCCAGAATGGAGAGGTCACGGTCAAGATCACGCCGGGATTGATCAGGGAGATTTTCGAGGAGTTCCCGGTTGTGCTGCGTGCGTACAACGACAACGTCCCTGATCCGGTACGCTTCGACGTTCTCCTACTCTCCTCCTACTCGTCGAATACGGGAACTGATGCCGGCCACGTGGTTGCGCACAGCTCGACGAAGCCCAGTTCTGGACACGCTACTTCCAGTCCAAGCTGTTCAACCGCTACCGTACGACGAACCGCGCCGCCGTCGATGCGATCAAGGACGATCCGATCTTTGACAAGTACCTCGACGAGGAAGATGACGGTGGGTTGCGGCAGTCCACTCGATCTCGGTTGCCTCAGCTTCGCAGGGAGCAGGAACTGATGAGTGGTCCGATTGTTGTACGCAGACGTCGAACCGAAGCACATGCCCGACCACCAAATCTACCGCCTCCTCGACCTAGCAGCAACCGAAGAAGACCAGCACGAGGTCCGTCTTTCCCATCCCCTCCTTCTCCCCCTCCTTTCTTCCGGCTGATCAGACTGGCGCAGATCACGAACCTTCCGAGGGACTTCACGATGAAACCTGGCGGACAGCGATCCAGTTTGCCGTTGATGAGGCGGTTCAATGAGCATTCGGAGCGGTTGTTGAGTCAGGCGCTGTGAGTTGTCGGTTCAGGGCAGGCACATGCGCTCTCGTCTGAGACCTCCAGGACATCGGCGACGGGCTGAACAGCGTGTTGCAGGAACTGACGTCCCCCTTCGTTCGCAGCGGCTCAGCAGCAGATCGGAATCGAGGCTTCCTCGACCCCGGCCACGCAGGCGTTCGTCCCATCTCCTCACCTCTTCTTTCCTCATCAGTTGACACGATTTCTCTCCCTGCAGGACCGCCGCTACTACTCCGAAATCGAGCTCACAGACCTCTCCTCCCCCTCGTCTCTCTCCTCCCGCATCGCGCTCTCGCTTCCATCCGCTTCGAACGCACATACGACTGCGACTGGAGAGACTGAGAAGGAGGATGGGTTGGAGGGGATGTACGAGAGGAGGGAGAGGGTGAAGAGGGTGGTGGAGGGGGTTAGGGAGGAGTGGGAGGGGAGGTTGGCGGAGGTCAGTTTTGCGTTCGCTTCAGCTCATTTCGTCCTCGAGCGGCGTACGGCTTTTGAAGTCGCGAGGTGGCGAGGTCCTCGTCAATGCCTGAGCAACGCTGACGAGCTTCTCTCTTGTCGTCACGCAGTTCGAGATCGACTCGGCAGCTGTCCGAGACAGCATGCGCGACATGACCAGCACGCTTGAGCGGCAGGTCGAGCGGAATCGAAAGACGGCGGGGAGCGGAGGTGAGTTCGCCCTTGTATCGTTGGCTGGCTTGCAGGCCTTGCTCGGCCTTCCACTCACTGTTGAATTGTCGAAGCCGAGCTGGCATCGTTCTCACCGGTCGCTCAGATCGCTGACCCTGCGATTCTCACGCTCGCAGGCCTCCCGCGCGCACACCTCACCACCGTCTCCTCCCTCTCAACCACAACCTTCGAGTTCCTCCGTCACTTCTGGTCCGCCATCCTGCCCCCCAAACCCTCCGATCTATCCTCCCTCTCTCCAAAAGACCGCGCAGCAAGAGCAGAAAAGTTCAAGGGGTACTTGGAGAAGAGTCGCGAGAGGGTTGAGAGGGCTGTGCTGGAGGCGAAGGGGGAGGCAGGGGAGGGGGAGGTGGGAAAGAGGGTTGAGGCGGCGCTTGGACCGGTCAGGGAGGCGATTGAGGCGGCGCTGGCGTTGTATGCGCAGAGGATGGGGGGAGCGCCGGGAGGAAGCGGAGGGGCGGCGTCTCCTGCACCAACGCCAGCGGCTGTACGAGCATAGCATGACCTGTAGCGTATGACTTCCGCATCTCGCATCGCATTGCTCGCCTCTGCACTCGTTCCTCGCCGCTTCGCAAGCAAATCCAAGGGGTATCTCGATGCGATTCCAGTCGTCCCGCTCATGCGGGTCCTCAGAAGTGCTTCAGCACAAAGTACGAGACGTTGAAGCCGAGGAGCGAGACGATGTAGAACGCCGCAAAGATGGCGACGGGGAAGAGGAGGAGTTCGGAGCGGATCAGGAACGGCAGGGCGTTGTAGCCGAGGTCTGCGTGCGGAGTCGCCGTCAGCAGCTGCCTCAAGAGGGACAGGAATGGCGCACGCACAGGTCACGTAGGCGTACTGCGTGAACGCCGCGAGGTACAGCGTGTTGCCGACCCACAGGCAGACCCAGTTCGACCGTGTCACGACGGGCGCGAGCAGCAACTGCGCGACGTAGAGCTGGAGGAAGAGGGGGAAGAACGAGTTGGCGTGGATGTCGAACGCGTAGAGCCTGGTGGAAAGGCGTCAGTGCTCGTCGAAACTTGACGAGGAGACGCTGCTGGACTCACCACTCGACCTTCTGGTCTGTCGCGTGGACATGGGTCGCATGGGTGAGGAAGCGATTTGACAGCGCCCTGCAAAGGTACGGTTCAGCATCGTCCTGAGCCAAAATTCAGGAAGCGGCTCACCAAAGCGAGGTCGAGATGAGAAGGCCGAGGCCGAAGAAGTGAAGGAAGATGAAGGAGAAGACGGTCTTGACGGTGTCGACGATGCCGTAGTGCGCGTACAGCACAGACCAAAGGATGGCGGAGACTGCGGGCGCGCAAGCGAGTCAGCGGGGATGCGAGATGGGCGAGCGAAGCTGGACGAACCGAAAAGACACAGCGTTATGAGCAGCAGCATCGCCGGATCGTCTCGCGCCCAGGTGTTCTTCGTTTCTGCAAGCGGATGACTTGGTTAGGATATGGCGGAGGAACGAGCGTAGCGCAAGGAAGCGCACGCTTGTGGTAGTAAACGTTTCGGTATCTGCGACGCGGAGCTCAGCCTTCTGTTCAAGTCTGCGTATGGCTCAGTGCAGAACTTACACTCGTCTTGGCGCTATGCAGAGATAGCACATCTGCCACACCGCCAGCTCGAAGTCCTGCGAGACGAAGGACACGAAGATCAGCATCGCTGGTTGCATCGGTTGGGACAGGCTCTCGAGCAAGCAGCACAGCGCCAGCTCTGGTTCTGAAGCAGGCGCTTGTACGGCCCGCCTGTCGACTCCGAGAGACTTACAAGTTGAGGCCATCGACTAAGTTTCCGCAACCACGTCTTCATCCCGCCGTTCCCTATCCGGGGAAAGCCATTCCCAGCACTGCAACGGATAGTCAGCCTCAGTCCAGCCGTCCATTGACGACGGGAAAGCCAGTATAAGCCCGCAAGACGGGCCGGGAGAACTGCAAGCGCACCTGGTGAACTGCGCCCCTTGCCCGTTCCGTGGTGCTCGTGATGTTGGCAGCATTGCTCAATTGGCCTTTCTCACTGCTCTTACAACCCAGCAAGCGCGGAGGACAGCGTGAGAGGGAGGGTTGTCGACGTCGGTGGGGATTGGCGAGACGGCGCAACGGCGTGAGAGACTTGGCGCTTGCCTGAGCTATCGAGCTGTAGCTATGGAGGACTCTGAGCTGCTACTAGGTCGCCCGGCTGATGCAGCGCGGTGGTGCTGCTCGCCAACCTTCATCGCGACTCCACTCTCCCTCTCACCAACAAGTCGACCCGCTGCTTTCGGGTGCACAGGCTGCGCGACAGTCATGAACCACGACGAGGAGCTCGACTTTGGCGAGGACGAGCTTGTCCCGCAGGTCCAGCAGGCTGTCGACGCCTCGCTCGACAGCCGGACCGCTCACTCGACCTCACTCGCTTCGGATCGCGCGGTTGGTGCAGGCGGCAGGTCTAACGGGCCGCTGCATGATTCGGCATCAGGTGGCAGCGGGGACGCGGCAGCAGGAGATGCGGGAGGTGCGGGTTCCTCAGCCTCGAAACAGTTCGCTTCCACCGCTTCCGCAACCGCATCGGCAGCATCGACGCCGCCCGTATCAGCCTCCACGGCCAACAAGCCGCACGACGAGACGCTCGACGAGAAGGGCAACAGGTTGCCGGAGGGATGGGTCTCGCGGGTGAGCAAGTCGACGGGGCGCCTTTACTACCGCAACACGCTCCTCAATACGAGCGAGTGGGATATTCCGACGAGGCCTGCGTCCGCGAGCAAGGAGGCGACTCCACCGCCGCCGCCTGCCGCCTCAGCGCCCCAGCCGGTCGCCGTCGAGTCGGTTCCTGCTGCCTCGCAGACCGAGACGCGGGCGGATCATCCTGCGCCTCTCATGCGAGAGGAGCCGCAGGAGATGCGGTCTGCTCAGCAGGTCGAGGAGCGCAAGCCGCGCGGCTACATTCACCCCGACCGCCTCCGGTTGACCAGCGCCGAACCTGTTCCGGCTGCCTCGCCGCCGAGTGCGTCGCGCTCATCCGCCTCGACGTCGCTCGTCGGTCTGACCAATCACCCTTCACCGTCAACAGCGATGCCACCGACTGGACCGGCCGCCGACCGCAATCGACCTGGCGCCGCTCAATACCCGCCGCGTCGTTCCTCGCAGTCTAACAACGGTGAGCTTCATGTTCGACGGCGCCGCGTTCGTCGCTGGGCTCGATCGAATCCACAGACGTCATCCTCGGCGTCGTCACTGCACTCGGCTAGGGACTGCGGACGAGCAACCCGTCCCGTCCTGGCGGAAAGTGCGGCGGTGTCGTCCACGATGGCGGTCGCGCAATTTCGTGACCAGCGAGCTCGTCCCGTTCTGCTGAGGACCTTGGCCGCCGTCGTCCGCGACGTCACCCCGACCAGCCCTACTCACGCTCGCCCTCTCTTCCGCCTCAGATCCGGCCAACGCCGCCCCGACTGCCGCCCCTCCTCCGACCGGACCACGCGCCAACGCCTCAGCCAGTGAGCTTCCCTCTCCATCGTGGGGCATGCTCGCCGCATCCCACCTTTGAGGGGTTGGCCGTGACGAAGCGGCATCTGAAGTCGACGAACTGGCCGACTAACTCCCACTGCATCGCTCACAGGTCGCCAACCTCTGCCGCCGCCCGTCATACCGCCTACAGCTCCTGGCCGTCGCCGCGGCGGCCGAGCGAAAGCAGCCGTCACAGCTGCCAATCTCGTTCCCGTTGCACCTCGCGGCCCTCGAGCTGCGGCTTCGGCAGCGGCGCCTGAGTCGCCTGCGACGCCGACGTCCGCTGCTGCGACCCCTATGACTGAGGCGCCGGCCAGGAACGCGAGCGTCGATGACCGCTGGGCCGCACCGAAGGCAGCCGAGCCTGCCGCGCCGAACGGTCCTCGCTTCGCGGTTCGCGGAGCTGCTGCTCGCGGTGACAAGTACGTCCTCGTCATCGGACCTCTTCGGTACAGCTATTAACTTCTGCCGCTTTGCAGGGATCTTCCGCCTCATCTTGCGAACGTGCCTTCCGGTCCCCGCTTCGCCGGCTCCGCACCTGCTCCGTCAGCGGACGACAGGTGGGCCAAGCCTTCGTCGTCACGCAACAGCCGTCCTGCGTCGCCTCCGCCTCGCGCCGAGCCCTCCGACAGCGGCCGCGAACGTCAAGACTCGCTCGGCGCGACAAGCAACACGAGCGGATCTGGCTTGACTCAGGCGGAGAAGCTGGAACAGCAGAGACTCGCTAGGCTCGCTGTTGTCGGTGGATCAGCCGCTCCGAGCCAGCCTGCACGTCTCGGACGTTCGCCGAAGCGCGAGCGCGTAGAGCTCGCTCCTTCTGCCGACGACCGCTTCGCCGCACCTCCGACTGGACCTGGACGTGGCAGGCGCCCACCGCCTGTTGCGGCGAAAGGAGCAAACGCGATGCCTGTTGGTGGAGGAGGATGGGGAGACCGTGTGAGGTTGGCGAAGGAGAAGATGGAGCGTGAGGCAGAGGAGGAGCGCAAGAGGGAGGCTGAGCGGAAGACCAAGGAGGAGGAGGATAGGAAGCTGAGGGAAGCGCGAGCGAAGCAGCGTGAAGAGGCGGAGCGGAGGGAGAGGGACGCGGCCAGGGCGGAAGAGCATGCAAGGCGAGAGCAGGAGCGCAGGGCGGCAGCTTACGGGTCTCGTGCAGCACGAAGGTCCAGGTCACCCCCTCCTCGCCGCAACGCCAGTCCACCACCGTCCCGTCGTCTTCGCAGCCCGCCTCCCTTTGATCGTCGCCCTCACAGCCCACCAGACTTTGACCGCCGTCCTCTCAGTCCGCCTCCCTTCGACCGCCGCCCCCTTAGCCCGCCGCCCTACGCACGGCGTGGCCGCAGCCGCTCGCCGCCTCCCCCATCTCGCCGACCGCTCAGTCCGCCTCCTTTCGCTCGTCGCGGTCGCAGCCCTACTCCGCCCCCGTACGGGAGGCGTCCTTACAGTCCTCCCCCTCACATGCGTCGCCCGCCCAGTCCCGGCCCTCCTCCCATTCACTACCGCCTTCGCAGCCGCTCGCCTCCACCGCCCTTCCCGCGCGGCGGCCGCTCCCCCTCTCCTCCGATGTTGCGCACCGGCGATCGCTACGACAGCAGCGGCGCTCGCCTTCCGCCTCGCACCTTCGGACCTGGCGTGCTCGACAAGTCGTCCTCGGCGCTTCGTGGCAAGTTCCGCGATCCCGAACAGCAAGCTGCGGACGACACGCCGCTCATCCGTACCGCTGGACCTCCAATGCCACTTGACGACGGACCGCGTGGTGGCAGGGAGAGGCCGAGGGGAGGACGGGGTCGGGGAGGTGCGGCAGTCGAGCGCGAGAGGTCGCATGACGAGGGTTGGAGCAAGCGCCCTGGTCGCGAACCTTCGCCTGTGCGGCGTGATGAGCCGAAAGGAGGCCGGAAGACTGAGGAGGGCCGTCCGAATGGAGGTCCTGCACCAAAAGCAGACGTGAGTCCCGCTTGTCACGCCTCGCGGTACCACCCTGACTCCTGGCTTTCGCAGCTTCCGTCCAATCCGCCTTCCCTGCTTTCCCGTCTCGGCAGCTTGCCGGAGAAGCCGTCAAACAACGGCAGCGGTTCTCTCGCCAAGCGTCTGCGCGATCCGGACGAGGTGATCAAGCAGGACCAGGAGAAGCGCAAGCGTGTCGCGGCGGACTGATGGGCTGGATTCTCGCTTGTTGACGCATCTTGAGCCGCAATACTACCCAAGTTGCATCGGACGATCGGTGTGCGCGAGTGGATGGACCTTCTACACGTCGCCTACTTCTGAAGCGCGAGACGAGATGCCGGGGAGAACGCCGATATGGTCGTATGAGGGAGAAACGGGCGGCGCAGGGGACGTAGGCTCGATTGCTGCGGCTTGCTCGCCGCCGTGATCCGCCTCGAAAGCGTAGGCGACGAGTTGGCCAGTTTCGTCCTCATAGTACTGGACGCTTTCGCCGGTCGGGTCATGCAGCGGTGATGCTTGGTTGTGCTGGTGGTACTCGCCTCGGTGCCGGCGAGATCGACGAGAAGAGGATGTTCCGGTTGAGAGGGTGGAAGAGGACGGCTGGGAGCGGTGTCGAGGCCTGTTTTCGCCGTCAGGACGAGGAGAGAGGGGGAGCGGAACTTGGTATGGGTCGAGGGAGTCGGTTTCCTGCGCGCGACGGCTCGAGCGAGTCCTGCGAGAGCTCGTGTGCGACGATGATCCATCCTGGCTGTTCGAGCTGTGCCGGGAGGTGTGGCTTTGCTCGTCGTCCAGTTCGCGCTCCTTCCGCCGGCGCCTGCTGCCTGCATCAACCTCAACCCGAGACCCCTCCTCCTCTTCAACGACCGAGAGCTCATCCCCTCCTTCCCGGTCGAACCGGCGACGAGACCCGCTAGATGTTGATGACGCGTGCGAGTGCGAGCTCTTGCTGCTCCTCTTCGACTTTGACCGCGACGAGAGCGACGTTAAGGGCGGATGAACGTCAAGAAAGGGCGAAGATGGCAGCTCCGTTGGATTGACGGCCACGCCTTGCTCAAACTCCTCGAGCGAGATGCCGAGTTCTCGGGCGCGGCGTCGCGCTCGCCGTCGAGCGCGCCGAGCTTCTCGGTCCTCGTCGGTGTCGACAAGCGTAGTGCCTTCGGAGAGGTTGGGGGATGCCGAGGAAGAAGCGATGGAGGAAGCGGAAGGTTCGGGTGCGCCAGAAGGCGGCGCAGGCGGCAAGTCGACGTCGTCCAGCGAGAGGGGTGCCGCATCAGCATCTCCTTCGTGTGCATGTACGAGGTCGCGGTCGCGTGAGCCGGTTCCGTCTGCTTCGCCGTCTTCCAATCCGTCTCCCTCGTCCTCTGAGTCGGTCAGGCGAATCGCTCCGCTTCCTCCCCGCCACCAGCTCTTCAGCAACGTCCACCTCGTCAAGCCTGAGCCAGTGTCTGCCCCGCCGCCTGAGATATCGCCGCCTCTCAGCCTGAACCGCCGACGCTGCCCTCGACTCCCAGTGCCAATTCCTTCGTGCAAGCTCAGGACATCCGCATGGCGTCGCCCGTCCATTCCCTCAGTGTCTCGCCACGTATTGGCGGGCGCTGCACCATCGTCGAGCGAGGTTGAAGGACGAGACTGGCCAAACCAGTCGTTCAGCGACTCGGTGGACGGCGATGAGAGGGCAACGCGGGACGACCAGCAGCAGCACAGCGGCGCGCAGATCGCTCTGATCCTGTCTGCGCGAGAGAAGCCGTCCATGCCGGGTGTGCGAGTGTCGGAGCGAGAATGCCGGACTTTGATGAACTGAGGGCGAGGTTCGAGAGGGGCGAGAGCGACGAGAGGGCGAGTCGGCGCGTCGTCGTGATTGTATGTTGACTGTACAGGGTTCTTGACGGGGATAGGCAAAGCCGGAAGTCGTGGAGAAGAGGAAGACGAGGCGAAGTCGCGAGTTGAATTCCCTGGCAAATCAGTCACGTGCAGGCGACCTTCTCTCTGAGAGCAAGCAAGAGACGACGCTGAGACGACGCTGGTGTTACAGATCCCTAGACAGCGTTTCTACATCCTCAGGTGCTCCGTCAAGACATGAGTGCGCAACTCGTCCTTCGACCGCCGCGCCTCGCCGCACTGAACGGGCTGCGAGTCGCTGGTCCCGACCCGCCATTCGCAGCGGAACTCGACGGCGCTGGCGAGCGACTGTGCGGGAGAGTCGAATGTCGCAAAGGTGGTGGACGACGACGTCGCTTCGGGCGTCGCAGACATCGGATGAGCCGGCTCGAGGATGTCGGCGGGTCCGTCGAGGCCGAGCGAGTTTGCCGCGACGTGCGAGGGGAGCTGCGAAGCGTCGGTGGCGGCTGAGAGGTCAATGGCGGATGCAACGGGGGCGGCTTCGTGTTGGTCGACCTTCATCTCCTCCTCGTCCGAGTCCGCCTCGACCGGCTCGCCCGCGCGCCTCTTCGCCTCCTCCTCCTGCTTCAGCTTCATCTCGGCGAGATGATTGTCCCACAAAGCCGCCTTCTCGCAAATGCGGTGCTCCTGCGTCCTCCGGTTCTCTTCCTTCAAGAAGGTCCGCTCCTTCTTCAGCCGCCCGTTCTCGGCCTTGAGCGCCTTGATCTGGCCCTCGTAGAACATGGCCTTCTGCTGCACGCCCGTCTCGAGCAAGCCCTTGAGACGCGACGCCTCGGCTTCCGCGACGCGGCACTCGTTCGCGCGCTCGACGGCGGCCGACGAGGCAGCCTGGTATTGCGCCTGCATGTACGAGAGGTCGGCCTGTGCCGACTCGCGCGAGTTGGTGAGCGACTTGTTCTGCTTCGTGAGCGTCTGTACTTCTGTCTTGAGCTTGGCGACCTCGTCGACGAGCGGCTTGAGCGACACGAGCTCCGTCTGCGCAGCCTGGTACTGCGATCGCAAACGTTCGACCTCCAGCTCGAGCTGCTCGCGAGACTGTGTAGCGGAAGCGTCGTCAGCCTTGAGCGCAAGAGCGAGACGAACGCAAGAACGCGCCATCGAGGCGGGCGAAGGAGGAGGCGGGACCGAAGTTGCGAGAGTCGTGACAGCCTCCATCGCCGGCGTGAATCCTCGAGTCCGCGTCGACGTATGCGACAGCGAGCGAGCAAACTCGACGGGGATGTTGTCCGCCGCAGCGCGCTTCAGCTGAAAGGTCCCCTCGCGCGAACGGAGGATGATGAAGTCGATCTTCTCAACGCCTTCGACGGTGTGGCGGCGCAGCTCAAACGCCCAAAACTCGATGCGGAGGAGAGGCGCGTTTGGGTTGACTGCGGGCAGCAGGAGAGTCAGGCCGCGAAGGTCGTCGCAGGCTAGTTTAGTACGCACCGCTGTAAGCCTTTGGCTCGCGCAAGAACTTCTCGATCTCCTCCTTGGTTCCATCAGCGACGATGTGCGGAGATTGCCTGACGAGTGCGATGACCTCGTCGACCTTGGCTCCTCCCGGTGCAGGCGAGCTGTTTCGCGAGACGTAGCTGCCGCCGGTGGATGGTTGAGCGGCCGGTGCAGGTGAGGAGACGGTATTGGCGACAGGCGGTGGAAGCGGCGAAGGCGAACGGAGGGCGGATCCTGGAACGAAACCGCTGGGCGAAGAAAGCGGCAGAGCTGTTCGTTGCGGACTCGGGGCCATGTATGCTTCCGAGTTCTGCACACGAGCGAGAGACGGCGAAGCGAGTGCAGGGGGAGGTGCAGGCGCAGACGGGGTGGGCGACTGTACGTTGAGCGCAGGAGGGCGAGCGGATGGCTGTTGCTGCTGGGCATAGGCGGAGTGCGCCTGCTGCTGATGATACGCGCTGTATGTCGAGGGTATCGAGGCGAGAGGTGGCGGAACAGAGGAGAGAGACTGGGGCATGGCGGAGTAAGGCGAGTGGGCGTGCGCTGCGGCGGGGTACGGCGAGGCATGCGCTTGGTGGTGGTAGGCCGAAGGCTGAGCATACTGCTGCTGCTGTCGCTGTTGCTGCTGCTGCTGCTGCTGCTGGTCCAGACGAGCCTTCTTGCTAGCGGCCTCCTGCTCCTCCTCGAGTTCCCGCTTCGGCGGCTGCTGATGCTGCTGAGGGTAGCCCTGGAGAGGCGCGAGGACCGAAGGGAAGCCGCCGCCAGGCATCGTCGGCGCCGAACCGTAGCCATACCCGCCTGGAACGGCCGGGGCGTGCGAAGGCGCGCCGTACCCGTATCCGGGTTGGCCGCCGTACTGCTGCTGCTGCTGCTGCTGCTGCTGAGCCGAACTGCCAGACTGATGCGAGTACGACTGTTGCTGGTAGTGCCCTCCTCCATTCGTCGGAGGATACCCCTCTCCCGCATCTGCCTCCGCCTCCTTCGCTGGTTCCTTCCCCTTCACCTTGACCGCCTGCTGCGTCATCGCTACACCCTGGTCGTAGTCGAAAATCTCGTCGAAGAACTCCTGCGCTGCGCCACCGAGGTCGTTGTCCTGCGTTGCGGGGAGCATCTCTTCGTTCTCCGCTTCGGGCGACGGCAAGCGGACTGCGGCACGCGCGGCAACAACGATGCCGTCTCCGTCGGTCGCTTCGCCGGTAACGCGAGCCGGAGATGGCGCGCGGCCGAGTGGACGCTTGACGGGCGCAGGGCGAGTGACAATCTGCCGGCCGCGTGCTCCGCCGCCAGCTCGTGCGAAGGCCTGCACGATCGGCGCATCGCTGAGCGGCAGCGAAACGTATGACGCAGCCGCATTGGACTGGACCTCCGCCTCGAACGAAGACATGGGCGTGTCGTCCTCGTCTGCCGCGACGAGCTCGAGGCGGGCTTTGGCAGGTCGAGGACGAGGACTAGCGCCGTCTGTAGCCCGGCAGGTCTGTTGACGGCGCAGAGGGGAACAGTGAGGGGACGAGTCGGGGTCTTCGATCGGGTCGAACTGGGAAGAGCGGATGACCGTCTCTTCGGGGACGTTGAAAGCGGAAACTGGCGGGATAGGGACGGGTCCGAATTGGCGGCGAGTGACGAGTTGAGGAGACGAGCTGCGGTCGTCGCGGCGGAGAGGGTCGAAGATGGGGACATCGTCGTCGGCATCGGCGTGGTTGTGCGGCTCGAGGTCGGACTGACTCGTTGCTGGCGAGTGCATGGCCGTGCAAGAGCGCGGCTGCGACGTGGTTGCGGGCGGCGGAGAAGGCTCGTCGGCCGGGTCGAAGCGGACGACGACCGCCTTGGCGAGCGTTGCGACGGGAACTGCCTGCGAGTCGGGAATGACGGACGCCGCGCTCGAGCCTGACGAAGCGACAGGTGCCTCCTCAGCGGGTTCCGCCTTCGCCTGCTCCTGCTCGACGACCGGCTCGTCGTCCTTATCGTCGATCACAACATCGAACGTGACCTGCTTCTTCGCCTTGACCGGCGCCGCTGGAGACGCGACCTTGGCCTTCTTCTTGAGCGGTTTTGGTCGTGTCGGAACAGGACCATCTGACGAGGGAACAACCATCTTGCGCTTGGTGCTTGATCGTTCGACGGGGATCTCGACTTCTACCGAAACTTGACGCGACGGTCCTGCCGAGACGGAGGGCGAATTCTGCGGTACGTAACGCTTCAGTCGGTAGACGGACACGCAGGAGACGGCTGGACTGACGGTGCTCGACGTGCTCGCGCGCTTGCGACTGGCCTCCTTCGCCGCTCGCTTAGCCGCCTTTTGCGCAGCCTTCTCCTCGAGCTTGCGCTTCTTGTCAGCCTTCCGCTTCGCGCGTCCAGTCGTCGTCCAAGAGTTGATGAGCTGCTCGTTGGCGTTCTCTTTCGGTTCCTGCGCGGCGAGGGAGGATCAGACTCGAGGCTGAGGAAGAGGGGAGCTCGAGGACGGTTAAAACTCACCCAGGTCGGCTTCCACTGGTTACCCTTCTCGTCGACGCCTTTCCAAGCAATCAAGTACTGACTGCGAGTCTCGTCGAGCTGCACAAGGCGACGGAAGAAGTTGAGCTGCCGGATCGCTTCGCAAAGCAAGAGAACGTGACGCACGATCGCTTCGGCCTCCCAAAAGCCTTGCGAGTCGACACCGCCTTCATCTTCCGACTCGCTCGCGTTGTCGGCAACTTCAGACTCGCCTTCGGCGTCGGCAGCCTGGGTCGCGGGATGCACGACGAGAGAGTCGTCTTGCTCCGCCTCAGCCGAGTCGCTGCTGTGCGGATGGCGGGAGGCGCGAACGAGATGGCGACCAGAGATGTCAGTGAGTCGCTGCTCGCGCAGGACTCTCGCCTGCACCTCATCGCGGCGTGTTTGCACAGGGAGGCGGTGCGGAGGAAGCGAAATTCGGACGCACAGCGAGTCGCGCTTAGGCATGATCAGTGGCGGCCGTACGAGCGTTTCAGGAGCCCGGAGACGCGGTCGCCGGTCGTCCCGAGGGCTGTCTGCGGGCGCGAGGCAAGCGAGACGGCGACGGAGTTTGGAAAATCGTCAGGACACGAGGACAGCGCGGGGAGACGTGCGACGCGGCTTGCTGGGGTCGCAAGAGGCTCTGCTGTCTGTGAAAAATGCTCGCGGCGTACCTGTGCGCGATGTCGGGTTGAGGTCGAGGCGTGAGCGAGCCGGCGAGGGGCGACGCGGACGACGACTTCCCCCTTTCACGCAACTTCATCTCGTCGGACTCACTCTTGCTCTTCTCCCTCGACAGCGTCTTTGACTGCTTCGCCGGTCTGGGCGCGTTGGTGCACGCTGTATCAGTATCTCTATGCTCAGGCTGGCGCTCTCACGGACTTCTCTTTCTCCACCGACTGAACCTCGCGGTCTGCGTCGCGATCCACTTCTCGACAGCTCTCTTTTGCTCTTCTCCTCGCTCATGCAGCTCATACTGCCCACGCTGGTCCTCGCCATGACCGTCGCAGCCAACCAGGTCGTGCTCCAAGGCGATCCTCGCTCCTCCAACCTGCTCCCGGACTCTTTCCCCACCTTTGTCAAGGCCCTGATGAACGAGTGGCACGTTCCCGGGCTCTCGCTGGGCGTGATCAAGGTGCCCGAGGACGGAGGAGATGTCGTGACCGAGTTCCATGGCTTTGGCGAGGCAGGACACGGCAGGAAGGTTGACAAGGACGTGCGTTCTCCCTTGCTCGCTCGCAACGGGCGTCGCAGGGCTCGCTGACCTGTTCTCCCTTGCGTAGACGCTCTACGGCATTGCCTCGAATTCGAAGCTCTTCACCGCCGCCGCAGTCGGAAAGCTCGTCGACGACGGGCACTTCAGCTGGACGGACAAGGTCACCAAGCTGCTACCCGACTTCAAGCTGAGCGACGCGTACGCGTCGGAGCACTCGACGCTGATCGACCTCCTCTCGCACCGTACGGGCATGCCGAGGTGCGCTTCGTCGACAGACTCTCTCCGAATCTTCTGACGGAACTATGCGCGCAGACACGAGCATAGCTACCAAGTAGGGCAAACGACCAAAGAGCTCGTTGAGTGGTTGCGGCACTTGCGACCGTCTGCCGAATTCCGCGAGACCTGGCAGTGAGTTCGATCTGAACAACCTCGCACTCTCCGAGATGCTGACGGCGCCTCTCGCAGATACAACAAGTTTGTCAAACCTCCTCTGATGGGCTGCGGAGCATCACTGACCTGACGACGTGCAGCCAAATGTTCGGAACGGCCGCACACCTGGTGGCCGAAACCTCGAAGCAAGACTTCATCGCATTCATGCAGAGCGAGATATTCGACAAGCTCGGCATGTCCTCAACAACCTACCAGCCGCACCTCGACGGGCCAGACACGGAGGCGAAGCTGTCGTCGTCGTTCCAGACGCTCGAGAATGGCACGATCATCGAGATTCCGTACGGCTTCAATTACAGCTACCAGGACCTGCAGTTCAATGCCGGGCCGGGCGGTATCGTCACTTCGGCGGCGGACTTGCTCAAGTGGGTGGAGTTCCTCATACGCCAGGTGAGCCACCTTCGTTTCCGCTCTTCGCCTCGCGCTAAGGGCTTTTACCGCAGCGTCGTGCCGGTCTCGTCAAGCAGAATCCACTCGCACGCTACGCCGGCCTCCCCTCGCCCTCCACCATCGTCCAGCTCTCCACACCACACATGCTCATGGACCGCTTCCCCGAAGATCCCTATCTCGGCCCGTCCGCCTACGGTCTCGGCTTGATGATGCGCTCGAACCAGGGCATCGAGATGAACTGGCATGGAGGGGATGTACCGGGATTCGGGAGTCAGGTCGTTTGGTCTGCGCAGGCAGGTGTAGGGATCGTTGCACTCGCAAGTGCGAGCGGGTGAGTCTCGCACTCGGCTTTCATGTTCATCCGGTCGCTGATCACGCTCTGCAGATCCGGCAACAGCGTCGCCGACATCGCCTGCTTCCGAGCGTTCGACGAGCTCGTCGGCAACAAGCCTTACGACTGGCCTTCCTAGTCCGTCCCGCCCTCGTCCTCCTTCCTTCTTCACAGCTAACGCTTCCCGTCACAGCTACCGCAAGAAGGACAAGAAGGCGCGGGAGAAGCGCAAAGAAGCGGGTCGCAAGGCCGCTGCGCATGACAAGGCCGAGCATCCGCCTTCTCTCCCAGTCGAGGCGTATCTCGGCGTCTTTGCCGACGTAGGATACGGTCAAGTCGAAGTCTGCTCGCCCAAGTCACCTCAATCCGCCTCACCAGTCTGCCAGAAGCTCCTCGAGCGCATCAGCCACGCGGAGTCCGCCTCGACCATCGTCCCTCCCCTCCGTCCCGACCCCGTCCTCTACATCTCCTGGCCCGGCTACTTCAACTTTTCTCACATCATCCTCCGCCACTACGACGGCGACGTCTGGAAAGGCGCTTTCGTCGATATACTCGAAGGGACGAAGCGGAATCCGGGATTGAAGATGGTCTACGAGGATGCGGACTCGGTCACGGTGCGTTTCAGGCTTGAGGAGGGCGAGGTGAGGAAGATGGAGGTGAGCGGTGTGTGGGGTGCGGGCTCAGAAGTGCCGGAAGACGACGAGCGGGTTGAGGTTTCTTTCGCGAAGGTATAGACGTCGCAAATCGAGAGCTACTCTGTATCACTCTGTTCACTCAAGCACACGACGCGGGCTTGAAAGCGTCTAGTCGTTGCGAAGAAGGTGCGAAGGAGGGAAGCGAGGTACAACAGAATGGAACGGTTGATGCGTATGTACGGAAAGTGAAGCGGGAGGCTAGTCTAGTCTAGTCGTGCGGGTAGTGTTCAAGGAGTGATGGTCTTGCCGACGGTAGGTGCGCCGCCGTCAGCCGGGTGACTGGCAGGCGAGTCGAAGTTGGCGAGGGTCGAGCCCGAGTGCGTCGTGTGAGGTCGCCCGAGTCCTTCGTGGTCGGGTATCGACCCGTCCCTCGCTGCCATTCGCTCCTCCATTGGCGGTAGTGCAGGGTTGACGGTCGTCGAGCCGTCTTTGCCGAGGCCGCGGTGTCGCCGCCGGTCCTTGATGCCTCGAACGGCGAAGATGCAGAGTTGGAGGAAGTCGATGAGAAGGAGGATGAAGAAGAGAACGACGAGGACTGCTTCGATCACGAGGAGAACGGCGCCGATGGCGACGCTGGAGGAGCGAGGACGTCAGCTACGAGCGAGATGGGCTGAAGATGCAACGTGACGCACCGGACGATCTCATTCAAGCCGATACTCGGGTTGAAAGCGATGAGTGCGCCGGCGATGACGACCCGACAGATGGCCCAGAAGATCCTCGTCGCATTGAGACTCTTGTCCTCGTACGGCGTCCAGATACATGTCGCGAGGCAGACGAGTCCCTGAATTGTGACGAGCGCGACAGTCTGCGTCCAGCCTGACCTGTGCGCGAAACCGACGAAGAGCGCCGTGACGAGCGGGACGAGGAGGAGCTCGACGAGGCCGAACCACCATCCGCGTCCCTTCCACCAGTTGCGCTTCTGCGCCGTCGCGCGTCGACTGCGTACCTTGTAGGCGTTCCAGAAGGGGCTGTATGGCGTAAGACCGTGGGCGAGGAATTGTCCAACGGCGTACGTCTCGACATCTCGCCGCTCCGCTTTGCGAAGGGCGCGCTTTGGGTTCGGGTTGGGCGTGATTGGAGGTACGGCAGGCGCCGGATGGAAAGGCGAGGCGAGTACCTCGGGCTCGTCGTAAGCCGTGGCGTTGTCCTCGATGGACGCGAGACGAGGGCGTAGGGCGCGTCGTGCGAGGAAGAAGAAGCGGACGGCGAGAATCAGGAGAGCGAGGGTGGTCAAGACGGAGGTGAAGACGGAGAGGACGATGGGCGCGTAGGACTGCAGAGTGAGAACTGTCAGTTGGTGCTGGAAGCGAGAGGTGGCGAGCACTCACATCGGACGAGCCGAGTGTCCACTGGAAGAAGGTGAAGACGAGCAGCGGGTACCAGGCGATCAGAAGCTGCACGAACATCCAGGGTGAGTAAGGCTTCTAAAGCCGCACATGAAGCGCGAGACGTACAAGCCTGAGCGTGTTCGCCCGCAGGACAGTCGTGAAAGTCCCGCTCGTCCGCCTCCGCATCGCGCCGAAGCGACCGCTCGCCGTGGCGCCCTTGTCCTCATACCCGACCTTCGCCTCCTCGCCGCCGTATGCACCTCGCGCCGCGCGCCGCGCCCTCGTCCTCCGCTGCACAAGCCTCACGAGCGCCCACATCGCTCCTCCCAGTATCGCCGAGGCGATCGCGATGGCGCAAAGGAACAAAAAGTTGATGAAGACGAGCATGAAGCCGTCAAAGGGCGAGATGTCGAGGTTGACGAGGAAGTGGGGGATGCCGTAGTGCACTGCGGTGAGGGTGTTGGTATCTTGCACGTTGGGGACGGCGACGGCTTGAGAGGGATTTGTGGAGGGGACGCCGGACATGGGGTTGCCGAATTGGCGGCGGGCGAGGTGGGTGGTCGAAGTGGAGGAGGAGATGAGGCTGAGAGCGCGGCGAGCGAAAGAGGATGTCGATGGAGACTTGGGCGAGAGCGAGTGACCGATCTCCTCGAGAAGAGACGTGGCGATCTCTCCCGCAGAGGGGTAGACGACGCCACTCCTCGAATAAATACTCTTGAGCGCCTCCGTCCCTCCCACAAGCCCACTCCGTCCCGCCAACTGCGTCAAGTTCCCACCGGTCCTCGCACGCAACGAGTCAATCGCATTGACGACAGGCGTCTCGCGTATCAGCCCGAGGGACCAAGCAAAGTTGGAAGTGAAGGCTTCGTAGATGATCGGGTAGTTGATGGAGAGGAGGCCGGTGGTGGCGACGAACTGGAGGAGCGACATGAGGAGGAAGAGACGCTCTTTTCGCCGGCCGAGGGACGCCCATGCGGCGTTCGGATCGGTAGGGAAGGTAGTGGAGGAGAGGGAGGCGGCGGGGTAGACGAGCGTGCCGACGAGGAACCAGAGGGCCGAGAGGAGGACGCAGCCGATCGCGAGACCGCCGAGTGCCCAGCTCACCGACGCCCAGCGCGTCGTCTTGCCGTTCGCCAAGTCGACTCGCAAACACGCCGCCTCGGACCCGTCCGAAACCCGCAATAGACGGACTGCGAAACGAGCGAAAGCCGAATTAGCCAGACCGAGTGAGCACTCGAAAGTTCGGTCTACGCACCGTACGCCGTCGCCTCGAGATCAGGGATCCAGTACGCCGCTCCAGGTATGTTGATGTTTCCCGCCAAGCTGGTAGGAAGGGGAATGGTCGCGGATCCGACGAAATCGTATTGCGGGAGCGGGCAGAGGACGCCTCCGAGGATGTCGCACAGCTGGATGGTCGTATTGATCGCGTGAATGCCGTACGCGACGAGTCCCAGCTGGAGATTCGCGTTGAGATTCGATTCGACGGATGCGGCGCTGTCAAAGCGAAGAGTCAGCTTCCTCTCCTCGCCACGAGCGACTTCCCCACGCACGAGATGTCGAAACTGATCGTCCCCGCAGGTCCTTGATCCGGCTCATACTCGAGCAGAAACTTCTTGACCTCGATCGCGCGCGAAGTCGAGCAGTACGAGACGGCCGACTGCGTAGGGTCGCGCGGAGTCGTGGAAAGGAGAAATTGCGCGAGTGAGAGATCAGGGAAGGATGGGCGAGAGTATGTAGAGAGACATGAAGGTCAGCCGAGGAGGTTCCGGCGCTGTTCGGTCACGACGCAAGGTCGAACGAGGAGGAGGGAGTGAAGAAACGCACCGCATCTGCTCATCGCGCCGCCCGAACGCCGCCAAACAGACACAGATCGACCAAGCAATCCCGTCAGCTCCATCCACCCGAACAACGCAGCGAAAAGGACCGATAGCGGGACGCACAGAATCGTTTTTGGGCGGAGACTGCGAGCGATTGCACGACGAGAGCGAGCGCGGCGCCCGCCACGCTCCTTGCGAGCCGCATTCCCTCTTGATCCGAGCAGTTCGTGCGCCTGTAGTCGCCAGTGAGTCAGCCAGGTGTAAGGGAGCTGAGCAAGCACCGCCCTTCGCGACTTTGCTCGGCTTGCGAGACGGTGCAAGGTCGGCCTCCGCAACCCGAGCCGGACGAGCAGACGTACTGTACGCGAGAGACAGCGCACTCGATTGCTCAGCGAGGAACGTCGTGCAGCAGGGAAAGAAAGGACGAAGGAGCAAAGGTCTGCGCGATGACGAAGTTGCGCTGGCCGGTCGAGCGGAGGATGGGTGCGGAGTGCGGCGCTTTGAAGGGTGTCACTAGCGTTGTTCTCTCGCAGTCAGACCGGCACAGGCGACGACGACAGCAGCGAATCAAGCAAGCCAAGCGAAAGAAAGACGAACTCTCCCTAGTCGCGCTCGTCTCGAGGCGAACGACGGAGGACGAGACTGTTGGAAGCGGAACGAGGTGAATACAGATTGCAAGGGTTGCTAGTCTAGAAGCCGGTGTACAGAACATGTCGAGCCGGGAATCGCAGGGTGAGAGAAGAGGAAACCCGAGGGCGAGGGTGGAAAGGGCGTCTAGAGACCGGCCTCGAGGTCCTTGGCAGAGAACTTGGCAGCCGAGAACCCACCGACTGGCAAGCCAGCTCCAGCGTGCTTACCAGCACGGCACGAGGCGAGGAAGTCGCCGAACTGTTTTCGCGTCCAATCTCGTCAGCGGATGAAGAGCAAAGAGCGAAGGGCGCAACGCACCATGAGCTGGGTGTCGAGAGGGCCGCCGGCTGACTCGGGGTGGAACTGCACGCCCCAGACGCGCTTGCCCGACTCGGGGGTCGACATGATACCCTCGACCGAGGCGTCGTTGGCGTTGACTGTGAGTGTGCGACGAGTTAGCGCTCACTCTAGCAAAGTCAAGACGACGTCGTATCGCGCGATGGTTATGCGCGACACGGCGAGGCAAGGCGGAGAGCGAGACTCACTGAAGAACGGCTGCCAGCCCTTGGGGAAGGGGTCGACGAGCTCGAGCGCGTACTGGTCTGCGATCGCAAGGACAGACCGAGTCAGCTTCTCCTTCAAGCGTAAGGAAAATCTCCGACCGCCAGGCAGAGCGACCGGGATCGAAGAAGCCAGGCGAGAGGAGACGGGGCGACTGACGATTCTGCGAGGTGACGTAGACGCGGCCGGCCTTGATGTTTCCGCTCGACGCGAGCGCGAGGACGGGCTGGTTGTGTCCACGGTTCCCGAAGCGCATGCGGTACGCCTCGAGTCCGGCGGCGAGTCCAATGATCTGGTGGCCCATGCAGATCCCAAACACGGGCTTGTCCCACTCGTTGATAGTCTTGCGAACGTTGAGCGCAGCCTCCATGCAGTGCTTGGGGTCTCCCGGTCCGTTCGAGAGGAACAAGCCGTCAAACTGGTCGCGAACCTTGTTGAAGTCGTAGTTCCACGGGAAGACGGTGACTGCCGCCCCGCGGTTCGTCAACGAGCGGAGGATGTTGGCCTTGGCGCCAAAGTCGAGGAGGGCGATCTTGACGTCCCCGTCCGGGTTGAGGGTGTAGATCTCGCGCGTCGAGACCTGGTCGACGAGGTTCTCCTTGGCCGGGTCCCAGTACTCGCTGTCGGCAGGACGGACGTCGTGTCCGTCTCCGACGGCGAGCTTGGAGAGGGTCGAGCCGTTGGTGCGGAGGAGGGTCGTGATCGCGCGCGTGTCGACGCCCGTGATGCCGGGCACGCCGTGGCGGTCGCACCACTCGTGGAGCGACTCGACGGCCTGGTAGTGCGAGTATCGCGCTGCGACGTCGGCGACGACGACACCTGCGCACTGGATCCCGTTCGACTCGAGCATGACGGGCGGGCCGTTCTTGACGTGGTTGCGCGACTCAAAGTTGTCGGGCACGCCGTAGTTTCCGATGAGCGGGGTGGTGAAGACGAGGAATTGCGAGCGGTAGGACGGGTCCGTCATCGACTCGGTGTAGGACGTGATCGAGGTCGAGAAGACGGACTCGCCGTAGCGCGAGGTGGGCGCGCCAAACGAGCGGCCGGTGAACGACTCGCCCGTCTTCAAGTGGAGTGTCGCGGGCAGGTTTGGGTTGAAGGCGTTGGTCGACTTGGGCTGGACGACGGTCGCGAGCGAGCGAGTCGCTGCGAGGGGGACCCGCTTGAGGGCGAGCGAGGGGCGGAGGAAAGAGAGCATCGGTGCGAGGGTCGGGTGTAGCTTAGTAGCCGGCGAGGAAGTACGAGACAGCAGAGTATTCGAGGCTGCACGGAGCGAGGGGGGTGCGCGATAAGGGATGGGTCGGGCAGGGAAGATTTGCAGGGAGGCGAGGGCGACGAGTTCTGCAGGGTCAGCGGGCGTTGCGGGCCAGGTCCGGGTGAGAGGTGGACGCACTAGTCCGCGCGAGTGTGTTGTCCGCGGTACACGACTTGCCTGTGTGCGGTAGCAAGGCGGTCCAGGAGACGAGGGTCAGTTGTGAGCGAGCGCTGCGAGGACGGGCGAGGGGGCTGGGTGCGCACATGCAGGAGATGCTGGGTTGACGTGTGAGAGTGAAGAGGTCAAGCGCCGAGGCCTGGTGAGCTTGTGCGTGAGTGAGCGAGTGGGAAGAGAGCAAGCGAGCAGAGTCAAGGCGAAAAGGAGTCCCAAGGTCCGCACTGTCACTCTGTTGTGGCCAGGCTAATACTTTGCAGTAAATCATACAACACACTCACAAGCATCGAAAGGTTACTCCTGCACCAGACCCAGCAAGTGTGACCCTCCTCCTCCTCGACGACGACCCTCACCCCGTCACTTCCACCAACTCCTAGCCTCGAGCGCGTCTACCCTGGCGGGCCTACTCTCGCACGCCTCGTCTGCGCTCACCCACGCAGCAGACACCGCTCGCCCACACCTCGACTCGGCCCTCGCAGTCGCTCACTCGCTCGTCGAAGCACTCCAAAACAGCGACAACCCCGCCGCAAGGGCTCTCGTAGACCTCGCAGGTGCGTCCGGCGTTCCTCCACCGCAGCTCTTGAAGCGCCCCGCCGCCTAGGCGGAGTTGCCGCGCGAATCCACGTTCGGTTCCCTCGCATCTCGCTGACCTCCCACACTCTCCTGGGCACAGCCAAACCGCGCCTGCACGCCTTCTACGACTCCACAACCGACCTCTTACTCCGCAACCTCCCCCTCGTCGTGTCAGTCGTCGGACTCGCTCTCCACCTCTTCATCTCGGACCTCGCCCGGAAGCGCTCCGAGCGAAATTACCAGCGACTCGCGAATCAGAGACGAGAGATGGGCGACTATGGACTTGGGACGCCGAGTCAGGCGGCGGCGGGAGGAGGAGGAGGAGCGGGACAGAGTAGGAGGAGCCGCGACGATCATGGGGTTGTTGAAGTCCAGTGGGGACGGGAGAAGTGAGTTCTGCGCTCGTTTTCACGTGTGCGGACAACGCTCGGCGAGACGCCGGGAAAGCTCGCTTGTCGGGGATTGACCGGGAGACTGACTGACTCCCTCTCGCTCGTCCGCAGACTCCGCGTCCCCCTTCCCCCTCCCAACTCGCCCCTCTCAACCCTCCGCGCAACCCTCTACAACCAGACCGGCGTTCCCCCCTCTCACCAAAAACTCATCTACGCCGGCGCAGTCCTCAAAGACGACCTCCTACCTCTCTCGGCCTACGGACTGACAGACGACGACGAGCCTGCGGGTACTGAGGATGCCGAGGAGGGGAAGAAGAGCTTCTGGGATTCGTGGGCGCTTATGGGACGCGGAGGGGCGAAGAAGAAGGTCAAGAAGTTGGTCATGCTCGGGTCGAAGGACGTCTCGGCTCGCGTGGATGACCGGCTCTCGCAGCGCAAGGACCTCGCGGACCTCGCTGCCCAGTCCTCGTCGACCTCCTCCGGCGAGGGAGGTTCGGGCGGGGCGGAGGAGAAGAAGGTCGATTCGGAGGAGGCGGTCCAGCGTCGGATCCGCGAGATCTCGACGCAGAAACTAGACGAACTCGAGCCGCAAGTCAAGCAAGTCGAGTCCTGGCTCGCGCAGGAACAAACTCGTCGCTCCACCTCCCCCTCTGCCTCGGCTGAAGACCCCGACGCCCCAGCCCCCCCGCGCCGAACGCTCCTCTACCTCTCGGAAGTCCTCCTACAGGGCTTGCTCAAACTCGACTCGATTGAGATTCCGAGCGGGTATGCCGAGGCGAGGAGGGAGAGGAAGGAGGCGGTGAGGCGTGTCCAGGAGGTGTTGGATCGAGTTGACAGCGCCAAGGAGGGGTGGAAGAAGTTGGGACTGAGCTTGGCGTGAGCAAGGAGGGTAGAGCTGCAGGGGGTGTGCAACTGTAGATCGTCTCTCGTGCTCGTCGAAGAAGCAGAGAGAGAGAGAGCAAGCGTGTTGACTAGTGTGAGTGAGCAGCCTCAAGCCAGTGCAAACTTGCCGCTCCGCCGCGAAACCCGAAGACAGGCTGTTGCCTCCTTTGCTCGCTGGTCTAGGATTCTGCTTCTCGCCGAGCATGCGCGTGCTGGAGGCAACAGCCACGATTCAAGGTGAACCTTCGCAAGTTTCAGGGTCTGACAATGGACAGACAGAGCGGTCCGTACGTTTCTGCGAGCGAGCGGGTGCTCAAGCTGCAAGGAGTGAGCGCCGTCAGCGTTCGTAGCGGTACAGTCGGAACTTGGGAAGACGCACTCTTCTTGATGGTCGCCAACTTGGCCTCGAAGAGTTCGAGGAGGATGGGCGCAGACTCAGGCAACTTGCGGCTGTCAATCTCGCCCTTCTTCTTCTTCCACGAGTCAGTCTTCATCACCGCGTCCCAGTTGTCCAAGATGTAGTCAAGGATGACCTTGCGCCAGTCGTCGTACAGCTGCGAGACGCTCGAGAAGAGCTCAATCGGGGCGTTCTCGGGACGCAGGACGTGGCGAAGGCGGTTGATGCAGATCTTCTGTAGCGCGCCAAGCTCGAGGAGGTGTGCGAGCCGGTAGGTCGACTTGGGCGAGACGAGGGTCGGGAGTTTTGCATCGAGGGAAACTGCGAGATAGTGCCGGCGGGTGTGCTTGGCATCTGTGCTGAGCGGCTTGCAGTCCGAGGACAGCGGCGCGAACTCGATCGAGTCGGTTCGAAGGTACGCAAGGACAGCACGATACGTCGAAAAGGAAGTCTCGGTGATCTGGATCTGCTTGTACTGCAGGCTGGTGTCGTTGCTGAGCTTCATTGGATACTCTTGAGGTACACTTCGTCAGCCTCGGTGTCAGAGTCCGAGCAGTCAGGCGCTGAGCCGTCGAGGTCGTTGATTGCCGCCTCACGACTTCCAGGCGAGACTGCTTGCGTCTCTGCGAACCCAGACGAGAGTAGACTGCTGAAGAAAGGCGAGGCGTGAGCGAGGAAGTCGGCGTCTGCCCAAAGTTCCGCGCCTCCTGACGGTGCATGCGGAAAGAGAAAGCGGACATCGCGCGAGATGGGGCTGAGCTCGAGCGCTGCAAGTGTCAAGTGTCAGCCGACAGTCCAGGAGCGAGCAAAGCGGAGTATCCCTCACCGGGAAGACGTTTGACTAGCGAGTCTGCTTCGACGGACGGAATAGCTGCTCCAGGTTCGAGTTCACACAAGACGCGTTATGGCGGTGCTTGCCTGGGTCATAAGTCGAGCCGGAAGTGGCAGGCTCGAGCTCGACAGCGGCTATCGTGCTGCGCCAGCCTGCGAAGGCAAGGTTCATGTCGTCGGTATACCTGCTCGGCATCCATTCGGTCCCCCAAGAAAAGCTTCCAAGTGAGTATTCCTCCTTCTCCAGCACAGCGGAAACTTGCATGCGACCCGACCCGAGTCCGTACGCGCCCGAAGGCAGCGAGCTGTGCAGAATACTCAAGTGAAGATCTTGCTCGACGCGCTCGACGGTGCACGACCAGTCGCCCCGTATCGGCACATCCGGCAGCTCAAACGTCGCGGAGAGTGCCGGGTCGGTCACGTCCAGCTCGAGGTCGCAGGTAAACGAGTACTTGTGCGATTCCTTGAAGGCGAACGAGACGAGTTTCGGCTCGACGCGCTGGCCGGGAGTCGGGACGGCGGCAGCTGCAGGCACTCCACTAGACATTCTGATTGAGGAGCAAGCGCGACCGAGCGAGAGTAGCGATGGAGGTGAGAGGGAGGAGGGAGAGGAGCGATGCGGCGAGGATGGGAAGGTGGAGCGCTCGGGCCGCGAGCAGCCTTCCAGCAAGCGCGACATACAGGCTCTTTGCGCGCAATGAGCTCTCAGCGGGACGAGAAACGACGTCCCTGCGACGGGACAAAGCTTGCGGAGCGGTTGACCTTCGCAAGTCGAGCTGGCGGACGAGCGCGAGCGGGAAAGACCCTGTTTGCTGTCCCGCCTGGGGCGTCACTAGGTACGCCGCAAAAGACCTGGAGCGAGAAAAGAGTCGCGATACAGCAGCAGGAGACAACAAAGGGAAGGGGAGGAGGAGGAGGACCGCAAAGTTGGTCCAATACGGGCGCTGGACGATGGAAAAGGGGAGGGTGGAGAACTACACCTGGAGGAAAGACGAAGGACAAGACCTGCAAAGAAAAGGAAGGGACTTCATCGCGCCAGGCAGCCGCTCGCGACGACCTCGTCGAGCAAGACCGTGAGCTTGTCTGTCCCGTCGTTCATGTGCTCCTTGTAGCTCATGAACTGCTCGATCGCCTGCTCGAGAGCGTCGCGGTTGCGGCGTCGGACGGCGTTCGTGGTCTGGTTTGCAGCCATGCGCCTGAGCGAGGAGAAGGAGGTCAATTCGCTGCGACGGATGCGAACGCAATACACAAGAACGCACTCGACGTTGCGCTGCTCGTAGCGGTGGTTGGCTTCGACGAGCGCACGGTCGACCGTAGCGCTGATGGAAGCGACCTGGGCTTCGAGGCGTCGCAGCTCCGCCTCGGACGTCTCGACTTCCCGCCGCGATGCCTGCATCACGGACACGGTCAGCCCGCGAGCACGCTGAATGGGAGGAATGCGAACGCACGTCGTCCATGCGGTTCGCCTCGGTCTTGGCGACCTGCACCTCCTGCTCGCGCTGGTTGAGCGCCTCTCGCAGGTCCGCGACGTCCTCCGCCAGCCGCGTCAGCTCCTCCTCGACCTGCACGTCCTGGTTGTTGACCTCGCGAATCTCGTGCTTGGTCCTGTCGCGGAGCTTGAGCAACGCGGGCTTGACCTGCGTGGCGAGACCTTCGGGGACGGGACTGTCGCTCGCGCTGTTGATCTCCTGCACGAACGGGACGTCCTCGAACCCTTCAACCGGCCCGTTCAGGAGACCGAGCGCTTGCGCCTTCTCCTCGTAGCTGGCGGCCAAAGCCGTCGCCTTCTCGATCGCCTTGATCATGTCGACCTCGAAGTTCATCGTTCGCGTCACGGCATTGCGATACCGCTCTTGCGCGTCGCGGATTTGATTGCCGAGCTTCTCCTTGTCGGCGTTGAGAGACTGGATCTCCATCGGCGTGAGCTTCTGACCCTTGATAATGCGCTCGAGCTGCGTGCGCTCCGCCTGCTTCGCCTCGATCCCCTCCTCTGCATACGCACATCGTCAGTGTCTTAGTGACGCAAGCAATGGAAGTGTGAGCCAGACGCACGGATACGCTTGATCTCGCCCTCGAGCCGCTGCTTGTCCATCGCGCGAGCCTGTATGCTGGCCTTCAACTTCTCGATCGTGTCCTCGTACTTGGCAAGGTCCTTTGCAATCCCGTCCTGGCGAGTCCGAAAGGCTATCATCTCGTCCTGCGGGCGGTCGCACAGGTGCCGTCAGGAGGCGTCGGAGTGATAGGCGAAGCGCATTTGACGCACCGGAGTCCTCGATAGCTCCTGCCACTCGCGGGAAAGTTTGTCGTGCTCGTCGCGGAGCGCATCGACGCGTCGGCGGAGCGTCTCGGTTTGCTGGTCTGCGAGGTGGAGAGACCGTCTGTTAGTCTCGAATCCGAGTCTGCTAGATTGAAGTCGACAGGCACGTCGGCGAGCGCAAGAGCGAAACAACCGCTGAGCCCGTCTACGAACTCGTACTCACTGACGATGTCCCTCAACTCGTCCTCCTCCTCGGGATACACGTACGACTCCTGACCGTCCGGACCAGCAATAGCGACGCCGCCGCCTTGCAGGAATGTCTGGTACGCCTTGGCCGTGTACTCGCGCCATGCATCGTCCATGACGTCCTCGCCAGCCGCGAGACGAGCGTGGTAGTCTGGCGCAGGGACTTGGAGAGAGGCGGCAGAGAGGAAGGCGGTTTCGCGGGCCTGTCGCGGCGGGCGGCATGTCAGTACGCAGAACGGCGAGCAGTTCGATTCGCAGGCGTCGCACGCCGAAACTCACCTTGACGGTCACGACGAACCAGTGCAGCATGGCGAGGATGCCTGGCCAGTTCGACGCCGAACCGGGTGCCTGGAGATGGCTCTTCGACACCTTGTCGGCGAACGGGTACTGGCAAGCCTGCATGACCTGGATGATGGCATCGACGACCGTCTTCTGGTCCTTCTTCGCGCCCGTCTTGTCGACCGTCGTGAAGACGACTTGCGGGTCGTACTGCTTGACGAGCCACTCGAACAGTTGCCAGAACTTGACCTGTGTGACGGACTTGAGGTCCTCCTTCGTCAGGTCGAACTGCCGTTCCCCACAGAAGTTCAGGATGTCCTCGTTCATCGCCTCGCGGGCCTCGCGCGTCTTGTAGTTGCGCGGGTCCACCGCCGATTTGAGGTGGCGAGAAGGGGCGCCGATGTGACCGCCGCCGGGCGTCGCAATGACGGATGCAGCCATCGAGCGGCGGAAGGTCGAGGTGCGGCGTTCGCTGCGAGAAGAACGCGCCGGGCGTCAGCATTGCTTCGGCGAGAAGCTCGGACAAGGAGAGCGTCAACGCACGTCCCGGGAATGTTGTCGATTCCATAAGGCTGCGCCATCGAACTCCTCAACGCGCCTTGCCCCCTCGCGACGCTCATGCTTCCCCCCATGTTCGACGAGTACGTGTGACCCGACCTGCTGACCGTCATCGGGAGACCGCCGTGCCCTTGCGAGAACTGCGAGCCTCCTGCTGCTCCTTGCGACCCTTGCGGCTGCGACGAAGACGAGACCTGGCTGTCGCCAAGTCCACCTCCTGCTCCTGCATAAGCAGACGGCGCCATGCTCGCCCGCCCACGCATGTTCCCGCCGAAAGCGCCCGGCGCAAGAGACTGCCTGCCTGCTGCTTGCGGGGCGAGCGACTGGCGAAGGCCGGTGTTTGCTGGGCGTGGAATGGACGAGGGGACTTGTGGCTGGTTGTAGGGGAGCTGGTTGGACGCAATGGTCCTCCTGCGCTCCGCCATGGTGCTCTGACTGGCCAGCGAAGGCGAGATGAGGGTGCGAGAGACGCGAGTTGACTGATGAAGTCCGGAGAGACGAGGGTGAGATGGGAGAGCGTGGGAGGAGCGCGGGCGAGCTGTATGCGTCTCTGTGAGTCTGTGTCGCCTAGCACTCGTGGAGTAGCAGCCTCTCAAGCAACGGTGAGCGAATGTCAGGAGGGCGACGCGCGAAGACGCGCCTGAGGCCTGAGGAGGTTGACTTCGTCTCGACTCGCCGCTGTGCTCGTGAGGGCGGGCGAGTGATGCTTTGAGACTGCTCAGGACTTGCCCAGACTGCTACACAACCGCGCCCCGACCGCCAGCGCCGCGATGACTGCCACCGCCTCTTCATCAACCGCGCCCGCTCCCGCTCTCGCCAAAGCAGACCCAGCGCTGTTCAGGGACGTGCAATTCTTCGTGAATGACACACTCGACCCACAGGTCAGAGCGGCGGTGCGTTATCAGGTCCTCACCTCCTCCCCGTCTCGCGCGCCCGCGACGGGTCTCCCGGGTCGTGTGCGCCAGTCTGTCAAGTACGAAGAGACGCTGAGACTCCCAACCATTCACAGATCGAGGATCTGCTCGTCGACTCGGGCGCGACCCCGTGTCGAAGCGAGCATCCGTCCAGCTCCTCCTCCTCGTCTCGCCTGCCTCGTTTCGACCTTTCGTCCATCACCCACTTCATCACCGACACCCTCGACTTTCCCGAGCGCAAACTCATCGAGGAGCTGAATGCGCAAGAAGGCGGAAAGACGAATGTCGGGCTTGGCATTGAGCTGGACGGCGGGAAGGGTAAAGGAAAGGACGCAGATGGCGCGGAAGGACAACAAATCGAGATAGTTACGGTGCGTGCAGGCTGCTGAATGCGCTCGTGTGATGTGCTGACAGCATCTGCCATCATAGCCTGCTTGGGTCACCCGTTCTTACGACCTTCAGATTCTTCAGTCGTGCGTACAGATGCTCGGCGCTCTCGCTGCACCACGCCGTCTATCGCCTGCAGTATGATTGACCTCTCTTTTTCGTAGCCCTCGCTTCTACTCTGCCGACAAGGCGCTCTATTTCTCCGGAACGGTTGTCTGCACCTCCGAGGTCAGCATCGACGCTCTCGCTCATTCGACTCGCGATTCAAGCGTCGTTGACCGAGTTGCCCGCAGCTCCCGCAAGCCGACACGCTCTCGATCCATGCCGGCGTCCTCTCTCTCGGCGGCCAAGTTCGCCGCGAACTGACCCGGGAGGTCACGCATCTCATCTGCCCCGCCGAACATGGTGCAAAGTACGAGATGGCTATCAAGTTTGGCACGGAGCTCGGCATTGTCGTCGTCCTGCCGCACTGGTGCGTCGCAGTCCGCCTGGTGGCAGCCGAAGTCTGACTTTTCTGTTCGATGCAGGTTTACGGAGTCGCTACGACTGGCGCGCCTCGTACCTGTCGACATCTACCGCTTCCCGTCCCCACCCTTCACGACAACCCTTCGCGACCCGTCCATATCGTCCAAGCCTTTCGCAGACCGCCTCTTCGACTACTGGAAGACCCACCTCGAACCTTCGTCTTCATCCGCCTCGAAAGCTCCTTCGCCTACTCCCAATACCGCGACGCACGTCATTCTCGGCACCAACCGTGCCAACCAAGTATGCGATGGCGCGGCGCGGGACGAAGAGAGCTACGTGCGTACGATGGCCGAGATGGAAGTCGCCGGGCGGGAGGGTCAGCCCATTGCAGGCGTTCCTCCAGCGCACGAAGACGACCCGACCTTGCGTCCCTTCGCCAACAAGCGGTTCTACCTCGCGTCCGACCTTGGCCTTTCCGTCGGCCTCGAGCGCGCCCTTCGAGCGAGGATTGCCGAAGGCGGCGGGTCCTGCTGGTCCTTCGCTTTTGACGTCGAGGTGTCGCTTGACATGCCTGGGGCGGGAGAAGGAGGCGAACGGAGCCGTCGCGCGACGACCGAGGGGATCGATGCGTGGGAGAAGCGGAGACATGCAGAGAAGCGGCTGAAGAAGAGCGACATTGTCATCACCCGAACGAGGGAGGGCTGGGAGTATTGGACGGCCTACGACCTCGGTCTCTCGATTGCCAACCTCAACTACCTCTACCACTGCATCTCCACTTCGACCCTTCCTTCACCTCTCTCTCGCCTCCTTCACTACCCGCTCCCCTCGCTCTCCGGCATCCCCGAATGGTCAAGGGCCTCCGACGACGGCAAGAAGAAGGACATTATTGTCACCGTCTCGAACTACTCGGGTCCGGCTCGCGACTACGTCCGCGCCTTGATTGATTGTACCGGTGCCAAGTTCGAGGGCTCGATGACCAAGTCAACCGACTATGTGATCACTCCTTCGTGCGTCGCGGCTTTCGCTTGCGCCTGACTTGAGCGACGGGCTGACCTCGCATCGCGTAGGGAGTACGGCTCGAAGGTCCAACACGCCCGCACGTGGGGGCTGCCGCTCGTCACACATCTCTGGCTCGAAGCACTCATCCTCGAATGGCGGTTCATCCCTCCCTCGACGCATTCCTCCTACCTCCTCCCGCTCGCCTCCCCCTTCGGCGCATCCAGCACGAATTTTGCCGCCATCCTCGGCGACACGGCCTACACACGCGAGGGGATCGCCAAGTGGGCTGAGCGCGACGAGGTGCAGCAGATGCGGAAGGAGGCGCTGCGACCGCTTGAGGAGCTCGAGCGACTGGAGAGGGAGGAGGAAGCGCGGAGGCGAGCGGCATTGGCGAGTGAGGCGGAAGGTATTGCGCGGCAGGGAGAAGAGCTTGCTGAGGAGCACGAGTCGAGCGAGACTGAGGGTGATGGTGCATCGATGGGCTCGAGGGAAGCCCTCGAACACGCCGCGCAGAACCTCCCCACTCCGCCTGAACAGCCCCGGAGACCTCCCGCCGCCGTGCAGGCTCCTCCAAAACCTCCTCGACAGCTCTCGACCCTCGTCGGAGATACGCTCGACGGACATGCCGGTCCCGTCACAGGTCCTTCGAAGCAGCGGAGCAAGACGCCTCAGGGACCGCGACCGTTCGCTGCCGAGGTCCGCCCGGCTGTCAAGCAGGATGCGATGGACGTCGATGACGCGGCGGACGGATTGGTGACGCCTGCACGGCCGACCAAGCCGGCCAAGAAGAAGCTCGCGAAGGAGCCGACAGCTGCCGCCAAAACCGTCAACGGTGCCAACGGCAAGAAGCGCCAGCGCTCATCGTCGCTTTCGTCGGCGACCTCCACAAGCTCCGATGACGACGACCTGCCGCAATCAGCCAAGGCTATGCGCAAGACGTTCGCCCAAATCAGCGACGAGAACCTTGTCGTGGTCGGGACGAAGCGTGGCGCAGCGGCGAAGGCTCGTCAAGCGCTTGCTGTCGTCATGGAAGACCGGAACGCGTTCGAGAAGGAGCTCAAGAGCAGCGGGCGAAAGAAGAAGTATGGCGACGCGCTCGGTGGGCCTTCGAGGAAGCGGAGTCGCAGCCCGACGAAGAAGGCGACGCAGGACGGCGACGGAAGCGACGAGGAGGAGGAAGATGAGCCCGAGAGCTCGGCTCCGAAGGCTAAAGCGAAGGCGAAGAGGCCGCCGAAGGAGGAGGACGAGGAGGACGAGCTGGAGAGGCCGAAGAAGAAGCCCAAGCCTGTCGGCACTGCCGGCAAGCCAGGCGCCAAGTCCGCTGTCAAGGCGCTCCAGGCGTCGGCGGGCGCATCAAACACGCAGGATGGCGTCGTTTCAAGCTTCGACAGGCCGCCGAATGGCAAACCTCCTCAGCCGTGCGTGTTCTGTCGTTCTGGCGCTTCCGGTCACGCATCAAGCTTGACCGACTTTCCTGTGTGCTCTGCAGCATCTCGAAGGCCCAGAAGATCAAGATAATCTCGACCGGTCTCGGACTCGACAAGTCGTCCGACGAGATCAAGGTTTGTCGGATTGTCCCGCTATCGACCCTGCAGACGCTTACTGACGCACCCTGCTTACGCTCTACAGGCCCTGAAGAGCTTCGGCGCCACCTGGACGGACAATCCGAAGGAGGCAACGCACCTGGTCGTCAAGAGCATCTCGCGAACGGAGAAGTTCCTTTGCTGTACGTCGATCTCACACGCTCGCCTTCCTCGCCGCCATCTGACAGCAACTTGCGAACGTAGGCTTGCCGTTCGTGCCGAAGATCGTGACTATCAAGTGGGTCGAGGCGTGTCTGGCGGCGGGCAAGCTCGTCGGTACGTTCTGTCATCGTATCTCGGAGCATCTCGTCCGACGTTACTGACACGCCTCTGACCAGGTGAGCAACCCTATCTCCTGCGCGACACGAAGAAGGAGAAGGAGATTGGCGACACGCTCGAAGCGATCCTCGGTCGGGCCCGCAAGGGCAAGCTCTTCGAAGGCAAGACGATCTACATCTCGCGCTCGACTAGCCCCGAGCCGACCACCATGCAGAAAATCATCGAGGCGAGCGGTGGAGTCGTGAGTCTCCAACCTGTGCGACTGAACTTATGCGCCCGCTGAAATCGGTCCGCTTGACCCGCAGGTCCACGTCAAGGACCTCTCCAAATTCGTCAAGAAGATCGCTGACAACCCGGACGCGCTCGTCATCTCGTGCCCGAGCGACCGCCGCGAATGGGAGAAACTTGCGTCTTCGCCGAACAAGAAGAAAATCTATTCCGTCGAGGCCGCCCTCACCGCCGTCCTGCACCAAGATCTTTCGCGCGGGTTCATCGACGCCAACAGGTGCGATTACCAGCTGGAGAAGTGAGGAGGAGGGTGTTGTTCGACGTCCCGGGCGGCGGAATCGCGGTCTTAGTGTTGCAGACTATACCGGACGACGTGTCTTGTTTCCACATGTACTCTCTACGCAATGGAGCTCTTTCTCGTCCATCTGAAGCCTTGAGTCAACATTGCATCCTTGACTGCGTCGCGAGGAGGAGACGAGGGTTCTTATCTTTCGCTTCCCTCGCTCACACGATGCTCGCGACCCAGCTTGTGACCGTCGCCCGCAAGGGCTGCTCGTGCCCTGCTCGCATCGCCAGCCGCGCGCTCTCGTCTGCGCCCGTCCCGACCCTGCCGCCCACGGAATCAGGTCTCCGTCCACCGCACCTACTCACGCTCGCCGACTTGACTGTGCCTCAGATCCAATCACTCATCAGCTCTGCAATCGCCTTCAAGAAGCACTACAAGAGCCGCGCGATTCCGAAGGCGGGACAGATTGAAGGCGCCAAGTTCGAGAAGGGAGATGGAGCGGTTTCGAGCGAGGTGTCGGAGAAGACGCTCGACGCAAAGACGGTCGCGCTCATGTTCTCGAAGCGGAGTACTCGGACGCGGGTGGCGAGCGAGACGGCCATCCAGCTGCTTGGTGAGTTTCGACTCTTCCTTCGCAAGGGTTGGGCGAGGAGTACTGACTGTCTATTCGCGCAGGTGGCCACCCCATGTTCCTTGGCTCAGGCGACATCCAGCTTGGCGTCAACGAGAGCCTGTATGACACGACTCGCGTCGTCAGCTCGATGGTTGACGGAATCATGGCTCGTGTTGGGCACCATTCCGAGGTCGAGGTGCGCTTGCGTTGCGTGTCGACGCTTCCAGTCACTCAGAAAGCTGACACGCTCGATCCTTCGCAGACCCTCGCGAAATACTCTTCCGTACCTGTCATCAATGCCCTTTCGCACCTCTACCACCCTACACAAATCCTCGCAGACCTGCAGACCCTCCTCGAGATCCGCCAGCCCTTCACCACCGACCTCTCCTCCCTGTCCGGCCTGACGATCGCCTGGGTCGGCGATTCGAACAACATCCTCAACGAGATGATGGTGACCTACCCGCGTCTCGGCGTCAACCTTCAAATCGCCACGCCGAAGGGCTACGACCTTGATGCCGAGGTGTTGGAGCGGGCGAACGAGGGCATCAAGGCGGAAGGTGGGAAGGGCAAAATCATTCACACGCACAGCCCGGAGGAGGCGGTTAAGAACGCCAACGTAATCACTACCGACACTTGGTACGTCTGCCGGCTGAAAGCACATCCCCGTGATACTCGCGTACTGATGACGCTCACCGGCAGGATCTCCATGGGCCAGGAGGAGGAGGCAGCGAGGCGCATCAAGGACTTTGCCGGCTACCAGGTTACGAACGACCTGCTCGCTCGCGGCGGTGCAGCCAAGGACGCCACCTTCATGCACTGCTTGCCCCGTCACAAGGAGGAGGTCGATGATGAGGTCTTCTACGGCGACAAGTCGGTCGTCTTCCAGGAGGCGGAGAACAGGTGCGTCCCGGTCGTGCTCGCTTCTCTTGTCCAGCTTGCCTGCGAGCTTGCGCACTTACCCTGCTCATTTGCTCACTACGCAGGAAGTGGACCATTCTCGCGGTGTTTGACGCCTTCATCGGCAGGTGGAAGGCTTAGACGGACTAGACGAACTGCAAGAATCGCCGTTCCGGCAAGAACCAAGTCTCCGTTTGGCCGTCGCTCCGTCTGCGACGCTTGATGCAAGCTCGACAACACCTTCTCCTCATCGCTGCGAAGATTTTGCGCGTCTCGCTCGCTCAGGCCGCGCGCTGTCGACGCGTCGCCGAGTCGAGGCGAACAGCGACTGCCTCTCTCTCTTTCCTCTCATTCACACGCTACAGCGCCTGCACGGGCTGCCGACTCACGCATCCTCACTCACGCAAAACCCCACCCTTCCGAACCCCTCTCGCCGTCGACTCGCACTTCGTCTCTCGCACACATCGCTCAATTTTCGCCAGATCGTCCACCCCTCTCTTTGACATGTTGACGGGACGAGCGCGAGGCGCCACTATTGCGGCTTCGCGACCGCCATCCCTGTACGCAACCGACATGTCGACTTCGCCGTCCTCGCCTGCCCTCTCGACGACGAGCTCGGTAGACGGACAACGGTCGGCGAGGGACGAGGGATATGCGCGAGATGGAGGCGGGAATGGCAGCGCGATGCAGGACGGGCGCGAGACCCCCTACCTCCGTCCGCTTTTCGCAGGTCAAACGTATTCCGAGTCGGTATCTGTCGATGGCTTGATCTCGAGGAGACGGCGACGCCGGGCGCTCATCATCATCGTACGTGTTGACCCTGCCACTGTGTCACAGCGCTTTCATTGACTTCGAACGACTCGGCAGGTCCCGCCGCCCATCCTGCTATCAGCCTTTTCCTCTTCCGCCAGCTTGTTCTCGATTGCATACGGTCCGCCCGAGCGCTTCGAGAGCGGTGCCCTCATGTCTCTTCAAGGCAGTGTAAGTGGCAGCTCCGCAGAGCATGCCGTCAAGTAGTCTGACTGCTTCTGACCATCCAGCTCGGTGCCCAACTCGCTCTCATCGCCCGCGAGTACGGCCTACCTTCGATCGCCGGCCTCTCCCTCTACCTCTCTGTACCGGAGAGCCTGCCAGCAGCGCCTCATGCGCACGCCCACGCCGGTCCTCCGCCAAAAAGATACGCTCCTCGGCTGACGGCAGAGACCTGGTCTACCCTGTGGTCCGCCTTTTTCGAGGGCACGAGCGACGAGTACACGAGCTCAGGTGCGCCGAGTCTGCGTAAGTTTGCCGCCCTTTCCTACCCAACATTCTTAAGCTAAGTCTTCTGGCGCACGCAGCTATCGCTGGCCGCATTGAGTTCGACTTTGATCTCAGTCGCGCGACATGGCTTCGCGAGCTCGTCGAGGATGCCCCGCCTCGCACTCTTCGGTTGCAGCATCCTTTCAACCTGCCCAGCGCGCACGAGTCGCCCGCTAGCCAAGCTGAAGCTCGCTCGATCTCCCTTGACGACACCGAAAACGATGGAACGGTTGATTCGGCGCATGCGGAAGATAATGGATCCGTCCTCGCCGACTACATCGAGACCACCCAGAGCTCGTCTTCCATCCGAACCTCGACTCCGCGCGCCAGCATCACCTCGCCTCCTCCTCCCCCCAGCGTCCCTCTTGCAGCTATGATCAACGACAGCGGTTTCGCCGAACCGAGCCTCGCCGCGAAAGACACTTGCAGCTCGCCCACTCAGCTCAATCGCAGCTTCACCTTCCCGCCCTCCACCGCAAGCCCCGCCCGAGGTGGCGCCGCATCAATCAGCCTTTTCCGCGCATCTAACGATGCAGGCCGGCTAGGCGAGAACGATTGGACGGCACAGCTCGACCGACTTCGCGAAATCAGCGAGACGTCAATGCTCGAGGGAGTCGAGCATGCCAGCCAGCTTGGTAGCTTCGACGCCTCGGGCTCGCTTGGCGAGCTCTTGATGAGCATTGTGGAGGAGGAGCGAGACGACGAGGTCGCACCTACGACGGCCGACGTCGTCGACATGGTCCAGTCCGTTGAAGCTGCCGGCGCAACGCAGCTGGTCGCGCCAGTCCGCCCTTCGGCTTCGTTCCAGCTTCCTTACCCGGTCATTCAGCCGTACCCTCCTGTCTATCCCAGCATCAACCTGTATCCTTCCATTGAGCGATTCGGTACCGCGTTCGAGCGCCAAGACGAGCCATACGACGCCCTTCGCGCCAACGTCGACTCGCCAACGGATGAAGCAACTCACGACGTACGCCTTTCTCGATCTGTCCCTGGCGAATCGCAGGCTGACCTGTCTTTTTCAGCCGCTCGTTCCCGACATCGCCCTCTCCCTGGCTGTCGAGCCGACACATACCGCCAACCCTCAAGGCGACTTTGACTTCCCAGCTCATCTCTCGCTCGACCCGCTCACGCGCGCTGCCGGGCCTGCCTCGCCTCTCCCCTCCCCGACCATCACGCCCGCCTCGCTAAGTCGCAGCTCGACCTCCTCCTCCTCTGACGCCCATGACTACCCAGTTGATTTCGACGACTACACGCTCGAGGTGACAGAGGCGCTCTCCTCGACTTTGGACTACAGTGGCGAGCTGGACTCGCTAGGTCTTGACCACGCAGACGACTACTTCGTCCTTAACACGAGTCAAGCGCCGCTCGATGGTAGCTCTGACAGCGAGAGTGATACGGAGAGTCAGTCTTCAACGGAGGAAGACGCTGCGGTAGACCGGGAACTCGGCGGTTTGGTCGAAGTCGACGACGCCTGTCGAACATTCGATGTCCCCGTCAGTCCTGCCTTTCGCGAACATGATGGGCACTTCTCAGAAGCTGACACAATCTACCTCGCAGTCATCGCCTCTTCCTCCTTCACCGGAACCCGTCCTCTTCGCTTTCCACTCTCTCGCAGAATCTCGCGACTTGCTCGATGCTGTCGCTCTCTTCGTCCTGGAAGGTTCGAATGCGGTTTGCCCGTCATTCAAGGGCGACGACTGACGCCTACGCACTGCAGCCCAGGGTCAATCGATCGACCGACGAGGTGCTTTCAGCGTTGCCGTTGGCGGAACGAGCGCTCCTCTCTCGCTTCTGCAAAAGGCTCTGGAGGGTCACAGTCGAGTACGCTGGGACCACTGGTGCGTGCGCAGAGAACGCTAACGCCGTCAGACCAACTCACGCTCTCTTTTCGCAGGGAGGTCGCCTGTCCTTCAGGTCTTCCCGAAGGCGTTCTCGAGGCTTTCGGCGCGGCTGTCCCCCTCGCTCGCATACGTCGTCACGACTCGACTGCCCTCCGACTAGCAGCGAAGGAAGCGGCTGAAGACGACCGCGAAGAAGCGGACGACAGCCAGGTCGACAAGAAGGCTTCACCTCGCTTCGACCTGGCGCTCCTTGACATCAACCAAGGTCAGTCGAGAGACGGGATTCCTCCACACTCATCATGCCGACGATTAACAATTGTGGCATTGACAGATCTCGGTCAACTCGAAACCCCGAACTCGCCTGCGCAGGCTCCGCGACTCCTCGACGACCTTGACCGCAAGGCCCCCAACGATCCTTTCTCCCTCTCACATCTCGCCACCTCTCGCCGTCTAACCTACATCGCCATCGGAGCATCTCAGCACTCCTCGCTTCGGAACCTTCTCAGGTCGAGCGACTCGCTTCGCCGCCTCGACCTCGCCAACGGCCACCCTGCGGCGATCTTTGCCGATGAAGACGCGGTGGAAGACATTGACTACCCGCGCTCGGCGTTCTGGGACGGCGAGGAGGAGTCGGCAGATTCTCGAGCGGAAGTGTAGCCTGTCTTCGAACAGAAACGGCGATCTATTGCGAGTGCGAGCGTGCAAGTAGTAAGACAGCAACAGGGAAGGACTGCGAGAGGGCGAGCGGAAGGATGAGAGCGGTGACGGCTAGCGGAAGTTGAGCTTGACGAGGAAGCTGCGAGTGCAGAGCGAGACGTCAGCATCGAGCAATAGACTAGGCGATGCGAGACGCACAGGAGCATGTCGGATAAGACGTGACACGACGTGAAGACACAGGCAATGACCAGCTCGGGCTGCGAGACGGCAAGTGTCAGCGTGCGGAAGAAGGGGAAGCTGCGCATGAGAACGGGCGCACGTGTTCGCGGAACTGGTCGAGGCCGAGCTGTCGAGGAGACAAGTCAGTGTCGATCAGGAGAAATGCGTTGCGGCGGAAAGAGAGGAAAAATAGACGCACATTGGTCACGTCAATCTCGTAGCACAGCCAGCAGACTGCCCTCGCGAGGTAGTTCGAGAAGAGCTCGGTCGCGTAGATGACGAGCGATGCGGTGAGGGTGAGGCGGTAGGTGTAGGGGTCGTAGCGGGTGTCGAAGGCGAAGTAGGGATAGATGACCTTGTTCGGGCCCCAGTGTAGGATGGAGAGCCAGCCGAGGAAGCCGATCACTGCACGAGATATGCGTCAACTTCGATTGCCGCTGCACCGGCGGGTCGAAGGCGGGCTGCACTCACTCGTGACGTTCTCGCTCAGGTTGCGGAGGTATAACTCGGTCCCCTTGTTCGCGACGTACTCCGCATACTCCATGTCGACGCCGACTGTCGCGTTGAGGAGCCGATAGAAGGTCTTGCTCATCGAGATTGGGTAGAGGACGATGACGAAGGACGAGGAGAGGAGGGTGATCCAGGCTGCCTGATCGGGCGAGCGAAGGCGGGCGAAGAGGTTGCGGTAGAAGACGTGGTAGACGAGGAAGAAGTAAAGCTGGGAGGGAAGAGCGTTAGCGAGAACGGCGGAACTCGGAACGGGAGATTCCGTCGCACCCGGAAGACGAAGACGAGCGCTTGACTGCGCACTTTACGAAGGAGGATCCAATTGCTGACCGAGCTGAGCAGCTGTAGACCGCAACTCTCAGCAGCAATTGAGAAGATCGCTTGGAACGAGACATACGTTGACCGTCAAGATCCAGGTCCAGACGTAGACAAGTCCGTCGACAGCCGAATGCGGGAGCGTCGAAAGGTAGACGGTCGCGAAAGCCTGACCGGTGATGAGCGCGAGGAGGGAGAGGGCAATCGTGCCGAGGAACCAGAGGAAGCGGCGGTATGAGCGCGGCATGCGTTGCGTGAGCTGCCGCTCGAGGAAGCTGCGGGAGGGTCATCAGCCCACTTCCCTCGGCGATGGAACTGCACGCACGTTTTCTGCGCCGGCGTCAGGCTGCGACGAAAGCTGTTCCGCCTGTCCGCTCGCAGCTTGGCGAAGCAAGCGAGCGCCGGCAGAGCCATCGTTGCGAAGGCGAGCAACACCCAAGTCGTTTTGCGCTCCCAGTCGAACTCCTCGCCATCGTCCTTCGGTCGCCTTGAACGTGTTCGGCGCCCGAAGCCGTCTAGGTCGAAGTGGTGGAGTAAGCCGCCGGTGAGGAGGGCGAGCGACCAGAAGAAGGTGTACGAGATGGAGCCGCCGATCGACTTTGGCCACCAGTTGACGCGGAAGAGGTCGAAGAGCTTGGTGACGAAGATGAGGGCGATTGCGAGGTAGACGCCGTAGTCTGCAGCGCGAGTCGGTGTGAAGGGTGGAGTGTGGCAGGGAGAGGGGCGAAGAAATGGACGCGGAGCCAGGGTAGTTGTCGGGTATTCAAAGTGCTCGTTAGCGGGCTGCTAACACTTCGGAAGCGCGGAGACGCACAGTACAGGAGAAAGAACCACCAATTCGCATCGACCGGCAGGTCTGGCTCGTCAGCCGGCGGAGCGACGACAAGTGAGTACGAGCTGGTCGGCGTCGGAGCGGTGTTGAGGATTTCCAGAAGCAGTGGGCGGCGAGGTGTGACGTCTCGCTCGTATCCACGCTCGTTCGTCGCGCTCGACGCGAGGACTACATCGATCGGCGCTGCAACAGCTGACGTCGCCGGAGTTGACGTGACGAGTGCCGTAGTGGGCGGATCGCCAGGCCAGGGGAGGTCTGCGAGGGTACGAACGTTAGCGAGATGGGTGAGCAGCAGCAAGGACCGGGACTCACGCCAAGGCGGCTCCTCCGTGTACGGGTTGTCGACCGGGAACGGCACCGCACACCAGATCCACACAATCAAGCAAGGCGTGCCGACGAGGACCGCCCACCGCCTCCACCAGCTCGACATCCACCTCTCGACTCGCCTTCGACCAGGTCTGAGCAGGCCTCCGTCTTCTTCCTCGTCTTCTGCGCTTCCTCCACCTCCTTCTTCGGCTGTGTCGCCATCGCCGAACGCCGCTCGACGTTGTTCGACGCCAGGACCGTTCCCTACGCCGCTCCTCGACAACCAGTCTCCGAGCAGGCTCCTCTCTTCTCCGTCCCTAGCGCGCTCCGCCCCCCTCCTCCGGTCTGGGGAGAGCGCATGCAAAGCTCGTTCGATCGGTCGTGTGCGAGTACGAGGTTGGTGAGGGTGTAGACGTCCATTCGGGAGGGAAGAGGGGGCGAAAGCGAGAGGTAGGTTGTGCGAGCTCGAGTTGCGCGACGAGGGGACAAGCGGGGGCGGCGAAGTAGGCCGAACGTGTGCGTGGAAGCGGCCTGGTGCGTATGCTGGCGATTCTGCGGGACGAGCGAGCGAGATGAGGTCGTTGCGTTGTGGGGGAGGAGAGGAGGGGAGAACTCACGGTCCCAGGTGCCTGGGTCGTCGGCGCCCTGGCTGAAGCTCGTGAACATGCGGTCGCAGTTGACGCAGCAGCTCTCCAGGCGAATTCGAGCGCGAGGTGAGCGAGAGAGCTGAGCGTGAAGCGGACGCGCCAGAAATGAACGTGCAGGCAAAGTCTCTCGTTTGCGAACGAGTACGACGTCTAAGAGTGCAGGCGAGTGGTGATTGATTCCGGTGAAGACAGACAGGGCGTCCCGGGGGAGTGAGAGGACCAGGAAAGGGAGATACAGCTCGGGGGGTAAAGCAGAACCGAGAGCGAGTATCACGAGAGAAAGGGTTGCGACTGCGAGAGACGACCAAGGCGGGGGAGAAAACGACAACGACTTGCACCCAAGAAGAAGAGACGAAAACGGTCGACGCGGGCGGGCCTGCGCCTCTGCTTAGTTCTGGTTCGAGGCCTCGCCGTCCTCCTTCTTGCGGAGGATGGTCCTAATGCGCTCTGCGACAGAAAGGGGGTCAACTCCTGGCGCGATGGACGGCGCACGAGGGCGGAGTGAAGAAAACGGCACGAACCGTGCTGGGCAAGCATCGTGTAGGTGTTCTCGCCGGCCTCGTTCTGCGACTGGCGCCACTGGTAGTTCGCCTCGACGTAGACAAGCGAGCTGTGCAGGTGGCAGAGTAGCCGCGACTCAGCTTCTGTTGAAAGGACTCCTTTCGCTCGACAAGGCCAGCTCACCCGATGGGAACCTGAGAAACGCGCTCGACAGCGTCGCCGTGAGCAAAGATGGTGTGCCACGAGGTCGTGGGCTTGGCGTTGGGGTCTGTAGAAGCGCAAGGGACCGTCAGCATCGAGTTCCGAACTCGAAACCGCCAACTTTCGCGCGCTCGTCGCCTCGCTCGACCCCGCGAGCAGTCCGCATGCCAAAGCAGACTAGACGCACCGGCATCGCGCGCCTCCTTGGACATGGGGTCGCTGGTGGCGATGGCGTAGCGAACGTAGGGCTTGCCAGCCTTCGACTGCTTGTGGTCGAGCTTGCCGAGGCGGCCGATCAGAGTGATCTTGGCCATGTCTGCCGCACGGGGAGTCGAGGAGAAGGCCTGCGAGCGTTTTCACGCACCAAACGGGGTCAGCAACGACTTGCCAGATTGAGCGGCGGGGAGGACGAGGAGGGGCTAACTCACGCGAACGCCAGCGCGGGCAGCGGGTCGGACAGCAGCGAGCATTGTATTGGCCTGTGAAGGCGAATGGGCGGGCGCAAGCAGGGCACGAGGGGCGTGGGAGCGAAGGAAGGCGGTTTCGACGGGGAGTGGATGAGTGGGTGCGGGTGTCGAGATGAAAGCGATGGGGCGGCGTGCGACTTGTGGTCAGCGTCCTGTGTACACTCTGCTGAGCTCTCTGCGTGCTCACCTGGTAGCTTGCGCGAGTGTGAGCAGGTTGAAGATGAACAACGGCGCTGCCGGCGGACGCGTCCTCATCTCAAGCGCGTCGAACAACCCCTGACTTCGTCGTGAGAGGCGGAGCGCGCAGAGGCTGACGGAGCGTGCGCAGTCGAGAGAGACACGCTCCGAACGGCCCCAGCGAGCGAGCGAAGCGCGCGGACAAAGGCTCTCCTCCTCGCTCAGACATGCTTCTCGCGCGAGGAGCGAAATGACGCTGTCACGTTGCAGACGCTGCTGCCTCTTGAGTCTACCGTACCGCGGCGGGACGCGCTCGAGCCAGCTGCCGAGGCTGCGGCTGCGCCGGGGGCTGGAAACGCGTGCGAGCGTCTGTCGGGCGGCATGGCTGGAGCAAGTTGACGAGTTGCGAGCTCGCCGAATGGAGCCGGCTGTTGTACGACCGGAGATATCCGCCTGTCGGGCTAGAAGTGGCGGACTTGTCGGCAACGTCGCCAATCCTCCCTCCCCTCTCCCTTCGCTCAAACTTCCCGCAAGAACCCAACGACCCTATCCGCAAACTCCCCCGCATGCTGCTCGTCCTTCAAATTGTGCGCCGCGCCCTCCACAATCCCACTCAACGCGCTACACCTCCCCGCCGCAGCTTTTCGAAACCGCCCCAGCAGCGTCGGTAAGTCGCTCTTCACCTCGGTGGGGTAGGTCTCGTCCTCCCCGCTTAGGACGATCGATAAAGGGCAGTCGATCGCGCCGAAGACGTTCGAGAGTCGGGTGTCGCTCAAGTCGCCTCCCCATCCCGCTCCCGCACTAGTCAGACAGACCTGCGCTATCCGCCAGCCCGCCCGTGAGAGACGTTTAGCGAGGAGCGGCAGGTACGGGACGCTGCAGAGGGTGTCGTTCAACCCGGCAACGAAGAGGACGAGGGGAGTTGATGAGGAGGTGGGAGGGCCGAATTCGAAGGCCGTGAGGGGCTTGGGAGAGATCAGGTGTAGCTGGCCGGGGATAGGGTCCACCATGCGGAGCGAGAAGCTGGACAGACGAGCGAGCGATGTGCGGGAGGAGGAAGACCAGGTGAGAAGTGAGGAAAGCGAAGGAGCGAAGGGATTCTCGCTCGAAAGGCACTAAACGGAACTACGATTTCACAAAAAGCGAGGTATAAAGCGTCCCCTCCTCCCATTCAGCCCTTGAGCGGCGCAGCAGACGATTCAAGCGGCTTGTTCAACGCCGCGCCGCTCGCCTCCGTTCCCTCGACCGTTCCCTGCGAAGGGAGGGGCGCGTCGTGCGGCAAAGTCGTCGAGGTCGCCGTTCCAGTCGTCGGGACAGTCGACGCGCCGGTCGCTCCGCCCGCCTCCCTCTTCTTGGCCTCGGCGATGCGCTTCGCCTCCTCGTGGATATCGAGCGCGTTCTTCTGCGCGCTCGTGTAGAACTGGTGCACCTTGGCTCCGAAAGGCGAGGCGAGCGCAGCGGAGTAGTACTTCCTCCCGACGATCCATCCCGCCTGAGCCTTGAGCGAGAGACCCTGCTTCTGGTCGACTTCGGCGAATTTTTGCTGCGCGCGCTCGACGTGAGGGGAGGCGGCGGTCGTGACGCGGTCCTTGAGCGGGTTGAAGAAGCGAAGGAAGCGCTCGGTGATGCCGTAGCCTACGGGCAAGTCCACGGTCACCACGTGAAAGTCTCGAGCAGGTGACGGCGCGACGTACTCTTGTCCGCCTCGATGGCGCGGTTGACAGCCTGGTCGCTCAGGACGTAGCCGTGCGCGAGGTATTCGGCGACGATAGCCGAGCGAGGCTTGTCTGCGAGAACAAGTGAAAGTCGTCGGAGTCCGTCAGCCTTTATGCAGCTTCCGAACAGTCCAGCTTGGCACTCACCCTCCTGCTCAATCTCATCGTGCGAGTCAGACGTGCCAGCTGCGGCAATGGGCGGCTGAGCATGCGCAGCCTTGGGCGCCTCGACCTCGTCCGACTTGACCTCGATGACCGAGCCGTCGAGCGTTCCGCCGGTCAACATGAGGGCGGTCTTGGCGGCCGATTCCTGCGCACGTTGCAACGATGTCAGCGGAGTAAGCTTTGAGCAGGATGGGAGGGAGCGGACCTTGACAAAGTTGACCTCGGCGGATCCATTCGACGGTCCCTCGATGCTCGCGATCTTGCCGCAGAAGCTGCGCGCACTCCCACGTCTGTCAGCAACGCTCAAAGTACGAGTGGCAGGATGCGTACGCACGAGAAGAAGTGCTCGAGGGTCTCCTTGGAGGTGGTCGCGGCGAGGTTGGAGACCTTGACAGTGTGGGTAGTCTGTGCGGTGTGGTCGACAGGCTGGGTGAGTGTCAGTTCGAGTGGTGTTCGTCTCGCTTGGGCTGTGGCAGTCCCGTTTCCACGCAGCAATCGCCGTGACCCCGCTCCACGGCGAGCACACCGTGGTGTGCGGGAGTTTGACGGGGGTGTTGCTGCTGGTGCGGTGGAGTGGGTTGGGAAAGCGTACGCACCATTGTGAGTGGTTGGATGAGTGGTGTGGTGGTTTGAGAGGAAGGGAGAGAGCGAGTGAGCGGACGGCGATGACGAGGCGAGGGCAAGGTGCGGGGGAGGCGGTGAACAACGATCGAGCGTGCGAGCAAAGTGAGCAACCTGGACAGCGCAGGCAGCGACGGCGAGAGAGACGGGCGACGCTGCAACGAGAAGAGACAGACGGAGCGACCAGGTTGCAGAAGGAACGAGGACGCCTGACTGCGGATTGCAGAGTAGACGCTGGGAATGCGATGCGAGCGAGAGTATGGGCACGGGACAGGGACAACATGGAGGAGACGATGGTGGTGGACGAGTAAAGCGAACCGGAGGCTGTTGCGAGGAGAACGATAGAGTCAGTTCAAGTCTTCTGTCGCCGATGTCAACGACTCCCACTGCATCCGCTCAGTTTAGATCAAGTAAAAAGCCAGCTCCATCAGAGCGGCAAAGGCCCTCATCGTCAAGTCCCTCGACCAGTCCTCCGCCCTCGACGAACGGTTCTTGTGAGGAAAACCAGAAAGTCTGGAGACGGGATGTGGTCAAGGGACCGGGTGAATCCACGATAGTAAGGCGGGAAGCGACTAGAGGTTTGGTGTGTCGTCGTAGCGGAGTGCAGCGGGAGGCGGAAGGAGGTGAGGAGGAGGGTAGGAGAACTCACGGAGTTGAGTGGGCGATCATGCGGTGTAAGGAACGATGTGGCAGCTGCAGGAGCGCGAAGTACGGTTAGTTCGTCGTGAAACAGCTTGCGCCGCTCTTGCGGCAGCCGCAACGCACCCTAGCAGCCCCCGTCCGCCCCATCCCTCTCTCGGCGTCAAGCTAAGCCTCATCGTCTGCGCTTCCCGCCGTACCGTAACGCTCAAAGCGACGCCTTCCGACCGCCCGACGAGCGCTGCGACAGCGCGGAGGTTGTCGTGGTTCGAGGCGACAACCGATTCGAGCGCGAGGAGGAGGTCATCGCGTTTCAGGCCCTGCGTACGAGTCAAAGTCAGCTGCGCGAAGGAGCGCGTTGGTAAGAGGGTGAACACACCGCTGCATCTGCCGGAGAACCAGGCGCGACCGCATCCACCTTGGCAAACGGCTTCACTCCATCCCCCTCCTCCTCCCCGTCCTGCTTCCGCTCATCCTCCTCACCCGCTCCATTCGCCCCTTCCTCCCCTCTCGGCAACCCCCGATGTACCAGCCCCTCCATCTCACCCAACACATCCTTCAAATCGTTTCGCAGACGGATGATTTGGACGCGTGCGGTTCGGACGCTTGCGACGTCGATGTCGGAGCGGGGGAAGCCTTCGCGGTCGACGAGGGGAGTGTCCATCGTGCAGTTGTTCTATTTCACCCCAAGCCAGTCTCAGCTTCGTCCTTGAGCGAGTTGCGAGAGAGGGAGAGGAGACGCACCGACTTGAGCACACCAAAGTACGCCTCCAACTGCTCCTCCACGCCTTTGCGCTTGTCCGTCAACCTCTTGACTTCGCTCTGCACCGTCGGCTGGCCTGCATTGGCGTTTGTGGAGGACGACGCAGAGGTGGTCGCTTGCGCGGAGGAGGGGAGGTGCAGCTCGGTGGGGATGGACATGGGCGCGTGAATGGCGGGTCTTGTGGCGCTTTGTGACCTTGAAGGAGCAAACAGACGAGCCCAGCAACCCGATTGAGCGAGTCGACTTCACACTTCCTCTCCAACCTCCTCATCGCCTCACTTCTCCATCTCCCCCTGCTCTCATCTCGCTCAAAAGCTTCAGGAAGGATGGCAGACCTCGCTATCGCCGTCAACAACCTCGACTTTGCCTATGCACAGCTGAACGCCCCGGCGAGACCGGTCTTGCACGACGTTACGCTCAACTTGCCGAAGGGGAGTCGGTGCTTGCTTGTCGGCGCGAACGGCGCGGGTGAGTCCGTCAGGCTCTACCGGTGGTCTCTTTCGGAAGCTGGGCGGAGCGACAGAGTCAAGGATGCTTGCGATGCGGAGGTTGGTCTCCTCGCAGGTCGACGATGACGGAGGGAAGAGGGTCGGGCAGTCATCTATGCTCGTACGCCTGCGGGAAGGATTATCCAGCTTCAGCAATTTTCTCCAGAGGCTTCGCGACCCGAACAAGCGTCGTTGCGTGCAAGAGCTCGCTGACATCCCCACTTCCCCTTCCTCTCCCTCGCAGGAAAATCAACGCTTCTCCAGATCCTCGCCGGCAAGCGCCTCACACGGAGCAACGCCAAAGTACTCGGCAACGACGTCTTCTTCAAGACGCCGGACGGCGTAACTTACCTTGGTGAGTTCAGCTCAGGTGTTCTTGCGCTCTTCGTCGCCGGGACAGAATCCATGTCTTTTGCTGGCGTATTGCTTAACAAAACAGCTAGCTGACTCTCTCGAGCTCTGCAGGAACGGAGTGGGCGTCGAACCCGGTCGTGCGAAGCGATCTCGAGGTCGCGCACTTCCTGTGCGTTCGTTCCAGCTACAACTCGCCGCGCGGAACGCTGACAGAGTATGACTACAGCGACTCAGTCGGCGGGTATCGGTACAAGGAGAGGCGAGATCGCCTGCTCGACATCCTGTTCGTCTTCCTCCTTCTCGCCTTCGACGGCTGCCCAGGCTTACGTTGTCTGCCCAGCGACGTCGACTTGGCTTGGCACATGCACGAGGTTTCGGACGGCGAGAGGCGGCGGGTGCAGATCGTGAGCGGGTTGATGGCTCCGTGGGATCTGTTGCTGCTCGACGAGGTGCGTGTCGACGACTCTGCCCATTGCTCCGGATCCAGAGCGTCTGCTCGCTCTGAGCTTCTGGGCGAAGATGAACAGCACTAACGCCCCTTCATCCGCAGGTCACCGTCGACCTCGACGTCCTCGTCCGCTCCCGCCTGCTCGCCTTCCTCGCCGAGGAGACCCAAACCCGCGGCGCCACCATCGTCTACGCCTCGCACATCTTCGACGGAATGGACTCGTGGCCGACTCACTTGTGCCACATCCAGCTCGGGTCGACCGTCGCGCCTTCGCCGCTTAGCTGGCCGCTCACGGGAGCGCAAGGGGAAGACGAAGCGGTTCCGGCTGAGGTGAGGGAGCGGATGATGGACCCTGACAGGAGCGGGAGCAGGCTGCTTGAGCTCGCGGTGCACTGGTTGGAGATTGACAAGAAGATGCGCATCGAGAAGGAGATTCGTGAGGGCGGGAAGCAGAAGCGCGGTGCGACTGGCGCGGCGAACGGAGTGGTGACGGACAGCGAGGCGTTCTACCGCAAGTGAGTCGCGCAGCTTGCCTTGTCGACGGGCTGGCGAGCTGATGATCGCTCCCGCAGGTACGACTACTCGCACTGAGCCTACAGAACCGGCCCTCTCGTGTGCTTGGCAGCTACAGATACCTGCACCGAGTGCAAGAGATACCCTCCCATCTTATCGTCCCGCAGTCGCGAGACACCAGGACTCGCAAAATCGCCCAGCGTTAGGAAGGTCCCGGACAGCCCTCTCCATTGACGCACTGTGTCAACAAGGTAACAGACACCTACACACGGTGGGCTACAGCTACTGCCACCTCCGCAGCCTTCGGCGCGTCCCCATCCCCTTCGCTCCCGGTCTCGCGCCCGTCCCGACCCTCCGCCCCGCTTCTTCCTGTACGACCGCTCCCGCCTTTGCGCCTGCACCTACTCGCTGCGCCGGCTTCGGCGCAATCTCAACGTCCTCAGGCTTGACGACCCTTCCGCCCGTCCCGATCTTCTTCGGCTTCGAGAGCGGGCCGGCTACCGCTGCGAGAGGCTTCTTCTTCTCCTCTGCCGGTGCTGGCGCCTCCTTTGCAGGCTCGAGTGATGCATCGGACTCTTGTACGCGAGAGGCGGCGTGCGAGTCGACCTTGGTGCCTGCTGGTGCGACGGCTCCGCCTTGCGACGAGGTAGTCGATTCCTCCTTCGCCTCGCTCGACTTGGCAGGCAGCGCAGCCATCGGGGCGCGAGCCGCCGCGTCCTCCATCGCTGCCATGTTTGGCGCATCCGCGAGCGCCATCTCGTCCGGCGAGAAAGACGCGGACCCCGCCATTTCGTCGTCAAAGTCGTTGTCCGCCGCCTTGTCCTTTACCTTCGAACCGGACGATACGTCGAGTGCTGCACCACTCTTGCTACCGCTGTGTGCGCTTGAATCGCCCGAATCAGCCGAAGGCGCCTTGCCGAACGGCCGAACCTGCTTCGGTGCCGTCTTCGCCTGATCCTGTAACTTGTCCTTGGCTGAGGACGAACTTCCCGACAGGCCAAGCTCATCGTCTGCGTCGTCTGTCCGAGACGAACCATGCGGATTTGCCGGCGCCGCATTCGCCTTCTTGTCCTCCGCAACGAACCAGGTCACCTCCTTCTCCTGCTTGACCTCTTCCGCCGTTCCAGCTGCACCGCCGTCCTTCAGCACACTCGTCTCCTTCTTCGGAGGTATCCGGTTCACCTCGATCGCCTGATTCGCATCCCACCGCTCATCCGCCGCCCTCCAACCCCAGTTGTCCTTGATCGTCTGCGGCACGAAAGCCGAAGGTGCAGGTGCGGCAGGGTGAGAGAAGAGTGCATAGGCGCCGAAGAGTGCGATGGCGAGGACGACGATGCCTCGTCTGGAGGAGAGGTAGGCGAGCGGATGGGAATGGGAACGGCGAGGCGTGTTGCCCATGGCGGGCGTCGGCGGGGATGCGGCGTCGTGCTTCATGCTGCGAGGGTTTGTGTGGGTGTCGGGAAATGTTGTCGCGCCTTCAGGAAGCGCGAGGGGACGAGGGAGCGAGTTGTTCGGCGCTCGAGCGGAGTCCGGGAAAGGATGATCGAACAGGCAAGTTGGCGGCGGCTAGGGAGGCTGGCGGGTGCAGCGTTGAGCGTGTACGAGCAGTGTGAGCGAGTGCAAGGCAGCAGCGATGCGTACGAGGCAGAGGAAGGACGCGAGCTGGCGATCGAGCAACTCGCGGCCGCTTTCATCCTGGAGCTCTCCGGCGTGGTGGGAACGCGCGGCTAAGCTCGACTGATTGCAGGAGCGTTGGAGCACAACAAGTCCATTCGCAGCAGTGCCAGAAAGTCGCGCTAAAGACCCGCCGCAAACCGCGATGCGGAACGGCCTTCTTCTCGCTCCTCCTCGCCGCCTCGGACATCGTGAGCGTCGCGCCGCGACTCAGAAAGCTGCTGCAACGAAAGCAAAGGGTCATGCTGTTCGGTGCGCACGTCGTGGGATAGAGGCAAAGTTAGGTAATACAGGAGGCGAGGAGCCTTGATGGGGGGTCAGTTTTCAGAGGGTTAGGTTAGTAGCCAGAAGGTGAGTACACAGCACAACCACGAGTCAGAGTACAGTCGCGTCAACGTCCATCCTGTCGTCAGTACCCTCCGCCGCCGTAGCCGGCCGGCTGTTGAGGCGGGTAGCCGCCATCTGCGAAGGGACGAAGAGGTCAGTAACGTTTCAGCGGGTCTCGCTCGTGGTACGCACATCCTGCACCGGCGCCGTAGCCTGCTTGTGGGTAGGCGTTGTAGCCGTTGCCTTGCGGCGGACCGCCGTACGGAGCGGGAGGCGGAGGCGGCTGGCGAGGCGGAGGACCACGGTTCATGCCCGACGGCGGGTGCCTGTAGCGTGAATCGCAGTCAACGATAGCTCAGCGATAGTCAAGTGCGCGACGAAACGCACCAGTTCTCGGGGATGCGCCACGGCGGGATCTTGTTCCCGTTCGCATCGACGGGCTGAGTCTGCTGCATGGCCGGCGCAGCGATCGGACCTCCAGGCGCACCACCGGGTCCAGGCGGACCAGTCGCAGCGATAGGCGGGGCCGTGTCGGTCTCGCCGAGTTCGGCCATGAGCTTGGCGTACTCCGAGTCGAACTGCTGGGCCATCGGAGGGCCGGCGGGAGCGGGCGAGCCGAAGCCGGGAGGAGCGCCGAAGCCGGGCCTGCCGGGGCGCTGCGTGCAGTCGCGAGCCATGTGGCCGGCTGCGAGAAGGCGTGAGCCAGGAGAACAGGTGGAGGGGGGGATCGGGAACGCACCTCCGCCACAGATGCGACAGATGATGTTGGCGCTCCAGTTCTTCTGCTCGGGGCAATCGTACTTGCGATGGCCGACGCCGCCGCAGTTCCTGTGAACGGACGGGTGAGCATCAAAGCAGGAGGCACAGGAGAGGAAGAAGACGCACTGGCAGATCTGGTTCTCGTCGTCACGGAGCGTGCCGTTGAGCGCGGCGAGCTCACGCAGCTGGTTGCGCTTGTGGTCGTTCTGGCCTTCGGGAACGGATGCGGCCTGTACGGGATCGACGCGTGTGTCAGCAGATGCTTGCAGGAGAAGGAACGTCGGACGCACCGTCTCGATGACCGAGTTGATGAGCTTGACGCAAGCCTGCACCTTCTCCTCGCTGTCACCGGTGATCAAGCAATGCAGCTCGTCGTTCTCGTCGTCCTCGCGCCCGGGCCTGCCCTTGCCCTCCTTGACCGAGCCCTTTCCACGGATACTAATCCTCGCGCCACTCTCGCGCTCCATCTTCTTGAGCGAGTTGCCACGCGGTCCGACGAGCAAGCCGAAGAAGTTGATCTCGGGGAACTCCTTGACGGGGATGTAGATCTTCTCCTGCGGGCGGCCCATGTTCTGACGCTTCGCGACGAGGTACTCGGCAGGAGGACGGAAGTTCGGGTCGAGCTTGATCTGGCGGTCGATGAGGCGCATGCGCTCGTCTTCGAGACGCTTGCGGTAGCGCACTTCGCGCGTGTTGGTACGGCGACCGTGCGAGTCGTACGTCGGCGGGGGAGAGGGAGAGCGTGCGCCGTCGGGCGGGACGACCTGGCCGGTGCGAAGGGCGCGCTGAATCTCGTCGAGGCGCAATTGGACTGTGAAGTGGAAAATTGTGAGCTCAGTCCTGGGGAAGACCGCAATGAAGGGTGCGCACCTGCATACGTCTCGAGATCCTTCTCCTGCACACCACCCGTGATGGCGACCGGCACCGCCGCATCCGACTTGTCTCCCCAACGACTCTTTCTCTTGCGCTCGCCGGGCGCAGGTGAATCGGCGCCAGGAGGAGGTGGAGGGGGAGGGAGACCGGCAGAAGGTGGAGGGGGAGGAGGGCCGCGTCCACGGTCGTCGTAGCCACCACTGCTGCGGTCATCGAAGCGGCTCGAAGGGCGTCCACGGTCATCGTAGCCTCCGCCGCCGCCGTACCCTCCTCCTCCCCCTCCGCGAGAGTCGTATCCACCGCGCGAATCCCGGTCGCCGTAACCGCCGCCGTACGAGTCTCGTGGTGGCGGACCGCGGTCATCACGCCCGTAGCCACCGCCGTAGCCTCCACCGTAGCTGTCGCGAGGAGGAGGAGGGCCGGGAGGAGGGGGTCCGTCGGATCCTCCACCGCCGCCCCAACGGCGCATGCTGGGGAGCGGCACGTCGTTCGTGCCCGTGCGCTGGGCGTTGCTGCGGTACATCGTGCTGGTCGAGCCCTGCGTGGCGAGGTGAGCGAGTTGATGTGAGCAAGTCAGCAGGGGTGAGCAGGTGGGTGGCCAAGAGGCTTCGGCGGTGCAAGGCGGGCTACAGAGAATTTCTGCGAGCTCGAAGAGGCTTCTATGACTCACCTCGAGTGCAGTCAGCGAGAGTCGGCCGTATGGACGAAGTGCAAGAGTTGGCACTCGCCTTTCGCTGAGGCAATCTCGTGCTACAGGCGAACGACTTTGAGATTACGGCGATACAACTACTAAGGAACGACGAGATCCGACAGCAAGCCCGAGTGGGCGAACCGGCATACGTTATTGCTCCTCCTGGCCTCCCTCTCCCTCGTACGCCTCCTCCTCGTACTCGTCGTCGTCCAAGGCCGCCTCGGCATATTGCTGGTACTCCGCAATGAGGTCGTTGATGTTCGATTCGGCCTCGGTGAATCTGCACCAGCGGGAGAGTCAGCAGCCGTACCTTCAGCGTCGAAAGAAGGCTCGACACTCACTCCATCTCGTCCATGCCCTCGCCGGTGTACCAGTGCAGATACGCACGACGACGGAAGAGCGCCGCAAACTGCGTGTGCGTGCGGCGGAAAAGGTCCTGGACGGAGGTGTTGTTGGAGATGAGAGTGGCGGCGATGGGCGAGTCGGTCGGCGGGACGGAGGTGAGGGCGATCTGCGTCGCGTTCGGACTGTGCGAAGGTAGAACGAACGAGTCAGCAGCGAAACAAGCGAACCAAGCGAAGGGTGGTGGCTCACATCCACTCGACAAAGTACGCGCTGTTCTTGTCGTGCACGGCGAGCATCGAGTCCTCGACGGCCCGACTCGAAATGTCCTTGCCGCGGAAAAAGGCAGCCGACGTCAGGAACTTGCCACTCCGCAAGTCAATGGCTGCCATCTGGTGAGCCGGGTCGAAAAGCTGCTGGGTGAGGTCGGGAACGGAGAGCTTGCGGAAGGCGGTCGCGTTGGCGGCGCCGAGAGGCGCATACGAGGCGGTGAGGAAGTGGAGGCGAGGGAAGGGAATGAGGTTGGTCGCGAGTTTGCGGAGGTCCGAGTTGAGCTGGCCGGGGAAGCGGAGGGGAGTAGTGATGCCAGACATGACGCCGGCGATCAAGGCGTTGAGATCAGAGTAGGCGGGGCTGGTCTTCTTGAGCGTCTTGGAGAGGATGTTGCCGAGCGCCTCGTTGTCGAAGGAGAAGACGAGGTCGGCGTTCTCGACGAGCTGATTCAGGGCGAGCACGGCGTTGTACGGCTCGACGACCGTCTCCGAAACCTTCGGGGCGGGCAAAACCGAGAATGTGGCGAGCATGCGGTCCGGGAATTCTTCGCGGATCTTGGCGAGGAGGAGTGTTCCGAGACCCGATCCCGTTCCACCGCCAAGCGAGTGGATGAGCTGGAACCCTTGCAGGTTCTCGCAGCTCTCCGTCTCGTGCCTAAGCTGGTCGAGGATCTGGTCGACGAGCTCGGCGCCCTGCACGAGCAACCTGAAGTCAGTCGCTGCGCTCTAGTACGGCCAGCGCTCGCATCTTACCTCCGTGTAATAGCCCTCTGTCAAGCGAATGGGTAAGCCGGGGAACGCGAAAAGACGGCGGAACGAGACCTACTCGACCAGTTGTTGCCTGCACCAGAGCTGCCGAAGACGAAGCCAGACCTTAGGGAGCATACGAGTAAGCACAGTGCTCACTTCAAGAGCCGATTTAGATCCCGGGCGTGCGGAAGTGAGGGAAATCGCAGGAGATGGATGTCAGGAGGAGGGCTCACGGTCGGAACAGGTGGCCCAGCTTGGACGATTTGATGGCGTCGCCGGTCGAGGGTTCAAGGTCAATCTGCAGGCCGCGAGGGACGTACTTCTTGTCCTCTGCGCGCACGAAGCGACAACGGTCAGCGAAGGTGGGGGCAGGGCGACGGGAGGCCCCGCTGAGGCGCAAGCGGGCTAGCGCTAAGCACATTTGTGCAGTTTAAGCCGCTTGATGGCAAGAAGACCGACTCACCGGCCTCGGAGAAGAAGACATCGAGCCTGTCGGTGCAGACATGGTCGACGTTGGGCTTGATGTGGCCGTCCTCGTCGAGGCCGTGCTCGGCCAGGATGCGCTCCCAGAAGCTCGTGGCGACCTGGTTGCCAGCCTGTCCGACCTGGAGAGTCACCAATTCGCGCATCTTGGCGGTTCGAGAGAGGGTCGGGGCGTGTGGGAGGTGGTGGAGCGGGAGGAGGGAGAAGCGCGCAGGTGGTCTCGACGGATCTGCGGTAGCGTCTGAGTAGTAGCTGGACTGTCTCTGAGTGCTCTGCTGGTGAGCGAGCGAGGTGGTGGACCACAACCCGCTCGCCTTCGCCCCTTGTCCTCCTGACAACACACTGGACCCGCTGACTCTCGCTAGAGCGCTGCTGAGATGGATGACGACCTTGCTACGCTTCATGGTGTAGTGTCTACGCACTCGGATTCGGGCTACGCGAGCAGCGCGCCCTGTACGTCGAGTCTTCCTTCGCCCCGACTGATGAAGGTTCATCGACACTTCTCGCCCCGCGCAGCGGTCGCTGGCCCTTCAACGCGCTCGCGAGCGGGTACCACATCGCACACAAGTCGCTCGACCGCGCGAACCGGCCTTGCAAGCTTGAACCTCCGCCTCGACCACCTTACGCAGGACCTGGACGAGGTCGCAGGGGCTATCAACTCTTCATCCTCCGCAGAAGCCGGCCGCAGTCTCGGCGTCAGGCGGAAGACTATCCAGCGCAAGCCTGAGCGACCCGAGATGAACGCTGTGCACGGTCGGCCGGTCAACAAGCGTGTCCCAGCGACTGCTCCTCTCGTCCCGCCTCCCAAGCGTCGCAGGATGACTCTCGCGCCCATCGTTCCCAGTCGCACGTCTTCCCGTGAGGACGCACTCGACGATGAACTTCCGGAGGCGGCAGAGTCGCCGTCTCTCCTGCTTGATCGACGTTTCTCTCCCGAGTCTGGCAGGATACGCACGATCGCGCGCGAAGCGAACGACCTTCCACCTGCTGTGCAGACTTCGCAAGGTCTTCTGCGACTGCCCTCCTTCATGCGCCCGCATGAGGTTCGTCTCTCGTCTCGCCCCTCTTCGACCGAGAGCTAACGCGGATCCGACAGGTTCCCGCTGCGTTTCCCGCATCAAAGAGCCCGACGCCGCCATGGCTCACTGAGTATGTCCAGTCGAGCGCTGAGCCCGACAGCGCGGCTAGCCATTCTTTGGCAGCGAGGCGTCGTTCACCGTCTTCCACAAGCTCTCGCATCACCACGTCTCACGAGTACACCGAACACGTCGCGCCGCTTCGCAAGCTTCCTTCCATCGATCAAGTGCCAGTTACTGCCTCTGCAGCGGGCTGGCCCGTGCGTCGTCGCACTCCCTTGCCGTTCTCTACCAGCGGCCGCAGGCAGACTCTTTCGCCCATGTCGACGACTTTCTTGCCTCTCCGCCCTTCGAACATCTACCAAGCTCAGCTCGTGAAGCCGATGCATCTCTTTGATGCCATTGACTACGGCCACCTGCCTGACGGAGGTTGGCATCTCCCGCTTTCGCCTTCCTACTCTTCGCTTTCTTGCGATTCACGGACGGAGCTCGGCGTCGGACCTTTCCAGACGGCCTCTGCGCGTCAAGCGATGCTGCTCCCCCCGCCGCAGAACCCGGGACATGAGGTGCGCCAACTCGACTACGGCAGCCTATCAAGGCACGGGACCTTCGAACACACGAAGAGCTTGTCGCCTGGCCCGCAGCCTTCTTTCCAGCAAGGGTTTGCAACGCCTCCTCGCCTCACGAGCGCTTTCGGCTGGCACGAGCCGCTTCGTCCGCCTAGCCCGCCTGTCCCCTTCGCGCCGACTTCGGACGACTCGTTCCCTCAAGCTGACTTGTCGGAGGTCCCCCGCTTTTGGAGGAGAGCGCCGCAGCTGGGATTGCCGTCGCAGGTGCGTTGGCGAGCCTCCCGCCTCGTCTCGTCTCGTCTCATCTTCGAGCTGACCTCGCACGTGATGACAGCCGCAATCACAGCCCGGCCGCGCTCGCTACGCCGCTCTCCTCGAACGCGAAGCGGCCTCGCAGGTCGTGCATCCTGCTCCAGCCGAATCAGCCGATCGCGCCGCCCTGCACGACCACCGCGAGTCCCGCTCCGCTTTCATCCACTCCACCTCTTCGCTCCCTCCTTCGCCTCGTCCCGACGATGCTCCTCAAACTTTGCGCGACGAGTCAGCGACGACGGGTGTCGATAAGCAGATCGAGCCAGCTGTCTCGGCTCCGACGCCCGGCGTCGACCCTCAGCTTCTCGGCGGCCTCGCCCCTCCGCAAGCCGACGACTCGCAGGCGACCGATCTCGGCGCATCGTACGAAGACTCGCAGCAGTCGACCCGCGCCGCAGGACCCGTCTCCGAGCAGGAGAAGCCGACGTGGGACTTGCTCGGCAGCGCTGAGGACTTGCGTCTCGCTTTGCTGAGCGAAGAAGATGCACAGAAGGAGGTTGATGCGAATGGGATGGCGGGAGAGGGTGGGTTCGCGATCTACCAGGACTCACTCGAGGAGGATCCGATCGAGGAGGCCTAGGTGTCGGAGCAATGCATGCTTTCCTCTCATACACCCACGAGCGCAAAGCAGGAGCGAGAGTTGTGACCAAAGCCCATACTTCCACGAGACAGATCAACCCATCCTCTACTCAAGCAGCCGCTTTCGCAAGCTTGTAGACACTGTCGAGCCGCGCCTGCAGGTGCTGGCCCGCCGTGATATCTGCGCCTGGCTTGACACCCTTCTTCTCCATGCGCTCGAGGTCGTCTGAGTCGATGGAAGCTATCAGTTTGGGCTTTGCAAACTTGTCGCGGGGAGACGCACATTCGGAGATCGAGGTCACGTCGACGCAAGTCTTGAGCGAGGCTGAAGACGTGGGCTGGAAGAACCACGCCATCGAAAATCGCTCGGGAATGCCTTCTGGCGGGATTGGCGAAGGAAGGACGACGCGGTGGAGGGTCGACTTGAAGCGGGCGCCGCTCCAGAGCTCCAGGGCTGCTTGAAGGGGAGCATCAGCGGCGAGCTGTGGGGAGTATTGAGATGACTGACCGTCACCGATATTTACGAGGACTGCGTCCGGGACCATTCCCGTAGGTTTCCATCGTCCACCTTCGAGCGGCTCACCAGGAGGGAGGATCTCGAGACCGTCACCTCCTTCAGGTCGCTGGAAGAGTAGCGTGCAACTTCCGAAGTCGCTGTGCGCGCCGGCTCGGATGTTGGCAACCTTGACGTCGGGCGGGATGGCAGGATAGTGTAGGAAGCGTAGAATCGAGGATGAGTCGGGCCCTTCGTGATGTCGGGAGCTGAAGAAGTCGGCGGGGAGCTGTAGAGTCGGCAGGCTCAGCCGGAGCAAGGATGAAAGGGAGATTCGCCTTCACGTACTTCAAGGGCAACAGCAAAAGCGCGCATGAGGCGCTGGCAAAACTCGAAGCAGCTGTGCTGGAACTCGCTTAAAGCACTGGCATGTTCAGCTAGGAGCGCGGGGAGCGGATGCGTCGGCCTGGGCGGGTCTCCTCGTTCGATAAAGCCGGTGTTGAAGCCTTCCTTGAGGTCGGGAGCCGGGTGGTCCGGGTCGAGCTGCTCCTGCGAGACGTAGGTGTATCCTCGGTTGTTGTCGTAGGCGCAGCGCTTCTTCTCCTCGGCCGACTCCTCCTTGAAGAAGCGTTCTGCGGGTGCGAATGTAAGGTCAGCAACCGCGACATCGCTCCTCGCGTCTCCGCAACGTACCTGACAGCTTGAACATCTCCTTTGCCTGTTCCTCCATGCCGTGTCCTCGGATGAAGAGGAAGCCAGTTGAGCCCAGCGCTTCAGCGATCGCTTCCGCCAGCGCCGTTGGATCCTCGAGCTGCGAGACGTCAACGACAGCGACGGCGCCTGTCTGAGCCATTTCTGCGACTCCTGTGCAAGAGACTAGCTTGAAGAGCGGAGTTGACGACGAGCGAGTGAGACGCGGGAAGATAAGGAGGGTCCGCTTCCGCCTACGAAGCCGGGTCGCCCGCCTCCAGCTCGAATGGCACCGACTGCATCTTCGAGCGCTCCCAGCTTCTCCTCTGCAGATGCTCTGCTATCCAGCTTCCACTTCGAACGCGTGCTGAGCGAAGGTGAGCCGTTCTCCCCACTTCATCAGTCGGCGGAACAAGCTGACGAGGAACACGCCCGACAGACCCGCGAGCGCTGCTGGTGTACTTGCTAGGGTCTGCTGTGCCGGAGAGGCGGTCAGGACGGGCGTCGTGCATCTTGAAGCTGGAGAAAACGCCGTACGCATCGGATGAGGCCCCTTCTCTCGCGACTCCAAGCGCCTGGAGCAAGCTGCAGACGGTGTGTGAGGTCGGGAGCGATTGCATAATCTGCTAAGCTGACCGCGTACTCCGCAGGTGACGTCCAACGACATTTACTCGACCTCGCTCGGATGGTTCGCGCCCGGGCGAGCCACCGCAGACGTCCAGATCTCGTCCATATGCCCAGCAACGGAGAAGGTGCGATTCTGCGGTTCTGCTGCCCGTCGTCCTGCACTGAAACGCCGGCAATGTCGCGCAGCACGTCAAGAAGTATAGCGCGCAGGTTTCTCGGCTGGTCCGCGAGACGCCAGAGCTGTACGAGACGGTCGTCAAGCCTTACATGGAGAGTCTGTCGCCGAATACGATCAGCTGGGTGTACAATATCCTAGACGGAACAGCCGAGGCGGAGAACGTCCTGTATCGGGACGACGACCCGGAGACAGGCTTCGTCTTGACGCCCGACCTGTGCGTTCACGCCTATCGTAAAAGCATTCACGTCCTTCTCGCTATGCTAACGATGACAACCCCGCAGAAAATGGGACCAGAAGACAATGTCCGCCCTCTACCTCCTCGTCCTGACGCAAGACCGCACAATCCGTTCCCTCCGCGACCTCCGAGCGCGCCACCTTCCCTTACTGCGCAAGATCCGTCAAGAGTGCGAGCGAGTCGCGATGGAGCGGTATGGGATCGAGAAGGGCGAGCTGAGGTTCTTCGTGCATTACCAGCCGACTTACTGTGCGTCACACGCATCTTCTCGTGTATAGTGGACAAGCACTGACGCTTCGTGCCGTTGTAGATCACTTCCACGTCCACATCGTACGCCTCCTCTCGCTTTCTCAATCCCCACGCACTCTGACCTATCCCCGCACACGCAGGTCCACCTCTCCTATCTCTCCTTCAGCGGCATAACAGTCGGTCAAGCGCACCTCCTCGACGATCTGATCGATACTCTCTCCCTCGAAGTCGAGGCTTCCAACTCGGGCGGGCCTGCGCCGATCCAGAGTTGGTTCGAGAGAAGGACGTTCAGTTATTCGTTGGGCGTGGAGCATCAGCTTTACGCGTTGCTCAAGGCGAAGGGGGCGTAGGAGATGTTGCAAGAAGCTCTCTGCATGTCGCGCGGAGGTGGCGAACGATGAGAAGGAACCGTTGCGAGTTGCGAAACGAAGAGCGGGGACTGCAAGTGCGGGATTAGTGGGTTGCTAAGCTAGGGTCGGGCTTGCGAGCGTATTAGGGTGCGCTAGAGGAGATACTGCTAGACGGAGGAGGCGAGAGAATGGGCTCAGGCGTGGTCCTCCGCCGAGTGAAGGCCAGTCGGAGGCTTCTCGATCGCTGTCGAGGGACGGGCCGACTCAGCAGGCGTCGCCGTGTTCGTCGAATTGATGTGCTGGCGCATCTCAAGCGGTCCCGTCCCGTCCGGTCCGTAATTCAGCGTCTTCCTCGCCGCGATCGAGACAAGGATGAGCGAGATGACGGTCGAAAGGAAGGCGATCCAGCCGACGATGAGGTAGGAGAGGATAGGGCGCTGGTGGTTGTAGGAGAGGTTTTGGCCCGAGGCTTTGACGAGTTGGTCGATGAGGGATTGGGGGATGCCGGGAGCGTGGATGATGCCGGAGCGAGTTGCGGTGTAGTACTGCCCGAGCGAAAGTGAGGTCAACGTCCAGCTCACTGCGGAGGGCGAGAGGGAGAACGCACAGTTGCGGGAATGAGCGTGCCAATCCACAACAAGATGATGATGGCGAAGCATCCCTCCTTGATGCGAACCGACGTGAGCGTCTCTGCCTGGCGGGGCTTGAAGACGGTGAAGAAGAGCAAGCCGAGGCAGAGGAGAGTCGAGAGGGCCTGCGGGTGCGAAAGAGCGTCAGTCGGGCGACTGGGAAAGCGGGAAGCGAAGGAGGAGGACGTACGGCAGCGGCGGTCACGGCTCCGCCGACGGCGAGCGCATCGCTAACATCGAGGGATGCGACGGGGAGAGTGTGCTTGACGAGCTTCTGCTTGTCGTGTGCGCTGAGAGGAGGAGGAACGTCCGTCAGTTCCGAAGTCGTCGCTCGTTTCGCCAAGTCCTCCTCGCTCCTTCATCTCCTGTAGCTCCTTTCCCACGCTCCTACTCTCGAGAGCAGCCATACACCGCGCAACGAAGCCCACAGCGCCCCCCATGCCCTTCTACCGCCAACTCCGCACCACACCTTGGACTTCTCCTCCTTCCTCGAGCTGCACGAACCGCGCGACTCACTCTGCAACCGACCACGCCGCGAGCCCAATCTCTGCGATACAGAGGCAGGTGGTGATGACGAAGAATGCGACTCTGCGTGAACATGGGGAAGAAGTTCGGAAAGCGGTGCGAAGGGAGAGGCGAACGACGTCAGCTGGCGGTCCTCGTCGAGTTGGTGGTCCTGCGCCGTCGCCTGCTGGTCCTCGCCATCGAATGCATGCCCCTCGTCCAGTCCCAGCCAGGTCACGCGACTTGTGCGAGCGAGGGGAGGCTTGCCGACGCCGGTTCGAAGCTGGTCCTCGTTGAGAAGAGACGCTCTACGCACCGGGGGATGCGCAAGTACATGGTTGGGAGTAGAGTACGGCACACGAGAGTGTTGGGGCAAAGAGAGAGAGCAGCTGCAAGTTGGGCGAACAGAAAAAAGTGGCGAGGGGCAACGCCGAGGAGCACCAGCGCCAAGCTTCGGTCCCGGCGCCGGCTGCTGCACGCGAGCGCAACCTTCTTCCTCGTCGACTTGCACGCTGTACCCACGCACCAGTCCCATGAAAGTGCGGACAGCATTAGGGCGTGTTACAGACAGGAGAACCTACTACCGCGATACAACCCCTCGAGTCGACCTCGCGCACCTCAGACGGCACGGTGCTGCTCCTTCTCCTCGAGCGAGTACACATGCTCAACGTGCGGCTTGTCACTCATGTCGACCGTCGAGTGCGAGGCCTGGGCGTCGTGAGCGTGGGCGGGGGCAGCGAGCGGGCCTGCGTTGTCGACACCGTACTTGAGCGTCTTGCGTGCGGCAATCGAGACGAGGACGAAGGTGATGCAGGTCGAGATGAAGGCGAGCCAGCCGACGATCAGGTAGCTGTGCAGGGGCAGTAATGAGAAGCGGAAGGCGGCGAGAGTCGAGCAGGATAGTGGGGAGAAGAATGAAGGGAGAAACGGGAACGCCTCGTCAGCCGCCCACCCTCGAAGCAGACGATGACAGTTCGGAACGCACGAGATGATAGGCTTTTGAACCTTGTACCTCAAGTCCTGTCCCGACGCCGCCACGAGCTTGGCGATAACGGCGTTAGGAATTCCAGGAGCAGTGATGACTCCTCCTTTGGTTGCGGTGATGTACTGCTCACGAACACGCGTCAGTGTTCTAAGCCCGAGGGAGAGGAAGGAGAGAACGCACGGTAGCGGGAATCAAGGCGCCGAGGAGGAGGAGGATGACGGTTCCGAAGAGGCCCTCCTTGATGCGGATCGAGCGGATAGTCTCTGGCCGACGGGGGTGGAAGACCGTGTAGAGGAGTAGGATGCCGCAGAGAATCGACGACAAGCCCTACGACAAGCTTAGAGTCAGCAAGGGGTCTTCGGCGGAGGAAGGGCGAGAGAGCGAACGTACCGCTGCGCCCGTCACCGCTCCACCGACGCCGAAAGCGTCATTGATGTGCAGCGTAGCACTCGGCAAAACGTGCTTCGTCAGACGCTTCTTGTCGTAGCCGCTGCAAGAGGGGGATGTCAACTCGAGAACGCAGAGGAAGTGGCGCGAAGGGAGACCGACTCGGCGAGCGACCAGCTTGAGAGGCCAACTTCGGCGCCGACGAGCGCCTGCGTGAGGAGGAACATGAAGATCCTGCAAGGCGGCGGACGAGGGCGGGTTAGCGAACGCTCGCGAGATGGCGAGAGACGGAAATGTCAACGCACCTAGGTCCGCGAAGATACATGGTTGCTGCTTGGCTGTGGGTGAGAGGGTACGAGAAAGCGAGAGAGACTAGCAAGGAGCAGGTAGAGGGGAGAGAGTGAGGAAGTGAGAGCGAGCGAGGGAGGAGCAGCGAAAAGCGAGTGGGCCAGCGAAAGGAGCGGCGCGGTGCAGTCGGGGCCCCTGGCCGCTCCGCGATCGCTGGCTGCATTCGTCCGGAGCCCTGCCCTGCTCGAAAGCCCTCCTCGAGGCGCATTCCGGACCTGTCTCAGGAGGATGACCTTCTCGTCGAGGCAGTTCGCGGCGCGCTCCAAGCCTTCTCCCTCAAGAGCGTCGCGCTTGCTTCGACGGGCCGTGGTGGAGTGCCGCGTGGGCGCTGCTGCAGAACGCCACACACGTGAAAATGCGTGCCAGAACACCAAGCCGCTCATCGAAGTGCCGGCCGAAGCGAGGATGGAGGCGACGCTGTTCCGCGAACAGTGGCGGCGGCGCAGTGCTCGTTCTAAGGGGTAGAGAAGGCTTGAGGGCACCGGACGCTTCGGCGGGTCAGTCTCGAGGGGAGAGGGTGGAACGCACCGTGGGATTCGCAGAGCATGCCGCGAAACCGAGAGCCTGCAGGGAAGCGTGAGGAGCGCAATCTGCGTTCGAAGACACCTGCGTAAAGTCAGGCGACTCGAACAACAAGGAACTAGCAGTAGCTCCAATGAAAGCCGCGCAAAGAGCGCGCGCGGAGCGCGAACTGCTGGGTGGAAATGCGGTTGTCGCTTCGTATCGTTACAGGTTGGGTGCTGGTGCTTCAACAGGTGCTGCCGCCGCCGCTTGTGCCGCCGCGAGCTCGCCGCGAGTCGTTACTGGCGACTTGGCCGGAACATGCGGGACGAGGTCGAACCCGAGTCGTGCTGAGCTGTTGCGGTCGATGAATTCGGTCGTGCAGGGGAGCTTGGCGGACGCGAGGCGGAGCACTGTGCGTAGATACGGTGTCAGCAAAGTTAGGACGATGGAGGGCAAGCGAGAAGGAGTCGTCACCTGTCTTCGCCATTTCGGGTCGAAGGTTGGGTCCGCCAATCTCCAGGATCACCTTGCCCATCCGTGCCCTACGTGCGGACGGGTCAGCAGAGGTTCTCACGTATGTTCGGCGTGCGACAAACTCACCGGGTGCCCCAGTACTCGAACGTTCCCTTGCCCTTGCCCATACGAGTCTCGTTACCCTGAGCGAGAACGAATGTCAGATCCTGTCACCCGCCCGGGTAAAAGCGAACGCACCTTGATGCACACGGGGATATCAGGGAACAGTCGCAGCCAGCTGTACGGCAAACGAGGGTCAACTCTGGCTTCATCGCGAGGACGAGGAGGAAGCGCACATCTGGCAACCCCTGATCGGCTTGAGCGCCTTCTTGAGCGTCGCCTCGCACACCTCGAGGTGCTTGGCCGTCAACCGCGTCGCCTGGTTCGCCCGCAAGCCGTAGTCGCCGTGCTCGAGAACGGTTCCCTTGATGGACCCTCCGAGCGCGAGGGGCACCCGTCCCTTTGCGGCTTTGCGGTGCTTCACCCGTCGGGGCATGAGAGCCTTGTTGCGGACCTGGAGGACATTCCGCGGCTGGAAGAGGGCGTTGCTGGCCTTTGCGGGCGCAAGGAGGGTCGACGATGAGGAAGCGAGCGAGAGGCGGCCGAACGAGCTGGCGAGGGTGCGTGCGCCGTTAAAGAGGGATGTCATAATCGCGTACGCGCTCCTGGCAAGCCTGTCCGAGCCCCTGTAGCAGTCAGTTGTGGGCGGTGAGCGCGAGGTCGGCGGCTCCTCTCCCTTGGAAGCGACGACGACCCTCGCTCGCCTCGACGCTCTCTTTCTGCTGGCTTGACTATGTGCTGAGGCTGAGATACACTGCATGGGAGACCGCCAACAATTACCGCCGCACGGCGAGCCCGTCCGCGAGTGGAGCTCACTCAAGGACATCCTGTACGGCTCGGTGCGTAATCAGCGTCCTCGCACCCTCCGTAGGCGTCGCCTGACTCAGTCGTTGCTCTCAGGCTGCAGGTACGCGTGCTGGAGCGCCATCCCGGAGACCGATAGCTGATTTCTCGCGATGCAGGCATTGTCAGCAAGCTGTTCGAACATCCCTTCGACCTGACGAAAGTCCGCCTGCAAAGTCAGCCTCTCGACCGACCGTTGCGTTTCACCGGCCCGTGGGACTGCATCGTCCAGACGTACAAGAATGAGGGTGTGCCTGCGTTTTGGCGGGTCCGTCTTGCCCCCTCCTCCTCGATGCGGTTTACCGAACACACGAGGGCTGATCCGTCGACACTTTCGCAGGGAGTCTCGATGCCCGTCGTCGGCGCGATGGCAGAGAACGCGACGCTCTTCGTCGTCTACAACCAGTCCCAGACCCTCCTTCGACGACTCTTCCCTCCACCTCCTCGACTAGACCCCGACTCTCCTGCGCCCCTCAACATCCCCTTGATCGCGACAGCAGCCGCCATCGCCGGTGCCGCGACGTCCTTCGTCCTGACGCCCATCGAACTCATCAAATGCAAGATGCAAGTCTCGAACATCGCCGCCGAAGGACTCGCGCCCGCTCCCGCCGCTCTCGCCGCAGCCGGCATGAACACAACCGTCACCGCTCCCTCCTCTCCCGCCAAAGCACCTGGCTCGATCGCCGTCACCCGCTCCGTCCTCCGCGAATATGGTTTCCGCGGCCTCTGGCTTGGGCAAACCGGCACTCTGATCCGCGAAACAGGCGGCGGCGCAGCCTGGTTCGGGACTTTCGAGCTCCTCGCGGCGTACTTTGTCAAGCGACGAGCGGACCGGGGCGAACGGTCCGCGACGGGAGGGCACGTCTCGAAGGGTGACTTGTCGGCGCTCGAGTTGATGAGCGCTGGAGCGACGGCAGGAGTCGTCTTCAACGTCGTCCTCTTCCCTGCGGACTGCATCAAGTCGACTCTCCAGACGGAGGACGAGTTGCGAGGGAAGGAGGCGAGCAGGAACCAGCCGAGACGGAGTTTCTTGCAGGTTGGGAAGGACATCTACCGCGCAAGGGGGATCAAGGGCTTGTACAGCGGGTGCGGGTTGACGGCTCTCAAGGCCGCGCCCAGTTCGGCGTTGATCTTCTACATGTGCGTCGCGCGCTCCTCTCGTTTGGTTTCCCCCGACGGTGGGGCGCTGACCTTGTCCTGCTTCTCCGCCTGCAGATACAGCCGCCTGGAAGCCATATTCGGCTAATGCCACTCTAGAAGACTCCTTGCGCATCCCTCACACAGACACTTAGACACAGCCTCGCCCCTTCCTCGCAAGCCTTCGTATCATACCCTCAATCCTCTCGCTATCTCCCAGTCTCTGCAACGGTTCTCGTCATGTTGGCACAATCTCCATCCTCTCTCAATCGATCGAGAGTCCGGCCCGTTGCGCGCTACGCCAAAAGCCCCTCCCACCACTCCCTCTCCCCCCTCGCCTCCTCCTCACCCACCACCTCACCCACTTTATCCCCCTCCATCTCCTCAATCCACCACCTCACCTCTCTCCTCCTAACCTCTCCCTCGCTCTCTCCCCCTCGCGCAAGCCCCAACGCCCTCCACAGCGCCCAAAACCGCGAGCGTTCGTTCGTAAGTCCTTCAGGCGAAGGGTCCATCCGTAGTCGGATACGGACGAGGGTGAAGAGTGCGGTACGAAGGGCTGAGAGCGTGCGCCAGTCGGTTCGGGGTTCGATGGAGGGTGGAGACCGGCCGATTGCGAGGGGCGGTTTGGTGCTAGGTCCTCCTGCGGCGGTGGCGGAGGAAGAGATGACCAATGCGAGACCGGATTTGGGAGCTGCTGAGGACTCGAGCGCAAGGGAGTGCGCGAGTCGGAGGTGTTCTTCACCCTGCGCGAAGGGGACTTCCGCTTTTGCGCTTGTTGGGTCCACCTCGTGCGCGCGTTTGATCAGGTGGAACGCTAGGAGGTGCACTTGCGCGCGGGAAGCAAGGTTGGACGCGAGGAGTGAGGGGAGGTGGGACGCTGGGATCTGTTTAGGCGGGGAAAGGCGATTCGAGAGGAGGGATGAGGCTCGTTCGTAGGTCCGCAAAGCGGTTTGGAGGGTCGAGAGGGCGTTTGAGAGTGAGTCGGATGGGGAGAGCGAGTCGAGCAGGTGGTCGGCGTAGAGGGAGAGGAGTTCGATGCGTGCAGAGGGGGAGGAGGCGAGGAGGTGCGAGAGGAACGGGGTCGCTTCGGCTGGTGAGAAGGTCGTGAGGAGCGTCGCCTGCGTATGTGCAAGCTCAAAGTCCAGCTCGGGGTTCTCGCTTGGGATGGTGGAGCGGAGTGTCGTGGCCCGGGCGAAGGAGTCGATGGCGGATTGGCGCAGCTGGGCTTGTGTGTCAGGGTCGGAGCTGAGAGAGGAGTCGTGGAGGGAGATGTCGAAGGCGATGGACTCGAGCAGCGTGTCGATGACGAGTTGGGGCGTGACGATGGTCGTCTGGATAGCCTGGACGGACGTCTCGGCGCCGCTCGCCACGGATGCCGTCTCGTCCGCCGCGGCGTCGTCCTCTGCGCCTACCGGCCCACCCTGGCCGAAGAAGCGCTCCATCTCGACGCGCTGCGACCGCTCGACCTCGACAAACAAGTCCCTCGCCTCCTTGGCCAAGTGCGCCTTGCGCTCGTCCTCGTCCGGCTCACTCACGACTCCCTCCTCGAGCATCTCGAACAGCGCGACGTCCGCCTGCGCCAGGTTGAACAGCGCATCAATCCGCGCCGTCGCTGTGCCTTCCTCTCCCTCGACAAGCACCCCGAGAGCCTCCCTGTACCCGTCCCTCGCCGTCTCGAGCGCCGTCGCACATTCCGGCGGCGGGAGGTGGTCCGTCGCGAGTGTCTGGTATGCCCGAGCAGCGTTGTACCGCGCGTCAAAGTCGGCTGGAGAGAGCGAGGCGGCGAGGCGGTAGCAGACTGTCGAGTTGGTAAAGTGTCGCGCGGCCTTCGAGCCGGACTGGTAGCGCGTGCCGTTCTCGTCCTGCCTGTCGCCCTCTGTGTGGGGACCGTACTGGCTTTAGCGACGAGTTGACGGGGTGAGAGATGGCACCGCACCTTGGAGCCAGTCGTCTGGCCCCCAGTCTTGCGGTGCGGATGCGCGCGCGGTGTCGATGGATGAGAAGTCGATGTGAGTTTGTTTCTGTTTGCCCTTCTTGGGCAATTTGAGCGGAGCCATGGGTTAGCAGTTCGATGTGAGGCCTAGAGGAGGAGTCTGCTCACGTGACCTGCGAGTGTCTGTCGGTGTGCAAGCGATGACGCAGGCTGCGACTTCGGCAACTCGCACTCCGCATCGCATCGCATCTCTCCCTCTTCACTCCACTCTGAACTTGGTACGCTACTCGGGGAATGCTCGCACGCACAGCCAGACGCACAATCGCTGACACTCGCACACTCCGACAATCAACCACCACCAGCTTCACTCGCACCCTCACTCACACTCGCACTCTCCCCACCCGCTACACACCCGCTTTCACCCGCCCGCTCCACTCGACAATCAGAACAATGGCACCCAACGACCCGTACACCGCAAAGGCTCAGGACGACGCTTCCCCCCAGGAAAAGTGCGTCTCCCTCCATCGCGCCTTCGCAACCCGCGGCAGGACGTCGTCACTTCCTCCCGACCGTTTGACTGACCCTCGCTGACGCCGCACAGAATCGCCGAGTTGAAGAACATCATCAAGGAGACCAAGTTTGGGATGCTCGTTACCCGCTCGGCGGACGGACAGTTGCACTCGCGCGCGATGGCGCCCGCGTCGCACAAGGGCCTCGTCTTCCAGTTCATCGCCAACACCGACAGTGTGTCCACCTTTCCCTCATTGCTCTGAGAGATTCGCGCCTCGCTCTCGGCAGAGACGGGATCGCTCTTCTTGGGGGTAGAACGGAGCTCACTCTCCCTTCGTCCCCTCGCTCGCAGGCGGCAAGTTCGACGAGCTCGACAACGACGGCAACGTCAACGTCTCCTTCGCCGACCCCTCCAGCACCGACTGGGCCTCGGTCGCAGGCAAGGCTTCCATCGTCAAGGACGAATCGACCGTCAAGGACTTGTGGAACCCGACTATCAAGTCGGTGCGTCGCGCACTCCTCTCAGTGAGCTTGGGTGATTTGTGCTGATGAGGGTGGACGGGTGCAGTGGTTCGGAGACTTGAAGGACGGCGTCAGGACTGGCGAGCCCGGAGACCCTCGTATCGCCGTCATCCAGGTTATCCCTACCGAGGTGCGTCGCTCCGCGCTCTCCTAGATTCTCACCGGTATAGCTACTGACATAGGATGTCCTCGTAGATCCGCTACGTCCGTCCCCGCTCCCCTTCTCCCCCTCCATCCTCCGCTGATTGACCTTTCCACGCTCCTTCCCTTCTCCTCACCCTTGGGTCGCCGCGACGCAGTGGGTTAAGACCCGCACCTCGCTCGGCCAAACCGTCGAAGTCCTCAAGGGCGCCGTGACGGGCGAGACGGCGGCGCCGGGTCACTTGCGCGTCATCGCGGGGTCGGATGTGCGCTTTCCGCCTCTTTTCTCCTCCCGAGCTTGAGGAGAGTGTTGACGCTTTGTTGTTGGGTGTGCGCAGCTCGAGTTGGCGAGGTGAGTCTCGAGGCTCCTCCTTCGCCTTTCTGCCTCTCCTCCGCTCAGGAGGCTGACGACCTCCCTCTCGTGTCGCGCGCAGGAAGGACGACGCCTGATCTCGCACGACTCTGAATGGACGATCCATCAAGCCCGTGTAGCCTACGAAGCCATCGCATGAATGGGGGCTGATGCAAATACCAAAGCTGTTGGAAGTGACTTTCGCGTCTGCGTTCGCTCTCTCGCTTTCCACGTGCCTCCCCGCAATGCTTCTAGCTGGAGCTGGTGCTATCCATGGGTCGCAAAGAGTGGAAGGCGACGTCAAGCGAGGAAAGTTGCGAGCGAGCGTGCGAGGATGGCGCAACTTGTTGCGTTCCGGTCTCGTGCACAACGAAGGCCATCTTCATCGGATGGCAGGACGCCTGTTTTCCGTTCGTCGCTAGTTGGAGAGTGGAGAGCGCTGGCCATGGCGCATTGCTGACGGATGTAACGCTGGACTCAGCCACCTTCGGACGGAGTTTGCTCAGCCGCCCCACTTGGCAAGCTCGCTCGGCTCGCGTTTGAAGTCGGCCGCAGCAAAAGGTTGATCATCAGCTGACCTGCGAACGCGCCTTCGCCGGCCGGAACAACGACATCCTCTCCCTTCTCCCGCCTCTCTCTTACTTGCTCGCCTCACTGTACGAAGATTGAAGGGGAGGGATGTCCGCCTCACTCGCACGCACGCTCTTCCGCCCGACCACAGCAACAGCGACGACGACCAAGCGCGTCTGCCCAGCTTCCAGGTTCTTCCCCTCCGGCTCTGCAAGTCGCTCCGCACGAACAGCCGATGCCGTCGCGCACATTACAGTCGCAGCAGCCTTGGTGGCATCTACCGTGCGTGCTTTCTCTCCCTCCGACGAAGAAGAAGCGAGGGCTGACCCGGAGAAGTTGGGTCGCGTGCAACAGGCTTCTTTCCTCTCGCACCCAGACACACTCTTCTTCGACCACCCTCCTCGTTCCGCCATAAGCTGGGTCCCAGCACGCCACATCGCACTCCGAGACCACTCCTCTTCCCCCTCCATGACTTCCTCAATCTCGGCCGGCCCGCTTCCCTCACTCTCTCCAGCGCCTCGACCAACAACTTCGAACACAGGAACGTCGGTATTGAAGGGGATGGGCACGCAGGCGGAGTTGAGGTTGGCGGGGGTAATTGGGCGGGGGTTGTTCTGAGGAGGACGAGGGAGGAAGAAGCCTTCTCAGACCTTCGGCTTTTCCCTCGACGCACATCCAGCACTCTCGTAATCGCTTGTTTCGTCGTTCGTTGTCTATAGTTCCGTTCTGGTCCCCGCCTTGCCTTGTCGTACCACCAGCAGCAATTCCCGCGTCGTTTCGCCCTGTCTCCCTTCGTCGTTTCCAGCCTTTGCATCGTCGAACAAACGTTCAGCTTTTCCCCTCCTGGTTATTGGTTGCGGTAGCAAGCCATGGAATGGGGAAGCAAAGAGAGAGACCCCAAGCAAGCAGGACGAGTAGACAGAGAGGCGGGACGAGTAGCGCAAGTCGTGTAAAGCACAGGGCGGACGAGACTGCGCGCTGAGCCGCAAAGCAGCCATAACAAAGGACTCATGGCTGCAGCAGCTAGTAAAGCCGCTCCACCCGCACAGAGAGCCCGGAGAAGCTGGGAGGAGAGGCGAGTATTGAGCGGGGGTGTGCAGCTGCCTACAGCGATCCGAACGCCTCTGCTTGGGACGTTGCCCGTTTCCTTGCATCCATAGGGCCTGACGCTGCTCTTACGCCGCCCCAGTCGCTGTCGTGGCCTAATAAAGACCGCCCGAAGTTGCGAACTGATGAAGTCAAGTGAGGCGGGTGAAGCGAGCGGGCGAGTGCGGCTGGCGCGTAGGTGCGCTCAGAACAAGTCTGAAAGTGAGCATGACAGCACGTCGGCGCGATTCAAGCGATGTGGACGGAGCAGCGTGAGCGGTTGTTGTCGAAGAGGGTGGTCGCCGTCTACCGACTGCCAACACCCGACTGCTCCGGGGCTGAGGCTGCTTGGGGCTGCTGCTGAGGATCACGGAGGTCTGCACGTCTGCTACTTGGTTCTTTCGCCGTTCCTTCACGTTCGCCTCGACGCGAACCGGCAACACCCCACACGCTCACTTCGCCTTGACGGACGGCCTGACGGGCTAGGTGCGTACTGTGAGACGAGCAGTGATACCGTACGGCTAGCTGACGCGCCCGCAAGCTTTGCAGGCGGTTCGGACGACCCTCTCCTCCCCACTCCCCTCCGACGACGACCATCCCTCACCCTTCTCGACCTCTGCCGTTCCGTCCCAAAGACTCACCTCCTCTGACAGGACCTGGTGAGCCCGCCACCGCCGACGCACGCCTATGGACCCCTTCATCCAACCCGCCAAACTCCAAGTCCTCCTCGTCCCCGTCCACCCGATCAAGCGCAGCAAGTTTGAGCGCTACGTCCAGCTTATCCGGAAGTTCGGGTCCATACCGTTGGCGGAGGTGCCGCCTGATCGCAGGGGAGAGAGAGGTGAGTTGCGGTGTTTCGCCAGGTGGATGCTGTCTGAAAGGCTCCTCCACCGAAGCCTGAAAGATCGCCTAGGCACTTCCGAAGCTCGCTGACCATGCTTGTGACACAGCCGTCTTCTCCTCGAGCCCCACGACCCCCGGCACCCTCCTCTTCGACTATCTCACCCCAACGACCTACGCCCCTCTCCACCCTCTCGCCTTCCTCTCCGAATTCCAAGTCCACCGCCGAATCCAAGGCATCATCGGGATCCTCGACGCGAGCGAATACAGCGACAAAGCGCTCGCCGACGCCGTCACCGCCTTCCATGCCTCGCTACGAGATTTGCCGAAGACGTTTGCGACGAAGGTTTATGGGTTCGATCCAGGTGAGAAACAGCTTGAGGAGGCGAGGGCGATACAGGAGGGCGAGGGATTGGTCATGGTGCCGGCTGCGGGAGACGTCAGCTTCTTCCTCAAGACGGTGCTGGCAGACTTTGCGGGCGACATCTTGTTCGAGTTCTCCAATATGGTGCGCCCCAGTCGCTCCAGAGCTACCGATATGGTCCGCTGACTTATGCATCGCAGGCTGCCCAACTCGAGTCGCGAACGTCCATCCCGACACCGCAAGAAACGCCCGGCGCATCCGCTCCTTTCTCCTTCACCCCGCAAAAGCCTAGCGCCAAATCCCTCATCACGACCTACACCTCAACCTCGACTCCCAAGCGCACCGACTCGCCCAAACCGTCTCCGGCTCCTCAACAACCCGTCAACCTCGCTTCTCTCGGTGTCGCCCCACCTCCACAGTCTCGCACAGCGATGGGTCCGCTCGGAGGCAGCACCTCCGGGAATCGCGATGGCTTCCTCTACGGCGCGAGCATCCAGACGAACATGGCCGTGCAGAAGGAGGTCGTGCCGAGTCCACCGCCTGGCGCGCAGCTTGTTGATGCGAGGTCACGGAAACGGGTTGCGGGTAGGGAGCGGAAGTTGATGGGCGATATGTGGCTGTTGTCGGGCCGGCTGAACGAGGCGATCAATGCGTGAGTCTGCGGCGAGTCCGACCCGCGCTGAAAAAGGCTGACTCCCGATCACACAGGTATAACGACGCCGTCTCGCTAACGAAAGCCTGGCAGGATCAGGCATGGCAGGCGAGTGCACTTGAAGGGCTGTGCGTTGCGCTTGTCGTGCAGGCCTCGCAGCCGAAAGGCTCGCAAGGACAGGTGAGTAGTCGACCCTCTCACCCCTTCCGCTCTCAGCTGCTAACCGACCCACAGCATCCTCCCTCTCTTGTACCGCCACGAAGCGACTCTCCCGTGCCCGGCCTACATCCCCCCGATATCTCAACCTTCCTCTCCGCCATCCCTGACCGCCTCTCCCAAGCCATCTCGCTCTACGAGAAGTTGCTCATCCCGCTCGACCGACCCGCCGACGCTCCCCCACCAGATCCCGATCGTTCGCATCCGCTCGTCTACGTCGAGGCGTGCATCCGATGCGCGACTTTCCTACTCGCCGTCTACGAAGCGCACGGCTCCATCCCGCAAGCGCTCGAGCGACTCGTCTCTCCTGCTGCCGCCGCGTCTTCTGCCTCTTCACCTCCACCTAGCAGCGTCGAGCAGGCCCGGAAAGCCCGTCTCGCTGCCCTCTCTCCCTCGAACACCGTTCCTCGATCTTCCATCGCCCTCTGGGTCAGTCAAGCATACTCGCCTCACCTCGCTCTCCTCTCCCTTCCGTCCCGACTCCGCTTGACCGCCGAGATCGCCAGCCTTTTCGGTCGAATCGGCTACCGACGAAAAGAGGCGTTCGTCCTGCGCGAGTTGGCGGCGCTTTGCGCCGAAGGCGTCGCAGGCAAGAGCATCGAGGTCTTCGCCCCGTCGGGTCACTCGCCTATACCGGAAGAGCCGCGAGAAGGGGCGAACGGGACGCCCGCCGTCGTCAACGGCTTCAAGTCGAGCGACGGACGCGCTCGCCCGAGCCTTCCGCGGACGAAAACCCTTGATCGAGGCGGTAGCATCGTGCGAACGATGTCAGACCCGGCAGGGAACGAGTCAATCGTACGGATCGTCGAGAAGGTGTGCGAGGCGTTCGGCATCCAGGTCGTGCCGCGGTCGCAGCGGGAGGAGGCGGACAAGCTGAGCGTCATACAAGGGCGGACGCTCGAGATCATGGAGAGCGGGAACGGAGCGTTTGGCTGGCCGAGTTTGCAGATTGGCGTGCTGAAAGATGCGATTGGCATTGCGGAGGCGCTGCCAGGTGCGTCAAGTCCGCCTGGAGTCTGGGGTTGAGGCCATCGAACTCACGTCTCTTCCGCTCGCAGACTACCAAGCCGCCATTCGTTTCACCGTTACCGCCCTCCGCTCTCTCGCCGACACGATGCCTCCGCACGAGCAGTACGAGCTGAGCCAGAACATCCCGCGCGTCTTCGCTGCGGCTACCCGACGAGGTGCCGCATTCAGTCTCGAGTACTGGGGCCCGACGCAGCTCGTCATGAGTCTCGAGGTTGCAAGGTAAGTCTAGCTCGCAAACATCTCAGATATCGCAGCTGATCGTCTTTCTTCAGACTCCCAACGAATCGGATACCCTTCGAGCACGCTCTGCAAGACGCCGCGCCTGAACAAGCCCACGCGACAGGCCCGCGTAATCCCTTCCTCTACGATCCGCGCAAGCAAGTCCGCGCAGCCAAGGCTCGCCCTTCGCTCGTGCAAAACGAGCTTGCCGAAGTCTTCGTCACCTTACAGAACCCGTTTCTGTTCGAGCTTGAGGTCCAGAACATTGAGCTCAGCACATCCGGCGTTCCCTTCGCCTGCGATCCGCTCTCCACCGTCATTCCTGCCGGCTCCTTCCACACAGTCCGCCTCACGGGGACCCCTCGAGAACCCGGAACCCTCGTCATCCGCGGCTGCAACATCCGACTTGCGGGATGCAGCAGTCGTGAGTTTCTGCTCCCGATCTTCGATGCGGCGGAGGAGGCGAAGCAGCAGAAGGCGGTCCTGCTTGACACTTCGCACGAGCGGATCAAGGCGACGGGACTCGATGCGGTTCCTTCGGACGGGCACGCCGCGACAGCTGTCCCAAGCGACAAGCCATTGGCGGAAGGCGCCAAGTTTCTCGAATGCGTCGTCGTTCCCGAACTGCCGCTTCTCTGGATGCGACCGACGTCGCTCACGCACGGCGCGTTGATGCTGTACGACGGCGAGATGTGAGTGCTCCCCGCGCACCTGTCCCGTGCCGACTCCTGACCGTCATTCGCTCGCAGCTCGACAATTCGCATCGGCCTCGAAAACACCTCGCCTTCGCCCGTCGACTTTGTCAAAGTCACGTTCTCCGATTCGCTGAGTGCCTCGACGCAGGCCTATCTCGCCGAGAACGAGCTTTCTGCGCCCGAGGTCTACGAGCTCGAAGCGGACGGCGTTCATCGCCCAGTCTTCCGCTGGGACGGCTCGCCGAAGATGACCATCCTGCCTGGCGCCTCTCACGTCCTCGAGATCCAGTGTCTCGGCAAGATCGGCTGGTGTGTCTTCCGCTGCAATACCGATCAAGTGCTCCTGCTGACATCGCTTGATTCACAGCAACTACGGCTCCATTCAGATCGACTACGGCTACCTCGACCGCGGCGTTGTCCAGTCCACCAAGACCTTCCACACCCGACAGCTCTTCTGCGACGTCTTCATGACCGTGCACCGGGCGGTTGTCGCCCGCGGACTCGAGCTATCGCGCCTGAAGGCACTGCCCGAAGGCTCGGCGTCGCACAGTCGCTCCGCCAGCGTCGTCAGTCTTGGCCAACGCGGAGCTGCGCTCGACAAGCGGCTCGAGGACAGCTTGCGCGACGTCGACGACGGCCAGCACTGCCTCGTCGCGGTGGACGTCATGAACGTGTATGGGAAGCCCTTCGAGGTCAAGCTCGAGCGGCATGAAGACGGTGCGTTTCCGCATCAGCTAGTTCGCCATCGCTTACGCTGACTTGCCTCTTCCGCAGAGAACGGCTTCTATCAGGTCCGACAGCGCATCGAGCCGGGAGCGACTCTTCGGTGAGCAGTCCATCTTGCTGTCGGAAGCGAGAGACGAGAGCTTACCATTGCCTCCGCAGCATGCTCGTTCGGCTCGACCGCGTCGAGCTTACGGAGGAGCAGCTGCAGCGACCCATCCCCTCTTTGACCGAGCGACAATTCGTCGTGGCCAAGGTCAAGCGGTCGACGGACGAGGAGCGCTTGGAGCGCGCCTTGTTCTGGTACCGCGAAGAGCTGCTTCGGCGAGTCCAGCTGCGGTGGAACGAGGTCGGCAGTCTGAGGTCAGGCGAGGTATCGCTGCGCGGTCTCGCTCTCGACAAGCAAATGCTCGACACCCTCCGAGGCGACGAAGTCGAGATCGAGCTGTTCCTCGCGGAGAACCCGTCCTCCTCGCCCGGCACTTTCGAGCTGCAAGGCCGAGGGTCGCGACTAGTCTACTCTGCGGCGTCGAACGACTTCATCGACGTTCGCGCCCGAGTGACCAATCGTTGCGGTACGTTGCCTCGGTTCTGCTGACCTGCGACCGTTAGCTTATCTTCCCGTTCGACAGGAACGCCCCTGCGGCTCAATCTCCGCCTCGAGCTGCGACCTCCCGACTCCACTCGCACTTCGCCCGCCGCGCTGTCTCACCTCGCCCGCTACGTCGTCGTCGAAGGCGTCTCGCCAGTCGCCATGTCGGCCCTAGAGAGCGGCGAAACGGCGGAGGTGATTGTCTCGATCTGTCTGCTCGCGCAAGGCACGTACGAGCTGAGTTGTGTGGTGGAGGAGGCGGAAGCGAGCGAGGGCGCGGCTACGAAGCGGGTCTTCTCGGCGCGGGAACCGCTCACCTTGCACGTAGACCGATGACATTCACTGCAGGAGCGTTCTCGCGGCATCTCGCAGAGTTCCACGGGCGAGCAGTAGTGCGAGCATTAGTGAGACTGCAGGAAGACGAGGCTATACAAGGGAAAGTCGAGAGTGTCTGTTCGTTCTATATCTGCTGTGGGGTCCTCCTCCTTCACTCGTCGCGATGCGACACGACTTCCACCTCCTCGATCGGACTCTCCAGTGCGCTCGCACCACTCGCAGGCTTGTCATCGGTCGGCGACTCGCCAACAAGGGCCGTACGACTGGAGTTGCGGTTTGCGAGACTCGCGACCGTCTCTTGCGACGGTTGCCGCTGGTGCTTCAGTGCACCGCTCGACGACTTGTGACTGAGCGGGAGGATGGTGTCGCTCGGCTGAGAGCTGATGCTGAGACGGCTGAGCATGCCACCTCCTGCTCGTCCGTCCGAGAGCAGCCAGCTTGCGCCAGGCGCAACTTGCGGTCTCTGACCCGGGGCGGGCGAGGGAAGAGCGTCGGAAAAGTCGAGGTCGGTGAAGAGTGGGACTTCGATGGGTGCGGGTGGAGGAGGAGGAGCTCGTTTGCGAGGTTGCTGCTGCTGGCGGACGCGTGACGAGCGGGGCGGGTCGCTCAGGTATCGGGTATCGTGGCCGTTTGGCGGAGAGCGGGTGGCGTTGCGCATCAGGTGAGATGTGCTGGCTGAGGAATCGGGGGGAGGTGTCGAGTCGCTGGGAGAGGGAGGCGAGAGGACGAGAGAAACGGCGGAAGAAGGCGGCTCGCTCCCGGCGAGGGGATCCGACGGCGCAGTATTCTCCTTGCTCTGCTTTTCGGACGGTCCGAACGGGCCTGGCGGAGGTCGCTCCGTCGCGGTCGACTTCGGCTCCGCCTCAACTCCCGGGTCCGCCTCAGCACCGACTGCCTCGACATCGACCTCCTGCTGCGCAGGAGGCGGCAAGACGATAGAGAGAGGTCGACGAGGTGCAGGCTGGATGAGCGTTGCCCCAGGCTGAGCCGACCCGACACCGAGCGACCGCCATTTCCGCCGGCTGCGCTCGCAAAGAAGCGCGACGATGCCGCTTTCAGGCGGTAGCTGGGCGAGCATGCGGCGATACTCGGATCGGAGAACCCTGCGCAGCAAGCACCGTGAGCGCGCGAACTCAGAAGCCGAAAAGCCGGACGCACCAAGTCTGTGCGTTCCGCGGCGTGTCCCCAAAAATCTCCTCGCCGTCCATGCCAGTCTCAAAGTACGCCCTTTCGCCAAGTCCGTCTCCTGAATCGTCAAACTCGTCACCACTGCTGCTCGAAGAACCGCTTGCCTCCCGCCTCGACCCCCTCTCCTCGTTGTCCCCGTCATCGCTCCATCTCCGCCTCGCACGCCGGCCGTTGGCTCCTCGCCCACCAATCGCATCGCTCGGACGCTCCCCGACTCGTGCAACTTCGCCCTTCTCCAGATCTTCGACGAAAGCAGCGAGGAAGCGTGCCCATCCGCCCGGTCCGTCGCCGGGGAAGAGAACGACCTTCTCGTCGATCTCGCGACCAAATGCGATGACTTGGCCTGGCTGGCCGTACGTCCGAGCGGAAGAGCCGGGCGCGCCAGGAGCGGTGGGAGAAGCTGGGCCGGAAGACGAAGAGGGCGGAAGCGGGTCGAGGTCGACGCCGATGTAGTTCCCGCAGCGATCCGTCAAGAGTGGCAGCCAGCCAGGATGCGAGTACCGTTTCCGCACCCATCCGTCGGGGAAAGACGACATGCCCTGCATCGAGACGCCCCGCTCGTCCTGCACCGCGCTCGACGTCGAAGCCCGACTGCGCGTGTCTTCCTCGGGCACGTAAGGGTGCGTCCGCGCCGTATGCCGCTTCCGCTTTGCCGCCTCGCTCGCACTCGCGCTGAATGCGTCTCCTCCCAGTCCCGATCCCGCCGAAAGTCCACCTGCTTCCTCCAGTCTGCGCCAAAACCTCCACTCTTCCTCGACCCGATCGAGCGGAAGCCACCACAGCCCGTAGATGAGCCCCAGGCCACCGAGTGAAGCGCCGCCTGATGCGCCGCCAGTCGAACTGCCGCCGAAGTAGGCGAGCGGGTCCTGGCCGTCGTGGCCCTGGAGGTACGAGTCGATCACGGCTTGCGGAAGGCGGTAAGGGGCGATGGCTGCTTGGAGGGACGCAAGTGCTGGGTCGTCGGGGGTGAGAGGAGGAGAGAGGGTATCGAGGAGTGCGGGCGAGTTCGAGTCGAGGAGGGTCTGCAGGCGGGCGAAGGTAGCGCGCACAGGCGGGTATCGAGTCGAGGCCGAGGCGTTCGACGAAGGGCGAGAGAAAGAAGGTAAGGGAGGGTATGACGACTCGACGGATTGGCGCGGCGGATAGTACGAGGACGAGCCTACGAAAGCGCCGTCCTGCGAGGTGGACGGTCGAGGCTGTCCTGCGTTCGACAGTGCCGAGTCTGCCAGGTCTCCTCCACCTCCGAACGTCACTTCGTTGTACTGCGACCCATCTGCGATGCCGTTCGGGCTCGTCGGATACGAAGCGACTCCGCCGTCGCCGTACGTCGAAGGGTAGCCCCGCTCAGAGTGCGAACTCGACGGCGAGCCCGCACTGCGCGATTTGTTGCCGCCGAACAGTTTGGAGAACATGTCTGAGCCTTGCGACTATCGCCCGTGTCCTGTCGAGCTGCGAGAGGGTCGTGTCGCGGCGTCGGGAGGCGGGGGAAGCTGCGGCCGCTCGACAAAGAGGTCAGCCACGTCTAGAAAGCCGTGCGCGGCCTCGATAGCATGCTGTGACCTCCTGTAGCTGGATAAAACGGCGTCCGTTCGTGCTCCTGCTGTTGCCGTGTTCATCGACAACTCCCCTCACCGACACAGACCCCTCCTCCGCTCGTCGACCAGCTCCATTCGCCTGTGCGATCGTTGCGGTCGAATGAGAGGGTTTGCAGGACTCACCAAAGACCGTTGGACGAGCACGCAGAAGTCGTCGTCGGGACCCAGTTCGGTTGGTGTGGGTCAACGAACCACGAGCGCCGTGGAAGGCCAGACCCAGCGGGACGACGCCAGGCGAGCTCAGAAAGGTAGCAATGCCTTCAGAGATGGAGCAAGTCCAACGAAGAGCGGGTTGGAGCGAACGAGTGGATGTGAGGAGGACGACCCGGACCTAGCCAGCAGGAAGGGACAGTGTGCTGCTCAAGTCTCTCGAGATGCAACGAAGACATGCAAGCTACAGTAACGACGTTTCAGTGACCCCGCCCTCGCCCGCTCCGCTTTCCGCGCCGACTGCTCCCTCCTCGACCTCGACTCGCACCTCCTCCTCGTTTCGCAGCCGCACCCGCGCTGCCCAGGCTAGACTTGAGCGGCTCAGCCAGCGAGAGAGTCACCGAGACTGTCGACTTTGTGCGCGACTGGTAGACGAGGTCCTCGTTCTGTCGGCGAAAGCGTTAGCGAGCGTTCGGAGCGAGAGCAGAGGTCGATACACTTCGTCTTCAGGCGTCACCTCGTCATGCACGACCTTGCTTCCCGTCACGACTTCCATCTTAACGTTTCCGCTATCGTCGCCGCTGGCTGAGTCTGCCGAAGAGGCGTAAGGATCGGGAGGCTCGCCGCCTGGCAAGGCATCGCGGATTGCGAGTGCTAGGGAGAGACAGAGGGGGATGGCGGCTCCGAGGGCGTGAAGAGTGACGGTTGTACATCTTCATAAGACAAGAACTGTCAGCCTCTCTCCGCGAAGACAGTGCAGAGACAGCGGTCGCGAGCTGGAGCGACAGCCAGTCTCGCAGCCGGAAATGCGACTCACCCTCGCTCGACGAACGCCTTCACACCCATCTTCAGGTACCCCGCAAAGCCTAGCCCCTGCCCCGTCGTCCCGCCCTTCTGCCGCTTGACCCAGATCTCCTCCGTCTGCACCCCGTCCTTCAAGTCCTTCGCCTTCCCTCCGATCTTTGCCCCAGACAGAGTTGACTTTGCTCGTATAGCGGTTGAGGTAGTAGGAGGATGGCCGGTGGAAAGGCGGCGGAGCTTGCCTGCGTTCCGTTGTCGTTTCTTGTGAGGGGGAAGGGGAGGAAGCCCGTCTTGCGATTCCGCTTCTTCCCCCTGCGCGCTCCTTCCGCTTGGCCGCGGTTGCGACGGTGTTTCTGGTACGTGGGAGACGAGGGTCGATGGTTCTTGCGGCAGTGAAGACGAGTTGTCGCCTGATCGAACGGCGGGAGAGGAAGCGGGAGGAGGTGCGACACGGGGGCGTTTCGCAGGCCGCTGCTGAGATGGCGTGGCTTGTGAAGATGCCTGAGACGACTGTGACGCAGCCAGTGCGCGCTTCGAAGCGTTTGCCATGCCGTTGTGAGGCGTTCTGGTCCAAGAGAGGGTTGGCAAGGAGCAGCTCACCTCGCCCGCCCGTTGGACGCTGGAGGACTGCTGGGACTGCTGATAGACTACTCTCCTGTCGGTCGTGAGCTTGAAGTACGGTCCCGCCGCCGTTGTCGCTCGACTCCGCTTTCGACACAGCCCGTGACTTTTCGGACGGTTGCGAGTGGACTGGCGAGGGCAGTAGGACGGGCAAGGATAGACTGAGTGGCCTGAAGGTGAGTTTTGAGCACCAGTGCTCCCCTTTGGCGGGCTGCAGGAGGGCATCACACCCTTCTCGCATAGCTGTCTTCTCGAGATCTCGCCGAGGAGGACTGTACCGTCTCCAGACTGTTCTGTGGGTGCTGACGATCCACGTATCCTGTAGTAGCGATTTGTAGCAAGATGGCGTCGACACTACTCGCCCGCTGCACCTGCGGGTCGACCCTCACCCGCTCTCTCCGGACTTCTCCCTCCTCCTTCCGACGATCATTCCTTTCGGGACCCAAAGGGCCTGCGAAGCCGGGCATGTCCGCGCCGCGAAGTATGCGGCCGGCGAACCGCAATGTCCCGAGGGTCGAGCCGCCGCCTCCTCCGCCTCCTCCACCACCACCTCCTCCGCCGTCCCCTGAGCCGACTCCTCCGCCTTCCGCAGCTTCATATGCGGGAGGATCTCAAAGCAGTATGCGGTCGGAGCCTCGCGATTACGGCGCTCGAGGATCTGACGCGGGACGGTACGGAGGCGGCGACCGGCGGCAAGGCGAGCCAGACAGGCGTTTCTCCGGCCAGCGAGACTCGCGCGGCACGTACTACCCTAAGCGACGAGTCGTTCCCCAAGGCCCTCCAACCGGTGAGCCTAGCAGCCAGCAGACTCCTCCAACTCCCGAGCGACGGAAACTCGAAGTGAATGACGCTCGACGTTATGCACTAGAGCGCGAACGGGATCGACTCGCCCATGTCGCCATCAACTCGGAGAAGTACGACCCGAAGTCTAAGGAGAAGATCCAGCGCTCCGCGAAGGCGATCGGTTACCCTCCCAACGAGATTGGCGCACGCATCGACGAACACCGACTTCGCAGTAGGCGTCAGGGAGGTCCTGCACCTGTCGAGACGAACGCTCGTCCCGGCAGCGCGAGTCCGGTGCGAGAAGTTGTTGGGTCGGAGCGGGAAGGACGGGGTCGCGAGCGGACCAAGGATCGGCGGGGTCGCGGAGGGGACGCTGGCGGCTTCAAGAGCAAGAAGGAGCGCGAGGCGGAGGAGCGAGAACAGCGTGAGCTGGAGAGGCAGTGGGCGGCCAAGAAGGAGAAGGAGGCCAAGCTGTTGGCGCAGGCGCGCGAGCGCGAGATGCCGCAGCGGCGAGCGGCGAACCAGGTCGAGCTGCCGTCGATGCTGAGGATGAGCGACCTGTCGCAGCTTCTTAGGCGATCCATGTGTACGTTCCGTTTCGTCAGGACTGTCTTGACAGCGAGCTGACTTCAGCTCTCCTTACAGTCCGTGTCAAGATAGCAGCCGAGCAGATCGGTCTGGAGGACACACGACCCGAGCGAAGTGAGTTCGACTGTCTAGATCTGTTCAGGTGCCGATACTGACTCTTACCCTCGCAGTGCTTCTTGCGGAGGACGCCGCCCTGATCGCCCTCGAGCTGGGTTTCGAGCCGGTCATCGACGATGAAGCCGGCTTCGACCTCTACCCGGCTCCTCCTGCGCCACCCGAGAAACTCGCGCCTCGCCCTCCCATCACCGGTATCTTCGGCCACGTCGACCACGGCAAGACGTCTCTCCTCGACGCTCTCCGCTCAACCTCGGTCGCAGCTGGCGAAGCCGGCGGTATCACTCAGCACATCGGTGCCTTCGAGGTCAGCGTGAACGCCATGGTAGCCAACCTGCGGGCCAAGACCGAAGGACTTCCCGCTCCTCCGCCTTACGAGCCGAAGGAAGGTGACCCGACTATCACCTTCCTCGACACACCCGGCCACGCTGCCTTCACCGCCATGCGTGCTCGTGGTGCTGGCGTGACGGATGTTGTCGTCCTTGTCGTTGCGGCGGATGACGGCGTCAAGCCGCAGACAGAAGAGGTCATCGGCCTCATCAAGTCGGCTCCCGACGTCAGCCCTGTCGTCGCCATCACCAAGGTCGACAAGCCTGGCATCGATACGAAGAAGGTCAAGCACGGCTTGATGGCGGCTGGCATCGACGTCGAAGAGCTCGGCGGCGAGATCCCCTGCGTCGAGGTCTCAAGCGTGACGGGTCAGGGTCTCGCAGAGCTACTTGAGACTATTTCTGCGATTGCCGAGGTCAAGGAGCTCAAGGCGGAGCGGGAAGGTCGTGTCGAGGGTCGTGTCCTGGAGGCGCGGGTAGACCATGGACGAGGGTGAGTCGTGAATGTTCTCTCCCAGCCTCGCTCAGCAAGCTCATTCGTCTATCGCATAGAAACGTTGCGACCATTCTCGTTACCCGCGGCCGTCTTCACTCTACCGCCTCTCTCGTCGCCGGTACGACCTGGGCGCGAGTACGCACGCTTCTGCCGCCCTCGGGCGAACCCGTCGAGGCCGCCTACCCTGGTCAGCCTGTCGAGGTGACGGGCTGGAAGGAGCTTCCTGAGGCAGGTGACCTCGTCCTCGAGGCCGAATCGGAGGACGACGCGAAGAAGTGTATAGCGAACAGGTTGAGGAGGCAGGAGGACGAGAAGATGATGAGCGAGGTCGAGGTCATCAACGAGAAGCAGAAGCGTGACGCGGAGATCCAGGCGATCAGGCGGGCTGAGGAGCGGAAGGCGAGGGACGAAGGCTTGCGCGGTAACGCTGTCTCGCATGCCGGCGATGTCGCGGTTGAGCAGCTTACCGCGTCGAGCGGTGACGAGATCAAGGAACGGCTGCTCGTGGTGAAGGCGGACGTGAGCGGGACTGTGGAGGCTGTCGTCGGCTCGCTCGAAGGCATTGGCAACAAGGAAGCGAAGGTCAAGATCATCCGGGCTGATGTCGGCGACGTTCACGAGGGAGATCTCGATCTCGCCAGGACCGCAGGCGGTGTGTTCTCCTCCTTCGTTCTCTTCATGAGTACCCGCTGACATTATCGAGATGTGCAGCCGTCATTATTGGGTTCAACGTCGACGCTTCGGCAAGCATCATGCGGCAGGCGGCTCAACATCCCCCGGTCACTGTCCACATCTCCCCCATCATCTACCGCCTCGTCGAAATCGTCCGCAAGGAGACCGCCGCCCTCTTGCCGCCGCGCATTGAAGTTCGCGTCCATGGCGAGGCGACCGTCCAGCAGATCTTTGAGATCAAGGTCAAGGGTCGCAAGACGCCCAAGGTCATCGCCGGTTCGCGGTGCTCCAACGGCATCTTCTCGAAGGCGAGGAAGGTCCGCGTCGTTCGCAACGGCGAGACGATCCACACGGGTGAGCTTGCGCATGCCTGCTATTCGCTGGAGCCGCGCGACTGACTTTTCGTCTCTGCAGGAACCGTCGAGACGCTCAAGCAGGTCAAGAAGGATGTGCTCGAAGTGCAGAAGGGCGTCGAATGCGGTATCGCCATTGAGGAGTTCGACGACCTGCGGCCGGAGGACCTCATCCAGAGCATCGAGGAGATCTCCGTCGCGCGCGAGCTGTAAGCTGTTATGTACAGACTAGAGCGAATCCTCGCCACTCCCTTGCATTTAGACCCGCAACGCAACTTTCGCGCTCCCCTCGTCCCACGTTCGTCTGCGCGACGTTAGCAACGGAAAAAGCGACGAGCGCAATGCACAGTTACAGGAAGAGCGGAGCTGGGTGAACATAGTGCGAAGGGAAGACAAGTCTCAACAACGAAGAGGAGGACACGTGGTGAGCTGGGCAAACGAAAAGAGAAACAATGACAAGGGGAACGTGAGAACATGAGAGGGGAGACGGGTGCAGGCGTAGTCTAAGTCTGCGTCGAGCAAAACCCGTTGCTGAACAGCGGAAACAATGAAGAAGGGGAATACGAAGGCTGAGTGTGAGCGCGAGTGTGCGGTGAACATGCGAAGGGGGCCAGTGAGCCAATAAGGATGGAATGGAGCCTTCAAGAGGCGGGCGAGCCGGTCGAGGGCGATGGCGATGCTCCGGTGGTGGACCTTGGCGAGCCCGCGACGGCGGTACTTGCGCCCGTCGTCGGGCCGCTCGCGATGGCAGAGACGGGCGCGATCTTCTTCCGCAACGCCTGAAGTCGGCCCGTGATCGACTGGACGAAGCGGGTGACGGTCGTGCGGTCTTCCTCAATCTCGGCAGGCGTGGCGGTGTTCGGCGTGCGGATCGTATCGTCAAGGAGGGCGTACAGCATCCACAGCGCCGTCTCGTATGCCGTCTCGCAGTCGGTTGGGTTCTCGCCGCGAAGCTCGTTGACAGCGGCGGCGCGGGACTGCGAAGGCAATCCGTCAGCTGCAAGTCGATACAGGTGTTTGGGGTGAGAATGGGCACGCACCAGCTCGAGTGCGCGGTCGTAGACGAGCTTCTCGGCGTAGGTCGCAGACTCGGGGATCTCCTCGCCGCAGCGCGTCTTGGCAAAGTCGGCCTTGTCGAAGCACTCGTTGAAGCGCTGGCGGAACCATTGCACGGCTACGAGAGATCAAAAATTGTCAGCTAGGAATCAGTCGGCGCGTAGAGGACTGACGCACCGTCGTTGAAGTCCGCACTCGCCGCCTGCTGCTCAGAAGGTCTGTTCGCCCAATGCTTCCTCGCTCGCTCGATGCCCTTGCTCAAGAACGCCAGCGCCTTGAGGTAGAGCATCATCGCCTCGGCCGCCAAGACGTCGGCCCGCGCCGAGCTAGCCATGATGAGTGGCCTGTCCGACGAGGAGGACGACCCGCGACGCATTGAGGGCGAAGTCGGGATGGGCGAGAAGGGGTTGCTGACGTTCGCTGATTGCGCCTGAGCTTGTTCGCGCGCGGCGAGGTGCGAGAAGTACGACGGCGTGCCGAGCGAGGTGGTCGAGGTCGATGCGGCAGGCGTGGGAGGGAGGATCTGCAGGATCTTCGAATCGGCAAACTCGAACAGGACGAGCGCCTTCTGCGCGATGTCCTCGAGGTCGGCAAGCACGCGCTCTTCCTCTGGGTCGACCGCGATGGGCGCTGTCATCGACCGCGGGATTGGCTTGCGCGCCGAGCTGCGTCGAACGAGGATGCCGTCCGTCGGGCTGCCAAAGATCTTGAGCGACGAGAGGTTGCTAAAGGCCTTTGCGAGCGCTCCGGATGGGCTGCCGACGAGCGCGAGAGGCGAGCCGGGGAAGCGGTCCATGCTGCGAGGCGAGTTGGAGAGGAAGGACAGCGGGCGAGGGGAAGACGAGAGCGAGTAAGGGTGGTGCGGGGTAGATTGCGCTCGCTGCGGGATCGCAAAGGGCGGCGTCGAGTCGCCCGCGGGTGGATACGGCGACGAGGGCGAAGACGAAGACGGCGGCGACGGTCCTGTCCCAGCAGGGTTGCCAACCGAGCTAAGCGGTCGCGTCAAGAACCCTCGCGACGGTCTCCGTGCCACGACACCCTCTCGTCGTGGGTTCTGTTGCGCAAGCTCGTCGGCAAGAGCGTTGATCTCGACCGTGCGCTTCTCGACGACGACGTAGTCCTTGCCGAGAACCGAGTCGTTCGAGTCCGTCATCGAGTCGCTCGTCTCGTTCGTCGCCTTGAAGCGCTCAATGGCAGACGGCGGATCAGGCGAAGGTGGCGCAGGCGACTCGCTGTCCGACGGACGCCCACGTAAATCTCTGCTGGAAGAGGGGGAGACTTGACCAACTGACCTGCTTCGTCTGCTGATCGTCCCAACCGGCGTCCCCGTCCCTACCCGCTGAGCCGCATAGTCCTTCGTCCTGATCGCCTCGACGCCCGCCACCACCTCCTGCTGCCCACCCGCGCTTCGAGGGACATAACTCGATGTCCGCCTCGCAACAGGCGGCGGACCTTGCTGCGCTCCAGCAAGCGGAGGAGACGGTGATGCTCGTGCGGCAGACGAAGGGCGGCGCGCGAATGGCGGCGGATCGTCGGAAGTCGCGAAGCGCGAGATCGCTTCTGGCGGCGCAGGGGAGGAGACGGAAGGGACGGGTGAAGGGGCGGGTGAGGCGCTTGACGGGCGCGGGTAGAGCGGTGGTGGAGGACCGGGCGAAGCTCGGGGGACGATCGGCGTGCTCGTTTGCTGCGTTGCGAAAGCGGCCGGAGGGACGGTCCCGAACGTCCGTCGGTCGGTCGAGTTCGCTGCGACAGACTCGGGCGGAACAGCGGGTGGTCCACGCGCTGGGTCGCGCTTGCCCGTCGCCTGTCCAACTCGCACCGAGACCGACTCGGCTGACGAGAAGCCCTTGAGCTGAGCGACGGCCGCCGCCTCGCGAAAGAAATCCTCAAACGACATGCGCTCGGCCGGCTGACGCTTCAGTAACCTCCGAATCAGCGCCTTGATATCCGCCGCAACCTTCGTCGGTACTTTGCCCTCGTCCACCTCGTCCGACCGCTTCTCATCCGGGAACTTGATGCGGTCTTCGCCGCGCTCGATCTTGCGCAGGAGCTCGACGTGGTTCTGAGCGCGGAAGGGAGGCTTCCCGACGCTCATCTCGAACAAGACGGCGCCGACGGACCACAAGTCGGCCTTGGCGTCGTACTTTTCGTAGCGGAGGATCTCGGGCGCCATGTAGAGACTGTTCGTGCAAGATGTCAGCTTGAGCGACGGATCGAGGGGGGGAGAGAGACGCACGGTGACCCGCAGAGCGTCTCGGCCATGCTCTGACTCGGCAGCCATCGCGCGAAACCAAAGTCGGCAACCTTGAGAACGGGGATCCCGGGCGGGTGTCCGGCTTCGAGGTCTGCTGCAGAAGCGGGCTGGAGGAGGAGGTTCTGCACGCGGAACAGGGTGAGCGAGGTGAAGAAGGTGACGCAAGGGCGGGACGAACTTGAGGCTTGATATCGCGGTGGATGACGTTCTGTGATCGCAGGAATCGGAGAGCGTCGACTGTGTGCGCGAAACCCCGAAACGATCGCAGTGTTTCGTCAGCGAACGAAGGCAGGCGAGCTCAAGTGCCTGCAACCCACCGAGTTGACCCAAGAAGCACCGCACAATCGTCTCGTTCAACCCGCCCTCCTTCGGATGCGGGTACAAGACCTTCTCCGGCCCTCCCGCTGATCGTCTCGAGTCGGGCAAGAGTCCCTGATTCGACGCCGTGAGAGAAGGGAGGTCGCCCCGCTTGCGGATGTAGAGTGAGAGGTCGCCTGCGGAACAGAAGTCCATGATGAGGTAGATGTGCGAGTCGGTTTTCTGCGGGTAGGGACGAAAGTCGTGAGTATGCATTGGGAGGTACAGCGGAACTTCCGAGCGACGAGGCGGAGGAGGAGGCGGACGGAACGGAAACGGACCAGGCAGTCTTTGAGCTCGACGATGTTGCGGTGGGTGATGCGCTTGAGGATGGAGATTTCGGACTCGAGGTTCTCGAGGAGCTTGCTGGTCAGCTTGCTCCGGATGACCGACTTGATCGCCACGGGAGCGTGCGTATCCTGTGAAGGATTTGGAGGGGCGGCAGAGAACGGGAGTCGGTCAGCTCACGCTCTCCACGGTAATGCACGGCAAGGGATGCTTCAGACGTCCTAGCCGTCCAACAGCGCCGAGGGAAAGGCTGGTCCGACTCACCTGCCTCTCGCCGCGATAGACGGTCGCGAACGATCCCCTGCCAATCTCCTCCGCGATCAAGTACGGCCCGATCCTGTCCTCGTCGTCCGCATCGCGCCTGGTGGCATGTCGCCTCGCGTGTCCGTGCGTGCGGTGTTGCGGAGTCGGCGGGTCGTGGTGGATGTGGGGGCGATGAGAGGACGGGGTGTCTGTCGAGCGCGGGGCGGGCATGCGCGCCCCGTATTGTTGGAGTGTGTGAGGGTGTCTGTGAGTGTGCTCGCTGTGCGTGCAGGTGCGTGCGTTCGATGTCAGAGAGGGGTGGCGCAATCAGGCGACGAGGCGATGAGGAGAGGAGCGAGTCGAGTGAGAGCCTGGCGGAACAGGAGTCGCGCTGGCGTGCGTGCAAGTGCAGTGCAGTCGACTCGTGCAGTTGGACAGTCCTACAGTAGCACGGCAGCTTACGAGTGACAAGTGGTGTCAGCCAACGCGAGCGGATTGACTTCGCGGGAATCGAACGAGTCAACTCGAGCAAACAGCTTCCTGACGAGCGCGCGCAACAGACTCTCGAGCACACAACAGACCGCACAACTCGCGCCTTTCCACCTCCTGCTTTCCTCGAGACGTCAACTCCTTTCCCATCGCGTGACCTCGCAAGCAATCTCCGTTCGAGGCGAACAGATTTCTGCTCAGCATTGCAGGGATGGCGATACTCGACAGCTGGTGCTCAATGCGCGGCAGAGTCCTTGCGGTCGGGTATCAGCTTGCCCGGGTTCTGCACGGCGTGCGAAGAAGGAGCTGTCAGCGAGACGACCCTCATCGGTGTCGACCAAGCGAGTGGACGCAACGCACCATGATGTTCTGCGGGTCCATGACGCGCTTGATCTCGCGCAAGAGCTCGACCGTGCCCGCGCCCAGCTCGTTCTCGACGTAAGGCTGGCGGTCGCAAAGTCCGCATCAGCTCCTTCCCGTACTCGTCAGGCCATCAGGAGAGAGAGGTACGCACCTTCTTGCCGATCCCGACTCCATGTTCGCCCGTCGCAGTCCCGTCCATCCGCTGCGCCCGCTCAACCATGTTATGCACCAACCTTTCAACCTTCTTCAGCTCTTCGTCCGTGCGGAAGAGGAGGAGGGCGCTGCGTGCGAAGGATGATGAGCTGTTGTGAAGGAGGAGAAGAGAGGAGACGGACTGGAAGTTGCCGTCGCCTGCGTGGCTGACGATCGGGCCTTTGATCCCTTCCTTCTCGATGTCGGCCTGCGGGACTCACGTCAGCGGTCAGCTTTTCACCCAATCCGACGGAGTGAGCAGGAAGGGGCGCATGACCGAGGGCTCGCATCGCGAACTCGAGGGAGAGCTCAAACGCACCTTCGTCTCAGCGATCAACTCGGGGAACCTGGACAGCGGGACACAAACATCCGTCACCCAGCACTTGGCGCCCTTGACATACTCGATCGCGCTCCACAGCGCAATCTTGCGCGAGTGCCAGATCTCGTCGGCTTCTTTGTCTGTGCGGGCGAAAGTGAAGTTGGAACCGTGGTTCGAGGAGGTGATCTTGCCTGCGAGCCAGAGGTCGTTAGCAGAGGCTCAGATCGTAGAGGGGAAGAAGAGACGCACGAGTTCGCTCAATGTCGAGCTTCATCTGTTCCGGCGTGCCGCTGAACTTCAGGAATAAACTGCCCATCGCCGTTCCCTTCATCAGCCTCGCTCATCTCAACCAGGACGCATCAACGCACCTCGGCTTGACCGGCCACTGCCTAACCTTGCTCTCCCTGTTCGTCGCATCAACCATCACGTCGTCCAACAACTCGATACAAGCGAGCGAGATGCCGTTTTGGACGAGGTCGCGCGCTGCGGCGGCGGCGGAGGCGATCGTTGGGAAGGAGGAGACCGCGACTGTGGTGGGAAGCGCGGGGGAGAGCTTGAGAGTTGCTGTGAGGGAGGAAGGGTGAGCGGGATTGGGAGGAAACGAGGGGAAAAGGCTGACCTTCGGTGACGATTCCGAGTGTTCCTTCAGCGCCGATGAACAGACGACTCAGGTCGGGTCCGACCGACGACTTCCTGCGGGTCGCGATCGAGAGGATAAGCGACGAGTTGCGGAAAGAAGAGCGAGAACAGCGCACTTTGCTCGCTGCCTCGTCTTGATCACCTCTCCGCTCGGCAATACCACCGTCAAGCTGTCGGAACCGTCAGTCAGTCGAGTCAAGGGAGCAGATGCAAGCAAAGTGACGCACTTGAGGACGTTATCGCGCATGGTACCGTACCGCACTGCATTGGTCCCGCTTGCGCCCGTGCCGATCATGCCGCCAATCTGCGCGCCGCTACGACGACGGCAAAGGTGATGAGCCCATCAGACTCGGGTTAACTGAGAGTGAAGAGCAAGCTCCGCGAAGCCGAACGTACGGCGCAGGATCGACGGGGAAGAAGAGCGGGATGTTCCGTTCCCGCAACTCGGCGTTCAGGGCGTCGTACGAGATGCCAGGCTGAACGACCGCGTCCAGGTCCTCCGCTGCATGCTCACAAAGATCAGCCGCGAAGAGGACGGAGATTGAAGGACGGAACCCACGATGAATTGCCAAGATGTTGTTCATGTTCTCTGAGAAGTCGAGGACGAGCGCGAGGCCTGGTACGAGGTCGTCGACCGAGACGTGGCCGTCGCGAGCGAGCTTCTCCCGCGCAGACTTCTCGGAAGGGTTGTTCGCGTAGCCAAGGGCGGTGGTGTGGCCTGCGAGCGGAGTCGTCAGTAGCTGCAAACGCACCGCCAGCTCGATGAAACGCACCTTCGAGTGAAGTGCCCGCGCAGTAGGGGATCAAGGGAATGCCGTGCTTCGAGGCGGTCTTGACGATTTGGACGACGTCCTCCGTTGAGCGAGGGTACAGCACCGCGCCCGGCAAGCCAGTCGGTCCGTGTGCGGCTGGAAACGGGATTGTCAGCCTTGTACCAAGTCTGGAAGTCAAAGGCAGCGCACCCCATTCGTTGTAGCCGTGGTCGACGAGCGTATCCCGGTCCGTCGCGAGACAGTCCTCCGGGAGCCAGCCCTTGATCTCGCTCATCGCCTTCTCGAAGCCCTCTGCAGTCGGTTCCCGGTAGACCTTTTCCGCCTGCGCCTCTTCCGCCCCGTTCACGCCTGTCAACCTTCCGATCGCATAGGTCGAGCTGCCGACGAGGGTCGAGAGCAGGATCAAGCTGAGCGCGCTGAATCGCTGAACGGGTCGCTTGGGTGCTGGACGGGATGGGTTTGCTGCGACAGGCCCGCTGGGAGTTGGTCGTCGCTCGAGCGGGTGGGGGCGAGAAGCGAAGGCTCGTCGAGGCACGGCGTGAGGAAGGGAGCGCAGCAGCGGGCTTGCAGTCTTCGTAAGCATCCTGATGAGCACCCAAGCCAGTCAGAAGAGCTCAAACGGGTGAAGAGACTCGTTCTCCACCTCTTCGCCTCCCTCCGTCGCTGCCGGCCGACGGTGCCGAGCCGCTCCGTTCGCCTCGCACATCTCGCTGCAGTGTTGGACAGTCATGGAGCAGTGCTCTGGACGCATTCAGAACCAGCCTAGGCCAGCCGGAGGTCGCCTCGTCTCTCCCTCTCCTCCTCGCAATTCTCATCAGTCGACGCTCGACAAGCGCGAGGACGGGCATTGGTGCACTGCGAGTGGATATTGACGGTGCTGATGGGTGATAGAGTACTGAACGGAGCGCCCACGCCGTCCAGGACTGCTCAGACTGCGACGCTCGCCCGCTTTCCCCTCCTCCCGCTCGTCCCGGCCCGCTTCTCGTCATCCTCGTGGTACGAGTCCTCCGAATCACTGCTCGAAAGCTCCGCATCACGCCCACCTCGCTTCTCAATGCCCTCCTCGCGCAAAGGCAGCCCCGCCTCCTCGTCGTCTCCATCCATCGCGCGTCCCTTTCCCTTCCACCTAGCCTGCTGGCGCCCGAACCGCATCTTCGGCAAGCTATGCGCAATGTGGTGATAGCCCGTCGCCTTGCCGAGACTCTGTGAAGTCCCGCCGGACATGCAGCCGATCGCAAGGACGGATACGGAGAGCTGGAGGATGCACGAGATGACGAGGAACTGGCGCAGGCCACGGTTGTTCATCAGCCCAGGCTATATCTTGCTGCCCTTGCCCTCGGGTCGCGAAAACAGAGGCGAAAGGTGCACGCACGGCAATGATGGCGGTCTTGATCTGTCCCCAACTACAGTTGATGAGCTTGGTGACAGCGCCCGAGTTCGGCACCTCGCCAACTGCCCCTGCAGCGCTTGAGCTGAGGGGGAACGCGCTAGTCAGAGATCGGGGAGGACCAGGAAGGTGAAGCGGGACGCACCAGAGCTTGGTCACGTCCTCTTTCGCGGCCCAGTAGCCGTACGAGCCGGCTTCGATGACGGCGAGGAGCTGTGGAAGTCTACATTAGCGGCGTTCACGCCGCGACGAGGTGGCAGAACCTACGATACCCAACCCGCCAATCTCGGGGCCCGAACAAGCGCAAAAGACGAGTCCAACGACCAGCGCAACCAACGAACTCGCTCCGCCGATGTACTGAGCGATAGATACGCCGTCTGTAGGCCACTGCTGGGCTTTGATGCTCGGCCAGAGGTAGTACTGGAGCGGGAGAACGGGTCAGCGTGATCAGCAGGTTGAGGAGAGGGCGGGACGCACGAAGGTACTGCCGGCGAGGACGGCGAGCATAAGGATGTTGAAGCCCTGTGAGTGCCGCGCCACACAATCAGCACGAGTTTGAGGAGATACGGAGGTCGGCAAGACGGGCGGAGAGAGAACGCCAGGACATACCTGGAAGACCTTGCGGAATATCCCTGTGAGGCACATCGTCGCTGACCGTCAAAGGCAATGTACAGAGCAGAGGAGAGAGCGGACGAAGCGAAAGCTGGAGGACGGACGTGCTGGACATGCCGCGGACCTTCCGGGCGCGAGGTTAACCTCCTCGACATCGCCTCATGCCTCGACCGATGCCTCGACGGAACAAGCAGAGCACCCGTGTCAATCCTCGAGCCCTAAGGAGAGGCGCAACGAGCTGCAGCTGCGATGTCAGGCCGAAAGAGCGTCTTGAGACCGTTGACCTTCGCAACTCGACATTCGATTTCGCAAGCATCCTACAGTAACGTGACAAGCAAGCGAGTGCGCCACCAAGCCCGAGCACCTTCCAAGCGAGTACTGGGCGCCGAACAGGGGCAGGTTGGGTCAGCGTTCGTCGCAGCAAGAGGGCGGAGGCGAAGTCGCGCACCTCGAGTTGAGCGCTCACTTAGCCATCATCTGCCTACGTGACAGGTCGAACGAGGGTCAGCCTCACCTCAGCAAGCTCTACAACGCCGCAAGCGACACGCACTTCAACCTCTCCTCCTCCTCCTCCTGCTCCTTAGACCCGTGCGGGACGTGCATGAACGTGTGGTGCGGCGAGTCGCCCTCGCGGTGGCTCGGCTGGAGCTCCTGAGCGTGTGGGATGTCGACGGGTTCGCTGGCGGTCGTCGAGGAGCTCGAAGTCCTTGTGTGGCCGCTCGACTCGGATTCGCCGGAGAAGGCGGAGGGCTGCGAAAGCGACGCGGCGGGTCAGCGGAGGGTCGTGCAAATACCGAAGCTGGCGCGCACGTCGATGTTGCCCGTGGGGACGACGCGAGGCTTTTGACCTCCCTCGGGCAAGTGAGGGATGTTCGAGGAGTGCGAGCCTTCGTCGGACCTGTTGTGGGCCACTCAGGACGTCAGCACTGGACTCTTCGAGACGCTTGGAGGCTGCTCACATTGTTTGTTGCGGGTGCGAGTGAGGTGGAGGAGGGAAAGAGACGCAAGTCACCTCCTCGCCTCGACAACGCGCCAGCTGCGACTCGCTGGCGGAGCTTGCAGGTTCGTATGAGCTCTTAGTCCTCTCTCGCGCTCGTTCCGTCCCCTCGCGACCGTTTCAGTGGCCGGGCGCGGAAGTGCACTCCGGCCATCCTTTCCGCTCCCCACGCCTGCAGATAGGCTTTATACCGAGTCAAGGTTACCTCGTAGAAATGAGAGAGATGCCGCAACTCTAGCTGCGAGTCTCGGAAGGAGAGCGAAGGGATGGTACGATGATTGCAAGTCCTCCTGCGGCTCTACATGCGCCCGAGTCCGTCGACGCTGTCCTCACTGTCCGTGTGCACGCCCGACTTCCTCTGCGCTTGCTCCGCCTGACCCGCGCGACTCGATCTCCCTGACCTGTCTTCGCTCTTCGACATGCCCACGCCGTCCCCGCGACGCAGCATGCCTTTCTCTGCGTCCGACTCTTCCGAGTCGCTTCTGTTGCTGAAGTCGCTCCATTCATTGCTGTCGGCGCGGGCACGGCGGTGGCCGGACGAGGCGGAGCGAGAGAGCGAGTATGAGTTGTCGGGAGGAGGGGAGGAGCCGCCTCCGTTGCGGCCGACGACGAGGATGGCCAGCTGGATGAGAGCGGCGGCGACGAGAATCTAGGGTTCACTTTGCTGTCAGTATCACCGCGAGAGCTACGAGAAAAGAGGCCGAACTCACGACGTAGAAGGCGATCTTGCCGGCTCCGTTGCAGAACAAGCTCGACCACGCGTTGACGGTACAGGTGCTGGCGAAGCCTGCGCCGATCATCTGCCACGCCCAGAAGACGGCACAAGCAGCGGCGATGCCCTGTCGTCTCGTCCGTTAGCTCGCCTTCTCGTGCGAGGGACGCAAGTGCGCACCAAGTTCTCCCACTTGTACCATTTCTTCGCCATGATCGACGGGGCGTAAGACATGCCGACCGAAATCAAGCCTGCTACGGCTGCGACGGTCGCCAGGACACCCGAAGCGCTCGAAGCAAGGTTCGAGGTCGACAAGCCAGAAAGGGACGGGCTGCGAGCGACGACTGGCTTAGCAACATTGGGGAGGAATCGATCAGGCAAGAGGAACTCACGAGAAGACCGATGTCACCACGACGAGGAGGACCGTCCCTGCGATCTGCGGACAAGTCGCCCTCAGGAAAGGCATAGTAAAAGCGGTGGGAGGCGGCGCACCTTGATGATCAGAGAAATCTGCATCGTGTCGAGTGTAGTAGAAACGGAAGGAAGGAGGGAAAGGGAGGAAGAGGAAGAATCGGAGGATGTTGGGGTCCGCGGATTCTCCGTCGAGTGAGAAGACGGAAGAGGGGGAAGTATATGAGAGCAAGGGAAGCGCAGACTCGAGTCCAAGAGAATGCGCAAGAGCAGGCGACGGCCGGCGGCGACGCGCTAAGACGCCGGTGGAAGCAGAGGCAAGTATGAGGGTTCGCCAGTCGAAGCCGCGTCGAGGCATTAGGCACCGCTGCGGCAGCAGGGTCAAAAGAGAGCCATGGGAATGTCAACAACAAGAAAGGAAGCTGTACAGTCGGACGGAGCGGGGCAGGCGTGAGGCGTCAAAGCGAGGCGCGGCCGAGGAGGATCTTGAGGTCGAGGAGGACCTGCGGGTGGTTACAAAGGGTCAGCCGCCGTCTTTCCGTGTCCGAACACCTCGTTCGCGAGCCGTGGGGCAGGAGGAGAACCGGGAGAGCCGAGCGACTCACATGCCGCAGCGCCCTCGTCCAGGTCTCGTCGCTGCCGAACTGAAGCTTGATCGAGACGTCGCCGATACGATCCTTCACGACACTGTGCGTACCAAGCGTATTGGTTCAGTCCCTGAGAAGGGTCGCAAGCGAACGCTGCCCCGCGAGTCCCCCAAGGGCGCCGACCGAGTACCTCGAGCCACCTTGCGAAGAAGCGAGATCTCGCGACTCACGCATGCGGCAGCCTGACTCCCCGATCTCGCCTCGTGACCCACTCGCTCAACTGCCTCAAACATTCGAGGAACGCGACCATGGCCATGTCGAAGCGACGGTTCTGGAGGAGACGGGTGACGGCAAAGTCGCCTGACCCGTAGCTGCGTTCGCGCACGAAAGTTTGAATCAGCTGATCCTACAGCACAAGCGAGAGAGAGAGAAGGAAGAGCGACTGCACGCACAGCTCGTACACCCCGGCCGTCTCGCCTTTCTCCCCGACCTTCTCGATACTCGAGAAACTCCCGCACGGCACGAGCTTGTACCCCTGGAACTCGAACGCAAACTTGCGCGCGATGGTGTGCAGTAGGAGGAGTGTATGGCCCCATGCGGCATTGATCTCGGGCCATTCGACCTGGGCGCGAAAGAGGGTTCAGCCAGAACGAAATCGGAAGGAGAAATGGACAAACGAACGACGACTCCTGGCAGACGACCGAGGCGCAGACCGTTGATTGTACCGAAGCCTGCTTCCTGGCCGATGCAGAAGGCGTCGTCTGGGAGAAATGTCGAGGTCCGTTCAGGTGCGCTATACGCTTCCGCACGTGATCGTCAGCGGCCGACTCACTGTACACGTTTGTCCGCTGCAACTTGTCCAACTCCCGCTGCCCGTTCGCAAGACGCGTCTCAAGCGCCGATTGCCGGTCGAGCAGTTGGTCGCGGTCGAGGACGTAGAGCGAGTGTTGGCGCCAGAATCTGCGCTTAAGACCCGCATCAGCTACTCTGCCGAGCATTCACGCTTGAAGCGGTTTCCGCTTAGCGATGCTCGGACAAAGCGAGTAAGACGTACTCTGCTTCCTCACGCGCAAGCTCTTCTTCTTCCGCGTCGAGCGCAGTCTGTTCCTCTGCCAGGGACGCCTTCTGCGCTTCGACGGCTTTCAGCTCGGTGATAGCGTGGGATTCGGCTTTGCGGAGCTGTGGGATGAGGTATGTCAGCCTAAACTCGGCAGACCGTACGAGGCTCCGACACTTTTCTGGCCACGAGAAGCAGCAGCACCGTAAGCAGAACGTCCAGACCGAAAACGCACCTTCGCAATCTCCTTTTCCAACGCCTCCCTGACCTCCGCATCCGTCGCAGCCCCTAAGCTCTTCCTAACCTCGTCCCTCTTCCTCACGACCTCCCTCTCAAACGCAGCCAATCGATCCTTTTCTTTCCGGAGTTCATCGAGTTCGCGAGTCATGAGGGTGAGGAGGGACTCGGTGCATTCTGTGCAGAGAGGTTGTGCGATGGAGGATTGGGAGGAGAGCAAGGTGTAGAGGGTCGAAAGTTGTGAAAGATGGGGAGTCAGGGAGGTTGGTTGTGCTGGCGAGAAGGAGAACGGGTCGGAGGAGGTCACGGCTGGACGAGGGGCGGAGCCTGGCGCCGGGAGTGCGGCGGCTGACGCAGAGCCAAATACGGAGTCGGTCAAGACGACGAACGACTCTGTCGGTCCCATTCCACTTCGAGGAGGAACGGTCGTCGGGGAAGGTCGAGACGAGGGTGAAGGGACGACAACACGCTGAATGGCGGGGTTCGGCTGGACTCCCTGCCTCGTCGCAACGTCGTAGAGCGGTCGCAAGCCGGCTGGCACCCGCGCATGACCCTGTCGAGCCGCAGGCACTCCACCTCCCGTTCCGCCGACCCGCTTCACCCCGTCGTTCGCCGCACTTCCAGCACCGGCACCTCCCTGAAACCGTTCCGACTGAGTGAGGAGATCGTATGTCGATGGCCCGAGCGAGGTGTGCGAGTCGTGGTGCGCGGGTTGAGCGAGGTGGGGAGCGGGACGAGGACGAGACGACGGCGAGGGCAGGGACGATGGCTGGATGGGTTGGCGACAGCGCTGGCACGAGGGCATCCCAATCAAGCGTAGCACTCTGCACAGCTGTCAGTCGCGGTGAATGGTCTGATGGCGACCCTCTCTTCCTCGTCTCTCACCACCACGCCTCCGCTGAGTTGAGCTGCTGGGACGTTTGCTGTGACTGCGTGCCGTGGGAGCCTTAGCTGGCTCGTCCACACCCCGCCCTAGCTCGCAATGGACACCCTCACCACTCCTCCGCCTCTCCCGCCGCCCACCCTCGCGAACGGCACTGCCTCGCACGCCCAGCCAAGCACGAGCACACACGCACACTCTTTGAAAGACCCACAGCCCGATCCGGCACTCGAGCGCGAACTCCCCGTCATTCTGCAGGACCTCGTCCCCCTCAGCTACATCATCGACCGCGTTGTCGCACAGGCTTATTCGGACCTCGCCAACCTCGTAGAGACGTGAATTCACTTGCTTCCCAGATACGCGACTGACCGAAGCTGACTGGGCTTGTTGTTACAGTCTGCCGAGCCAGAATGACCAGGCGAGGAAGCGAGCGATTGTCGACTATGTCCTCCAGACCAGGAGGCAGGTCGTCAAGCTGCTCGTGTTGGCGAGATGGAGCACCGAGGCAGAGCGGATACAGCGGGCCATGGTGCGTCGAGGTCGTCACTTACCCTCAACTCCCTTCGAGAAAGCGGAGCTGATGGTCGCGCATCCATGTTGCACAGAACATCGTCGGCTTTCTCTCGATGCAGAATCATACCCTCGAGTCCACTATCGCCTCCCTCACCGACACACGCACGATGCTTTCCGGCGCGCGGGTACGAAACTACGACCTCTCGACCGCTCTCGCCGTTCTCTCAACTGGCACGTACACCGGCCTACCTGCATCGATGCGAGAAGGGTTCGAGGAGGGGGCGGAGAAGATGGGCGATGAGGAGGTTATCGACACGCTGAGAGAGGTGGATGAAGTGATCCGCTGGCGGCTAGTGATGGGGAAGGAGTACGTCCCGGAAGATATGCGGCGACGGATATGGAGAGTTTGCGACGGGCGAGTGGTGTTTGGAGTCGAGGGATTGTGGGAGGCAAGTTTTACGTACGGCGGCGGAAAGGAGGATCCGAACGAGGACGAAGACGACGAGCGTGCAGAGGAGGGAGCCGAGTGGTTTCTCCTCGGCGTCAAATTCTTGTTTCGCGTCAAAGACGCTCGAGGGGGTGAGTCCGCGCCTCACCTTCTCCTCCGCTTTGGCATTCGAGGCTCAGACTCGAGCGCTCCTGCGCACTCGGTCGTGCAGTCTGGTCCTCGACGCCCCTCGGTCCGCTCAAGGACCACCTCATCGACCTCTGTAACCGACAACTTTTGCGACGGCCTTACCTCCTTCCTCCGCCCGAACCTCCTCAACCTCCTCAACCGATCGATGGGCAACCACCGCCTGAGGCAGATGCGGACCAGGAGGAAAAGGCGAAGAAGTGGGAGGAGGAGCGAAGAGAAGTGACCAAGAAGAGACGGCGAGACAGGCCGTTGAATCGGGCGTACACCTTTCTCCGTGCGTTTCCCCTTTTCCCGTCTCCGTTTCGGCGGAACTGACGGTAACTCCCTGCAGAACGCCTCGCACTGTCATACCAGCTCGAGGCGGTCCACGCGAGCGCGGCGAGACTGGCGCAGACGAGCTGGAAGGGGAGTCTGCGAGTTGAGCGGGCGGGTCAGGAGAGGGAGGAAGTGAGGATCGAGTATTGGAGGTGCGTCTAGGCTGCGACCCGTCTGGACCTCGAGGAATTTGCTCCGGGGACTGATTCCTGCGCTTTGATGGTGTACCCACAGCTACCGACCTGACGGCTCGAGCACTGCACGACAAACCCCTTCTACCGCATCTCGCCCTGGTCCCGGCAGCACGATCATCTTCTCCCTTCGAACACCATCTCACTCGTCTATGTCTTCCGACGCACCGGCCGCACCCCGGCTCTCATCGACTTCTCGCCAATCAGTCCGCGAACGTGCTCTCCGCGCGGCTCTTGCGAAAGCTTCCTCGTCCGATTCTGCCACTCGCCCAGCTCCAGACACATCACCAGCGACAGAAGCGGACGACCCGTCCTCGGATCCCGACGTCCCCTCCCGCCTGTCCGTGACATGGCTTCCTCCTTCCTCCTACGCCTCGTCCTACGCCTCGTCCTCCGCCTCATTCGACCTGTCGGCCCTGCTAGGCTCGGACCTCGACGTGGAAGCTGTCATTCGACATGTGACGGCTCGACACGCGCGGGAGACGGTCGAGAGACTGGCGGAAGTCGTAATCGTACAGGGCGGAGAGGGGACGAAAGGCGCGCGGGTGGTCTATCCTTCGGAGCAGGAGAATGCAGAAGGTGCGATGGAAGCACAGGAGGTCCCGTACCTTCATTTCCCGCTCGTCGGTCCTCATGCAGTTTCGGCGCACATCGTCCCCACGACCGGGCGATTCGAGTTCCGACTCGCTTTCGCCTCCTCCGCCGCAGAAGCAGGTTCAGGAGACGATGGAGGGATGGAAGAAGGCGAAGGATCGGCCGCAAGGGAACAGAGGTTGAGGCTGGCGACTGAGCGGATCGAGAAGGAGCGATATGGCGTTGCGCAGGCGGGGCAGCAGGCAAATGCGGCAGGGGAAGATGGCTGGATGAGGGCGGTTGCGGACGTTGTTGCGCGAATTCGTGCTTCCGTACGTCCAGTCTCTTCTGGCTCGAGGCGAGGCACGAGCTAACGGCTTCTCTCGCCCGCAGACCATCCTCGACGACCTCGAATCACTTGTCTCGCTCCTTTCGCTCCCTCTCGCCTCTCCTCCGACACGCCGCCTGCCCCTCGCACCGCGCGAGTACTCCAAACTCGGCCCGAACCCCGCCGCTCTCACCGGTCGCGCCGCACACCTCTTCGTCCCGCTTCTGCGTTCGACGTCCGGTTTGATGAAGGATTGGTTCGTCGTGCTCGTGTTGTTCGACGAGGGCGTTCGGGCGGCGTTGGTCAGGACGGAAGAGAGGAGCGATGGGATGGGCAGCTGGTTGGAGATTGGCGAGGTTGGGTGGATTGGGGGAGCGAGCGTGAAGACGAAGGGGAAGGAGCGAGCTGGGGAAGCAGGCGTCGAAGCAGGGGTTGCGGGGACTGACCTTGGGTACGAGATCAAGGCCGAGACGCTGAGAAGCCTGTGGTGGCACTGCGTGTGCGTGGGCTATCTTCTTCTCGACTCGATAATACAGGCGCTGACACTTGATGCGCACCACAGCCATCGAGTCGCCCTCTTCAAGGTCGAACAGCAGCTCCACTCGCGCCGGATCCCCTATCGCCTCGTCCACCCCTCGACGGACGACGCGACCTCCACGCCTTCTCCCTTGATCGCCAAGCCTCGGAAGGCGGCACAACTCGCTGTTCAGCCGGCAGGCTTGCTCGCCTTGCCAGACGCGGCGAAGATTGCAGAAGGCGAGGGAGCAGTGCTGTGTCTTGTTGGCGACAGCGGGCTTCTCAGGGTGCGTCGAGTGCCGAACCAGACCTACGAAGCGGGCTATTGACCGCTTTGTCTGTCTTAGACTACGCTTCATGTCCGGCTACGACCGTCCATCGCCTCGTCCCTCTTCTCACCGTCGATCAAACTTCCTCCGAACGTCCTCTTCAACCCTTCAAGCGGCGACCTCATCCTAGCGACTGAAGACGACCTGGATGGCGCGGTCGAGCGATTACTGCGGTTCGTTCTCCCGCTTCTTTCACCCTTTCCGCTTCTCAAGCTGAACCCATGCGCTCCTTCCAGCGCTTACGCTGTCCTCGCGCGAGCGCTCCTCGCCGCCTATCGCGAACGAGGGACGCCAGACAAGCGGCCCTCGACGACTGCAGCTTCGCTGAAGAAGGCCTCTTTCGCCCAGCAGATCAACGGGCTCAAGCCAGGCGGATAAGGCGTAGACATGGAGGGAGCGAAGGGCGCACTGGACCGCCATATCCAGCAGTCGAAGCGAGGAGCCTTGGAGGAGCTTCGTATTTTCGCCTTGCGCGGAGAGTCCGCGGATGTCCCGTTGGCTGTGCTTGTGCTTCTCTCGCTCTTGCCTCGTCGCTGCCTCATCGCTGCTGTTCCTTGCTGTCGGTCGCGACAACCGATGTGATTGCCTGCTCTGCTACAATCGCCATGCAGAACCTGAACGACTTCGACGCGCAGAGTGCGTCAATCTCTTCCTCCTCTCTTTTACTGCTCTCGCTCACCATGCACCATCTCGCAGTCAGGGAGAGTGCGTCTGCCAGGCAGGGTGTGACTGGACGACACGACTAACCAAGTATGTACGCAGTCGAAGAAGAGATTGCCGACCGAAAGACCGCGATATGTCCGACTAAGCACCACCTGGCCCTGCTCTTGCACCCTCACCGTACTGTCGAAGAGCGTCTCGAAGACCTTCATGTCCAGCAGACGGGATGCGGCCTTACTCTGCGTGAGTTGTGCTCTCGACTTTGACGGTCTGCGGCTGACATGTTCTTGCGGCGACAGTCATGGCTGAAAGCGACAAGAACCTGCATCTGGGTCGATCGCCCGTCGAGACGGACGTTGACACAGCGTACATCCTCTACAAGAAAGTCCGCGAGGTCAAGGACGCCACCGGCTTGACGGAACTGGAAGCGCAGCTGGATGATCTCGTGCGTCTAGTCGAAGTTGAGTTCCCTTCAGGTCGGCCTGACGCCATCTTCGCGAGCAGAGGAGGCAGAAGCTGTGCGCGGAAGATCCGTCGCTCTGCCTGAAGCAGCGTGCGTGCGGTCCTCCGTTTGCCCGTCTCACACAATGATGCTGAGCGAATCCCTGCGCAGTCGAAGGAAACGCCGTGACCCTGGACAAGCTATGTGAACGGACGCCAGCTCTGCGGGAAGCGCTTGAAGCCATTGACCGTCGCAAGCGAGCCTTGATGGACGAAACGGCCTATCGTGCGCCTCCTCCTTTGGCCTGCTGAGCTCGACCGGCTGACTCCTCGTTCGTACAGAGGCGCTCATCGGCGCTCACAATGCTCAGAGTCGTGCTGCACGGACTGTAGCAGATTGCGCGAAGGCGGCTGTCCAAGTACTCGAGCAGGCCGCCAGCGCACGGAGCGGCGTACCTGTTGACGACTTGCTACACGACATCGACATGCTCGTGCGCTGCCAACTCTGTCGACCGTGTGACGGAGCCAGCTCCGACGACTGACTCGCTTCCTCGCGCTGGCAGAAGCAAGTCCTCCTCGACGCCGGTCATGGCGACCTGCTTGCGAACAGCTCGGTGGTTCGCGTCAAGCAAATGGCTGCGGAGGGCACGCCGCCCGCCGTGACGGTTAGGATACTCGGGAAATGTACGTTTCGGCAGCAGAGCATCTACAAGCTGGCAACGTCGAGGTGGGGCGCCTGAAACCGTCCCGCAGCCGTGTGTTACTCTCACGTAATGTCCAGTGTATCGCTACGACCTTGTCCACCTCCAGGGCACTTTGTCAGGCTGGTCGACGGACGGAGAGATGGTACTACCCTCCGTCTCCCGCTTCTTGGGGTACCCCGGTTCGCTTGACACCTTTTGTAGAGCTTTCCCAATGCATTGCAGGCTTCAGTAAGCGGAACGAAGGCAGTCGACGATGTGGCTGCCTCGCCAACTTGCTCGACCGCCTCTTTCCCTCGTCCTCTACCCGCTCACTCCGCTCGTCCGGGTCCAGAGTGCGCTCAAAGACTTTCAGACGTCCTCTTTAACGCCAGCTACACCCACAACCGAGCCCTTTGCTTCTCCCGCGCCGCTTCCCCACCTTCAATCTTCATCAGTCGACTCGTCGTTCAAGACCGCCCCTCGCCTTCGCAACACGATGGAGGCGCTCACGGCCGAGTTCAAGTCGCTTGCGGTGACTTCGCTGGGCGATCCGGGCCAGACTGGAGTCGGTGCGTGCCATGCCATCTTCCCTTGCCGCTCTTCGCCGCGGTCGGATCCCTCGTTGCAGTCGGAGCGTCCGTCCGAGCTGAGCTGACCGTTTTCGCTTCTCGCCAGTTCTCGCGCAGCGCCCGGACAAGGGTGGCACGCTTGGCAGGCCCATTCCTCTCGTCGCCAACCTCTACCGCCTCAAGTTCAAGAAGCCCCCTTCGATCTCCCACTACGACGTTACTGTCACCGAGGTCCGCCCTGAGGATGCGCCGCCTCGTCGCTCCGGCAACGGTCCTCCTCCTGCTATCAACCGCGAGACGAGTATCGCCATCTGGGACGCCCTCGTTGCCTTGAACCCCGACAATCTCGGCGAGCCGTTGCGCCAGGCTGCGTTCGACTGTCGCAAGAACGCCTTCACCCTCGGTCGTCTCAACATCCCCGACGGCACCAAGACGTACCGCGTCGAACTCCCAGCCGAGTCGGCGACGCGTGCGCCGCGCCAGTTCGACGTCAAGCTCTCGCTCGCTCAGTTCCTCGACCTCTCGATCCTCGACGCATTCTGCCAGCACAAGCGTGCGGCTAACCTTTCGGACCTCGCTGCCACCGCCATCATGGCCCTCGACGTTCTTTGCGCCACGGCATGTACCGCAAGCAGGACTACGTCGTCGGCGGCGCTGGTCGCAAGTTCCTCAACATGCGCGCTTCGACCCCGCTCGGCCAAGGTGGAGAGCTCCTCGCCGGTCTCTTCCAGTCGGTCCGCCCGACCGTGTCGGGCATGGTCGTCAACCTCGACTCGGCGTACTCACCCTACATCGTCACCGGCGATCTCCTCTCCGTCTGCAACGCCATCGTCGGACGCCAGCAGACGCAGGGCGGAGCGCCTCAGAGGGGCGGACGAGGCGGACGCGGTGGCCCGAGGGGTCGTGGAGGCTACCCTGCCGCTGGTCGCGCGATGCCTGCCAATTTCTCCGACCAGGAGATCCGCGAGCTTAAGCGTAAGCTTGGCAACTCGAAGGTCCGAGTCACGCACCGGTTCGTCTCCCTCGCCGTCTTCTAGCATTGCTGTTCCCTCACTGACCCGTCGTCCCCAACAGCAAGGACACTCGCCCGTTCACCATCGTCGGTTTCGGCCAGCCCGTCGGACGCCAGGTCGTCAGCATCGGCGATCGCAGCAAGAAGGGCAAGGGCGCCGCCAAGCCGACCGCGAAGGAGGCTGCCGCCGCTGCCGCCAAGGGCCAGGCCCTCCCCGAGCGCGAGAAGACGCAGCAGCAGACGATGACGGTCGCCGACTACTTCGCTAAGACGTACAACATGACCAATATCAACCTCGCGCTTCCCGCCGTCGAGCTCCGCGGCGGTCAGTTCGTCCCGATGGAAGTCCTCGAGGTGAGCGGCCCGCAACCCGGGTAACGCATACGGTGCTGACGCTCGCTCGTACAGCTCCTCCACGGCCGCATCATCCCCCCGACGCAGCTCACGGCGCAGCAAGCTTCCGCGATGATCAACACCGCGGCGAAGCCTCCCGCCGAGCGTCGCGCAAACATCGACCAGATCCGCCAGCAGGCCGAGTTCGGACCGGGCTCGCGCCCGAACGCCTGGGGACTCGACGTCTCGGTCGACATGATGAGGCTGCAGGGTCGCCTCCTCCCGCCGCCCAAGGTCCAGTACCACGCGACTTCGCGCAAGGCCATGCCGAATGTCGCGTTCGGATCGTGGAACCTCGTCGAGAGCAGGTTCCTCGTTCCCGCTCCGCCGCTCGTGCACTGGTCCGTCGCCGTCTTCGCGCCGGAGCGAGACGCCCCCCGCCCAGCCCTCCAGAACTTTTTCGGCATGCTCATCCAGCAAGCGGCGTCTCGCAGTGAGTTTCAGCTGTTCGCGCCTTCTTTACGCAAGCACCTCTCACATCTCTCCCACTCAGGCTGCCAGATCAGGATCCCTGCGGATCAGCAGTTGAAGGTGACCTACTGGGACGGTCGCGAGGACCGCCTCAGTACGCTCAAGCGCGCTGCCAACCTCGTCATGCAGAACAACGTGCGTCTTTCATGTCTCGATCCTACGCTGCTGCTGACAGGCTTCGCTTTACAGCCGCAGAACAAGGCCGGCCAGCCTCCCCAGCTCATCTTCTGCATCCTCCAGGTTCGTCCTCTCGCTACATCGCCTCGCGACTTGACTAATGCCCGCTGCTGCTTCCTTCAGGATCCGAAGGCGTACGACGACATCAAGCGCGAGAGCGCTCTCGAGCTTCCTGTCGCTGTCACGACGCAGTGCTGCCTGCTCAAGAACATCTTCAAGCCCCGCGGCGTCGACCAGTACTGCGGCAACTTGATGCTCAAGATCAACGCAAAGCTCGGCGGCATCAACTCGACCGTCGACCAGAGGGATTTGCCCGGCCTCGTTCCCGGCAAAACCCTCCTCCTCGGTGCCGACGTGACGTGAGTGACGCCCTGACACGCTCGACTGCTGCGCCATGCTGACCGCGATCATCTCGCAGCCACCCGACGGGCGCCGGAACGGGTCGTGCAGGCGCTGAGGTCCCGCCTTCGATTGCCGCCCTGGTCGCCGCGGTCGACTCGAGCAACATGAAGTACGCTGCGCAAGTCCGCGAACAGGAGGGACGCAAAGAGTTCATTACCGAGCTTTCCTCGATGAGCGAGACCCTCATCCGCACCTTCATGAAGAACACGAAGGGCAGGCCGGACTCGATCATCATGTTCCGGGTGCGTATCTCGTCCTTCCTCCCTTCCGCTTTGTCCGCACTGACGCCAGCCTCGCACAGGACGGCATCTCGGAGGGCCAGCTCGCGCCTTGCGTCCACGCCGAGGTCTCGCAGATCAAGGCCGCCTGCCGCAAGATCGACACCAACTGGAACCCCAAGCTCACGTACATCGTCTGCGCCAAGCGCCACCACATTAGGCTCTGGGCGCAGAACGAGAGGGACTGCGACCGTACGGGCAATCTGCGTGCGTCGTCGACATCGGACCTGTTCGTAGCTTTCGTCCCGCTGATGTCGTGGTCCTCCAGCTCCCGGCGTCGTCGTCGACTCGGAGATCGTTCACCCGTACATCTTCGAGTTCTACCTCCAAGCCCACGCGGGATTGAAGGGCACGGCCAAGGTGAGCTTTCCTTGCGCGACGTCCGCGTCCGGGCGCTGATTGGCCTCTCTCGCAGCCGACGCGCTACATCTGCCTCCTCGACGAGAACAACTTTTCGAGCGACAAGATTCAGAAGCTCGTCAAGTGCGCTGTCCTTCTTGACTCGGTGTCAACGCCGAGCCGCACTAACAGCGCCTTCCGCAGCTCGCTCTGCTACTCGTTCGCGAGGGCAACTCGCTCGGTCTCGCTTGTGCCGGTCGCCTACTGTACGTCCAGCTCCCTCTCGTCACCTTCACGCCTCAACTAACGCTTTCGCTCGCGCAGACGCCGACATCGTCGCCGGCAAGGCCCGCTCGTTCGTTGACACGGACGACGCTTCAACCCAGCGTCTCGCGCAGGAGGCCAAGAAGCGCGACTCGCGCTACATTCAGGACATGCTCGACCGCAGCACGTTCGGCCAGTCGATGTGGTTCATGTGAAGGAGGAGGGAGTCGCTTGTTCCTCGCCGGATCATCGCTTCGTAGTCTACGCCGTTTCTCGCTTCTGTTTCTGGGGCGGTTCCTGTTTTCGTTGTACCTTCTCTCGCATCGCTTCGGTCCCGTGCAGTTCTCAATTCCGCATTTCGTCCAGAACGGCGAGTCTCTCGAGAGAAGCCCGATTGATAGTCTCGCGCCAGCGCGGCAATCCGACGAGGAGCGGGAGTTGACGGGCGGGGACGTCGACGTCGAGTACGTCGGCGTGCGAGATTCCGCCGAGAACGTCGGGCGTATTGTCAGGCTGTCTGCCTCAAGGGCGTGCTCGGCGTCGTCCCTGGAGCCGCGCTGCACAGTCAAGGGCGACATACGAAGAGCGCAGCGGGAGATAGTAACGCAACGCAATCCATTCGAGAGCGTGCTTGGCGTTCATTCCGCCTCCAACCCCTAGGCCACTCTGAGCTGTCACCTGTGGACATCGTCAGCGAAGCAAGAAGCGCCAAGCAGCCGAAGCAGACGCAAGGCGGGCGTGACAGGCGAGTCGAGACGGGCAAGGAGACGGCGACCGAATAGGCGAGCTGCTTATACACGGCGTGCGCATGCGAGGCAAGGCGCAGGCAGAGGGTCCTGCTCGCCTTCGGGTCCAGCAGGCGCGTAGACGTCTGATGACGGAGCTGGAAAGGGGCGACCTCGAAGCGGAAGAGGCGAGAGCCCAGCTGGCGCGGTCGAAGAGGTTTGAACGAGACTGCTGAACTCATGCCGACAGTCCTTCGAGCGTCTTCAGCTAATCAACGGCGCCCCGTACGCCCGGATCCGCTCCCCGACCCCTCAAGCTCCGTCAACTGATGAGGCGGAGTAGGATGTCGTCCACGTCCTGCGGCGGTACGAGAGGATGGCAGGACTGCTAATGGATCCGCAAGCATCAAGATGAGCACGCGCAACCCTTGTCCTGAGCGACAAAGGGTAGCAGTAGCGGTGTGAGCGTGAGGACACTCCTCTTCCTCGAACCGCTCGCGCTCGCTGGTCTTCCTGCTCGTGCGGGCTCGACGTGGTATTGCAGGTGGGATGGCGGCTTCCATCCCTCCACACTTCCTCCAGCAAGCCATGCTCGCTCGACTCGCTTCCAGCACCTCGCCCGCCCCACCTGCGCTCGCCGACTTCCTCAAGCTCTCGCAGGACGAGCGAAGCCGCCCAGAGTCTGTCTCGAAGCTCGTCGGAGTCTTACATGGTGCGCGCGATGACCTCCGAGCTATAGGGGCCGTCTCTCTGACCCCGTTCTTCGCTCTTCTCGTTCAGCCCTCTCGCAAGGCTACGAGCCCAAGCCGGAAGAGCGACGAAAGCTCGTCACTGCCCTCTTTCCCCTCGCCTCGACCGTTCTCGACCAGCCAGACCATGCACAGAACCCGCTCTGCGTCCCCCTCTGCTCCCTCCTCAAGTTCGTCGGCCGCAGTCCCGCAGGAACGGAGGAGTTGGCACGAGCAGACGGCTTGCGGGTGCTCGTACGGCTGGGGGGTTTGGACAGGGCCGCAGGACTCCCTCGGATGGAGGCGGTCGAGGGTGAAGGGGAGGAAGATGACGACGACGACGCGGCGAAACGGGCACTGGGCGCGGCAGAGAAGGACCCGCTCCTGCCTGCCGAGTCCGAGGCCCTCCGTTGTCTTGCGAACGTCCTTACGCTCCACCCGTCGGCGAGGGATGCCTTCCCCGCTGTTCTGCTCGAAGGCGACCGCAAGGCGCTGAAAGGATTTGTGCGGATCTTGGCGTGTGATGGGGCGGGCTTCTTGGTTGGCCGACTGCTCTTCCTGTTGACGAGCAAGGCGAGCGATGCGGTCACCGAGCTCGTGCTCGACGGGGCATGCGTCGAGACCATGCAGCAGGTGCGTGGTCCGCTCCTCCTGAAGCTCCAGATCTTTGACTCTTGCTTCCTCAGTTCGCCAGCCGATATCTCGCCATCTATCGCTCCGAGAAGCACCGGCGTGCCCTCGCGACGGGACCTCCCATGGCGACCTACGACGACATTCTCCGCGAACACCTCAAGCTCGCCTACAACCTTATGCTTCAGTACTCGCGTTCGCCCGCAACTCTCCCAGAAGGCTTCGAGAAGACTAGCGGCCTCGGTGGCGACGGCAAGAAGAGGCGGTTCTGGCGGTCGAGGGAGAAGAGCGGCGCTTCTCTCACGAGCTCACCAGAACTCGACAAGGAGACGACGGGAGGCGAGCCTTCCTCGTCCCCCGAGCCAGCGAAGGGGACAGACTTGCCTCGCTCGAAGAGTCCGATCGCTATCGCGAAGCGTGTCGGCGAAGCAGTCAAGCGCTCGTCGCGGACGAGCAGTCCCGCTCGCTCACCCGAGTCTTCGACCACGACTGCGGCAGCATCGACCTCGAAGGAGGGCGACTCCCTCACCCTCACCGCCGCGCATCTGTTTCTCCCTCTCTTCCAGCCGTACCTGTCCATCGCCGTCACGCTGCCCCTCTCCTCGACCACTCCCGCAATCTCGCCGACTGCAGCCTCTAAAGATCCCTCGCCTGTCGTCCGCGCCGCCCTCAACACGCTTCTCAACTTCCCCGTGGAGCTGGAAGAGCTCTCCGGCTGGTCAACGTCCTGGCTGCAGTACGTCCCGCCACGAGTTTCGCCTCAAGACGGCATGGTCCGTAAGGGCGGCGGCATCGGGTCGCTCGGCGAGCGGCTGCTTGAGATCGTACAGGGCGTCTGCGACGCCTACCTCCCCGCGGACAAAGTTCCCGAGCACCCGAAGCTCGTCACGAAGCGCGACAAGGAGGAAGGCAGGAAGCTTGAGGCACCCTGTGCGCCTGACGAGTGGCTATCTGGTGGCGATGATGCGGCGAAGGTCGAGGAGATTCTCGGGCCGGTCATGCTGCTCATGCGCAAGCTGAGCATGCTTGGCGAGTCGCAGTTCGTCTTCCGCGAGCTCCTCTTCCCTCCCAACATGTGAGCCGCCACTCGCTCTTGCGCGAGTAACAGAAGGCACTGACTCTCGCGCTTGGCAGCGACCGCTCCGTTCCGCTCAACCGCCAGCCCACCCTCACCGGCCACCTCGTCCGCCTTCTCTCGTCCGTTCTCCTACCCAACACCGCTTTCGGCGTCGGCGAGTTCCTCTACAACCTCTTCGACCGCTCGCCCGAGAAACTCGTTCGCGCGATTGGCTACGGCAGCGCAAGCGGCTTCCTCCAGAACCGCGGCGAGCTCATCCCGCCTCCTCCTGGCGAAGAGGAGGAGCGAACCGCGGACGGCGAGCAGCCCCGTCGACCGATCAACCCGATCACGGCCGCATTCGAGCCGCCTGAAGATCCCGACTACAAGCCGATGACGGAGGACGAGAAGGAGCGCGAGGCGGAGCGGCTGTACACGCTGTTCGACAGGATGGCCAAGACGGGCGTGATCAGCGCGGAGAACCCGGTCGACAAGGCGAGGGCGGCCGGTAAGCTGGAGGAGTCGAAAAAAGAGCGGGAGGCGGAGCTCGAGAGGCTGACGAAGGAGGACGAGGAGCTCGAGCGTGAGGTTGAGCGGGACATGAAGGAATGGAAGGAGAAGCGGCGAAAGGCGGCAGAGCAAGGGAAGGATCCGGCGCAGGTCTGATTACGGATAATTCAACTCTAGTTGGTTACAAGGTGTACACCGCAAAGGCGCTATGAGAGGAAACAACAGAGCCTATCAGACCTCGACGTGGAAGATGTGGTCGACTTCGCGCCATTCCTCCTTCTGCCCCTCCACCTTCGCCCGCCCGACCCGCTGCCGCTCCTCCCAGTACTCGAGCTGTCCCTCGCTCGTCCGCGCCGGCTGCCAGATAAGCTCGCCAGTGTCCTGGTCTGTCGATCGCGAGAACCAGCGTGGCTTGTGAGGCGGCAGCTCGCCTCGTTCCCGCTTTCGCCGCGTGTCGCGCTGGTACTCTTCGAGCTCAGTCTTGAGTTCGTTCGCGCGCTCGAAATTGCCTGCCTCGAAAGCGTGCTGGTCAGGCCGGAGACGGCAGTCGGTAGGCGGGATCCACGGCTTGAGCTCGTCATTCAGGTCGTTGAGGGTGATGGCGTAGGGAGTGCTGCAGGATCGAGGTCAGACAAGCTCGTTTGCACGCGGGAGGTACAGCACGCACAGGTTGAAAGGCATGTTCGGCGGCTTGGGCGAATTCTTCCAGAGCCGGATGTACTCGGGCGCGACCTCGCCAGCGTGATCGGTCGGCAGCGAAGCGTCCGGCGCGAGCTCGCCGCTGCCGACGCCTGCTCGTCGTGCGACAAGCTGCGAGTCCCACTTGCCAGCGATCTCCCACTTGCGGTTCCCCTGCGCGTCGACGACCTCGCCCTTGATTTCGCGGGCATTGCTGTTTCGCCAGCCGCGCGGCTTGAAGGTCAAAGTGCAGGTCTCGCCGGTGCGGTGGTTCGTGACGACCATATCGCCGTAGTGCGCAATGTTGATGCTGCCGGTCAAGAAGCCCGAGATCTCGGTCGTGACCTGCGAGCAAGCAGGCATCAGCGGGGAGAGAAGCAAGACAAAAGCGAGAACGTGGCAACGCACCTTAAGCCAGGAGTAGTGCTCCTCGACCATGTTCGGCATCGTCTTACACGGCGGGCAGCCTGGCGGCGCGCGGTCTGCCGGAAGGCGAAGAGTGACATGCGCCGTTCCCGTCGGCCGGATTTCGAAGCTCCTGCCGAGGAACTTGGACTGCGCGTTGACCATGCCGTAGTATTCCCAGCTCGGCGACTGACCGATGCAGGCGGAGATTGGCGGGTGATGCGAGACCTGTTCACTGACGTAGCGATACTTCTTGTCGAGCTCGACGTACTCGAACGTCTCGGCCAGCAGAGGGTTGAAGGGCTTGGCGATGCGGCCCGAGGTCGAGCTGTAGTTCGACATGGCGAAGGCGGCAACGTAGGCGATGCGCTTCGTCGAGTCGAGCTCGGCCGCCGCAGCGTCGACTGTAGGACTGAGACTCAGCGCGAAGGCGAGCGTGAGACTGGAAGAAAGCACGCACGGCACTCGGAGAATTCCATGTCCTCCGCCATGCGCTGGAGCATCGAAGTCGGCTCGTTGAAGCTGCGGCCAGCGGCAGGGTCAGCAAACAGTCAACGAGGCGCAAGCCAACGAGGCGACGCACTAAACGGGGAACGAGATCTTGGTCAAATCCTTGCCGATGCTGCCCTTGAGAATGGCCCAGAGCGAGACGCTCGGTCGGTTGTCGTTCTTGATCGGCAAGCTCGTTCGGCGGTGCTCGTAGCCCTTGTACGGCGTCAAGTCGGTGTTTGAGATGAGCTCCTGCGCCGGCGCCGACATCTTGCTCTGCCGGTCCGCGCCAGACTCGACGTTGATCTCGTCCTCGACGGGAATAGCGCCCGTCTCGACAGCCTCGAAGAACTCGTCTTCGTCCTCATCCTCGGACGTCTCGCCGCCTTCCTCGTTGTGCAGAGCGTTGTGGACGATTTGCTCGAGTTCGGCGGGCGCGAGAGGCTGGACGGCGGTACCGGCTCGAGTCCGGGCGCGAGACGGCGAGAGTGAGGTGATGGTCGTGCCGCGGTTGCGCGACTTGGTGTCGACCGTAAGAGTCGGGCTGCGAAGTGGCGACGGAAGCGCAGGTGTACCGTCTTCGGGAAGGGCGTTGATGACCGGCCGCTCTCCGTCCTGCACCGATACCGAGTTGCGCGGACTCATGGCAGGCGTAATGGCGCCAAGATTGGCGCGAACCTCCTGCAAAGCACGCTTGCGCGCCGTGTTCTGCTTCGCCGTCTTCTGCAGCTCGACCTCGATCGCCGCATGCTGCGTCGCCACTTCGCGCAGACTCTCCTCCCACATCCGCTTCGCATCCAGCTCCTTCTCGTATCGCCGAGCGAAAAAGCGCTCGCGCTGCCCGACAGTATCGACGTAGTCGTCGAGAAGCTGGTCGAGCGTCTTGAGCGACCGCTGGAGCGCGTCCTTGATGTCCTCCTGCGAGGAGGCGTCACCGCCGGCGACGAGCGAGGCGAGCAATCGCTGTGTTGTCTCGAGCTGCGTCTTGGCGCCCTGTGCCATCAAGTGGAAGTCCTCGGCGTGGGGTGGCGCGTCTTCGTCGTTCACAGTCTCGTTGTCCTCCTCGATCGAAGCAGCGCCGAAGGACTGCGCAGGGGACGAGCCGACAAGCGCGGTTGTCGAAGGTCGTCGAGTCTCTGTCGTGTAGGAAGGGGCAAGCGAAGGTGCGGTAGACGCGGAGGTAGGCGTGCGTTGCAGACCGTTGTCGCCGCGCGCAAGCTCCACATTCTGTCGCAGCGCGTCGACCCACCGCATCACCTCGACGGGATCTGCGGACCCATTGTCAGCCTACATCTCGCTCAAGGGAGGCTGAAACCGCTCACGGTTGCCCTTAAGGTACAGCGCGGGTGAAGTCTTGCCGAGCCGGCTTCCCACCGTGAACTTGAGCTTGTCGGTTCCGGGCGGGTCGATCTTGGCAATGGACATGCTGATGGAGCCGCGAGAAGCCTTGCCCTCGTCTTCCTGGCTGCGGTAGTACGAAAGGTTGCCTGCGGAGCGAGACGATAAGCAGGCGCAAGGGACGAGGGAAAGACGGGCTCGCACCGTTGTCCAGCACGAACCACCTCGGCTTGTAGCCCTTGGCGACATTCGTCCACTTCTGCAAGTACCCCTTCATGACCGGCGCCTGACCGAGCGTTGGCACCCCTCCAGCGTTCGAACCGGGAGCAGCAACGCCAGGCGATGACGCAGCCTGCAACGCCCTTCCCTCCGAGTTGGCCGCCTGCCGCAACACATCCTTGATTCGCTGATCCTTCGCCAAATCAATCGCGAGTTTCCCGCGCTTGTCGCGCGCGAGGACGTCGCCGCCTTTCGACAAGACGAGCTTGATCAAGCCCAGGTCTTTGCGGCGCGCTGCTTCGTGGAGGATGGTCGTCCCGCTCGCCGAGTCACGAATGCAGAAATCGCAGCATCGAGAACGTGGCTTGGCGATGAAGTGGTAGAGCTTCTCGGCTGCTGCGTTCGAGACGTGGCCTGAGGCGGCGGAGACGGGCGAGGCGGAGGCGGAGGAGGGAGGAGGAGCGAGGGAAGAAGTCGACATGCGAGGCGAATCCATCGTCAAAGACGTTCGCTTCGACGAGGATGCCGAGTCGGAGGCGGGAGAGGCGATGTAGGCGGCGAGGTGGGCGAGGTACATCTCGTTCCACTTGCTTCGCGAGACTGTGTACCACAATCATCAGCCTGACAAGGTGAGAACAAGAAAGGCAGCCGACGCACCCGAGATCTGCGTCGCAGCCTCCGGACTCGCTGCGACCTCCAAACCCGTCTTGCCGCTCTGATCCCGCACCATATCGTTCGTGTCCTCCTGCGCGAGGAAAAAAGACAAGACGTCTCGGCGGTCGAGCGAGGCGGCGAGATGCAAAGGGGTTTGTCCGCGCGAATCTTGCGAGTTCACTGCCGAGGGTTGGTGACGGAAGACGAGCTCGACGGTCGGGTCTGCGAGTGGCCCACCGTCAGGGTGTGCTCGATGAGAGTGTAGAGAACTTGCTCACACTTGGCGCATCGCACAGCGAGGTGAAGCGGCGTGCTCGTTCGCGCCTGCTCGCCGAATTCGTTCACATGTGGATGCTTCGCAGCCGCCGAGACCTCGTCGAGCAGCGGCGTAATCTGCGAGGCATCTCCTGTATAGGGCAACGCAAGGAGAAGTCAGCCAGACTGCAAGGGAGCTCCAGTTCGACTTCGGACGGCTTCATCGGAGCGGGGAGACGACAGCACGCACCCTTGCGCAGCGCTTCGAGCAGCTGGTACGCCTTGAGCGACTCTTCTGGGCTAACTGCTGATCCATGCGTAGTCAGCAATCCCTTCTGAGGCGAGTGCGACGAGTGCCCACCTTTCTGATTGTCGGCGAGTTGGGTGTCGGGCGGATTGGAGTGGGAAGGCACGGGAGGAGGCGGCATCTGGTCTGTGTCGGATGCGGTGGACGAGACACTTCTCGTCGACGCTGATCTGGCCAGGGAAGCGATGCGAGTCGGAAGGGATGGCATCGTCGCCGGCAGAGCCTGATGAGATGACGGAGGTTGCGAGAGGCGCAGCTCGTCTGGCCGTCGAGTGAGCGTTACTGGCGTGCTTAACTGTCTAGTACAGTGCCGAAAGTGCAGCTGGACAAGCTGGACGCGGTGAGAGAGAGCGGAGGAGGAGAAGTCGCCGACCCTTGCTACTCCGCGTCTCAAATGACGGAGAGCAACTTCTCGTGGCTCGAAGGCTTCCTGCGTCAATTAACGGGCACACGTTTGCTGCACAGAGTGCTCGGGGAGGAAGGAAGCTGGCGGGGCAGGAGACGGGGGGAGACGGGAACGGACGGTCGAGGCGGACGAGGTGAAGTACGTCTCGCTGCAACTTCGAGAGCGAACGATGCTTGCAATGGCCCAATGCGAGAGATGCGATACGACTGCGAGTGATGCAGGAAAACGAATGGAGGCGACGAAGAAACGACGTCAGGCGTCAGGCGAGGTTGTCTGCGCGAGTGAGCGGAGGGTCAGTCCAGCCTTCTTCTACCTCAACGAGAAGGCAGACGACGCACATCGCTTGAGGAAAGCGAGGGCGAAGCGGTTGACGATGTTCGGATTGGTCGTCGCGAGGAGGTGCGGGCCGTCGACGATCCGCTCGATGCGCTTGTCGGCTTCCGGTACTGCGATAGCCTCTTCGTCAGCCAGCGTCGCAACTCTGGAATGAGGAGGGAGACGCACCGCTGACTAGCAGATCGTACCACTGCTGAAGGGCGTCCGAACCGCTGACTTGCGTGTCGAGCGTCCCGCCGAGCAAGAGTACCGGACATCGCACAGCGGAAAACACCTCCTTCGACGGTTCGCTCCGCTTGAACCAGTGCATGAGCTGGTGGAGCTTGAACAGGTCTTCGCCTGGGCCGTCTGCTCGAGTCGGGGGGTTAGCGAGTCGTTCGAGTCGCAAGCAAAGGTCGAACGCACGAGTCTCTTGGTACTGCCGCAAGAAACCTTCTTGTCGATCTGGAACAAGGTTCGAGCCGCTGAAGAAGTAGTCCCCTGTGTTCGAACATGACCGTCAGGCAAAGTCAGGTAAAGAAGCGAGGCAAGAGACGCACTCGCGATAGCCATCGCCTCGTCTGGTATCCGTCCTGTGCCGTCACCCTTTCCGAACTTGTTTGCAGATGCGAGTGGAGCCCATTCGCGCTCGAGGATGTCGATCATTTCGGGCGGGCTGGAGGAGGAGGGGGTCAGTGGCCAGCCACGATCTTGCAGCGGGACGAGACGCACTCGGTAGTCCATGACGGAGAAATCAAAATTACAGCCTTGACCTGCAAGCCGTGGAAGGAGCCGTCAGAGCGGGGACTCGAAAGAATTCGCGAACGAACGCACTTGCTGAGGCCGCTTCGCCGCGATGTAAGCGCCGCAATGAGAGCCAACAAAGCTCTCGCCGAGGTATGAGAACGGCCTGTCCCCTACGACCGCATCAATCGCATCCAGCAACTCGTCCGCCCGTTCCTGCGGAAGTCGAGAGGTTAGCGCGTCCCCTTTCCTCGTTCCAACGTTATGCGAGCGCACCTCGAGATCCTGGAAGTGGTCCAATCGTGGACCTTCTGTCCGCCCATAGTATCGCGAGTCGAAGCAGACGAGGTTGAGTGCGTTTGAAAGCCGAGGATCCCGGAACTGCCGCAGACGACGCTCGTGAGCTCGCGGACTACCTCTCGAAATGACGGGAGCGCCGCACCTGGTGGATGAACGAATTGGAGGATGAGGTGCCAGCATGCGTCAAGACAAGGATGGGCTTGTCAGGATCGAGAGAGTCGCGAGAGGGCGGCGGAGGCGTCTTGATGCTCATGCTCATGTCGGCGCTGTAGTCGGGATTGATGACATAGTACTGGCGCCTGCAAGCATCGTCTTCGGCGATCAGCGGATCTGTCTGGCGAGAGAGGCGGCGGGGAACAGCGAGCGACGAGGACGCACAAGTTGCGCGACGGCAGGTCGACGTAGGGCATGTCGGGCGGTCGATGACGAACGAGACAGCAGGTGTCGCGGGGTGAGTAGAGAGAGGACGAGCAGCAGCAAGCGAGTGAGCCACCGATGAGGAAGGCGGAGGAGCAGAGGCTGGGCTCGTCGAGCGAGATGGAGCTCCGCCGGGATGGTCTCGGCCGGCCCACCTGCGACGCCTGTTCCCCTGCCTGTTCCTCCTCTATTCGAGCCTGCCGTGGAGGTCTGTATGCCGAGCGTCCGAGGGACAATGCCGAAGGTCGGCATACGAGCGAGGAGACGACCGCCTCGCGATTGGGAAGGTCAAGGGCCTCGACGAGCGAGTGTCGAATACGCGGACACGGTGTTGCTAAGGATTTACAGACGTGAACGAGCGTGAGGGATAACGATTGGTATGATATGTGTGAGGTCAGGACGAAGGCGGACGTCGTCGAGCGCTCAGCGCTTCTGGTCGACGTCGTCGGAGAGAACGAAGCGGACGCCGCCGCCGGCGTGCGAGTCTCGAGGGAGGGAGGCGATGTCCTGCAGTTCCATAGAGTCAGCAAAGGCCATGAGGAAGCTCTGAGCGCGGAGCGGGACGAGAACGGAAGGGAAGTAGAGAGGCAAACTTCGCACGCACCGGTTCCCACGTCTCGACGTCGTCCATCTCGATCTTCTCGTCGTCGAACGACGCATCAGAGCCTCTCCTGCCCCGCGCCATGTCGATACGGATGTCTCCGCTCGCCGCCGCCTGCTGAGCCTCCTTGCGCTCCTTGCGTTCGCGACGCATCTTCTCCAGTCGAGACTGGAGGTCGGGTCGTGCGGGTGTCCGCGTCGTGCGCATGGCTGGCTCAGAACCGGCGAGCTCATCGACGATCTGGACGGCGGTGGTCGTGGTCTGCGTCTGGACGGCGATCTGGAGGCCGTCTTTCCAGGCTTTGGTAAGCGCGCTGCGCGACGGCTTGGCGGTGGAGATGTCGACAATGAGGTCCGACATGGTCATCTCGATCTGTGACCGTGCAGGAAGCAGGTCGAAGGACAGAAATGGGGCGGAAGTTGAGGATAGGCGAAAGAGAGGAGCGCAAGGAGGGGCAAGGGGACGTCAGCTTCGGTTCCGAGATACGTGGTGAGCCATGGTTCCCAGTTGATTTCGCTGGATGGATGGATGGCCGAATGTTCAGGAAGGGCGAAGGGCCAGGGTCTAGCAGTCGGAGGAGAGCATGAAAGGATCGCAAGGCCGGGTAGCCTCGCCGTGCGGGCCGTATAGCACACCTCAGGGAGGCAAAGAACGCAAGAAAGCAAGCACAGAGTAGCAGCGACTACCCATCCATCCCTCTCAACGACTACGTCTTCGTCGGCCGCCTTCGTTCAGCCCGTCGTCCTCCCACCGTCCTCCCGTCCGCCGTTCCGAGACGTAGTCGCAAACTGCACGGCGTTGTCTGAAGTTGTTGAACTGGAGGCATGACCCGCGCAGTGAGTTCGGCCCCGTCTTCGCGATACAGTAGCAGAGCGCGATGCCCGATGGAGCGCACGACAGGGTCGTGGGGCCAAGCGGTGCGCCAATGAGCAGAGCGGTAGCACAACCACTCGACGACGGGCCTTTCAGCAGCATGAGTCGTGGTGGATCGCAAGCCGAGCTTCGCGTTCGCGTCGAAGTCGCGTCCAGCGCACCCCGCACTGGAATTCGCTCGTTCTTCGCTCGCTCGCTCGCTTCTCTGCTTCATTCTCCGCTGTTGTCGCGCTGCGGTTCATGGTCTCGCTTTCCGCCAGTACGCAGACTTCTGCATCCTCCTCCTCACCGCCCGCCTTCTACTATGCCAAGGTGCGTTTCGTTCGTTCTCTGCACAGACTGGCGACAAGCTAGCCTTCCTTCGAGTGCTCAAGCGCTTCGCTTCCCTGTGACAGACACGACAAGCTCTTTGCGAGGCTCTGCCAATGCACTTCCGGTCGTACCAGGGTGGTGAGTTGCGCTTCATCCTTCCGCTAGTTTTCCTTGCAAGGCTCATGGATCCCTTTGCAGGCGTTTATACTTCAGGTTCGTCTGCCTGCTCGATCTTCTAAGCGACGCACGCTGAGCGACTTCGCAGATGGTCGTTTGCGCGGCCTCCTCCTCGACACCCACGACTCGCTGGACCCAGCTGGGCTAGGCGACGGCCAGAGTCTGGTAACGCAGTACGCTTGGCTTCATCTTTCTCGTATAAGCGACGCAAGTCAGCTAGTGTACCCGCTCTGGCTCACGCTTCTTGACGCTTCCCTCTCCCTCCCCTTCCCGTCTCCTGAATCCTCTTCAAACAGCCTTGGCTCCTTCGAAGGCGATGCAGCGACCGAGACAGTCGATACCAACCTCGGGCAATCACGACTGGAAGCCGCACGGCTTGCGGCAGATGAGGGTGACCGCGTCCTCGTCATTATCGGGCGACTGCAGCCTTTCGCCCCCGTATCCTCCGTCAGTTTCCCATCCGGAAAGCGTCCTCGGTATCTTGTGCTAGGGTTCTACAACGTCCAGGATGTCCATGTGCGTCGCTTTGCCTGTCGCTCCCGTCATCCCTCGACTCATTCTGATCACAAGATTCAACAGCTTCTTCCCGCTCTTCCACAAACACCTTTTGGCCCGGTTAATTCGACTTCTGTTTCAACTGCAAAAATCGCCGTGCGTACTCGATCCCGTGGCCAGACTTCGTTTACTGACCGTCTCCCCTTCGCAGATCACGCTCTCGTGGTGCGCAGACCAGGGCTTGCCCTACTGGTTGCCCGCAATCTCGTGCGTCGCGCCTCGCTCTCCGCATCTCGTCCACTGCTGAATCGAGGGTTCTCAGGCCTCACAATGTCCCCGCATCTTCCTCATCCGCACCCACCTTGATTCGCCCCCTCCTCTTCAGCGAGGCGTCTACCAAGCGCTTCCACTACTCCCGCGATACGGCGCGGGGCACGGCCTGCGACCGCTGCGGACAACTTGCGCTGGAACTTCACTGGGGTATCTTCGCCTGCGACTCTTGCGACTACGCCGTTTCGCAACGCCTAATCCCGTGGTTTCCCAAGCTCGTCAGGGAGGTCAATCTGCAACCGAAGCCTCCGCCTCGCAGTCTCGCTCCGACCGTACGCAGAATCGGCGGGTACGAAATCACGACATGGAATCTCGATCGCAGCAACCGCATCGTTCGCCTCCGCCCGCTCAAGTCGACCGAGTTCGAGGACGACTTATTCTGTGACCTGCAGCTGCCGGAAGCAGCGCACCAGCTTGTCCGCGGCAAGATGCGTCGGTGTCGGGGTCAGTTGCTTTTGCTCTGGTTCTTCTGATCTCACTGACTCGCGTCTACACAGTACCTGCTATGGCGACTTCCCACTACGCCTGTAACATTGGCGCCACGTACGACTACGGCGTCGAGATCCCGACATTCCCGCTTCCTTCACTCGACTCTGACGGCGACGCTCCCGATTCTTCCCTCCCTTCCCTCGCCTCCCTCGCTCGGCGGCATGTCGAGTCCGTTATCCATCGCGTCCTTAAGCGCAAGGTCCGCTTCAACGAGGTCCTCACCATCGGATACCGTGCACATCTCATTCCTCCTCGTCGAGCTCCAGCTGATCTCTCCTTCCGCAGGCGCTGGCACGAGGATCTCGGTGCGTAACGGATCATCTGGAGGAGTAGTATACTGACGATTTGCTTGAGCAGGCTCATCAGGACGCCGAGCGCGGCGTCAAGGATTTCATCGCCTCGTTGTCTCTCGGTGGTTCGGCCGTCCTTACCTTCGAAGAGTCTGGTAAGCCCGACGACATGGATGACAAGACGAACAAGCGCATCAAGTTTGGTGTTGAGCTGCGTCACGCAGACATCCTCGTCATGCAGGTGCGCATCGGATTCCTTTCGTCAGCCGCCAGTCAGGCTTACCTCTCGCCACGTAGGGCACGAGAATTCAACACGAGTGGAAAGTGCGTGCCTCTCTCTCGCTCGACTCACCCTGCCCGCTGAGACTGCTCGAACGGGACAGCACGGGTTGGAGTCCGATACTCTTCGTTTCGGTACGGGCAGTCCCGCGCCGTCTTCGCTCTACTCGCTAACGCCTTTCTCGTACAGTCCAAACCTTCCGCGACATTGAGCCTCGCGCGTCCTGAGGGCGTGCCGCTGAGCCACACTCCTCGTACAGAGTCTCGCCGCGCCCTCCGAACTCCCAGCGCCAGCACTTCTCCTTTCCCTCCAGTCCTTCCTCTGTGTAGTCTTCGGCAGCTGTATGCTCCATCGACATCGTTGCCCATGCCTGCAGTTCCTGTCATGGCGCATAATCTTGAGGGAAGTCGTCTGCCGGATCCTGGTCAAGTCGGCATCGAAGAGGGACGCTGGAGTTGTGTCTGCGCTGATACGAGTAGGAGGACAGGGACTCGAGCCATCCGCATCACTAACGAGATAGCCAGCATGCGAGAAAGCAGTCTTGGGAGAACGAGCGGGTAAGCAGAGTGCGGTACTGGGCTTGCCCTCGTGCGGCTACGCAGCATGAACACCGCACCCTGCGCCCCTGCTTTTCTGAGCGATCGAGACGATTCCTCCAGTGTCGCGTCTCGATTTGCGAGCGCGGTAGCAAGGATCGGTGAAGAGGGCGCCTGCGAGTCTGCGGCAGCCTTGCCGGGGGTTGCTGGCTCGCCGTAGTGCCGCAAGCAGGCGAGCGAGCATGCTGTACGAAGTCGTGTCGCCGACCGATGCGTCGACAGAGAGGAATCGAGGAGGAGCAGTGGGAGCAGGAGGAGGGGGAGAGAGGGGAGGCGGCGTCAGGCGTGCGGTGCGTGGTTGCTGGCAGGGCGAGCAGGTTCCCTCGCAGTGGCAGAGCTCCACAGCTTGCTCAGCGTCTGGCAGCGCGAGTGGCGAGGTCGACGAGGCGCACTTCTCCTCCCCGCATTCTCTCCTTCAGCTCGAACCGATCACCGCATCAGCTCATGAGTGGCCCTGTTCGGCCGGAGGGTTCGCTTAGCACTGCTGAGCTGCGGCGGCAGTACTCGCTCGGTGTCTATGCTGTCCCGCTCGACGACCGGACCGTGTTCATCGACTTCGAGGATCCTCGGGTGCGCCAGTTCGTCCGCGACCACGACATCCTGCCGCAGCGCAAGGTTCATCCAGAGAATGTCAAGCGGCTTTCCGAGTCTCTCGAGCCCGGCTCGCTGGACAACAGGTGCGCATCCGGCTCCTCCGCCCGACAGCCTCTTCCTCGCTGACCTGTCTGGACGGAACAGCATTCGCACGCCTGGGACGATCGCTTTCTTCCCCCTCGCACTGTGGGACTATGACCGCGCGCGACAGGACGAGATCCGAGCGGCGCGCAGGGCTTTCGTCGCGAAGTATGTTGCGCGGGAAGACGATCCTCGTGAGTTGGCACTTTCCCGTCGCACACGACCCTTGCTGACCTGCTCGACTCGCAGCGCAATACGCAGAAGGCGACACCGCGGTGAACGTCCCGCCCATGGATCATCGTCGTCCAGCTCGACTAAGCGTCCTCGATACGATACCTCTCGATGAATTGGAGACGCTCGGCTTGTACCTCTGCGACGGCAATCACCGCGCAGCAGTCATGACCCAGCATAAGCAGGTGCACGACGCTAAGGTGGTCGCAGGAGAGGCGGAACCGGCTGGACCGCTGGACTATGCGCTCGCTTTCGAGTTGTTCGCCGAAGGTGCGCCCTTCGTCCGCCCAGTCTCGAGCGTTACTGACCCTGGCTATCGCAGACGTCTTCTTCAACGCCGCGCTTTTCTTCACCATCTCGCTCGAGCTCAATCAGATCCACGCCCGCACCTCCATTCTCGCCGATCGCTCAGTCACCGCTACCCTCATCATGACGCGCTTCGCTCGTGTACGCGACGCATCTGCGAGTACAGAGGGCTTCACGGTCGTGTCGAATGACTACGGCTCTCTTGTCACCGCGCGGTACCGCTTCCAGGTCCTTCAAGAGGCGCGCCCTTCGCCTGCCTCAACCCTCGCAATTCGCTCACCTGTCGTGTCTTGCAGGCCGTCAATACGCATCCCTCGATCGCCTTCATGCTCGATAGTCTCGGCAAGACGCAGCTCTACAACTTGAACGGTTATGGCGGCAACGGAGTCGGCCCGGGAATCATCGTAAGGTGGCTCGCTCGTCGGGCGGTCTCTTCGTTCTGACGTTTCGACTCTCGCAGTTCCTCTTACTCGGCTTGCGCGACACGGCACGCTTCTTCTCCGTCATCGACCCGGCAGGCGATCTTGTTGCTGGGCGACCACTTCTTGAGAACCTTGCTCGCCGATACGGTCGCTGCCTTCCGAACCCGCTCTTCTACGCCGACGAGGTTGGAGACGACGGCACAATCACTTGGCAAGGTGTGCGCGCCGTCGGAGCGGCTGCGGGAGACTTGGCCAAAGGGCTCCTCAAGATCCCCGCGCGCGCCTTCAAGAACGACAAGACTCCCGTCCGCGAGGCTATCAACGCCTTTGCGTCCCGCATCCAGTCGATTGATGCAGAAGACGGTGCAACGGTGCGCTGGGAGGAGCGAGCGGTCAAGGTTCGATCAGCCGTCGTCGAGCAAGTGCGTCCAAAGCTCCTGCGCACTTGCACGGCCGCAGCTGACTGTTCCACCGTCCAGTTCTTTGATCTGCATACGCTCGCGACTCTCGACGCGTCCGAAACCGTCGACGACTCGACGTTGGACTCGCCTTCGCCTTCGACGACTGTCGACCGCAAACCTCAAATCAACGGCAAGGGCGCTCGTGCTGCTGCGCAAAAGTACGAGATCACGACGCTTTATCGTCACGTACATGCGTTCTCCACGGCATGGCTACTCCCGGTGCGTCGCGTCGATCCCTCACCTTCGTCGACTCGGCTCACACCTTGTTGCTGCTCCAGCTCGCCCACGCGCTATCCGCCCTCGTCCCGCTCGCCTGGTCCCACTCCTCTCGTTCTCCTCTTGCTCCCCCTCGCCTGTCGTGGCATGATCCCTTCCTCATCCTCCTCGCCTTGCATCCCGACGCTCGCAGCCGCCTCGAGAAGGATCCATTCGGTCCGATCGGCGGCTTCCGCATCAAGTTCGAGCGCATACCCGTCGAACCTTTCGGCGAGAACGCGCAAGAAGCAGCAGCCCTCATCGTGCGTGTTCGCGGTCCCGCATTTTCCTCGGCTGTAACTGAATCTCCAGTCCGCGCAGGAACTTGCTGAGTACGTCTGGCGACACCGCCAAGCCCTTATGTCCGAGTATCAAGCCGCCACGGCCGCAGCAAGCCGCCTTTCGGACGTCCAGCGCGACAAGCTCGCCTCCGATTCCGCCCCGGTCGACTCGCTTCGTGCGCTGCCCTCGTCGACCATCTCCTTCCTCCTCCCCTTCCTTATCCCGACGCCATTCGCCGATCTCGGAGCGCCGGTGCGCCTCTCGCTCGTCGCCTTCTACCCGTCGCATCGCGCGCTCTTCCTCCAGATCGCCGAGCTACTCTCCCTGCCGGATCTTACGCGAGCGGTGGAGTCGATAGTCGACGACCTTGTCATCCACCCAGAGACGGGACTGTCGCCCGCCGACCTGCGGATCAAAGCCGAGAAGGAGGCGCTCGCTGTAGCCGACGCGCAGAACGCGGCGGCAGCGCGCGACCGGCGGGACGATGAGGCTGCGCGCCATGAGCCGGGCGAGGTGGACGTGGATGCAGCCGATGGCGGAGACGACGATGTCCCCGCCCCCGAAGAGAGCGGCACTGGGGCGGACGAGGACAGGTCCGCCGGGGAGGAGGATCGCGGAGCTCTCGAGGGGATGGATGACGCGCTCGATGGGTCGGTGGCGGATGAAGAGGATCTACCTGCGGCGCCGAAGAGGAAGAAGCTTGCAGCCGCACGTGCCAGGGTCGAGGACGACGAGGAGGAGGACGCGAACGAGGGCGCGGATGCGGATGAGCGCGACCCTCCCACCCCCATCGTCGATAAGCCTCTCGTTGTCAAGGCGGCGGCTGGCGACGCTCTGAAGCGCAAGGGCCCGCCCGACAACGATCACGACCCGTCAGCGAAACGCCCCAAGCAGGACGCCGAATCCGCCATGCGCAAGATCTTCCGACATCTCTTGGTATACTTCGGTGCGACTGTGCAGGCGACGCTCAGTGAGGAGGAAGGTTTCGTGTACACCGTTACGGAGCTCAAGGCGGGAACGAACGGTCGCATACTGTTGGCGGTGCGTCGCTTGGCTTCGGCTCGTCGTGATCCTGGCTCACGCCTCGTCCTCGTAGGACCGCGTCGGACAGCCCGTCTTCCTCGAGGAGATCAAGCGGAAAGGGAAACTCTCTTGGATCGTTGGCTATCGCACCGCTCAGGCGGCGGCTCCGCTGCGCAAATTCGCAGCCGCCACGCTGACACGCGCGAACCGGTGCCTTTGACAGAAGCTTGCGGTCTCTTTCAACGTACTGATCTGACGATGGTTCGCAGGACGCTGTCTTTCTCGAAGACGAAACCTCCGGCCCTCCTGCGCCCTTCTGACTACGCATTCTCGGGTCGCCTCTTCCTCTCGCTCGCTGCCGTCTCCGACCCCTCTTTCAAGCCCCACGCTCACCCCTCGCCCGCGATCCGCAACGCTCTCGACATGGCGTGTACCGCTCGCAACTACAACAAGCTCCTCACCGCGATCATCGGCACCGGCGATGCTGCGGAGGAGCGTCGGCTCGCTTTGGTCAACGACACCGTCCTGCAACCTGCAGACGAGGGTTTGCGAACGCTAGCGGCGGTCGAGGCGTCGCTGGCTGAGGCGTGGGGGAAATGGATCGCTCTGATGGATGTCTTTGACGGGTTTACGGGTGCGCAGGGCATACTTTTCTTGTGTCCACGCTTGTTGACCGTCCTCAACCACGTACAGACGCTGGCGCTGCGGCGGAGGCAGGCCGTGTAGCTGGGGATGCGGAAGATGAGGCGGGCGCTGCGAATGAGGACGAGGAACTGCTCAAGCTGGTGGGGATGTAATTGCAGTGCGAGATGGTGAATTCACCTTTGCGCGAGTCCGAAGCGAGTTGCAGAAGTGGGCAACGAGTACTCCGCTCGCCCGTGTCCTCCTCCTCCTCCTCCTCCTGCCTCGTCCACCGCAGAGTCCTTCCGTGCGCCCGCTCTCCGGTACCTCGGGCTTTTCGAATCGCCGAAGCCGGGTCGTGTCTTTCTCCCGGATCTGGCTCGTAGACAGTCGTATACCGAATCTCTGGAACCGACAGAGGACGCGAAAACAGCTGAAAATGCAGTATCATTGAGGGAGAGAACAATGCGTGCGTCTCGACGACGAAGGACAACGGAGCGAGAATCGGATGCGAGAGAAGGGGACGAGACAGCTGGTGAGAGCGGCGGAAGGGGACTTGCGGCGGCGAGGCGGGGGTCGAACGTGAAGGTTGACCGGTCCCTCGGGCTGACATGATACAGCGTGGAGAACAGGTGAAGATCAGCACGAAGTCGATGCGGTAAACAAGGAGAGTACGCACAAAGCCTACTTAGAACCCCAAAGCACGGCTTGCCAGTTCGACGTCGGTGGCAGGATCTTCGGTGGCTTGCGCTTCGGCTTGGGCAGCGATCCGCCGGCAGCCTCCTTCTTGGCAGCGTCAGCCTTCTTGCGAACTTGCTTGTCGTATCCGGCCTTGTCCCGCGCCTGCACTTTCTCGTAGCCGGGGAGCGCCTTCAGCGTGTTGCGGTCCTTGACGAGCGCCTTCTCCTTCGCAATGCGCGCGGTAGGCGACCCCCAGTAGAAGGGAATCTCGCCGCCCCAGAGGGCCGCAGGCGGGTCTATGTCGGCGAAGGCGTCGGCGAGGACCCACTGGCAGGAGCGACCGCGCATGATGTTGTAGTGCTGGATTGGACTGAGGCCGGTGATGGCGTGAAAGGCGTCGTGGTGATACTCGAAGAACCGCTGGGTGAGGATGTTGCCCTCCTGCGGCAACAAACGCAAGATGAGAGAGACCGACGGAGCACGGGGGGCAGGACGCACGATCTTTCGCTCGCCATCCTCTCCGAGCGGGTAGGACAGGTCGATCACGGCGTGAAAGAAGTCGAGGACCTGACGAGGCGTAGCCTTGCGAACGGTTCCGTACGAATCGAAGGGGCGGATGTTCAGGCCGGCGACGGTCGCATCGACGCACGTGATTAGGATGTGCTCCAACCACATGAGGAAAAGCTTGGGGATGTCGAGCTTGACGTCCTCGGGCGAGAGCCACGCCATGAAAGCCGACCATTGAGGGAAGGCGGCGACTGGCGAAGACGTGAGTTAGCGGATGGGCGGCGAGCGTCGGGAACGGGGACGCACGCTTGCGTTCGGCAGCGCACTTCCGGTTGACAGGGCAGAGTACGTGCTGGAGGTAGCGAGCCCAGCCCCACTGCGTCGTGAAGCCGACGTACGGTCCGGTCGCGCGGTGGTCCTGCGAGCGCGTGGGTTAGATCAGCTCGACTCGACGCCACAGAGTCGGAAAGACGTACCCGCGCAAAGACGTAAATCCCGGAAGTCTTGCAGTCCTTCATCGGAACGGGCGTGACGATTTGCGCCCAGTCGAGGCGGAAGGAGAGGTAGTCGTCGTCGGCCTCGAGGGCGAGCAACCTGCGAATTGCATCCGTGGTATCAGCTCGACTCAGGGGACTGTTGAGAGAGCGCGTGCGCTCACCCTCCGAGAGCCTTTTCGAGATGAGGTCCCGTCAGCATCGCGAAGAACAACGCGATTCCGCCGCGCTCGATTTCGAGCACCTCCTCACCCCTGGACGACGTCGATGTCAGCTCATGTCGAATGGAGGATGGACCCAACCCACAGTTTGAGCGAGACTTTCTGGAGGAAGAGAGGGTCGGCAGACGGCGAGTCCCACGGTCCCGACTTCTCCAAGTCGTCCTCGAGGTCGTCGACAGGACTAAGGAGGTGGTCAGGAGTGTCGAGGACGAGAAAGGGAAGACGCACCGCCAGTAGTCTGCGTTCCGCAAGCTCTCCAGCTTCTTGTATCGCCTGAAGATCTCGACGTACCGGCCCTGTTCGAGGGAGGTCGAGTCAGCGCGGGCTGGTCGGGGCTCGGACGAGCAGCGTACACACCTTGATGACACGCTCGTGGTGCTCCTCCACGAATTCGCGGCAATACTTGTCCATCCACTCTCCCGTCGCGTCCGCATCCGCCCCGTCGTCTTCGTCATCTCCAACGGTCTCGTCGAGCTCGTCGCCGTCGATAGCTACATTTGAGGATATGAGAATGTAAGGCGACGCAAGTGAGTGGAAGGAAGAAAGAGCGAAGGCAGAAGTCAGCTCCCGACCGAGAACAAAGGGGTGGGGGAAAGCGGGGCCGCCCGACGCACGCTCCTGCTGGTGATCGTCTTCCTCGTCCTCCTCCGTGTCACTCTCCCACCCCCTGCGAGTCTTCCCGTCCTCCCGCTGAGTGGACCCCTCGCTTCCTCCTCCTCCCGAGCGGCCCTGTGTCGTCGAATCCGGCGCGTCGGTGTCCCTCGATCCCTTCTCCGAGCGCGTCGTGGATGTCTGGCGTGCGTCGGGGTCGCCAGCAGAAGCGGAGGGCCATTTGCGAGTGCGCTTGCGAGGGGGAGGCGGCATAGTGAGCGGGACGGCTGGAGCGCGCAGAGGACTGTCGTTCGGGCCAGGAGTACCAGCGACTTAATCTCAGCGTCGACGGCGGTCACACTGAGCAGCGAGCGAGCTTCCCTGAGCAAGTGGACGATGTCAAAGTCACGCGCGTGTCCTCCTTCGCCTCTTGCCCTCCTTCTCCTCACTCGACTTCGACCACACCTCTCGAAAGGCGCGTTTGACAGCCTTTTCACGCGTCGCTCACCATGGTCAACAACGCTACGATCAAAAGCAACCTCACGACGTTCATGCGTCCGTTCAAGGGGGTCCTCTTCCCTGACACGATGCCGACGGGCTACGAGAGCCTCGCTGGCCAGGAAGTGTTGCCCAAGGGCTTCCTCGGTCACTATCTCTCGGTCAACAAGCGCTTTGTGGTTGTCACGGCTATCAAGCGCTTCAACGGTGAGGACGCCTCTTCCTCCCCCATCTCTTCTACCTCGCGCGCCCGCTGTCCCCATATTGGCCCCTGACCGCCTCGCCCGGCTTGACAGGCGTCACGAAGGACAACAACTCGTCCTGGCGCGAGTCGGCCGAGCGTACGCGCTATGTCTCTCACGCCGGGGGCTCGAAGTTGCCCGCCCACCTCAAGGAGTTTGACAAGCAGGGTACGCGTGGGGATGCCTTCCTCAGCTTCGCAGACCGAGACGCTGACTGGTCGTCTGTCAGGCAATGCCAAGGTCCTCCAGGACGGCGACAAGGAGTTCATGGCGATCTGCCTCGACCTCGTCATCAACAAGGTCCGTCCCGCCGACCGGTCTGCTCGGATGACTGAATTAACCGCGACCCTCGCAGATTGGCTTCATGTCCTTCCAGGAACTCAAGGACCACTCGCACGCTCAGCTCGACTACGGCACCGGACTCGGCGGAAAGGCCACCATCATTGTCGGGCTCTTGGGTGCGTCGTCCTCTTCCTCTCTCACAGCGTGCGTCGCCGCTTACCTCTTCACGCAGCGTACTACTTGAAGAAGAAGAACACTACGGTCGTGATGTGCTACTTCCTCGGCTCGTCCACGATCGAAGACATCAAGACCATCGACATCCCGACGAGGACTTACTCGTTCGACCCGGAGAACGAGCAGACTGATGTCTCTCAGCTCATGTGGAAGATCGGCCAGGTGCGCTTCTGCAAGCCTGGCGTTTTCTCCCGCGTCATCAGCTCGACTCGACGCTTCTGCGGTACATAGCTGACCCGTCGTTCCGCTCGTGTCACTACGCAGGAACTCGGCTACGGCGAGAAGACGATGAGCAAGATCACCGACCGCCTCTCCAAGACGATGTTCCAGGTCGCCGACCCGACCGCCATCGACGAGAAGGCCGCCGACCTCATGCGTCGCCTCTGTCCGTCCGTTCTCCAACGCTGACTGGGCAAAACAGCAGCTAAGGAGTCCACACCGTTCTACAGGGAAAGCCCTCGCCCTCGATCGCCGCGCGACGATCCTCCTTCAGCACCTTCCGCTCCGCATCAAGGCAGCCGTCGACTTGAGGAATGGCAACGCGTACAAGGCCCGCCTCGAGTCTGGCTATGGAAAGCGCTTCGAGACCAAGGAATACCTCGCCGTCCTCAAGTGCGCTACCCTTCCCTCGATTCGTTCAGTGACCGCAAAGTAGATCTTGTCGTGCTAATGACGCGTCCTCCCTTCCTCAGCTACGCCATCAAGTCCTACAAGGACGACGAGGACTTCTGCTTCCGCGACGCCATGCTCGCCGTCTGCTGGACGAGCAACTACAAGCGCACCACCGGGCAGGTCTTCCAGCTCGTCTCGAGCCGCGCCTACATGATCGTCGACGCTCTGCTCGAGGTCAGCCTAGATTCCCTCGTTCTATAAGCCTGCAGAGTGCTCACGTACGCAACCTGCGACAGGCTGAAGTCGAGCCGACTCACATCTACCGCCCCTCGCGCCTCGTCAACCTCGGTTACGTCCAAGACACTTCCGTCGTCGGCGGATGGCGCTACGCCAGCGACGAGAGCAAGACCGAGGTTGAAGAGCACGAGGCCATGCAGATTCAGGCCGACCTCGAGCAGAACGTCCAGCTCAACGAGACCTTCGAGTTCTAGGTGCGTTCGTCCGCCGGCTGGTGAATTCATGCGCAGCGCAGAGCGAGCGCTTGCGTGGGTCGTCGATACTGACTTGATCTTGTCGTCAGAGCGGTACCTCAAGTACAAGATTGTTTCGCTCGCCTCGTCTTTGCCATCCGCTCAAACCGTTCCTCGCTGTTGTTTTCCCTTGTTGCCATGGAGACGATCCCTTCGCTTGTTCCGGCTCTGTTGTTCTGTGCACCCTCGACTCGCTTCACTTCCCCTCGCGTTGTCTCCCCTTTTTGCGTAGAAGCGTCTCGTCTCGCTTTTCGTAGAGAGCCCAATGCTGGTCATGGTGAATTGCAGGCTGAGCGTTGCGCACGACGGAGGAGAGGAGAGCATTGTGAGTCATCCGGGGACGAGAACGAGCGCGAGACCAGCACGAGCGCGAGACGAGCATTGCTGAGCTCCGCCTGCGACCTTGTCAAGCGCACGCGCTCGATGTCGAATAAGGTGTCGGGGTAGAGGAGCTGTTGATACACGGCGTCGGAGTACTGCGAGAAGACCGGTCAGACCAGCTCGAATCGTCTTCAAGGGAGCGACTCACCTCGAAGTGCATCGCGCCGTGACAGCCCGAGGCGAGGCACTCCTTGCCGTAGACGGACATGATTCGTGTCCTGTTGCGACAAGTCGGCTCGTCGCAGACAAGCCACGCTTCGTAGATCTTGCTGATGAAGCCGCGAAGTTGGAGGTCGAGGCGGACGCGACGGTGTCGGAAGCGACGCCTGGCACTCGATGTTGCCGCAGAAGAAGCCGTGTTCGGAGAGCATGCCGGCCTAGAAGAGAAGCGCAGTCAGTGGCTTGAGCGAGAGCGAGCGAAAGAGGACGGATCGCACCTTGTTCTCGAGGATGTCGTCGAACGGGTTGATCGTGCCGCAGGTTCGATACCGGATGCGGAACGGCTCGGCATCGGCGAAGCGCTGGGCGTCCGAGATCTGCGACTGAAGCGTCTTGAACTCGCGTTCGCGGACATCGAGCGAAGTCGACTTGGAGCGCAGAGCGTCGAGACCTGTAGACGTGTGTGTGTCAATAGTTGCGACGCGTGAGATTGCTCAAACGCACTTACCCAGGCATACGGCAAGACGAGCCTTCTCGGTTCCTTCGATGTGCTCGCAAAGACGCTCGATAGGCGGGAGAACTTGCGTCGACAGGTAGACCTCGAAGTCTGCAGATGCACCGTCAGTCAAGCCGTAGAAGCTCGACGGGAGGACGGGAACCTACCAATCTTGAGCGTTGAGCCTTGTCGGCGCACGTCGTCCGGGTGATGAGCGTTGGCGGCCTGCGCAGTCTTCGTCGTCTCGCCGTTGGGCGGCACGCAGAAGATGTAGGGGATGACGTCGCCGGCCTTGGCGGAAAGACCCTTCGCCTTCATCTTCAGCGCGACCTGGACGTGCGGGAGCGACTTGGCGTCGGGGTAGTCCTCCGGGTTCTTGCCGAGACGCTGGGAGAGGGAACGGTGTGAGTCAGCCTCGATAGCGAGAGAGCGGTGCGCGACGACGCACCTTGTGGATGATGTAGTCATCAAGAGGCTTGAAGCCGTTGCGGATCTTCTCGCCGAGGTCGGAGAGGTACTCGTGAATCTCCTGAATGACAGTTTCAGTCGCCTTCGCCGAGAGAATCATGTCGAGAACGTCCCTACAAAAGCGCCGTCAGCAGGAGTCGAACAGGACGGGGCAAGCCGACGCACTTCGAGGCATCCTTCGAGAGCTTGGAGAACTCGCGACGCTTCATGTTGAGACCCTTGATCTCGGTCGTGACCTCGCCCGGTCCGCCCTTGCCGTCGTCCTCCACCTTGCGAGCGGCGTACTTCTTCTTGTTGAGAAGGAGCACGCGCTCGAAGACGGCATCGCGGTCAATCTCGAGCTTCTTGTACTTGTCGTTGGTCACCTTCGTGCAGGCTTCGCCAATCTTGAGCGCGGCGGCGTTAGTCCGTCTGGTTCATGTTGATCACGACCGAGTCGGTGTCACCGTAAATGACCTGTCGTGAGCGAAGGTCAGCAAGGGATGAAGCTGAGAAGGCGAGCGAGACGCACGTTGAGCGACATGCCCTCGGCGTCAGCCTTTGTCCGCGTCAGGATCTCGCGACCTTTGAAGGTGGTGAGCGCGGCGAGAGGGCGGGCGTAGAAGCGAGAGCCTTCGTAACCGAGACAGCCGTACATCGAGTTGACGATGAGCTTGAGCGCCTTCAGGGTAATGTCGTACCGCGAGAAGGGAGAGCGTATGACTGGGTTACGAGAATCAAGATATGCGGGTGCACCTGCATCAGCTTGGCGACGGTGGCCGACTTCTCCTTCATGAGACCCTTCACGATCTGTCGACGAGCGACGAGCGAGGCAATAAGCTGCGGAAGAATTCCTTGAGGTTCGCCGTCGCAAGGTGCGCGGTCGGGCATCTTGTCGAGGTCCTCGGCCTGCGGGAGAAGAAGTCAGTCCCGCCGCTCAGCTTCGAAGCAGAGGAGAACGCACGTCTTCGGCGGTCCAGTCGATCGTCGAGAAGTCGATGTCGAACTCCTGGATGATACTCGGGTAGAGCGAGTTGTAGTCCATGACGAGGACGTAGCGGTCCCACAAGCCCTTCTCCGGCTCGAAGACCAAACCACCCTTGTACTTCTCGCGCTTGACCTCGACCTTCGGCTCCTCCTCGCCGTTGTCGTCCCGAGTCTTCTTCTTTTTCTTCTTCTCCGCCTTGTCGATCTGCGCCTTCTTCTTGCGCGACGAGATCTTGTCGGGCACGATGTAGCCCGTCTCGTAGAAGCGGTGGAGCAGAATGTACTCGTTTCGCTCGGCACGGTTTCCGGCGAGCGTGCGGTTCCTGCAGGCGACTCGTTAGCGGTGAGCTTATGCGGGCAACGCGACTCAGGCGCACCAGGAGTTTCCGGCCAGGTTGGTCAACTGGCGAGTGAGCGGAAGCGCCTGGACCTTCGCAGCGACGGCCATCTGGAAGTACGTGTCGGCCTCGCACTGCAGGACGAAGTGCTTGAGGTGGGCGGCAGTCGAGTGGACATTGTCGAAGAACTTGGCCGTGTCTTCGGGGTCGATGTCTTCGCGGGCGATGCCGAGGTGCGTCTCGCACATCTCGGTCAGCGACCATGTCGTCGAGTCGATCAGGGACTGCGGAAGGGAACAAGGATGAGATGCGATTTGACAGGTAGGCGGAGACGGTACACACCTTCGATCCGTCGCTAGTGAGGTCGAAGAGCAAGCGACCCGCAAGCAAGCCGGTGTTCCACCCAGAGCGCAGCTGCGGCCACTTCTCGCCTTTGACACGGAAGCGGCCGACGCGCGACTAGTTGTCGACCTTGAGCTCACACAACCGGTTGAGGAGAACGTCGAGGTCGAGCTGGCCGAAGTCGTGCCCGACGATGACGTCCGGGTCGTTGCGGGATATGTAGTCTGCGAAGAACTTGATCAGTCGAAAGCTCAGGCATGAGAGGGCAGAGACGCACCGAGAAGCTGGATGAGGAGTGGTCGCTCCGCCTTGAAGAGCGCGAAGATAGGCGATCCCTGGTGCTGGCGCACTTGCTGGTCGAAGCCGGTTGGGAAGTCGGTGAAGAGGTTGCGGACGAAGACCTCGGACGACGAGCCTTGGTGTTCGACGGGAGTCGGGTCGTCGATGTCCACTGCCAGCAGGCAAGATGTGAGTAGGAAGCACAGCAGGACTCGACTCGGCTAGAACGCACCGTCATGCCAGACGCGAGCAGCAGCGCAGACAATCTCGCGCTTGTTCTCCTTGAGGTGGACGACTGTCCGGCTGCTCAAGCTGAGGACCGTGAGGCGAGGGACGTCCTTCGCGGCGGTCGCGTCGGAGCTGGAGAACGGCGAGATGTCCTTGTCGTCGACTTCGGCCTTGAACTTGGTCCACGAGAACTAGTCGAGTTGGGGATCAGCGGACGAAGCGAAACGACGGGAGGAAGACCTTGACGCACTGCATCGCCCTTGTTGACCTTGGGCTTCGAGATGTTGAGCCAGCACGGACCCATGATCTTGTGGTCGACGACGAAGCGCTCGAAGGCGGTCGCAGTCGAGCCGAAGACGTGCGAGTACTGCTCGCCAGCAGCGTCGATGGGGATGTCCGACTCGTTTCGCTTGCCGGCTGCGATGAGATGGACGGTCGGCATACGCAAGACCGTGTGTCAAAGAAGGCGACGCACCAGGGAAGTCGCAAGTGACCTCGAGCCAGTTCGTCTCTTTCCGCGGGACACCCTTGATGCCGAAAGCGTACCGCCGCTTGACGTAGCCCTGCGTGCTCGAGACGTTCCGCAGGTTCCACTTGCCCTTCGCATCGTCAAGGAAATCGCCTTCGACGTCGTCGAACGGCAGCTCGTCGTCCTCGTCATCCGAGTCATCCTCGTCGACCTCGCCGCCGTAGTCTGCGAGCGTGGATCGTCAGCTCGAGCAGCCTTCGGAAGGAACAGCCTAAACGTACACTCGGCCTTGGTCTTCGGGAGAACGTAGAGCTTGCGCTTGATGTTCTTGACGACGACTGTCGCGCTGACAAACTTGGGCACGACCTTTTCGGCCTTCTTGCCGTCCTTGATCTGTGCCACCATCATCTGCTCGTCCTTGACGCGAACCTTGCCGACGAGGCGGACGGTGCCGGGTGCAGGCTCGTCATAGTCGAACCACCAGAACTGAAGCGAGCCGTCGGATTCGAGCGCGCTCGTCTGGTGAGCCGGTGCCCGCATTGCGTCGAGCTGATGACCGTCTTGTGCTCTTCGTTGAAGGCCGTCGAGTCGTCGGTCGCCTCAGCGGACACAACGATTGGAGCAGAAGCTGCTGCCAGAGCGGAAGTCGCGGTGCGCCAGTCGACACCCTTGCGCTTCGGCTTCATTTCCTCGAGCATTGGGCTCGGCGAGGCGTTGTCGACCGGTTCAGGCTTCGGCTTGACGGGCTTGATGGCGGAAGCGTTGACGATTTGCCGTCGCTGCGCCGGGCCTTTGGGCTTGGCCGCAGCGGTAGTCGGCTTGACGAACAAGTCATCATCGTCGTCCTCCGTCTTGACCTCCTCATTCAACTTGCTCGATTCGCCGAGAGGCTCGACAGCGGGAAAGTCATCGAAGAACCGCTGGTCCATGCCGCCGAGGTCATTGTCAAATTCGTCCATCGCCGTGTCGAAGCGAGCCTTCTCGACGCCGTCGAAGCCGTCGCTGGACGGTGCGCCGACGAGGAAGGGGTCTGACGCAGGGTCGGAGGCGACATTGGAAGAGGAGGCGAAGTGGTTGGTCGAGCGGAAAGAGCTGGCGTCGAGGTCGGCCTAGCGCTTCGGACCAGAGACGGTCTCGACGAGCGAAGGCTGCGCTCGCTGTGCCGCCACAAGACGAGACGACTCTGTCTTCTTGACCGTCGCCTGGCCCTCGAGGTCGCCGAGCAGACTAGCCATCCATCATCGAGTCTTCCTCCCGCTCCTTCAAGGGCAAGCCCTGCTTCTGCCGGTCCGGATTGATGTACGGGTTCGCGCCCGCAGCGACATCGACACACGCCTTTGCTCGCTTGTTCGCCGCCGCCGTTAGCTGTTTCTCCTTCTTCGGCCGCGCAATTGACCCTCGTGCCTCCCACCCGTTCTACCAAAGAATGAACAGTCAGCTCGAGTTCGAGTGAGTGCACCGACGTAGCACACCCTCTGCTGCGACCGTTGTCCATTCACTCCATGGTTCCGACCTTTGTACCGCCGGTCGCCATTCCCCTGTCTGATTGTGGTCCTGGAAGGGAGGTCCGACGGCCGTGACAGTAAGCTGAGACAGCATAATGAGCAGATGAAGAGGCGAAGGGCGATGAACAGCGAGGAGCTGGAACGCACAAGCGCTGGAGAGATCGATGGATCGGTGGTTCCCAGGGAGGACGGATCACGCAGGGCGTGAGCGTCGCCTTGTCGCAGGGAACGAGGTGCCGACGCACAGCTCTGGCGCCGTCCACTGAGCGATCTGGCAGGGCTTCGACGGGCTGCAGACCCCATCACGAGAAGCAGTGCGCGGCCTGGCAGCAAGTTGAGAGACGAGAGACTAGCGCAAGAGGCGAAGAGGAGGAGTTGCCGTCGAGCACTCGGTCCTCGACTGCCAGGCTCTGCTACAAGGCTACAGGAGCGTTACAAAACATTACAACAGCTCACGGCCGAGCCTGCGCGCGTCCCCATGGCTCCGCCGTCGCACCGCACTGCTTCATCAGTTCGGCGAAGAAGGGGAGGGGAACTCCGTCCCACGACCCGGCGAGGAGGTACGACGGTGCTCAGAGGCCTTCAAAGGAGCCCAGACTACGGTGCATGTGCGCGTCTGGGACGGACGGGAGCACACCGCCAACCTCGCCTCGTCCTCGCGCTCGAGCACCCTTGCGAACACCTGACTCCGCACACGAGCCCCTGTATGTTGGCCTGAGCGGCCACACAGCTCTCGAGGCGCGGGAGACAATGAGCGATACGAGCTAGGCTCGATCCGTGGCGCTTCCTTCCCTCATCACCGCTACTCGAGGCGCGTTATTTTCATTGCGCTCTCTTCTTCGCTCAACGAGGGTACTCTCGCGCCGCCTGCTCGCTCGTTTGGACTCGCCTGCTGCTGTCTTACTACGATGGGCTGTGGTGCTTCAACTCCTGTTGATCCGGAGGCGCAGGCGCGAAGGTGAGCTCAATCTTCGCCTCTCCGCTGTGTGCTCAAGGCGTCGCTGACCCGAGGTTATCTGCAGCGCGGCCATCGAAAAGACGCTTGCGCAGGACCGTGAGAAGATGCGATGGGAGATCAAGCTGCTCTTCCTGGGCGCAGGCGAGTCCGGCAAGTCGACAATCATGAAGCAGTTCCAGCTGGCGTATGGGCGGCCTTTCACGACGGAGGAGCGAGACGAGTACCGCGATGTGATCTTCGACAACGCCGTGCGATCGATGCAGGTGCGTTTCAAGCTTTCGCTGGATGCTAGTCTTCCGTTGTTTGCTTGAACGCTTCTTAACGTCTTCCCTTCGACAGGTCGTCATCGACGCGTTCGACTTGCTCAGCATCGAGGTTCCGGAGTCGCTGAACGAGCACATCGAGCTGCTCATGTCGATCGGCGACAATCCAGAGCTCTCCACGGACACTGGCGAGCTCAAGCCTGACGTCGGGAACGCTATCGCGACGGTATGGGCGTTTGACGGGGCGAAAGAGGCGGTCGAGATGTCGCACGAGTTTCAGCGTGCGTTCCCGCTCTCCTCCGTCCCTTCGTCAGGGGCGCCCAATCGCTGACTCTCACCGTGCGACACAGTGAACGACTCGGCGTCTTAGTGCGCTTCAGCTTCGTCTCTGCCTCCACCGCGCAGCAGCTCATTCGCCTCCTCCACAGCTACTTCGACAACATCGCCCGTCTCGTCCAAGCCGGCTACGTTCCTTCCGACATCGACATCCTCCGTTCGCGCGTCAAGACGACGGGCATCACCGAGATCAAGCTCGACATTCACGGCACGATCTACCGGATGATGGACGTCGGCGGACAGCGGAGCGAGCGCAAGAAGTGGATCAAATGCTTCCAAGACGTTCAGGTGTTGCTGTTCGTGCTTGCGATATCTGGTGAGCTTCAAGCGTGGACAACAAACCGCGGCTGCAGGACTGACCTTCCTCTCCGCAGAATACAACCAGATGCTTTACGAAGATGAGACCGTCTCGCGCATCTCCGAAGCCACGACGTTGTGGCAGTCGATTGCCAACTCGAAATGGTTCGCGATGGCGAGTATCATCCTCTTCCTCAACAAGATCGACATCTACCGCCAGAAATTCGAGCTGTACAAGCTGTCCGAGTACATGCCCGAGTACACCGGTCCGAATACGTATGAGGCAACAACGCGCTTCCTCGCTCACCGCTTCTCCGAACTGTACACGAACCCGACTCGACCGCTGATCATGCATCTCACCTGCGCCACCGGTGAGCGCCCTGCACTTCTCGCGTCGCTGTAGCCCTCCGCGGCTGACTGACATGCTGGTGGCACAGACACATCGCAAATACGCACCGTCTTGGCCGCAGTGCAGGAGCAGATCCTGGCGAACAACCTCCTCGCGAGCGGTGCGTCAGCTTCTCCCGCCGCTTCTCCCGTCTGATGCTCATCATTTCCGCTCTACAGGACGAATTTAGTCGTCGATCCGATGTCAACGAGTCTCTACTCTCCTCACGCCACGCTCTGACGCCGGTCACGTCGTCCCGACTATCCTCACCTTCGCTCGTTCCGCCTTCGTAGCTGTATCCGATGTCGCTTTCTTCGTTTTGTGTTTACCGTTGGAACGACAGCTGTCTGTATTCGTCCGAACTCGTCCTCTGTCGTCGTTCTTCGCTTGTCGCCTTCTCCCTCTCGTCCCTCTCGCTCGCTTGTACACTCCCTCGCCCTGCTCAACTCGCCTCATCGAGCTGCTTGCTATCAGCCGTACCACTGACGGCCTAGCGTAGAACGCCTCGACAGCCTGACTGCAGCTGGCACCACCTTCCTCACCGCTCACCGCTCGCTCCCCCACCTCCCCTCATCGCAACACCGCTCTCCCGCCTCGCACAGCGCCGCGATGGCCTCATTCTTCACTTCGCTGACCGGCAGTGCGGTCGAGGTGGACGTGCGGCTGGCAGACGAGGACGACCGGCAGTCTGTCGAGGTGAAGACGGATCAGGGTGCAAAGGGCAGCAAAGGTGATGCGCTCGCTGGGAGGGAACGGTGTCCGGTCTATCTGGATGGCGAGAGTGTCAAAGGGCAGGTGCGTCTACGACTCGCTCTCCTGCGGGACCACTCGCCCGCCTGGACTCGCTCGAGGTGGGGCGGCAGACTCGAGACGAGCTGACAGGACATTGCGGCTGTGCGCGCAATGTTGCAGGTCCTCGTGCGGGTAAAGGACAGGAAGGGCGTCAAGCATGACGGCATCAAGGTCGAGTTTGTCGGGAGCATCGGTACGTGGACGAGATTCCCCTTCGGTTCTTACCACCCTGCGCGACAGGAGTGCTTGCAGACTGATGCGTGGCTTTTCCCCATCCATGCAGAACTCTTCTACGACCGCGGCAACCACTACGAGTTCCTCTCCCTTGTCCAGGAGCTCGCGAACCCTGGCGAGATGCGGACAGCGCAGGCGTTCGACTTCGAGTTCAAGAACGTCGAGAAGCAGTACGAGAGCTATCACGGCATCAACGTCAAGCTGAGGTGCGTCCATTGCTTTCGTTGCGCCGAGATGCGGGCAGATCTGCCGGCCTTCACAAGGCGTGGCCGTCTCTTGAGTGGACGCAACAGTGACTGACCCATTGCGGACGTGTACAGATACTTCATCCGCGTCACCGTCTCGCGAAGAATGGCCGACGTCGTGCGAGAGAAGGAGATCTGGGTGCACTCGTACCGCATGCCGCCCGACATTGTCAACTCGATCAAGATGGAGGTCGGCATCGAGGATTGCCTGCACATCGAGTTCGAGTACAACAAGGCCAAGTGAGTGGGCTGCACCGGTACTTTCCTAGCGGCGGGCTGCGGTTTCAGCTGTTGGATGGCCGGCTGACCTCCTCCCTGCAGATACCACCTCAAGGACGTGATCATTGGGAAGATCTACTTCCTGCTTGTGCGGATCAAGATCAAGCACATGGAGCTGAGCATTATCCGACGAGAGACGACGGGAGCAGGTGCGTTCCAGCCTCTCTAGCCTCGCTTCACGGCTGGCTGACAATCGCGCTTCCCTTGCAGCGCCCAATCAGTACAACGAGAGCGAGACGATCACCAAGTTTGAGATCATGGACGGCGCTCCCGTGCGAGGTGCGTCCCGAAACCATTCATCCCGTTCTCACAGATGACTGACGGGCTCGTCTCTACTTGACAGGCGAGACGATCCCGATTCGACTGTTCCTCGGCGGCTTCGAGCTCACTCCGACCTTCCGCGACGTCAACAAGAAGTTCTCTACGCGGTACTACCTCAACCTGGTCTTGATCGACGAGGAGAACCGGCGGTACTTCAAGTGCGTCCTCTTGATCCCCCTTATCCTCCTTCTCGCTCTGACGCGGCTTAAGCGCAGACAACAAGAGATCACGCTGTACCGCAACCGGGAAGGCATCGAAGGCCTCCCTCCCGCCGCCCCTCCCGCTCAAGCGCATGCCGATTTTGCCCAAGTCGCCGCCGCTTCTCCGTCCGCCTCCCAAGCCGCTCTTCCGCCTCGTCCGTCACAACAGCCGTTCGAGCAGTACCAGCCGCGACAGCCCGAGTCGCCCGCGTTGCCGCCCCCTCCAGCGGGCGAGGAGGTGCAGACGGAGGCGTAGGAGCGTTCGAAGGATCCCTTTCATCTGTTGTAAATCGCTTACTCTCACAGTCTGCGTCCGCTGCCGAGCTCGCAAGCCTCAAGCGATGACTGAAAGGAACAACGGTACTACGATTGATTCGAAGACTTCAACACCCTTTGAACAGTTACTCCTACTTCTCCTCTCCGGCGCGTCAAGCGTACAAACACCCTGCTCACGCCCTTGTACCCAGCTTCGCCCGCAACGACTGCTCAATCTGGTCTGCCCGTCTCAAGCGCGCTTCCAGGTCGCCCAACTCTGCTCGTTGCTGCTCGACGTGCCGCCGCCTGTCCGCAGCGCACGAGCAACGAGTCAGCAAACCCACTTCACCAAAAAGAAAGCTGAAAGAGAATTCTGAAGGGGCGCAGCGAACCTACTTCTCCTGAACGCTCTGTTCCTTGACCTTGACGATGTCATCCGGGTTGTGCGTCGCCTTCGTCGGGACACTGTGCGACGGGTCCGAAGTGTGCGTCGCAGCAACCTGCTTAGCCTGCGCACCACGGACGAGTGACCTTCAGCCTCGGTATCTTTGCGAGGTGGGGCCCTCGACGAGAGAAGTCGTTGAGAGACTGGGCGACGCACGTGCTCGACTTGCTCGTGTGCGTGCTCAGCTTTCGAGTGGAGGAGGGCGTCGTGGCGCTTGGAAGCCGCGGCGAGGTCTTCGTCGACCGAGTGACTGGTGTGGTGAGGCGTGCAAGCGATGAGCGAGGGTCAGCGCGCCTTGCTCACTCAGCGCAGGCACAGTAACGCCCTGCGAGGCGCCCATCGAGCCCGCGAGCGAGAGCAACGAACGCACGGGTGGTGAAAGCGCTCCGTCTCCTCTTCCAGGCGCTGGCGAATGTGAGGCGGCATGTCGGCCTCGGCGAGGGGCTGAGTAGCGTCGTGGGACTGAACCATAGTGTGCAAGCGTGTGCAGTCAAGCGAGATGTGGACGTGAGGAAGAGAGGAAGCAGGGCGGAGAAGGTGGAAGCTGCGGAGAGGACAGGGGCACCCTTCAGTTGCGTCGCTGCCTAGGACAGCAATTCAACGTCGTACAGCGTTCATAGCGCATGCACTGGAGTGACACGTTTTCAGCGGTCCCTGCAGGAGCGGGAGAGAAGGAAAGGACCTCCTGCACCAACGGAAAACCCCTCAGCTCGTCTTCTTGCCCGCAAGGCAGAATGCCAGGGTCGACCGTCAGCAAAGCCGCCTGTCATCGTGGAGGACGAGAGCTGAAAGGGTTGGAGCGACGTGATGGAGCGAGGAGCAGGATGAGCGGTTGCAGGTGCAAGAGGAGGAGTCCTCAGAGCAGCAAGCCTCGACACGGCGACGATCAGCGCGGCAGAACCGATTTTACGACTGCCCCCGCGCGTAGTTCGAGCCTGTGGCCTTGGTGTTGGCGGTGGTCTACGCATCTCGAAAGTCAAGAAGGAGCGGAGGGAGGAGGCGAGTCTTCGCACGTAGGGGGATGCCACAGCCGCAGCGTCCTTTGGATCGTGCGAAGAACCCGTCCACCCATCGATAGTCGCCCCGCGGCAGAGGGAAGCGAGAGAGGGATTGTACTGATGAGGATCGCAGCACAGGACACAGGCAATTCCGGTTGGATGCGCCAGCATTGACGGCTTCAAATACGTCCTGGATAGCAGCAGCAAAGCAGCGTAGGCCTCCAAGCGGTTTGTGAGCGGGTGGTTCACCTCCAACCTCCGACCGCGAGCAGTTCCGCCTTGTCCACACCCGCTCACCTCGCCGAGTGAGGCTTTGACGAGCTCCGCCTGTTCAAGGAGCGCTTAGATATCCGGTCTCGCAAGCGGCGGCCGCCCCACGCCCTCGCCGCCGAGCTGCTCCCGCACCATGGCGACCGTTACCATCTCCTCGCTCTCGTCGTACAGCTCATACCGAGACTCGCGCTCGCCCCTCCCGATTGAAGTCCAACACGCCAACCTCGCCGTCTCCTCCACCGTCTACGTCGGGAACCTTTCGTGCGTCTCCTTACTGCTCTCCCGACTCGCTTTCCCCGCTGATTTAACACGACGGCTCGCAGGTTCTACACGACCGAGGAGCAGATTTACGAGTTGTTCAGTAGGGTCGGAGAGGTGAAGCGTATCATCATGGGGTTGGACCGGCATCAGAAGACTCCTTGCGGGTTCTGCTTCGTCGAGTGAGTCGGCGCTCCGCAAGTCTTCGCCGATTCGCGGCACATGTCGCCCACATAACGGCGATTATGTACGTGGAGGCGCACCCTGACATACCCAACTCGCATAGGTTCTTCCACCACTCTCACGCCGTTGCCTCTCTCCGCTACATCTCCGGCACAAAGCTCGACGAGCGCATCATCCGCGCAGACCTCGACCCAGGATACACCGAGAACCGGCAGTATGGGCGCGGAAGGTCGGGAGGGCAGGTGCGGGATGAGTACCGCGAGGACTGGGACCGTACGCTCGCAGTTCCCTTCTCCGCCTGAAGGGGTTTGCTGATCTTTCGTGGTCTGCAGCCGGACGTGGCGGATGGGGACATCTCAAGAACCGCGAGGAGGTCGAGGCGCAGCGAAGGCGCGAAGTCGAGGAGACGTACCGGGACGACCACGATGCGGGAGGTGCGGGTCGGGACGTACCGACAGGCGCTGGAGACCCGGACGAGGTGCGCTAGGGCTTCCACAGCCTAAGCACAGCTGTCTTTCGCTGGCGACTTATGCTGACGTTGTCTCGCTTGCACAGAACCCTCGTTTCCGCGAAGAAAAGGACGAGTAAGCGCTACGGCGCATCGCATGCTTCCTCTCCATTTCCCAGTACTTGTTGTAACAGGGTTCCCATCCATGGCTGCGCGAGGGAGAAGTGGAGTACTCCCGAGTTTCGGTCCGGCACGCTACTCATCTTCGTCGTCCGAAGCCGGCGCAATCCGCCGCTTCTTGTAGATCTTGCTCTGCTGCTCGACAACTGCCTCCGCCTTACCGCCGTTCGTCCCGACCTTGACCTCATGCTTCTCCTCAACCACGATTAGCTCGTCGTCCACCTCGACCGTCTCCTTGACCCGCTTCTCCTCCTTCTTCACAAAGAAACCCGCCAAGCTGCCCTGCCTTTTCTCAACTTTTGCGGTCTTCGCGCCCTCGCCAGCCTTCGCCTTGCCCTTCGCTTTCGCGCCATTCTTACTCGCCAGTCCCTTCGCCTGCAACTGCCTCTCCTCCCAAACTTTCCCGACCGCGCCTCCGACGTTCTCGCCCTCCACATCCGCCGCATCAACCCACTTCCCTCGGCCCGGCAGAGACTGCACCAGATCGTCCTTCTTCGCCGGCGAGGCGGGCGAGGCCTTCCGCAGCGAGGGAAACGAGGGTGAGGAGATGACGAGGCGTTCGCTGTGATAGGTGCGGTTCATGTGCGAGTAGACGTGCGTAACGGGCGGGAGAGTTGAGCGGGACATGATGCGCAAGTCGGAGGAATCGGCGTCTTCAGGCGAGGAAGGGGAGAAGGTCGTGGAGGAGGAGATATCGAGCAGGGTGTGCAGGAGCTTGTCGAGATACTTAGAGCGAGCTTTTGGTGTCGAGGGAGCAGTCGAAGCGGGCAAGTCGACGGCGGGAAACTCATACAGCCCGGCAAGGAGGCCTGCGCCGCAAAGTCAGCTCGGATTCTCTCATCCGGCGAGAACCCACGGAGACGCACCCTTCTCCGGCCGCTTGATCAACAAAACCTTCCTGCCCTCGTCGCTCTTCTCATCCGTCCCGCTCGGCACCCACTCGAGCACGCAAACAGCCGTCTCCTCGTCCCGCTTCTTCGTCTTCTCCTTCGCCATTGGGTAGACTTCGACGCCATGGCGACGCGCTTCGGAGGCTTCTTCGTACGGTAGAGGAGCGCAGAGGGTGCAGAGATCCTCGATGTCGGGAGCAGCGGCAGCGGAACCGTCCGCGGCGGGTCGGTGCGCGACGTAGCGGGCCTACGGAGTCCGTTGATCAGCACTTCCGGTCGAATAGAGCGACAAAAATCATCGCGTACTTCCGCGTAAGCGAGACACTCGTCGTTGAGCGGGCATTCAGCGCAATTCGGGTTCTTCGGCGTGCAAACCGTCGCGCCGAGTTCCATCAAAGCCTGGTTCCATGCTCCCGGCTTATTCAGCCCGCCAACATCGAGCGTCGAGCGGTCGTCGCCGTCCGAAGAGGCCTTCTTCTTCTTCGGCTGCGGCGGGACGAGGACGTCTGCGAGTGCCCAGATGTAGGAAGTCGTCGCCTTCGCTGCCGCAGGAGCGTGGAAGGCGGTGAGGCGTGAGAGAACGCGAGTGACGTTGCCGTCAACCATGGGAGAGCGTTGCGCGAAGGCGATAGACGAGATGGAGCCGGCGGAGTAAGGTCCGCTGCGTTCAGCGACACGAAGCGTGAGCCCTTACTGACCGAGAAGTCAGAGCAGCGCTCGCTCCCAAAGCTAGCGACGCACATTCCATCGATGTCAAGCAGTCCTTCCGCCGTCTCTGGCAAGATGCCGTCGTGCTTCTCCATGACCGTCTTCGCTCCGTCAAGCCTGGGGATCTCGGATTCAGTCGAGCTCAGCGAGAGATGCGAGGACTGCACTCACAGCCTCTTGGCGCGGGAGTAATAGCCCAAACCCTTCCAGACCTCGTTGACCTCCTCGATATCAGCCTTTGCCAGCGCCTTGACCGTCGGAAACTTCTCCATCCACTTCTTCCAGTACGGGATTACGGTCGCGACTTGCGTCTGCTGAAGCATGATCTCGGAGACCCAGACCTGCGTGCGAGGGCACGTCAGAACCGCTTCAGTCTGGACGAGGAGGAGGAACAGGACACACCTCGTAGCCTCTCTGCGTCCGGTCCTTCTGCGACAGCGTCTTTGGGTCGACCTCCTTCCTCCACGGCATCCCACGCTTCTCCTTCACGCCGTCGAACCATGCAAGGAGCTTCTTCTGGACGACGGCTGCCTCAATCGCGGAGTCGAGGGCAGGCGGCAGTTTCGGCTCGCTCGAGTCCTTCTTGCGCTTCTTGGTTGGTGGCTCCGAGCTCGGGGAGGCAATCGGGTAGTACGGCGAGGTCAGGAAGGCGTGGTAGCTGGCAGGGTGCGGACGTTCGATGAGGGAAGCGGGGTCGAGGACGGAGGGAATGAGCGAGGCGCAGGGGTGCGTAGCATTCGGCACAGGCAGCGGTGGACGCGCAATAGCAGCAGACTTCTTCTTCGGCGGCATTGCGCAGCGAGAGAGCGAGGAAAGGTGAAACGAAGAGGACGAGGAGGATTCGCGTTTCAACGTGAGCATCGTGTGGATGGACAGGAGGAAGCGAGTTCTACGCGAGGGCAGGCTGTCTTCAGGCTGCGCAGACGGGCGGCATCGAGCCTTGAGGGCGGACCGTAGGCGGAGAGTGTCATGGGAGACGACGGGCCTTTCGCGAGACTCCTGTCTCAAGGCCGTTGTGGTCGCCCCATCCGCATGTTGTGCGCAGCAGCGGTCTTGAGGCCGTTGGCGAAGTTCAGCGCGGCCTTGTAAGCCTGTGAGGCGCCCAGGCAGGCGCGTTGCAGTCTGGAGAGCTCAGTAAAGCCTGCGCGACGAGAGCCTCGTTAGTTTGCCCTTCATGGCAGGGTGAGCATCGTACACGCACCTCTTGCTCAGATGTAGCCAAGCGTCTCGTCAATGATGCGCTGCATCCGTCCCTTGTCCAGCTCGGGATAGTCGGGCGCGGAAATCTCGCTCTGCTGTTCCGCTTGAGAAGCGAGCTGCTGCAAGGTCGCAGAAAGATCTCTGCGCCCGTGTGCGGAGGACTCAGCCTCCACATGACTTGCGACTGCGCGAGATCATGGCGCTGTGTAGCTTGCGACGCACTCTGGTCTTCGGCACACGACCGCCCAGCCCTTCTTCTCCATCTCGTCCGCCAAGTCCGATTGATGCGAGTCCATGAGAGTCGAGTTGGGGACTAGGACGAGCTGCCGGCGAGTCGCATTCGGTTGTGAAGAGGGTAGAGACGAGTCGAGGGGACGGAGGAAAGAGAGGATGGAGCCAGCGCCTGCGACAGTTGCGACACGAACAGCGCTCAGCTCGGCATCAGTATGAAGACTGAACGCAGCGCTGAGCGTGCCTCGACGCACCTGCGTGGCTCACGACGAGATCCGTCCTCCCCGCCCTCTCCTCCAAGTCTCCCAAGAACCGCACAACCTCGACCTGCAAACCCTGCTGCGTCGTACGTGTTCCCTCTTTCCATCCAGCTGGCAACGTGCTGTTCCCAACCTGTGCGAGGACGTGCTGGATGCCGAGAGAGGCGAGCGATGAGAGCGAGGTAGAGTCGAAGGAGCTGGCGACGAGGGCGTCGAAGCGGGTGCTGCCGACTGTCAGGACGCAGGTAGAGGGCATTCAAGCAGCTTGAGGTAGTCAGTTGGGCGCCGAGCTGAGGATGGAGTGAGTAGTCGAAGGAAAAGAGCAAGTCCTCGCTGAAGGACCGGTACGAACTCTCGCAGAGGCGCAGCTAAGGGCGTGTAATGCGCTCAAATTGACGATAGAAGGCCGGCAATGCAGTAGGAAAAGATGCAGGGAAGAGTACAACAGGACAGGACGGCTCTGGACAACAAGAAGTACCCACTCATGCTTCTCCTGCCTCCGTCTTGGCTCGTGCAGCCTCTTCCGCCCTCTTCTTCCGCCGTTCTTCCGCTGCAGCTTTGAGCTGCGCGACGCGGTCGTCGTCGTTCCGCTTCGCAACCTTCTGCACCTTCTGCTCGAGCTGTTCCTCCGCCTCTCGCTTGCGCTTCTCCTCGAGCGCAAGCATCTGCCGCTCGATCTCGCGAGACATGCGCTCCCGAGACTGTCGAGCTCGTTCGGCAGCCGACATCCCCGGGTGGAGGAGCGAGTCCTTGCTGTCGTCGTCGTCCCTCTTCGGCGGTGGTCGAGCCGAGATAGGAACCGCAAAGCCCGCCGTCGCCGCAGCTGTGGGCTTGACGATATTCAGTCCGCCGGACATAAGTTGCCGGCGATCGACAATCTCGCCCTCGTCGTTGATCTCGACCTTCTTGCCCGTCTTCGCTTCGTACTCGGCTGCGATCTGCGCGTCGGTCTTTTCCTGCTCTGTCGGGAGTTGTGCGCCGAGAGGGACCTTCTTGGCGTTCGAGGCAGTAGCGGCGACGGCGGCTGCGTGTGCGGCTTCGGTCGAGTCGAGGTAGGATTTGAGGAATGTCGAGATGCCGCCTGGTCCCTTCTTCTTCGCCTCCGCTTCTGCAGACACCGCCGGATTCAAGGAAAGTCAGCGCATGAGAGCACATGAACTGATTCAAGCGAGGTCGCGGACGCACCCTCACGCTTCTTCTCTTCCTCCTCCACCTTCCGCAACTCCTCCTGCTGCTTGAGATACGACGGCGTCACGAACTGGTCCTTGTCCGCAAACTCGTCTCCTTCCCGTTCTCGCTCCTTCTGGATCATCTTGTCTTCTGCCCGCAAGCGGTCCTGTTTCCGCAACTCGGCCGTCTCGAGGAGGCGGTTGATGTACTTGGGCTGCGCGCGGCGAGCGATAGCAGGTCAGCGGGAGAATATGGTCAGAGAGCACACACGGACGCACCTTCCTATCGCTCGACTCCTTCTTCCGCTCCTCCTTGGCAACCCGCTCCGCCGCCTTCATATTGTCGTACACCTCGTCGTACTCGAAAACGCTCGGATCCAACTCGACCTCCTCCTGCTGCTTCTTCTTCTGCGCTTTGGTCAGCGAGGCAGTCGACACGCCAGGTCGCTGCTTCGACCTGGAGGTGTCGGTGCCGGGAGGAGGGGTCGGCGCCTCGTCGTCGTCGTCTGCGCCGCCGAAGATGGGCTTGGCTGTGGCGGGTTTCTTGGGCGGTTGTCGTGGCAGCTGAGTCTTGTTCAGCCCGAACGAGAGCTTGGGAGGACCCGACATGGTCGCTCGAGTGAGTCGCGAGAGGGAGAGAACCAACTCTCGCTGCGACAGCTCACCCTACAGGCTCAGGAGGGCTGACGAGCGCTGGACTGTGTTGTTGGACTGCTTAACTACCGCTCTGTATCGCCCTCGCCAGCTCCCACCGCTCCATCTCGTCACATTCTCTCCCCGGCCATCCTCATCAGCCGGCAACCGACGACTTCGCCCGTCGCACTCGTACGGGACAGCAACGGGCCGAGTGACAGCAGGGAGCATCACCAGTGACCTCGCGTACCTCAACCGCCTACGAAAGTCTCGCCTCAATTCGTCCTCCGGCTGTTCTCCTCGACCCTCCCCACATCTCCTCTTCAAAGTCTCTCCCCAGCCTCAGTACACGTTCTTCCGCCCGCTTGCCACACCCACAGCCTCATCTGACACGAGTCCCCGCAGCCCTCCGCACACACCGCCGACCATGTCCTCCCCTCGACCCGCACCCATGACAACGTCGACAGACGAGCTAGGCGCCTACAGCGAAGGCGAGCTCCTCGACGACGCCATGTCCGAATCGCTCTCGGCCATCGAACCGTTGTCGCCCAAGTCGCTCAAGGCGATATCCAACTTGGCGCGGTACAAGCCGCCGCCGGATCCTTGTGAGCAGGCTCGTTCAGCTGAAGCCAGCCTCGCGCGCTGACTTCCGTCATATGTGCAGATCCGTTCCCTGAAGGTCGCTCTGCCGTCCTCGTCTGCCTCTTCGGATCACGCTCGGGGGACAACCTGAACGTCTTGCTGTCGACGCGCAGTCAGACCCTGCGGACATACGTGCGTACTGGCTCCTTCTGCTCGTTCCATCTTCTCTGTAGCTGACGACTCATTCCCGGACTTGCAGCCCGGCCAAGGTGCGCGCGAGTAGCGAACGGCCGACTTGGGCGCGGAACTGACTGGGTTTTGACAACAGTCGCTTTGCCCGGCGGGAAGATGGACGATACAGGTACGCAGTCACGCTCTACTTACCAGCCATATCGGCGCTGATCGGCTTTGATGCAGACATCAACCTTGAAGCGACCGCTCGACGAGAAGGTGAGCGCGCAGGTGTTCTCCTGGTCCTGCTCAAGCATGTCACGCTGTTCAAGGCCTCAGAGCTCACCCATGCGATCTCGCAGCTTTCGAAGAAGTAGGCCTGCCGATAGATACGACTCGGATACGATACCTCACGTCGCTGCGGCCTTTCCTCGCCCGGTCAATGATGCTTGTCACGCCCGTCGTCTGCTTTGTTCTGGATTACTCACTGAAGGTGCCTTTTGACCGCCATCGCGCCGCCATGCTAATGCTGACGCCTCGCCACGCAGCCCGAACTGAACCCCTCCGAAGTCTCCGACCTCTTCTCCTTCCCTCTCGAAGCATTCCTCACCGCCAACCCCTCCCATCGCGTCTTCCACCACCCGCACCCCGACTCCGTCCTCGAAGGCAAGACGCCCTACCACACCGTCGAAGACTACCCCTGGTTCGACGGGCGGAAACACCGCTTTCATGCGTTCGAGGCGCATCCGCAACCTATTGTTGGGCTGACGGCGGAGATTCTGATACATGTCGCAATGCTCGCTTAGTGAGTCCGCCCTTTTCCCCTCGCCAACTCATAACAGCTGCTCATGAGACGCTCGCGCCTTCGCAGCAACCGCTCGCCCGACTTCCTTCTCCGCGCGCCCGACGAGATGTCCCAACGCGACCTCATCCGACGAGCGATGAAAGAACCAAAGTTTCACGAGTTCCGCAGGAAGTGGAGGGAGAAGAGGCCGGTCATGGAGAGGGAGGGGAAGTTGTGAGGCGGGAGAAGGACATCGTATTGGCTTCGGTAGTCGTGCAACGACTGTTGGTATACTTTTGGGCCTTCTTAACAAGCCGTGCACGACATCGTCCGCTTGACCTCGAGACCGCTCTTCGCCTTGAACCGCTCGCTCCTGCTTGACGTCCTGCTTCGGCTCGCTTTGTCTAACGCTCGCCAATCATGGCAGTGCTCGGAGAAGCCACTCGTACGTCTCGCCCATCCCACGAACGCCCTCTCGCCCTTGCTGACCTTCCGCATGCACGCACCCTCTTCATCGCTCAACTCGTCGTCGCAGCGGTTCCGGCGGAGCTACAGCGGGCGGTAGAGCAGTTGGAAGAGCTTTCGGACCGATTGGAACTTCGGGCGGCGGATTGGAGCGGCGTGAGTTTGGCGGGACGGCAGATCGCGAACAGTCTGCGAAGCGGTGCGTTCGCCCAACATGCACGCTTGTAGGAGGAGGCTGACAAGCCACTTCGCTCTTTGCATGCAGAGGGGCTGCGGACGACTCTCGGCCGGACCTCGCTGCTGTCGTCAAGCGGACGACTCCTCGACAACCTCGCTGGAGAAGAAGGGGAGGAGCAGGACAGTCGGCAGGAGCGGCTAGCGGCGCAGACAGAGCTTGCGAGGGTCGTAGGGAATATGTGCTTCGAGCATGGTGCGTGCTTCCGCGCTTCTGTCCGTTGTCGCTGCTCACGCTTTCGAAGCAGATCCGAATCGCCAGCAAACGCTCGACGCCGGCATCCTTCGATACCTCGCCCGTCTCCTCTCCATCTTGCTCGGCGTCTCGGACGACTCGGCAACGCATGAAGGCGCGGCGAAGGTATTGTCGCTGAAGGAGCTGACTTTCGTGCGAGCGGCGACCGGGGCTATGCTGAACTCTTCCCTGAAGTTCGGTGCGTTCTATTCGCTCTCTTCGAAGTCTGGTATGTTGACACCCCAACGGCGATGCAGACCCGGTACGACGAGAGTTGACGCGGCGAGAATACCTCGTCCCCCTCCTCGCGATAATCAACTCTCGAACGGTCGGCAAGGCGACTGCGCCAGTCTACACGACCGGCAGCTGGGCTGTAGAGTCGGCGGACTCGCAGCGGGAGCAGCGACTGCAGATTGGGTCGATGGCAGCGGGCTGGGCGGCGAATGTCCTGGAGGACGTCCTCGTCGAAGGCGAGTCTCCCACAAAAGATACGTGCTTCGACCAGCTAACGCATCTAGCGCAGACAAGTCCGACTTTCCCGTCGACTTGGGCGTTCCCGCACTTGCCTCTGTAATCCTCGCTTCTGCCTCTTCCCCTTCTACTCCCTCCTCCGTCCTCGTCCCGTCTGACGATGCAGCCGACTACCTCGACACGGACATCGAGCTTCTCACCATCTCGGCTAGTCTGCTCGAGGGGGTCGTGCAGAACTCGGACGCCGCAAAATCAGCCATCGCCTTCTCCACCTTCGACCCTTCCCTCCCTTATCCTCAGCGAACGCTTCTCCACCACCTCATTGACTTCATCAAAACCGCTCGGCCGCCTCCGTACTGGTCTTCCGTCTCGGATGACCCGGCGCGAACAGAAAAGGCGTTCTCGACGATCAAGGCTGCCGTCGTTCGAGCGGTTGTCGAGGCGCCGAACTCGGATGAGGTGATGGAACGGTTGTGGGAGGACACTAAGAATGGGAAGGACGCTGCGACGGGTGGAAAGAGCTGGCTGGTCGAGGAGTTGGTTCGATGGCTTGAAGAGGCGGAGGAGGGAAGGGAGGACATGCTCGTCTGCGCATCGCACATGCTCGCGGGACTCGGACGAAGAGGTACGTGGTCCGAGAAGCTTTGTGGGGCCAGTGAAGCTTATGCAAGTGCTGACACCCTCCTTTGATTGCGCCTCCGCACAGACGAACACACCCTCTCGCTTGCGCGCGACTATCAGCTCGCCTCTCCTCTCGCTCGGATCGTTCGTGACCGAGTCAGCGGAGCAGTCGGCAAGACTGGGCGGCCAGGCGAGACGACCCAGGTCTTGTTTGGCGTCGTCAGCTTGTTGCGGCACTTGGCGATACCAGGTGCGCCCTTCTCGCCCAAGTGCAGCTGGATTTTGCTGACCTTGGCTGCAATTTGCAGCGGCGAACCGACAAGTCATTGGCGAGACGGGCGTCGTGCCCTTCGTCTCGCAGCTCTTGCGGAAGGAGCTCGATGTCGTCCAGCCGCTTCAGCTTGCGACTGTCGGCCTACTGAAGCAACTTGCGTCCGGCGATGGTGCGTGGCCTTAACTGGTCGCACATGCTGTGCCTGACTAACTCGCGCCTCCGCCAGTCTCGAACGCGCTCGTTATGCTCGACCAGGACACCGCGACCGACCCTTCCTCCGCCAACACCGCTACCTCGACTCTCGACCTCCTCCTGTCCCTCTCGGCACGCGTAGATGACCTTCGCTTCCGCTCTGAGACAACGCGGGTCGTCGCCAACCTCGTCCGCACCCTCTTCGCCGCTGCTTCCGACAACGCTGCGGCAGAACAAGTCGAAGTCGGTCGGCAGAAGCTTACGAGCAGAGAAGTGCCGGGTGTGCTGGCAGGGATGGTGAGCACGAGCGAGAGGTACCCGGTTCTGGTGAATGAGGGAGTTGTCGGGTTGACGTTGCTGGCGGGCAGTGGTGAGGAGGGCGGTGCGTCTCGTATCTCTTCGCTTCGTTGCTACATCATCTCGCTGCTCGTGTCGACGTATACTGACGAGCTACGGGATGCGCAGCCGCCCTCGTACTCGACGCGCTCCTCGCCTCGCCCACTCAGCCCGCTACTCAGCCATCCTCCGGCGATTCCGACCCCTCCTCTGCCATGTCCGCCCTCACGACCACCGCGTCTGCACCTCCTCCACCCGCCACCACCACACCTTCCTCCGCCGCATTTCTGCTCGCGACCTGGCTCTCCTCCGCCCCGTCCTCTTCACCCATATCTCCCATCCGACCCGAGATGCTCGCGAACGTCGCTTCGCTTGTCTTTGCCGTCTTGCATGGCACAGCTGGTCCGGAGGAGAAGGAAACGAAAAGGAGCGAGTTGCGAAGGGTTGTCGAGGAACCGTTGAGAATTGCGGCGGGTGTGCTGACTGAGGGAGCGGTTGGTGAGGCGCTCAAGAGGGCGTTGGATCTTGTTGAGCAGGATGAGCAGGCGTAGACTCGGGTTTCGCTGGAACACTGTCCGTCCTTTCCTTCGACCCTTCCAGACTCAGAACGTCGCCATTTGTCTCAGACCCTCGCCCTCAGAGCTAGCAGTGACGGACCCGTCGAAGAGGATCGCTCCCGTCCTCGAGCAAGACCGCTCCAACGATATCCGTGAAGGAGCGCACCTGGAGTGCAATTCTACCGCCAGCGGATGGTCTGTAGTGACCTTGCTCGACGCTTAACCCCTCGCAAGAGCTGACCAGCGTTGTCGCTGCGTTGACAGGCTCACCTTCATCACCGTCCCGCTCCTCGACTTCCCCCGCATCCTCTCTCTCGTCTTTGGACTGCGGTCGCTTGATCGTCCTACGAACGCAAGGAACGTACTTCGCTTGCTGTTCGCCATGTCGTCGAGCGAGGCCGTCCGCACGAAAGCGTTCTTGGGAAGGCCCTCGCGCTCTCCGTCTCACTCGCACACGGAGATGATAGGCGAGGAACTGACTTGTTTGCGAGGGGGTTGCGAGGAGGGAATGGAAAGAAAATCCGACCGACCGGAAAAGAGAGAGAAGAGGAGAGGAGAAGGGGGACAGCGAGAGAGAGAGGAGAGGGAGACAACCAAGAGTCTTTTCGCGAGTGAGAGAGAGGGCGAGACGAAGAGCAGCCTTTTGTGCGAGACGGGAAGGGAGGTATAACGGGCGGAAAGAGGAGGATGAGTGAGGGAGATGTGCGGGATAAGGAGAAAGGAATGTCTGGCGGGAAAGGTGCAGGGTGGGAAGAGTCTATATACAGCACGGCGTTTTGAAGGGAGATGATGTGGACCGTATATGCACGAGAGGGAATGCACAGGCGAGAAGGGATCGAGGGCGAGACGGGCGGGGTGGCGAGAGAAGGAGCGTCACCCAAGGTTGTCGGTACTGAGGTACTGCTTGTTGCGAGATGCCGTCTATGCTGCAGTTGGATGCGGGATGAAGATGCTGTTCATGTGTCCACCGCCGTTCGCGGGACCCAGCCCGTGATGAAAGCCGGGAAGCGGTGGAAGGCCGTTCGCCTCGCGCTCGGCGGAGAGGACGCGTTCGATCGTGACGAGGTGTTTCGAGTAGGTCGTCGAGTACTTGCGGAGGTTGAGGATCTGCTGGGTCGTCTCGGCGAAGAGGGCCTCGCGCTGGGGACTAAGGGCGCTGTGGAGGCATTCTGCGCAGCGCGAGGAGGCGTCAGTGGCCGTCAAAGAGCGATGAGCAGCGAAAGGGAGTCACTTTGGATGACGTAGTTGGCGTAGGGATGGACGAGCATCGCTTTGATCGTGCTCGAGCCGTCGTGACCGGTCTGGAGGACCTCGTCAATCAAGCGGCGACGCTCGTCGTCGGTACCGTACAGGATGCACTTCTCGACGACATTCGAGGCGAATTTCTGCTGGGCGAGGGGGAGGAGCTGGCCGTAGACCTTGGCGATGACGAGCGAGCGGTCCGCCGTGTCGCCCTTTTCGAGCACCCACTGGACGACGTACTGCGAGGGAGGCGAGTTAGCGTGACGCTGAGTAAAGACGAGTGAGGGCCAACGCACGTTGCCGTACTGGTCCTGGATGAGATGCTGCGTCGAGCGATGCAATTCGTCGAGAAGGGTGCGAGTCTGATGCGCCGGGCAGTTCTCAAAGATGCGCTGGAGGACGCGGCAGCCATAGGGATGCGTGGCAAGACTGTGGACCTCGCCGACGCAGGCGTTCGTGATGAACAAGAGGTGTTCGGGCGGGACTCGTTCAAGGGCGCGCTGCGAGGTGGCAAGGGTTAGCGAACGTTGCACGAGGCGAGCGGCAGAGTCTGCCCACCTGGATGACGTGGTTGCTCTGTGCATCTCTCGCGCACTTGAGGACGTTGCCGTCGAGCTCCTTGACGAGGCGGACCTGCTGGTCGACGAGGACGTACTCGAGCGCCTTCTGGACGACGCGGCAGCCGTACATCTGCAGCGAAAGCTGGAGCACGTGGCCTTCGAGGACCTTGGCCATCGCCGTCTTCTGCACTTGGCTGCCTTGCTCGAAGAACTTCTGGATCACGTCTGCGAGAAGGCTGGTGAGCGAGCGGTCAACACAACGTGATAAGCGCAAACGTACAGTTGGCGAATACGTCAGTCGAGAGCTGGAGCATGTTCGGCAAGATCTCCTTGAAGACCATGTTGCGCTCCTCGGTGGTCGCCGTCTCCAGCTTCGTCTGGATGTGACGCGAGCCAAGCTGGTCGCCGCTGAACTCGACGATGTGGCCAGCGAGATCCTGTATCTCCCCAGTCGACGCGAAGTCAGCGACTTGACTCTAGCAAAAACAGAAGCTTGAGAGCGTGGAACGAACGACACACCTGCAACTCCCAACTCCTGTTCCTGTTGCTCCTGAACTCCTCAAGCAGCGGACTCCTCAAACTCCTCATGTCAGGTCCGTAGCCCGAGCCGTACCCATGCGGCTGCACCGGTCCAGGCGCGACGTACTCCATCCCCCTCACGCCGCGTCCGAGGATGATCTGGTGCTGCTGTCCGAGCTGCGGACCGCCGTACATCGGTGGAGGAGGAGGAGGACCGCCATGCTCGAGATGCGAGGGAGGCGGGGGAGGAGGGTGGCCGTTCGCGAAGCCGTTGGAGGGAGGGGGAGGGCCGGGAGCGTAGGGCGACATCGCGCCTGGTTGACCGGGAAGGCCGGACGGCGCAAACGAGAAGGAGCCTTGACGAGACGGGACGGCGGACGGCGAGCCGTTGACGAACTCGGGAGGGAGAGCGAAAGGCGGCATGGGAAGGCCCCAAGCGGGTGCGATCGAGTCGCGACGGCCGCCTGGACCGCCTGCACCGGCGTCGGGCGAGTAGAAACCCATGGGCGCGTAGGACAGGGGCGGCGGGTACGAGTCTTGGTGGCTCATGTAAGGCGAACCGGGCGGGAGGTAATAGGGATAGCTGATCGAGTTTTGCCTGCCCGGGTGCTCGCGAGGACCGTCGCCGGCGCCTGCACCAGCCGCAGCAGTCGTCGAGAGGTTCCCGAACGGCTCACCCGAATACGGCGACCTCGGACCGCCTCTCGCGTTCGCGCCCGCCGCTCCTCCTCCTCCGCCCGCCAAGCTGATTCCGCGCAGCCCGCTCGCGAGGTCGTCTTCGACGCTCTGCGCGCCCGTCACGGCCTGCCCGAAGCTGTTGTACATCGGCTCGGCCGCTCGGCTGTCCCGCGGAGGGTACCCAGCGGGAGGAGGTGAGAGGCCGCCCATGTGTGCAAAGTAGGGGTTGCCGAGGGGCGGAGGGGACGGGTCGGGAGGCTGGTAAGGGTAGGTGTAGGGCGCTGAGCCGGGAGAGGGAGTCGAGCCTGTCGCTGCTGCGGCGCCGTAGCTTGTCGGTGACGGCGCGCCGAGCTGGATCGAGGTCGCGGTCGTGGGTGCAGAGCCGGCGCCGCTGGACCCGACTGGCGAGGTCTCCTGCGAGGATGCGTCGACGGGCGAGTGGGCGAGGTGTGACGAGGGAGGGAGGAGGCTCGACCGCGAAGGAGCGCGCAGCGAGTCGGTCATGGAGGCGGGCGACGACGAGCGAAGGTCGACTGCTGATCCGGTCGGCTTGAGTTGAGACCGCGCGAAGCCGCTCGTAAAGTCCTGCAAGTCACGAGAGGGGGGCGAAGGAGAAAAAAGAAGGTGCGGGGGACAAGGCGACGAGGAGGCGGAAAGGAGTCAGCGCTGATACCGCAAGGTCGGCTGGAGGCCCGTCTTCCATGCAACCTTATTGGGCGCTAGCCTCGCATCAGAGACCCATCAAGAGGCTTGAGAGTCGTGGGTGATCCCTCGAGAAGAGCGAGGTCGTCGCAAGCAGAGACGCGACAGAGAAACGTTCCGCTGGACTCACCCCGCTCAGCCTGTCAAAGCCGCGCAGTCCTCGCGAGTCGTCCGTCAAGTGCAGCCGCAGGTCGTCCGTCGAGCTCGCCGCCTTGGCGCCGAACCCGGTCACCCAATCGCTCGTCAACCTCGACGCCGCAGTCCCGTCGTCCAGCCCGTCCAACGACGCAGGTCCGCCATGCCCCGCCCGCCGCTCGAGTTCTCGGGGGAGGTGCTTGCCGAACCCGAAGACTTCGGCGCCGATGACGAGTGACCCGCCAGGCGTCCGTTGGCCGTCTCCGAGCGGCGCAGAGACGTTGCGGAACGCGGAACCGAGGTGGCGGCTGCTTTCGATTGCAGGGACGCTTCTCAGACCGGTGGGGAGGTCGGCGAACGAGGGGCGAGGGAGCGTGCCGAGCGAGAGGGCGCCCTTGTTTGAGGAGGAGAGCGGGTCGAATGACTGGCGGCGGGGCAGGCCGAGGTGTCGAGGGTTGGCGCTCAAGGGCTTCCCGCTTGTGTTGCTCGGGTCCATCTCTGGTGGATCTGGAGGGCTGGTCGAGTGTCAGCCAGATTTCCGGAAATTGCGAGGATGAGGCCGTTCTCCGTCCAGCCCGTCTCCGCAAGCGACACGCTCAAAGCGCAGAGATTCCCCAACGCACCGTAAGTACGAGCAATTCACGAGAGGCCTGAGAGAATGCGGTGCGAGCGAGAAGAAGCGCGAGGTGACTGCCGAGATTCGTTGAGAGGAAGAGGGTCGGGAAGGGTCTGCGGATGAACCGGTCAGCCTGCGCGCGCCTAGTAGCCCTTCGTGGTGTATAAGAGAGTGCAACGCAAGCGTACCGAGTCTGATCCAGCCAGGAGAACCGCGAGGAGCGAGAGGAGGCTGTGGGGAGGGCCGAACTCCTGACAAGAGACGGGGAGCAGGCGCCGAGATGGAGACGAAGCGGTGTCGTTTCCTCCTGACACTCGCTTTGGACGGCACTGCTGCTACTCGCGCTCGACTGGACGCTGCGACGGACGAGTGCGGGCGAGGCGGATGAACTGCCGGCGAGTGACGCTGCGGAGGGCGACGAGGAGATGCGGCGGGTTCGACGGGGCGCAGGGTGGCTCAGTCTCGACTTCACGCGTCTACGCTACCCGTGTATCTGGCTGCGTCTGCGGTGCGAGGCCGGGAACCGAGGAACGGGGCGGAACGACGAGGCGGAAGTTCGCAGGCGTTGTCGGAGCTGATTCGCCTGGATGGTCCTGCTTCTGCGTGAAATCTGCAGCACTGGCTCGAGCTGTCTAGCAGGCTCCCAGCGAGCCGAGGACGAGGCGGCGAAGGAAGGAGTGCCGGCAGCGAACTTGGGCGAGGACGAGGATCGTTCTCTAGCGCTTCCCTGGGTGCTTGCGGAGACGGAACACAGCTGGAATGGCTTCACAGTGACGCTCCTTGCACTGCTGAACTTGTCGGTGGACGACGACAACTCCCTCGCCTCGGCTGCTTCGTCCCGCCCTGCGCCTTCTTTTTCTCGCGACGAGGGCGACGAAGGGCGTCTCGTTCTGCGCCGCAGCGTCGAGTTCCACCCGCGCCGACGTGTTCAAGCTCGTCGGGCAGATCATTCGACGTCGGACAAGTCGTCGCAGGGGTCGCAACGGGCGACGGAGTGCTCGCACGGAGGCTCTTTCCCTTCGTCCTCACACTCCTGCGCCTCGTGCACTCGTCCAGCTGCTGTACAGGACTCGCAGACTCCCACGCCCGACCCGCTCAGCAAAGCAGGAGCGCAACAGCCCGTTCCTCGCCTACCCCGCCAACTCGCTCGCGCTGTCTCTCGTCCCGCCCGACCCATCTTCCACACCACGTCGCTCTTCTCCCGCAGCAGCAGACACGCCGTGCTCACCGGACACCGGTTGCCGGGCAGTCCTGGACGTCGAGCGCTATGCATATGCTGGATCGTTCTTGGCGGGCAGACTGTCGCTTGCTTGGAGCGGAGTCCGGCTGTCGCGACGAGCAGGCACGACAGACCGGGTGGTCGCCGCTTGCTGATGAGGGTGTCCGCCTCGTCGGCCATCGCTGTTGCGCTGCGGATGATCGCGATAATCAAGCGACTTTGCGTGCGAAGCGAGGGAACTCGGGCTCGAAGCTGGAAGGGCGACGCTTTTTCCGCCTTGCTTGCGAAGTCGTTCGCTCGATCCTTATATCTCGCTGAGCCTCAAGTTAGACCATGCTGGAATGAACCACAGCAGCGTTACAACACGACGAGTCCGCTCCGCTCCCGCTCCCGCTCCCGCTCAGAACTTCTCCTTGGCCGGCCTGAGATCCATCTCCAGCGTCCACGCATCCGGCGTCTGCTGATGGAGGTACAAGTACGCCCTCGCGATCGAGTCGGGCGAGAGGCGCTGGCATTCATCTTGCATCCAGTTGGGGTCCTTGCCTTCGATGGAAGAGAACATGCGTGCGGTGATGCGGGTGAGGATGGTGCCGTCGATGATCTGCGCACAAAGGTGATCAGTGCAGGCTGGAGATGGAAGAGGAGGAGGAGCAGGACGCACGACAAACGCGACATGCACGCCTTGCGGACCGTATTCCCTCGCAATCGACTGACTCAACGCCCTCAGCCCATGTTTGCCCGCCGCAAACGCCCCAAAGTGCGTGTGGCCTCTCGTCGCGCTCGTCGCGCCCGTCATGATCAGCGTCCCGCCTTGGTCGGGGTCGGACCCGGGCGCAGTGAAGGCTCGCACGGCGGCTTGCGAGAAGGCCGTGGCGGAGATGATGTTGATTGTGGCGGAGGCGGTGATGTCTTTCTCGGTAATGTCGAGGAAGGGAATGCGCGACCTGCGCGAGCGAGCGTCAGCCATGAGGAAGGAGGAAGAGGAGAACCGCAGAACGAACCATTGAGATGTGTTCCACACCGCACACTTCAGCCTCCCATCAGGCCAGTGCTTCTTGATATCCTCAAACACCTTGTTCATAGATTGGTAGCTATACTCCTCCACGCTGAACACCTCCGCGACCCCTCCACCCTTCGCGATCTCGTCCTTCAAGTCGTGGACCTCTTTCCGCGGTCGACTGATCAGAGCGACGCGGTACCCTGGTTCGCGGGCGAACAGGCGTGCGACGGCAGCGCCTGTGCCGACGACGTTGCCCAGCCCGGAGACCGCGAGGACGTAATGCGACATGGGAGAGCGTTCGAGCGGGTAGCAGGTCAGGCACGGGGCCGTAGCTGGTGAATACTAGCAGTAGAGGGGAAGAGAGAGGCCAGCAGACGTCGAGCGAAGTCGTCACCGCTTCCGAGGCGAGGGAGGAGGGGAAGTTCGGTGCTCGCCCTCGTCCGGCTACCTCGCCCAACGCGAAGACCGGCTTATGCGACTGCTGGATACTTTGTCATGCTCAAGCGACCCGCCTAAAGCCGTCCGCCCACCGACCGATGCCTCACGACGCCTGCTATCGCCCCCTCGAAGCCTCATCAGCTGTCGGGTCGAGGGAGGGAAGGGGACGGGTTGAGGGTCGTGCAGTGGAGTCCTTGGCAGTTTTGAGGCCGTGGACGGTCCCTGCCAAGCGCGGAGACTCAGGCGAAGTCTGGCGAAGGAGGAGGAGGGTTTGACAGGCCGTTGTCGTTGGTTGGAGGGACGCGGTCGCGACCTCAGCTCGAATGCGCAGGAAACGGCCTCGCTGGGCGCTTACGTGCTACTGAGTTCGTTGGCGGGCGCCGCTGAATTTGAGGGAATCTTTACCCGGCTTGTCTCCCTCCGCCTCTTCGACGCTTCGCTCCTTTCGCGGCAACTCCTGTCCGTCTCCGCCGGTGCTGGCGCCCCTTGACTTATTTCCGTCGGTGTGGCGATGAGCCTCGTCAGCCTCCTCGCCGGAGTATCCGCGGACTGTCCAATCCCTTGGCCGCGTGACGGCGCTCCCTCTCTCTCTCTTTCTCCCTTCTCATGCTCACTTGGTGCACCAAGAAGATGTCATCTCACCACAACCGCCACTATCGCCTCCTCGACACGCATGCTGAGCCTGCACCTCGCGCGGCAGTGAGCCCATGCCTACTCGCTTCATTCTCGCGCGTTACTCATCCTTCCGGCACGCAGTATGTTCCCTCGGTCGCAGCGGTCGAAGCGGCACGACGCCGTATGGAGGAGCAGAGTCGCCGTCCTGCACTGCCGCGATCCGCCTTTCGAGTCGGCTCACGAGAACAGATGCCGCCTCCTCCGCCGCCGAAGGACGAGCCTCCAGCATGGCCGACGCGTAAGAGTTCCCGAGACGCGCTGAACCCACCGGAGGTGGACTACAAGGTGCGATGCTTCCGAATAATGCGGTTGCCCCGAGCTAAGACTCTACCCTACAGCGCTCTTCAACCGCCTCGACTTGGGGACGCAATCTCGTCAAACAGTTTCAGGAGGAGGCGCCGCCGCTCCCTCAGGAGGGCGTGGTGTGTGTGTAGTCCTCCTACATCCACTGAGTGCTGACTGCTGCTTCCGCAGATCCCGATCGGCTACCGACCCGAACCTCATAACGTCCATCCACAGGCGGAGGAGCTCGAGGAAGAGCGAGACAGGCGACACCGGCTTCGACGTCAAGACCGCCACACGGGTGTCGAGCGGACGGCTGAGGTTGTCCATCCTGGTACTGCTGCGTTTCTCAGGCCAAAAATGATAGATGTGTCAAGGTCGAGGTCGCCGCCCGTCTTCAAGCACCAGCAGCGGTAGGGTCGTCGCGACTGGGTGATCGGTTTCTCACGGACACTAGACTGTGCTATTTTGTTGCAACACATCGCTCGCATTCGTCGTCTCGCGACAGCGAGAGCAAGCGGTACTGGCAAACGTCCTTTGAGATCTTTTACAAGCTGGGTCTATAGTCTACTGCGTCTAGTTCTTCTTCTCGTCCGCAAATGGGTAGTCGGTGTATCCCTCGGTCTTGTCGGGGCCGTAAAGGTAGAAGGTCTCGCTGCGGAACGGAGGGAAATGAAGAGGCAGTCAGTTTGCGTTCAGCACAATTCCGCAGACGTCTCGTCTCAATCTGCCGCAAGCTGCACATCAAGAAGCGAAACGCACCGGTTGTACTCCGTCAACTCGATGCCCTCCTTGATCCGCTTCACCAAATCCGGGTTCGAGATGAAGTAGCGACCGAAGACGACGACCGAGTTGGCGTAGTGCTCGGCGGCAGTAACGGCGGTGTCGGGCTTGAAGCCGCCGGCGATGAGGAAGGGTCGGGGGGTCCAGAGCTCGTGCTGCAAGTCATCGAATGCGGCGTCAGTCAACCAGCGAGGGGAAGCATGGGGAGACGCTCAAGCAGCCCGAAAGCGACGAAAGGATGACCGCAAACGCACCAGGAAGTCCAGGTTCTCCTCCTTGGCTACCTCGATAGTCGTGTTTCCAGCGATGCGAGACTCGACGGCGTGGATGTAGGCAAGGTCCGGGTGACGCTGGCGGAGCTCGGTGACGAAGTAGCTGAACGTCTCCTTGATATCCTTGATCTCCGGCATCTTCATTCCCTGGAAAGTCGAGTAAGGAGAGAGACGGATACCGACGCGGTCGGCGCCGACGGCTTCGCTGACGGCCTTGGCGACCTCGAGAGGGAAACGGGCGCGGTTCTCGAGCGAGCCACCGTACTCGTCGGTGCGCTTGTTCGAGTTGGTCTGGAGGAACTGGTCGAGGAGGTAGCCTGAAGGAAACTCGCGTCAGTTCGGGGCTCTGGACGCCCACGTATATGGAGAAACTCACCGTTGGCGTTGTGGATCTCGACACCGTCACCGCCGGCCTCCTCAACGAAGAGCTTCGCCGCGCGAGCGTAGTAGCCAACGTAGTCCTGGATCTCCTCCTTCGACAAAGGGCGGGGCTTGGCTCCTCCCTCGAACGGCACGTCCGACGCCGAGACGACGTCCGCGTTGAACTCCTTCTTGAGGTTCTCGGGGTCGGCGGCGCGGCCGAGTGCCCAGAGCTGGAGGTAGATGAACGAGCCCTTGGAGTGGACCTCGTCGACAACCTTCTTCCATGCTGCGACCTGCTCCTGGTTGTAGCATCCGGGGACCTGCGAAAGGGGTAGCCGAGGAGAAGGAGCAAGAGCGAGAGAGCGAGACGCAGGGAGAAGGGGCGAAAGAGCAAGGGAAGGAAATTGGCGGCGAGGAGATCACGGACATCAGCGAGAGAGCAAGGGAGCGTCAAGAGGAGGCTGGAGACACGCACGTTGGGGTATCCTCCCGCCTTCGGGTCGATAAACGTCGCCTCCGTGATGAGGAGAGTGCCAGAGGCGCCCGCGCGCTGGCCGTAGTACTCGACCGCGGGCTGCTGATGGACGTGCTGTGCGTCGGCGCGGAAGCGCGTCAAGGGCGCCATGGCGAGGCGCTGCTTGAGCTCGAGGCGACCGACCCTAATCGGCTGGAAGAGGGCGGAGGAGGCGGCGGGGGCAGGCATCGTGGCTAGACGGTTGCTGGTGAGGGTAGGTGTGTAGCGTGGGTGTCTGGGAGTGTAGCGGGAGTGCAAGCGAGTGCAACGACGAGCGAGTGGCAGAGGCGCGCGATGATGACAGACCGAGTCGCGCTGAGTAAGACCTCGGACAACGAGAGCACGGCGACCGATTTGTATTTCGGCGAGCAAGAGCACAGCGAACAGAACTGCGGAATGGAACAGCCGCGAGAGAGCGAGCGAGCGAGAACGCGGGCGCTCTTAGTGCTCGCTGCGAAGGTCGAAGAGGCATAGAAGTCGTCTCGTTTCGTCCAGTCTATCCGTCTAGATCTACTGTTCTAGAGCTATAGACAGATCTCCTCCATCACTGCCCGTCGCCGGCAGACCGCAAGCTCCTGCCAAACACCGCCCGCCTCATGCTCTCCCTCTTCCTCCTCGGCCGTCGATCAGGCGGCTCAAACGTGCTGGCAGGCGAGACCGATACACTCGGTCGCATCGAAGTCGTCGTCGAAAAGTCGGTACCGACACGCTCGGGCGGCGAAGGGCGGTCAGGATGGTCCGCCGAGCGATGACCGTGCCGCGACGACGTATGCGGCGTCTCCTCCTTCTCCGAGTCGACCAGTCGCCGACGAGATTGCCTCGACTCTTGCTCCCGCGTCGCTTGCGCCTCCATCTTCTTGCGTTCCTTCGCTTCGTTCTCCGAGCGGCGGTGGTGCTTCCACATCGCTTTGCTGTACCTCTAAGCTCGTCAGTACCGACATTTATTGTCGATGAACGCTGGACACGCACACGAGGTCGCAGACAGGCTTGACGGTGAGCGTAATCGAGAGGATAGTCGGGAACGTCGTCATTTGTTCCTGCTCGAAGTGCGTGAGCCTCATACCTCCGACCGCATACGACGAGACTCACGGTTCCAGCGAGAAGCGACGAGCTAGGCTGCGCTGCCAGCTCGTACGAGGACCACAGGAGCGACAGCCAGGTGGCGAAGACGGTGCCCGAGAAGATGGCGGGGACAACCATGCGAGTCCAGCGGTTGCCGTCGCGGCTGTAGTCAAAGATGCGGCGGAGACTGGGAGGATGAGAGATCAGCGCAAGCCTTCAAGGCGAAGGAGAAGGGAACGGACTGGTAGTGCACCCAATGGGAGTAGAAGCTGCGTGCCCAGGAGGTTAACTGCCGCTCAGGCGAGAAGTAGGGAGTAACACACTTGGCGCAGGTGACGACGAAGACGACAAGGGACAAGCCGATAGCGACGATAGTCGAGATGGAGAGCAAGGAAGTGCCCGTCGGGTCGGGGCAGTTGGTCTGGGTGAGCTTGAACGAGCCGACGATGCCGTGGACGTAGACTGCGCACAAGACACGGGTCAAATCGACGAAGGAAGCTGAATAAGGGCAGCGACGCACGAAGAGTCACGAGCCAGAGGATGAACAGCGCCGCGTTCGACCCGAGCATCCCGTACCGCCTCCACCAACCCTTCGCCGTCTTGTTCGCAATCTTCTTCCGCTGCTCGTCTGTGTAGCCCGCCACACTCGACGCCGAGCTATCATCCGAGCTCGAGGGATCGTCCGCTTGCTCGACCGGGCGCGAAGACCGCTGAGGGTGATGTGCGCGTTGCCGGAGACCGGCGTCAAGGGCGGAAGGCGGGAGAGGCGGGAGGGCCGTGGTAGAGTCGTGCGGGCTGCGAGGAGAAGGGCGAGGGGAAGGGTGGTGAGGGGAATGCGGGTCATGGTGGGGCGAGTTCTGGGTGGAGTGAGGGGATGAGGGTGAGTCGAGCTCCTTGTGTTTCGGCGAGCGGTGGCCCGGACTGCTCGGAGCGGGAGAGGAGGGTCCGTGGTGAGGCGAGTGGTGCTCGATCTCCTCGTCTGCGAGCGGATGATGGCGAGGGGAGTGATGCTCGATGGGTGAGGGGATACGTTCAGTTTCTGCGTCTTTCGGTGACGATGAGACAAGCGGCGGAGTCGAGAGGAAAGAGGCGGGTATCAGCCGGTCCAGTGGACGCGATTCGATTTCTGCCTCTTCGTCACGAGTCCGGCTCTGCGCGGTAAGACCGTCAGTCAAGATGTATGGTGAGCGGGAGGGAGCGGAGCTTACAGAGCGCCTGGATGACGGTTGTAGCGTAGTTTCGCCAAAGCGATCCCGCCGCTCGCCCTCGTCCGCACGCAAGACGGGCGAATTGTCCGTACTGGACGCATCGCGGTTCCACACGTTGGCCGTGATGAGCGGCCGAGCAGCCGGTTCGTACTGCCTGTATCGCGAGCCGCTTGCGGTGCTGCTGAAGAATGGCGAGCCGAATGAGCGTAAGACCGTTGGGGAGTCGGTGAAGCCGCGATGCGAGGTCTTTGACAGCGAGTTCTGATGTTGGTGCGGGTGTCTGTCGCGAGATCGATGAGCGAGAGTAGGGACAGGGCGAGGGAACGTGCGTACTGGATGTTCGTTCGGAAGGCCAGCAAGCGGACACCGCTCTTCTGGTGGCTCCCGCCGTATAGGTAGTGTGTCGCAGTGACGGAAGCGGCGGAAAGAGGGCAGATGAAGCCGAGGGCGCAGAGCAGGGCGTAGTAGGCGTGGACTGCAGAGGGAAAGCTTGTCAATCGGGAACGGCGTGGATGTCGCCGAGTACGCACATCGAGAGATGCCATCGCCAGCGAATCCTGCCTGGAGGATTGTGATGATATAGGCGAGAGCTTGGAGAGTCGTCGTGAGCTGCAGGAAAAGCTTGCGGTAGGTTGGCACGTTCGGTCTCGAAGAGGACAAAGTGTGGCGCACGAAGATGAAGGGGGCCTCGGCGCCGTCGACCACCACAACCGCCGTCGCAAAGAAGATCGTGGAAGTCAAGCCGACGCGAGTACCGAGCGAGGCGAGTCTGTTCGAAGCGAAGTTCGTCAGTCGCTAACCCGGAAGTCGAACGAGATGCTGCCCACGCACGTATTCGGGCAGACTCCGCAACATGTGCCCTCCTTCGCAACGCACCAGAGCTGTGCTCGTAAGGTCAGCGAGGGCTGCAGAGGAGGAGAAGAGGGGAAACGGACCTGCGCGGCCTTCGTCGTCGCCTCTGTCGAACAGGTCTGAGCGAAGTAGGACAGCCCCATGCGCTCAGTAACAGTAGTCAGAGAGCTCGAACAGCGGAGCAGCAAGTCAGCGAGACTGTCGAGGTATCATCGCACCGCAGAGAGGTGAGGGCAGACAGCGAGGTGAGCGAGCACGTTCAGGAGCACGCGCCTGAGCCATCTTCGGAACCGCGGAGACTCCGGATGGGGCTGAACAGGAGTCCATCCGAACCGAGCGAGAGGAGGTCGATGAGGCAGCGAAGCGATGAAAGGCGGCGATTCGAGCGGCTTGTCCTCCGCCTGCATGCACCCGTCGCACAGTCTGCAGCCAGTGCAGGCCTTGTGAGTGATCCTCCGAGCGCGCGAGCCAGTCCGCATCCCGCCAACGACTCCCGCAAACCAGGAGGACGACGAGAACGACAGGTCGAGGTGGAACGGCGGGTGTCGCTGCTACAGGCTGATGCGGTCCGTCAGACCGCTCTCGAGATGTCTAGCAACGCTCAACAGGATCCGGCGGCGGTGGTGACGGCGAGAAGAGGACGACTTCGCTCTCTCGCTCGTCCTTCTCACTCGCTTTCGCTTCAACGGCTCTCGTTGGCTAGTCTGCTACCCTACATCGCTTTACTCGGCTGTATTGCGTCGACCCGGCGACTCCCACGCCCACTCGTGAGCTCGCTGGATCAGGAGCTCGTCGCTCGGACCCGTCGTCTTCCAACGGACGCCCTTTTCGCTCTCGCCTCGCAGCCACTCAAGGTGAGTCGCTCAGTATCCGACGGAGAGATCCAGAACTCGCGATTTGGGGGCCAGCGAGCGCGACATGCGGCGGGACCCGGGTAGCGAGTGAGACGTCTTCTCCCGGGCTGACCAGTGACTTTGGATTCGCCCGCAGATCTGGTGTGCAAGCGCTTCGCTTTGCCCGCCGACGACTTCGCAGTCGAGCTCGAGGCCCGCTTCGACCGCGCTCGGCCGATACGTTGAGACCGTTGGCCGTCGACAATCAGCATGTCGCCTGACAACACCTCGCCCGAACAACCTGCGGCGAGTCAGCCCCTAGCTTCGCCTGCCGTCGGCTCGCAGGAGGAGTCTGATGCGCACTGCAGCACACGCGAAGCCGCGCAGGACGTTGACGACCCGTCGTTCAGCCAGGACGACTCGTTCGCGTTTGCCTCGGAGGGCTCGATCGTCTACCGCGATAGCGAGACGAGCGCTGAGCTTGCGTCGTCCATACCAGCGAGGGAGGACCAGATCAGCGCCTCAGACGAGCCGTTCACCAGCTACGGCAGAGTTCTTGGCGACCTCGCGACTCTGACCGGGCCGCCGACAGCAGCCTCTGCTCGTTCTGTCTCGTCGCCCGCTACGGTCTTCGACACGAGGGAGACACAGCCAACTTCCGACCCCGCGAGGGTCGCCGCTAGTCACTCGCCGTCAAAACAAGGATTGAACCCGGCCGCATCGTCCTTCACTTTTCGCTCCTTCTCGTCGCCTGCCTCCCTCCCAACCGGCTCGATGCTCGACCTTCAGTTCGGCGAGATTCTCAAGAACGGCAAAGATTCCCTTGGCAACTTGACGCCCGAAGCCAAGGTCGCCCTCGGCCAGCTCGGCCTCCAGCCCATCCCTTCGCTTCACGGCGCCCCCAAGTTTCCCTACGCGCGCAATCCGTCGTGCGTTGCCTTTCGTGTCAATGATCGCTGGGACGTACTGATCCGGGTTTGTCTCGCAGCGGCGTCGACCTCTTCCACTTCTCGGTCGCGGAGGAAGAACCTGCCTTCGTCGTGCGTCTCTCATTGCCTCTTCACCTTCACGCGTGCTGACTGAGGTCCTCTACGTTACAGCCGCTCGAGGAAGTGCCCGACTACCAGCCTCGCACGATGCCGCTTCCTCTGCCCGGCAACTCTCGCTACACCCGCCACGGTCGCCTCGCTCAGCAACGCAACATCTCGGCTCCTGCCACTCTCGCCTTCACCCAGCTTGTCACAGAAACGCCGGGACCGCCGTTCGCGCCGAAGACGGTTCGTGCTGCATCGGCTCCAACGAGGAGGGGCGGACGCTCGAAGAAGTCGCAGCTTGAGACGCCGCCGGTGTCGATTCCTTTTTCGCCGCCGACTCCGGCTCCGGCTCCTCCTATCGACTACACCCACGCCGTTGCTCTCGAGCAAGCTCGCCTCGCTCAGCAAGTCCAGCACGCCCAGATCGCGCAAGCCCAGGCCGAGAGTCGACAGACGTTCCAGCAACTCGTCAACAACCCGCTCTGGCCTTTCACCGGCACGCACGCGCCCTCCAGCGCCTGTCCGACCGACGCGGGCATCGCCTCTCTCGCTTCGACGCCGTACCCGATTGCGAACACGCCGGTCCTCGATGCGAGCCCGTCAACCGTCCCTTCAACACTCCGCCGCCGTCCCAGCATCGTCGTCGGACCTGACGGGCAGCTCAATGTCGTCGACTCTCGCGCGCTCGGGCAGCTTGCGATGCAGATGAACCTCGGACTCGGCCAGCCTCAGCCCGTCTCGAACTTCTTGAGCAGGACGACGAGCTGGGAGACGGCTGCTTCGGCAGTGTCGCAGGCTCATCTGAGCGCGGCTGTTGGAGCATACTACCCGTCGCACGAGGAGACGGAGGACGAGATCTTCGGCGTCCTGCGCCCGCCGAGTCGTGCCGAACAGCTCGACCGCCGCAACCGTCCCAGTCACCATCGTTCGGCCAAGAGCACCGACATCACACCGCAGGCTGCTCAGTCGTACCTCGAGAAAGGCAGGCGCAGCTCGGCGGCCGCCTTTGTTCCTCACCCTGGCGTCAAGCGCAAGTCGTCGCTCGCTCCTTCCGTCTCTGGCTCGCGCAATGCGACGGGGCCCGCGAGGGTGCCGCAGACCCAGGCTCGTTCTTCGCACAGTCGCCGCCCTTCGTGCGTTGCCATCGTCGAGGACGCCGCGCCCGCGCAAAAACTTCCGCCGCCGCCTGCAGCCACCGCATCGACCTCCTTCCCGCCCGAGCACAAGACGAACAAGTCTCGCGCCTTCTCCGACATCGGCAACGCTGTCTCGTCCGCCAAGGTCACCTCGTACGCCGGCCAGCTCGACCAGCAGCCTCGTCACATCTCGAGCCCGTCTGTCGTCCACAGCAGGACGGTGCCGCAGGTCAAGCTCGAGCCGCCGACGCCGAAGAAGCCGTCTCGCCAGCAGAAAAAGGGAGCGAGGGCGACTTCCGTCCAGGTTGGGAAGGTCACCGATTCGCTTACCGCTCTCAACCTCGCTGCGTCGACGGAGCAGGGACGTTCGACGACGCCTTCGGCTGCGAGCGACGCGTACGTGACGGCGACCGAAGGAGACGGCGATGCGAGCGGCGCAGGAGGCTCGACGGGTACAAGCGGGTGGTCGCGCAGGAGGAAGCGCAACTGGGCGAAACGCAAGGGAGCGGCTGGTGCAGTCGCCCCCGAGAACGCTTGAGTGGCTGGAAGGAGGGAGGAACTGCTTGACGGAAAGAGCTGGGGGAGGATCGCTTGTTGTCTCGTTTTTGCAGCCTCACAATGTTGTGCCATTTGTCTGCCTGTTGACTCCGCGCTTTATCTCTGCAACGACTCGCTTTTGCATGCTCGCAAATCGCTGGGGACACAGAGGGTCCAAAAGTTACAACAGAGCGAAGCTACTCCTCGTCCCGCTCGGCGAGCCTGACTCGCAGCGGCATCTTGTTGCCATCCGTCTCTTCGCCGACGACGAGCGGGCGAGTGACTATGATGGAGCGGTGCTCGACCTCGAAGTTGGGGTCGCGCAGCGAGAACTCGAAGTTGTCGATCAGGACAGAGAGGATGGCCTTGAGCTCGAGGACGGCGAACTGCACGGGAGCGCGCTCGTCAGTATCCGCTCTGTGCAGCAGATCAGAGCATGGCGCACCTTATAGCCGATGCACGACCTCGGACCGGCGAGGAACGTCAAGTTCTGCGAGTAGACGCCCACTCCACCCTCAATCTTCTTGCCCTCTCCGTTCTCGCTCTGCATCCACCTCTCAGGCTTGAACTCATGCGCGTCGTCTCCAAAAATCTTCTTCGAGCGGTTGACGGCGAGGATGGGGATGAAGACGGTCTGGCCTTTCTTGATCGGGATGGACGAGATGAGGCGGTCGGGGTCGTAGCGAGAGCGGACAGGCGTGCCGAGGGGGATGAAGTCGTCTTTGCCGGCGTGGCGGACGGTGGCTGAGACGGGCGCTTCGAGGCGGAGAATCTCGCGCTAGACATTGGCGAAACAGATCAGCGAGAGACCGAACAACGATAGGGCAAGGTCAACGCACGGCAACACCGTCGAGGTACGGCAGCGCATCAAGCTCCCTGCTCTCAAGCTCCTCCCTGCCCTCGCTCCTCGCCTTGCGTCGCGCGGCACGAATCTCCTGCCTGAGCTTCTCCTGCGCCTCCGGCTGGCGAGACAGCGTCAAGAGCGTCCATGTGAGCGCAGTCGAGGTCGTCTCGTGGCCGGCAAGGAGGAAGGTCTGCGAGAAACCCATATCAGCTACTAGACAAGGCGATCGAAGGCAGGGTACGCACCGTGAGCTGTCCGCGCAACTCTGCCTGTGTCATCTTTGCCTTGCCCTCGCCCTGCGTCGACTTGACTGCAGTTCGGCGAACTCTTAGCTCGGAAGCGGAAGAGGGCTTCGGATGGCGAACGCACGGAGAAGCGCAATCAGATCCTTTCCAGCCCTGACGCTCTCCACCCCGTCCTTCTCAACCGCATCGTTCATCTTGAGCTGAATGATCTTGTCACTCTCGCTCTGCACCGTCCTGAACCCCTCGCGAACCTGCTTGAACCGCTCGTTCGGGACCCAGTCGGCGATCTTGAGGATGGGAAGTTTGCGGACGAAGAAGCCGATCGTGCGCTGGAGCATGATGCGATACGGAGTGGGCTTGCGAGCGGCGGCGCGCGGGGAGAACATGGAGGAGAAGGCGGCGCCGAGGGCGTTGTTGTGCTGCGCGACGGCGTCGAAGCGGTATCCGAAGCCGGCTGTTGCGCGCGAGTGTCAGTGGATGACCGGAGAGTACGACTTTCGGTACGCACCGTCGCCGATGATGTCGAGAGTGAGCCTGTTGAGCCACGCAATCACGTTGACCAGCGCCTCGCCCTCCGGCTTCGTCTTCGCATACTCCTGCGCCTTCTCCTCATCCTTCCAAACCTTTTCGTCGCTGTGTCCCTGTGCAATCAGGTCCTTCCAGACGTCTCGAAGCTCATTGGCGTGCTCGAAGAACGATGGGACGAGTTCGCGGAGGTGTGCAGGGCCGAAAGAGGGGTTCATGATTCGGCGCTGGCGGCGGTGGTCTTCTCCTTCGGCGAAGAGGACGCCCTTCCCGAGGATCAAGGCGAGGTCGCCGCGGACCTCTTCGGGTTTCGGGTAGTCGTACGCATTCGAGAGGAGGACATGGTTCAGGGCGGTAGGGTCGAAGAGGAGCAACCTCGTCTCGCCGAAGAATCCGCGGTACTGGACGACGCCGCCGTACTTGTCGTTCCATTCGATGTGAGGAACGCCTGGCGGGTCCTGCAGGATGCGCTTGACGTTGCCGTACAAGAGCGATTCGGGTGGAGGGCCTGGCAGGTCGTGCAAGGGAGAGAGGCGAGGGAGGATAATTGAGCAGCCGAGCAAGTAGACTGTGTAGCCGACCACACAGCCCAGCAAGAGCGTCCTGCGAGCGACAAGACCGCGTCGTCAGCTTCATCGCCAGGAGGTCCCCGAGGGAGTGGGGCGGGAGGTGAGCGCACGCTGCTGAGAGGATCGGGTGCGCCCAGCCAAAGGCGAGAGCGTGCTCGACCTTGTCCATGCTCGACGATAGCGTTTGCGAGCGAGCGGGCGAAGGGAAAGAGGCAGACGCGCAACTTCGCCTCGTCCTCGCTCATCGGGCTGGCGGGATCACGGTCCACGGAGGAGCGGCAGCTATCTTTGGAGGCGCACACGCACGCTGGCCGAGAGCTGACGAGGCTCGCCGTCAGAACGGAAGCCAAGGCGCGCGAGATCGAGGTTGTAAACTGCCTCGAGGTTCGATTTCTTCGTCTTGGACTGTACTGCGATAGATTCCACCTCCCTTTTCACCGACTGAGCGCTCTATGGAGGCGCTTAGTTGATCTTGAGGAGCTCGACCTGCGGAAGGACCGGGGACGTCAGCGGAGCTGGGAAGCGAGACGCTCTGGGTCTTGCGCACCTCGAAGACGAGGTCGGCGTTGGGAGGGATGACGCCGCCAGCCTGCGAGCACAATGAGGTCAGAGTGAAGGCCTAGCAGAGCAGCAGCTGTACAGTGTAGACGAACACCGCGGGCACCTGGAGGGCAAAGACGAAGGTCAGTCCGATCGCTTGTTCAGAGGAAAGGACGACAGGTGCGCACCGTAGCCGTAGTCCGAGGTGATGTGGAGCTTGGCCTATGGTGACAGGAAACTGAGTCAGGCCCAAGGACGAAGCGCAGAGGGGGTCAGAGGCGGACGCACCTTCTGGCCGAGCGAGAGCTGGGGAACGCCTTCGTCCCAGCCTGTACGAGACAGAGTCTTCCAGCGTCAGTACAGGCACCGCAGTGCAGGCAAGAGACGCAAGAGAGCTCCTGTGCGCACCGCGGATGACACGGCCGACACCAATGGCGGTCTGGAACGGCTGTCCGCGGTCGTACGACGAGTCGAACTTGTTGCCGTTCGAGGCGAGGGTGCCGTGGTAGTGCATGGTGACTGTGCGGCGATTTCGTTTGATTCGGGAGCAGTGAGGGAGGCACACCGAGCGAGGAAGCGGGGAGGGAGCAAGCCGTCAGTTGCGCGCTCCTTGCGCCAGCGAGCAGTCAATATGCAACAGACCGGTGTCGCCCTTCTTGGGGAACTGCACATGAGCGAGAACGGCGTCAGTCGAGTAAATCTTGGCGAGGGTGGATGGGAAGAGGAGGGGGACGTACGTTCTGGCCGTCTCCGGGGCGGATGGTCTCAACGGTAACACTGCGGGTACAAAGCAAGTTCGTGAGCTTTCCGTGAGCTGCTCAGCCATTCCCGCGCCCTGTGCAGGCCAGCGAGACTCGGGCTGATGACGAGAGAGCGGAGGATTCACCCCATGTTGCGAGCTGTGCTGGAGAAGCTGCGAGTGACGGCGTGTGCGTTGCGAGTGAGTACGCGCTGGAACATGCTGACTGGCGGTGTCCTCGTGAACGCACTGAAGTCGAGCGAGATGTGGAAGGCGAACGAGCGAGCGACGAGGCTTTGGCGGCGACACCCTCGCTCAAACTCGCCGGCTGGACTGTCGAACACTCTGAGAGACATGTCTGCGTCCCCTGCACCCGCCAAGCAGCTCTCGCCATCGCCCTCGACGTCTGCCTCGACTCCCGTCGTTCAGGCGAAGAAAGGCGCCGAACCTCCTCAGAAACCGCGGAACTTGTTCTCAAAGTGCGTCATCCAGCTCGTGGCAGTGTACTCAAGGGTCGGCTGAGGGCTACCTGCGCAACAAGCGGGCGAGACGGCGCGGAAATGGGGACCCGACGACTGACTGCCTCTTTCTCGCCTTCCTGCAGCGACGGCTCATTCCTCGAGCGGTTCAAGAAGAACGCAGTACCAACAGCGGATCAAGAGAAGAAGGAGCGGGAGGAAGTGCTTGCCCGGTGAGCCACTTTTCCTCCTGTACTCCCTCCGTCGTCGTCTCCTCGTTCGGCCCGGTTGGCCGCTCGAGGGCTGCTCGCTTTCTTTCCGCCCGCAGCGAGCACACAGAAGGCGTGTGATGCTCTGGGCACTGTGGGGATAGATTGTGACTGTACGCTGACTGTCAGACTCGGTTGCCCTCCTCCTCCGCCAATCCTTGTCGGCTTCCCTCACGTTGCTGACTCGTCTCTCCACGTTCACCTCATTATTGTCAACAGGAAAAAGGCTCTGGAGGAGCGATTGTACGTCCCCTTACTCCGCTTGCTTTCACGGGTGTCGCTGACTTGGGCCTTTCCCAGCAAAAAGCGCGGCAAGCGTCACGCCGACTCGACCGCCGATGCTCCCACCGGCAAGAAGAAGAAGGATGATGAGGAGGGCTTGACGGAGTACCAGAAGGAGGTGCGGCGGCTTGAGGCGCGGACGCTCAAGGACGAGGGCTACGGCTCGCGCGCGCTGCTGAAGTGATCCTTCCCTTTTCGACACACTCGCTTGCTTGTACTATCACTGCAGTCAGTCTGTAACGCTTCGTTGGTCTCTCCGCCGCCAGGTGAGCAACGGAAAGGGTCTTTTACAAAACAACGGAAATCTACTCCAATGCAGCAGCATCGTCCTTGACAGACTTAACAACGAGGTCGGACAGGTCGGCCTGCGAACCAACCTCGACATTGTTCGGCGACGCCTGCTCAAAGGATCTGCATTCGGAGGAAAGGAAACCAGGTCAGCGAAGTCGAGGATAGGGGCGACCGCCATCACGGAAGCCCGCAGCGCACCCGACGTAGCGAATCCGCATCATGACGGGCCTGGACGCCGACTGGGTCAACAGCTTGTCGTCCGCCTGCTTCTTGATCAACTGGATGTGCTCGTCGTTGCGCTCCTTGTACTGGCTGCCGTCGGCGCCAAAGTTGTGCGACAGGTAGCGCGACAACCACGGCAGGCGCTCCTCGACTGCGTCCTCGGCCTTGTGCACGGCATCGTCCGGCGCGTAGCGAGAGTACAGGAAGGTCCCGATGGCGATGAGGGAGAGGTTGCGCCAGAACGGCTTGTTGAATGCTGCGGGCCAGGCGAGCAGGTCAGCACGGTCAAAGAGCACTCTCAGAGCACAGTGAGCGGCACACGCACTCTCTGGAGGGTAGTACTCTGTCTCTGCGGCCGAGTGAGCGTGGGTCGAGGCGGGTCGGCGGGACGCGAGCTGCTGCACCCGGCGGACGGGCGCAGGGCGTGCTGCTGTCCGCTGGAGGAGTGAGAGAGCTGGCCGTGACATGGCGAGCGGGTGTGCGAGCGAGAGGCGGCAGACAGCGCGATGAGGAGGTTGGCGACAAGGAGACGGTCGCCGTCAAACTCGCTCGAGCGGCCCCTTGAAGCTGTCAAGTATCGTATCACACTATCGTAGAATTACTGGCGCCGAGAGCGAAGCACTTCAAGCGATGCAAGCGGACCTCCCCCTCCTTGGCCCAGCTAAAATCGTACAACAGTCATTCACAGTCCCCTACACCATCAGTATCGCCGGGTTCGTCATCTCGAGCAAGCTGCGCAAGCGCATCGTCCGTGTGCCGGGTTGGCGCGCGGTGAGGTCTGCTTCGGGGAGGCAAATCTCTGGCTGGCGGAGCAGGGCGGCGAGGGTTGCGGCGATGAGGGCTGTGTGACAGCGTCCGTCAGTATGAGCGCATCTTAAGTGGCTGAAAGACCCCGGACGGAGCGCAGCACATGAAGAAGGAGAGTCGACGCACGTCCAACCGGCGTCCTCGTCTGCTCCAACCTCGCAATGATCCCCTGCAGGCTCGCCCTCCACCTTTGCACCTCCTCGCTGTCGTACACGCCTCGCAGCTGGCGGATAGCGATCTCGCGCAGGAAGGTGCGGCCGGCGACGCCCCAGCAAAAGGTGAGGAAGGGCGGGATCTGGCGCGGGTGGAACGAGGCGCCTGGTTCGTGAGAGCTGCGTCAGCGTCGAGTGTGATGCTAGGGCAAGAGAAGATGTGAACGCACTGTTCAAGACCTGCATGTTCGCAACGATATTGTTCGCGGCCTCGGTACACTTGACCATGCTTGGGTCGCACTCCTCGCTCGTACAGAAGCGCTCGTGCAGCAGTATGACACTCGTCGCGACGAGCGAAGGGCACAGGAAGGCTTCTGGCTCGAGGAGGGTGACGAGTTGCGCGGGCGCTTTGCGGCCGAAGTTTTCGAGTGCGGCTTCGAGCTTGGTGAAGGCGGGTCTGCGGGGGAGAAGGCGTCAGTACTCCGAAGAGCCATGTGAGCGCTGCTACGCACGACGAGCGGATCTTGGGAAAGTCAGCCGGGTTGAGGGGCTGCCGATCAGGCGTCGCATTCGCCAGCGCCGAAGTTCCTGCTCGAGCCATGTCAACCTCCCATTCACCTCAAGCCGAGACGCCGTACGCACGATGAACAAATGTGCAAACTCTGTTCATCAGCACCGTCACCTTGAGATTGATCTGCACGAGTCGGACGAGGTGCGGCGGGTTGGTGACGAAGAAGGAGGGGCTGTGGAGGTAGAGCGCCTCGCGGGCTTGTGCGTCGTCCTGCGCGTATGTATCGGGTCAGCGCGTTCCAAGCGCGCGAGAGGAAGGAGAGAAACGCACGCCACGAGGTCCGGCGGCGGGGAGGAGGACAGTCACGTCTCGCTCATCGATGCAGCATGCCCAGCCCTGCAAGCAGTACACGCTCGCACATCAGCCATTGTGCCGCAAAATGCCACCATCGGCTGAAGGAGCGACGGAAGCTCACGCACCGTCGAAGCCATCGAAAACGTCTCGCAAGTCCAAGCAAACCACCACGCGACCGCCCTCTCCTGCGCCTCTTCCTCGTCCCTCGGGGGCGGCAGGAGCGTGCGGTGCGCGAGAAAAGAGCCGACGGGCAAGTCGGCGGTGCCGGGGTGGTCGTGGTTCAGCCCGAGGGAAGTGCAGATTCGGACGGCGGTTGCGGTGTCGATGTAGCCGCGAGAGAAGCTGTGAATTGCCGTGAAGGGTGAGCGTCAAATGGCCCACGAATAATCAGAGGCTCGTCACGCACCGCCCGTGGTACAGGTTCAAGCACGCGAACAACACCGCCGCCTGCGCGACCTGCAACAAATTCGACTCTGACCTGAACCCGAGGGGTATCAACACGTCCGCCAAATCCGCATGATACACCGCCGGGCTCTGTCCCTCAGGCCAATACCGCTCTTCGCCTTGCCAGGGCTCGTCGCCTGCGAGGTCCGTGGCTGTAGCGACCATTGCGTGGAGGAGGCACTTCGCGGGGTAGTCTGGGTGGTCGGGCGGATGAGAGAAGCCCTCGAGGAAGCGCCGGCGGTTGATTAGGTCGATCGCTTCGTGCGGGACGTCGAAGAAGATGTTGACGAGGCGGGACAGGGTTGTGCAGGAAGGCAGGCGCGGACCCTCCGGTCTAGGCACCGGCGGAGCAGAATCGAAAGGGAGCAGAGGTGGGTCGCGAAGGAAGTAGGTCTCTGGGTTTTGCTGAGGAGGCGGAGGAGGGGCTGCGGGCGGGAGAGGCTGTGGCAGAGCTGAAGGGACGGCAGCTATCGGATTTGAAGCGGTCGGCGGCTGAGAAAAATGATAGTGCTGCTGCTCGTGCGTTTGGAGAGGCAGCATGTGCGAGCCGAGGCCGGGCAATGCAGGGGGAGGACCCGGGAAAGGCTGGTGGGCTGGGAACGGCTGCGCTGGGAGACCGAGGTGATGTTGGAGGAGAGACTGGTCAGGAAGCGCAGAGTAGTGGCCTGTCGCCGCGACGAGCGAGTTGAGAGGCGGGAGAACCTGGGTCGACGTGGACGTCGAGGCGAACGAGTCGAAGGGCAGAGTCGGGTCGCGGACTGGGTTGAGCGGGATAGTCGGCGTGCTGCCTCGCGAGGCAGTCGTCAGACCCGTCGCAGTCGGCGAAGGCGACCCTTGCGGCGACGAGACCTCTGCAAGCCGCCGTTCGAGCGCTGCGATCTTTGCCTCGAGCGCCGCAACCTTTCCTCCACCGACTGGCTTCCTCCGCTCCTCCTCCGAGTCAAAGTCGCACTTGATGGTCGACATGTCCCTGCGGATCCATCGTAAGAAGCAGAGTCGGCAAAGAGCGAGCTGGAACCTCGCTTCTTCGCAGAGGTGAAGGAGAGCAGCAACGACGCACTGTCCAGTCCTCGCTGCCAGCGCAACACACGGTCCACACACGGGCTGTACGGCGTCGCATCTGCACGGGAAACGCTCGTCAGCGCGACCAGGTGTTGTCGACTTTGGCGGGGACGGCGAGAGGCCAAACACACTTGACCTTGCGCTTGCGGCAGCTCAAGCAGGCCTGTTGGGCGTTCGAGCGTCAGTCTCTGACCTCCAGAATCCCTCGAGACAACCTCGCACGCACCCTGCCTCTGCCCAGCGACGGCGCAGGCCTCGCAGCTGGTCCGGCGGTCGCCTGGATCGCTGGGAACGAGGTGCGCGAGTTGGTGCGTTCTGCGGGCATCCTCGTGGACAGCGTGAGGTGCGCTGCGCCGTGCCAGCGTCTGCAGCGAAGCAGTGCGGGTTGGGTTTTCCACTCGACCCCTTCGTCGCCGCCCGTCTCATCGACTCCGAAATCGAGGAGCTCCACCTTCGACTCTCTCCGCTTCCTCGCTTGACGTGAGTGATGGCACACCCGCGCACGGCCTGGAAACCACACAAGGGCGCTGTCGGAGTCGTCACGGGCGCAGGCTGGGGCGGGATCGGGTTCGAGGTCTCCCTCCACCTCGCACAGCAAGGCGTCCATGTCACCCTCGCAGACATCTCGCAGGAGGCGCTCGAGGACGCCCGCAGGCATCTCATCGAGCAGGGCATCGCAGAGGACGCCTTCGAGACCCGCGTCTTAGACGTCTCGAACCCGGACGACATGCGCGAGTTGGCGGACTCGGTGTTCGCGGCCAAGGGCAGGGTCGACTTCCTCCACCTGAACGCCGGGAGGGGCGGCAACGTCAAGGCGTACGGCGAGGACATCGTCCCCGAGTGGCACGACATCTTTGCCGTCAACTTGTTCGGCGTCGTCAACGGGACCCAGGCGTTCGTCGACCGCATGGTCGCTCAGGTGCGTTCGGCGTCTCTTTCCGGGTCCTCGAGACATCTCTGATCAGGTTTGCTCTCGTAGGACTCGCCCGCGACTGTTGTCATCACCGGCTCGAAGCAAGGCATCACTTGCCCGCCCGGAACGTCGGCAGCTTACAACGCTTCCAAGGCTGTGCGTGGACGTTTATCCGGCGTCGCGTTTTCGACGTCCGTGGCGAGTACACATCGAACGCAGGACTGACGCAGTCACGTTGGCAGGCCGTCAAAGCGCTCGCCGAAGCGCTCTCGCACCAGCTCCTCTCGACCCAAGTCTCAGTCCACCTCCTTGTCCCCGGCTACACGTACACGAAAATCACCACCAACTCGCCTTCCTCCTCCTACAACCCCTCCGCCAAACCCGCCGCCGCCTGGTCCCCCGCCCAAGTCTCCTCCTGCCTGTTCTCGCGCATCACAGCTTCCGCAGACGACTTTTACGTGATCTGCCCGGACAACGACGTGAGTTGGGAGTTGGACAAGGCGAGGATGCAGTGGGCTTATGAGGATATCACGGAGGGGAGACCGGCCTTGTCCAGATGGCATCCGGATTGGGAGGAGAAGCATAAGGCTTGGGTCGCGGAGAAGCTGGCGAAGAAGTGAGGCGCCGGATTGTGCGCGCTTGTATTGTCAACGTTGCACCAGGCTTGCGTCTAGGAACGAGGATGTGAGGCTTGGGAAGAACGAGGGTAGGAGGACCAAGGAAAGCGTGCTGCTCGCGCCAGAGACGCTCGTCGCTTCCAGCTTATCTCTTCGGAGATCGTCACACTGCTGAAAGAGCGAACGGAGAGATCGCTCGGACTTGGTAGATCCTGCCCACTCCTCCCTCTTCGCATGCGATCTTCTCCTGCTCAGCAGTCAACACCTTTGCCGTCCGATCCTTCGCCTCTCTCCCTGGCCCTAAAGGACACTGCGGATACGAGTCTTTGCACAAAGTCGGGCGACGAGGCTGGCGAACTAGTCGTTCCTCAGGCGATTCCTGGCGCCGGTCCACCTTTGGTGTACCCACTGCCCGCCGTGTTTCCTCGCTCCTGCTCAGTATCAAAGAGCGACATCAGTTTCCTTTCTTGCCTCGCAGATTGCGCCGAAGCAAGGAGAGCGCACTCACCGCCGTCGAATCCGGTCCCTCCTTCTCTCCCGCTCCAGGTCCAGCACCATTCACCTTCCCCTCCGCATACGCATGCGCCTTTTGCGCATCGTTCGCGATCCTCGAAGCAGGCGGGTGGTCGTATGCTTTCTCGAGGTCCTGCGACTCGCCGCCTTGGTGGTGTTCGCCGCCGAGGACGGTTCTGCATCGAGGGCGAGGTCAGCCTCACTGAGAGGAGCGCAGGAGAGGGAGAACGTCGACCCACGGGTACTTGTCGGTCATTGTTGATGGACGGGAGGAAAGCGAGCAAGGAAGAGAGATGCGCTCATCGCCTCTATCGTCCCGCATCGAGGTCAGGACCTTCCTAACCATGCGAATCCTGCTGTCCAGCGATGAGCGCGAGCCACTCGTCGACAATCTCAGAAGCCACGAGAGCGCAAACGAAAGCACGAGACGGGGGGAACGGGAATAACGAAAGTAGTGATTGCAATGCGAGGGAGGTCAAAAAGTCGACAGACGACCATTTGTTGCCGAGGGAGCGCTCCTAGTCGAGGCTCCTGCTCTCCTGCCCGCCATTCTGCAAGAGAGGAGTCCGTTCGCCGTTGCCCTTGATAGCGAGGTTCTCCGTCCTGAGCCGGCTGTGGCCCCGAACAGGCGTGTTCGCTCCACTCCCGCTCGCGATCCGCCGTTCGGGAACACCGCCGCCACGAAGCTTGACTTTGTCGAACCCGGAGGGAGCGGCGCCGGGCATAGGCGTATTCCGCCCCTCGGTTGAGAAGTTGCTGTCGGGCACGCCGTTCGGGCCAAGGAACTCTGCCGTGTTGTGTCGTCGTGCTTGGCGACGGCGCTCGATGACGCCTGTGAATTGCGCATGTTAGCAGAGTAAGCGATGAGAGAGAGAGAGGGGAGACGCACCAGCGATGAGCGGAGCGAGCTTGCCGTTTCCGACAGCAGGTTTCCGTGCAGGTGCGCGGACGACCTTCGTCTTGGCGTGGATGTCCTATGCGAAGCCGGGTGGTCAGATACGAGTCGTTCGCGACAGAGCGTCGCCGTGAGTGAGGACGCGAATGCGCTGCTCACGATGTACAGGTCGGTTTCGTCCACGATCTGCGGGCGCGGGAAACGTTAGCTCTGCGCGACTGAAGCGATGGATGCTCGGACCGACCTCCTCGCCAATCATCTCCTCAATGACGTCCTCGAGACTGACCAGGCCGAGCGCGCCGCCAGGTTCACCGGGGGTCTGCCAAAAGGAGGCGGTCAGCTGGACTGCATTGCGAGCACGAGCCACGGCAACGCACCGTAGAGACGAGGAGGATGTGCGAGCGGCCTTGCTGGAAGTAGTTGAGGACGTCGAGGCAGGTGGAGTCGGGTCCAGTTTCGGGCAAGACTGAGAGAGCAAAGTCGCCGATTTGCCTGTGTGAGCGAGACAGTTAGCTGCTGCGGTGAGGGGTACGCGAAGAACTGGATGCTGGACGCACTTCTCGTCTTCGGGGTCGTAGGAGATGAGCTGCGACGTCGGATTACGAGGTAGATCAGCGACGAGCGGAGCAAAGGTCTGTCGCAAGCGAGCGAACCTTCTTGACGACTGTGAAAACAGCGGTGTTCAGAGTTAGCGAGGTGGAAAAGGCGGGAAGAGGATGCACGCGACGCACTCAGCATGCCAATGAAGTCGGTCGGGTTGCCTGGCAAATGGACGGGGATACGGCTGTGACCGGACGCAAGGATCTGTCCATGACCATTTAGCTCACGGACGCAAGAGAGCAGGCAGGATGCAGACATACATGGTCGACCATCGTGTGATCCAGCTTCGTGTCGGAGGGCAGGGAGAAGATGTCTACGCGAAGCGAGTCTTGTCAGTAGCGTCTCCCCTACAGCGTAGGTGAGGTTGAGCGCACCCTCGAGAGGCGTCATGATGTCCGAGACGCTCTTGTCGCCCAGCCTGTGAAGGCAGCGGTCAGCGTCGCCGCATCGGGAGCGAAGACGGGTCGACGCACTCGAGTACCGACGAGATGATTGTGACCTCGTCGTCGTTAAGCGTCTCCTCGCCGAACTCTGCGTAGGGTGGAACGTCAGTTGCAGCTCGCTTGCCCCCGATCGCTCGCCGACTCACGCTTGTGCAGCCCAACAAACGTCTTCAGCTCAGCCTTTTTGTACGTCACACCCTGCTCCTCGCCGAGCAGGCGGTCGAGCAGCTTGGCGATTGGATAGGCGATGGGGAACTCGAGGTACATGAGGGCGAGGACGAAGGGAGCGGCTTTGGCGCCAATGCGGAGACCGTAGCGAGCGCACACAGCTGGGTGATTGCTCCGGTCGTCAGTGCTGGCAATGGACGGCTCGAGAAACGGAGCGCACACTGCGGGATGACCTCGCCGAAAATGACGATCAGGGTCGTCGAGAGTGCGATGGCTCCGAGGCCTCCGCCGAGAATCGAGTCCAGGAAGATGGCTGCGCAGGGAGAAGGATGTCAGGCACAAGCACGGAACAAGTACGGGCGAAAACAACGCACGCAGCGACTCGTTCACCACGACGTTCGAAAGCAGCAAGACGACCAAGACCCAGTGCCGACCCTTCTCGAGCAGCTTCATCACCTTGGTCGCATCTTTCCGTTCCTCCTCGTCACCGGACGTGGACAAGACTGTCGGGAGCAAGGAAGTCAGCGGGATTGCCGGAATCTGCGGTTCAAGTCGGTGACGCACCTTGCAAGTTGACGAGGTCCAAACCCATCAAACCGAGCGTAAGACCCGCAAAGACACCTCCGAGCAGTACCAGCACAGCACTCAGTGCGAGTTTCCACCAGAAAGCTGCGAAGCCGTTCGAGCGAGAGGTCAGTCTCTTCGAGCCAACGAGCTATTGTGAGGGCTGGACACCGCACCTGATGATCCTGGTTCTGTCTCTGGCGGCTCTCCCCCCGGCAGCGAAGCCCCCATGCCCTCATAGCCTGCATCCAAGACAACGGCAGCCGCCGGGGCGGCATAGGTCCGCACAGCCCGGGGGACAAGCAGGGCGAGCTGTAGGAGTCCTGCGCTTCGTGTCGGCATTCTTCGTGTGGCGACCATGGCTCCGAGTGCGGTCTGAGGTCGAGGCGAGAGAGATGGAAGTGTGCGGGGAGGTTGGAACTGATGACGGAGTGGTGAGCGGTGAGGGCGCTGGTGGGGCTCAGACGGTTGTGGGCGGGTAGGCGTCGCCTTTCACAAGCGATCTGGACGTCCTTCGCGCGAGGAGCAGTCGCGAGCGTGCGGTGACGAGGAGAAGGCCCTTCGAGCGATCGTCAGGCTGGCACGTTCTCGATAATCTCGTCATCAGATCGTGCGAAGGGAGCGAGGACAAAGCAGATGCGTTACAACAACCGGAACAGAGGGACGAAGGCACCGAAAGGAGTGGCGAGGAGGGCGGGAGGGGCCGTTCAGAGCGCCGCCTGCCGCTTTTCCGCCCAGAAGTCGCTCGCAGGCTTGTCGTTCTGGAAGGCGGTGTACTCGATGACCTGTACGAAGACGAGTCAGAGAGGCTTCAAGGAGGAGAAAGGCCGCTGGACGAACCTGAGGAGCAATCGTCGAGCAGTGGGCGAAGACACGAACGGAGACTGCGAAAGCCGAGGAGTCAGCACACAGCTGCAGGCTGCAAGCGCAATGGGAGCATACCAGTCTTGTTGTCGCGGCGACTGGGAGGAGAGAGAGCCGAAGTCAGCTCAAAACGAAGCGATGGAAGGACGGAAAGGAGACGCACTTCTTGCCTTCCCTCCTGAACTTGGACAACCGGTCGACAAACTCCCACAACCTTCCCTGAGGCGCAATCGTCCCGTCCGCTTGTCGTCGCGGTACCCAGTCGGGGTGAAGCGCCATGAGCGGGACAGACGCCGGCTTCTTCGGCAGCTTGGGCTTGCCGTCCTTGCCGATCTTGGCGATAGAGGCGTTCGCGGCGTTCGACGTCGAGCGGCGGGTGAGCAACACGCCGACGTCGACCATGCGCTGGAAGGCGTTGAAAAGCGTCGCTGCGGGCAGAGTCGGTGTCAGCTCCCTCCGTTTCCGGTTTCGACAACTGCTCGACGCGCCCTGGTTGACTGCTTCGAGGTAGCTGACGTCTCCTTGCGCGAAGAGCGTCTTGGCGAGAAGCTGAGCGCTGGCTTGGAAGGCCTTCTCGGCGTACCAGGCGACGGGCTCGTCGGCGGAAGGAGGCGGGCATGTCGGTGCGAGGGCGAAGAGCGAGACGGCAGCGAGCCAGTCTGAGGGTTTGCTGCGCATCAGTGCAAGACCCGAGGAACGGCACATATGCGCCGCATCGCTCGATCCGAACGAGCAATCACAACAGGTGAGGATTGCGGGACTCACAAGTCTCGATGAACGGCCAGATGAGGAAGCAGAAGAAGTCGAAGTTGTTCCTGCCCGCCGCCCGCTCCTTTGGGTTGAGGCCAATGAGCTCGCCCTCGGTGAGGATGACCTCGTCGTCCTCGAGCGCGACGATAGTCTTGTCCGAGTTGGCCTCGAGCCCGTCCGGTGGGTAGACAAACTCGTTCGAGAGGAGGCGCGAGATGAAGTGCAGCTCGCGAAGGACTTCTGCTCGCTCCATTCGCTGCGAAGGGGCGGCGCCGCCGGCTTTGACGCGGGTGTAGAGGACGGCGCAGAGCATTGCTTCTTCGACGAAGAGGTGGATCGTCTGGTTGCGCCAGAACGAGAGTTCGAACCGGCTGATCGGGTAGTAGGTCGACTCGATGAGGTCCGTCTGCTCGCCGATCAAGTCCTTGAGGAACTCCAGCGCGCTGCAGGTCAGTCAGTCAGTCGAGCGCCGGCGCGTGCAGTGGAGGAGATGACGCACCGCTCGACGACCTCCTCGGGCGACATGTCGCCAAAGTCTGCGACCCTGCCGCCTCGCGCCTCGATCGCCTTCTTCAGCCAGACAACACGCGAGACCAGCTCGCTCTTGCCGACGCCCTGCGAAGCGATTCCAGTCAGCACAGTGAAGGGCAGGGGACGGCCAAGCAGGACGCACGCGACCACGGATCGTCAACATGACGGTACCAACAAGTCCTGCCGGCATGATCACACTGCGTTCGACCGTTGTCAGCTCAAGCGTCGCCAATCGCTGTAATCCACACTCACGCGCAGTCGTTGATGCCAGCCAACACCTCGTACCCGAGCGCTCTCAGCAAGACCGACTGATCATTCTTGATGCCCGTCCCGCCGAGAGGCGAAGTAGTCGATGTACTCCGACGCTTCTTCTGCTCGTCGAGCCAGCCGCGGAGCGAGAAGGGCTTTTGGAAGCGTACGTCGATGCGGCCGAGTTGCAGCTGGACGACGCGGGTATTGAGGAGGAGGCCGGTGAGGCTGGACACGACGAGGTCAGCAACAATGAGAGAGCTTAGCAGACGATGCCACGCACGTCTCCTTCTCCTTCGGGTTGCCCAGCAGCTCGTTGACGTAGGACTCCGTCTCGATGACCTGGCGAAGCGAAACCGTCAGCCTGGAGACCCGATGTCCGGCTGAAGACTCGACGCACCTTGTCGTACTGCAGCGAGATCGGGCAGACCCAGACATCCTCGGTCCTGCCGTTCTCGAGCGCCTCGAGGACGTACTTGAGGATACCGAGCTTGGGAGGGAGGAGCTTGCCGGTCCGGCTGCGCGTTCCTTCGATGAAGCACTCGACTGCGACACATCATAGATCAGCGGCGAGGCTCGTCCGAGGTGGAGAAGGTCACGCACTGTTCTTCCCGTTCTCGAGCAGCTGCTCGATGTACTCCTTCACGACCGTCGAGTACAGCGGGTCATCTCCGAACGAGCGCCGGATGAAGACCGCTCCGCACTTGGCGAGTGTCGGACCGACGACGGGCATGTTGAGATTCTCGCCGGCGATGATGTGTGGGAGGGAGAGGCCGAGTCGGAAGAAGAGCCAGGAAATGGCTGCGCGCGGGCGAGGGTCAGTTCTTCGCATCCCAGGGGGTTGACGAGATAGCCTCACTGAGGTAGTCCTGCGGGTTGCAATCTCGGTCAGTATATCGGCAGGACGGAGGAAGCAGTCGAGACTCACGATGTGCGACTTGTGGCAAGGCAGGATCAGCAGCGACTGCTTCTTCGACGCTGCCATCTGCGCGACCTCCTTGAAGCGCGCATACTCGGGTATACTGATCTCGAGACCTTGGTGGTACATCCGAACGAGAATGTTGTTGACGAGGGCCTGTCAGGGAAAGAGGATGGTGAGAGGCTCGTCGGGAAGAGGGGAGAGAGAGAGAGAGCGCAGACGCACGCCGAATCCTCGCAAGAACCTGACATTGTCCATCTTCGCCACCAGTCCCTCAGACAACCGTCTCGCCTCCTTCTTGAGCTCATCCTGGATCTGTCTTCGCTTCTTCTCCTTCTCCGGACCTTCAGGAAGCTGTAAACCCGCCAGCCGCTTCTCCGTCACTTCCTGAATGCGCTTGTTGACCTGCTTCGAGCTCAGAATGCCGCGCATGCAGTCGTCTGAGTAGCCAGGGTAGAAGACTCGTCCGCCGATATAGTCGGTGTAGGAACGCCAGCCTGTTCCCGACGCCCAGAGCGATAGCTGCTTCGAGAACTGCGCGTACAACTTGTCGTCAGCAGACCCGTGTATTAGAGTGAGGAACGGCGCGCACCTCAATCGGATCCGCCCGCAAGTGCGCCTGATGGTTCTCAACCAAGTTCCTCTGTTCTCCGTTCCCAACCCGCTTCTTCTCCTCCTTGACGACGCCTACCGCATTCTCCTCCTGCACCAGCACCGGCTGAAGCGCCACCAACCCGGGTTCAACCGTCGTCACGACTGTTGGCGGCCGGGTGCGCGGTTCAAAGTCGACGCCGAGGAGAGCTTCGGGGTCGTCTGGGCCGAGAGTGGCGAGGGAGGCAGAGTGACGCTGTTTGCGCTTGTCGGCGGCTGTCATTGTGCGGCGTCTCGAGGAGGACGGGCGGCGAGAGTTCGGGAGTTGGTGAGCGAAGGGGTGGGGAAGGGGAGTGAGCTGGCGAGACGGGAGAAAGCGTGGCAGCCGCGAGTGGGTCTGTAGCAGTCCGAGTGAGCGTCTAGCAGTGGCAGCGAGGCAAGCGAGAGGGAGCGACGGCGACGAGAGCAGACGAGCCGATCGTCCGGCAACTTCGCAAGGTTCCGTCGACGCCGGCAATCTCGAAGCCAAGCTCGAAGGGTTCCAGCGCCACACGCAGAGCAGCTGGATGCACGTGCTGTCGTTTGCAGGCAAGCCGGAGCAAGCAAGTTGGCGAAGAGCGCTCGTTTCGACTCCTATCGAGAGAAGCAGAGATGCCGTGGCAGAAGGGGAACAGCCGCAGTATGCCGGCCAGTAATGAGCGACAGCGAGGACTAAGCAAGCAAGCGCAGCGCAGCAATGAAAGCTTCCTCGCGGACGGAACAACGACGAAGTGAGGGGACAGTCCTGGCCTCGTTGCAAGCCCAGACTCCCGCCCAAGCTACACGCCCTCCCCGACGCTCCAGTTCCCAACGAGGACCTCCACACTGCGCAACGACCGACGAGGCGAGGCGAGTAGACGACGGTCGA